TGGCTAAGTTTAGAGGGTTGTAAAACTTACCAGGGTAATAATAATAAAATTTCAGGAGATTTATACATTAAAGCGGTTTGTTTTATATGTGTGATTAAAATTTGAAGTTAATTGGGGTAGATTTTAATGAGATATCAATAAATTTAGTAAAAAATCAATATTTTTGGTGTGGTTTTGTATTATTATCAAAATAAATTTATAATTTTACATTTTGCATGACATTTCCCAGGTGTAAGCTCCAACCTGTGACTAAAGCTCGTGACTAAAATACTTTAGTCACTACTTTGGCTGTATTTAAACTACAACTTTTTGTGTCTCAAAACCGTGGAAAAAGTGGCGCTTTAAAAATAAAAGTAGAAAAAACAAGTTATAATGACAAATATTTGTTAAATTTGTTTAATTCTGTATAAAAATAATTATCCGATCAATTTTATTGACGAGAAAATTAATTTATCAAGCAATATCCATCATTCTCCTTCAATAAACACCGTACAACTTTAAAAGATGCTAAAAGTGCACTTATACAACTCCTTTTTCTATCCCCAACAGTTTCGTAATAAACATTTTAAAAAGTTTTCATCTGCTTAAATAAAATTCCGAGCGTAATTAACGAATTAACAAACTATCAACATGAAAGTAAACTCTGCTACATCTGTTTAATCTCCAACTTTTTCCAAACTTCTTTTTTATCAACGCAAAGCAATAATTTAATTATAAACAATTTGCGAACAAAAGTTTTCTATCAATTAATAAGTCATAAGTTCGTCTGGAATTAAAAATCCTGTTAGGTATTAATTGCGTCGCCCGTACAGCAATCTGGTTAGTTTAACAGGATGTCCTGTTTCCGGCGGCGTGATAAAATTGGCCCACTTGCCACTCGGGTGCATTATGAAAAGTTATTAGAACCGCCCGTCTCGCGCCCGCAAACTTTTCAGCGATATTTCATAATTATTTACTACTTCTTTGTGCCGCCTCAGCCGTCGAGCGTCTTATTATACAGCAGTTTTTATTATTATCTGCTGGTAATTAAAATTTACGCTCGCCCATGCGAATTTTCCACTTGAACTCGACGCCAAAAAAGCGCCGAAACAATGTAATTATAGCGCGCATTAAAAATGATAAATACTCAAGCGCAGAGCGAAAAAAAATTATCTTATTGTTTGGATAATAAAATTTCACCTTTTTTTCGTAAACTTGCTGATAAATTTTTGTGCACTGCACGCTCGTAATTCGAAAGCAAAGATATTGACAAAACGTCTAAATTTAAATTGAATTTAATAATTTAGCGCGGGCCGAACGTGCGGATAGCGAAAGTATAACGCTTTTTCGATAGCTACACCCACACCACTCCAAGTATGGTGTTGGTGTTGGTGTGTGTAACTTGAGCTAGACCAGACAGTTCCTGGGGGAAATTTTGCCAACCATCCCGTCCGGGCCAATCCGCCCCCGGCGAGCGCAACACCCCGCGTGCGAGATCAACTCGAAGAAGCAGAAGAAAAAAAAAGCGCAGCCACAAGAGCAGACAACAAGCATTAAGGGTTGTCCGCGCGCGCGTGGCAAAAACGCGACGCGGCGCCGAGAAAAAATAAATAAAAAAATGCGCAAAGTGAAACAGCGGCCGAAGACAGCGGTGAGCCGACACCGACGCTCGGGGGTGGACGATTTAATCGGCCACGGCGAAGGGTTGCTGGTGCTGGTCTCCGCTGTGGGTTTATTTTATTAAAAAGCGTTCGATAACATGAAAGAGGGTGTAAAAAATTACACGAGCGAAAAAATTACATAAAAAGCCGCTCTTTTTTTATTAAGTGAATATAAAACTTTTATGGATTAATTAAAGACATACGAGACGAGAGGGTTTGAATTTTTTTTATGTGAATCTAGATTTTAACACTTTTACACGCCGAAAATTTTTTTTTTTAAATATTTGTGCAAAACGCATGATCAACGACAAGTTAAAGCGAACACGACACGCGCAAATGCGCCTAGGCCATACATCTTATTCCGTTTCGGGAAGCTTTCATCCCGGAGGCCGAGCTTAAGACTGATGTAAAATATGCTCTTGTTCGATATTTTTCGCCGTCGTTTGTTGTCTTAGCGCGTGAAAAATTGTTACAAACAACAAACCACTACACATATCGCGCAAAAAAATAAAACTAAAATGTCTGCGGGAGAAAAATCCCTCAAGACGATAACAGCCGCAACAACAACAACCAACAAGAATACTCGTACAGTTAAATTCGATGTTGTATAAAAGTGCGCCTGTGCGCCGTCGCGGAAGTAATGCGGCTGGCACCAAAGTGCTATCGACTTCGAGATTAATGTCTCGTCATTTTCGATCATAATTTCTTCGAGTGGAAAAATTCAATCAGAAATATTATTAGAGTAGACACAAGACGCAAGAAAGGCTGAAAAAATCGATCAGAGTTTGCCGAGGCAATACATTCGCAATTTTTAATGTACACTCAATGTGATGAGATGAAGGTTTGCATCGATGCAAACATGTTGACTTGGCGCCCGTACACTACGAGTACATAAATTGTTACGGTAAATGACTGTTTGTGCCGCAATCGAATGACCAAACACATTATCACTTCATATTGCGCATGCAAGGATGGTAATTGAATCGTTAAGAGCTAATAAGATACATGATGTGTGTGCTTTACTTTGAAGGGTTGTAAAACTTACAAATGGTGATAATAATAAACTTTTACAACATTTATATGATAAAGTGGTTTGTTTTATATGTTAGATTAAAATTTGAAGTTAATTGGAGTAAATTTCAATGAGATATGAATAAATTTCGATGAAAAATCATTATTTATGTCGTTTTACTAAAATATCTCAAAAATTATATCAAAACTAGCATTTGCCTGCGATTTTATCCTGGAATTATTTAATAAAAATGTAATTCATTTTTACTCTCTAGATCTTGACATAGTATGTGTCAATTCTATCAATAAAATTCGCAATTTTATTTTGAAGAAATTAATAATAAAAAGATTTGTTAATAATGCACTTCAGCGCGCCATCTCGGATTCAACTATTTAACTATAACTATGATTGATCTCAATGCCAACTTTTATCCTATAGAAAAGAGCTGTCTTTAGAGTTTTTCCGGCAATTATTCGAATTTTTCTCGCCGTAAAAACCATTCTTGGACTTTAACGAACATTTTAAAAAAAGAATTGGCCAAATTGGTTTAGGCGTTGTTGAGTTATGCGCTTACTAACTGATTTTGCGATTCATTTTTATATTATAGATACATTGAATTTACGTGAAGTTAGGAAGGAACTATTCCTGACTTAATATTGTATCACCACGTACTTTAAAAATTATTATCCGATCAGTTTTGTTGATGTTTTTAACAAAACATGTTTGAGAGAGATGTCGTCTGATGTCATTTTTACTCTATTCTTGGATTATCAAAGTTAGTGTAGCTAGTTTCTTGTCTAGCTCTTGAGAAATTGAATGAAGTGCAACATCGAGCACCCCCCCCCAACATCCCCACACCTCAAACTTGTACCATGTATCACAATGAATTCCCATTTTCACGGTATTTCGATTGAAATTTTTTTTAAATTTAAAAATGTCTCAATATTTTGATTACGAATATCTCAAAAACTAAAATCGTTGGAAAGAAACGGATTGAACCCTCTTAATCCTCATGAAATTCTCTATAAGCTAAGATATTCCAATGATGAAAATTCGTGAGGTGGAAAATACCCCCGCGCCCTATGTATGTACTTCATGACAGTGACAGATTCGTCTGCTGCAGTCTGCAACGCAACATCTACCACCCCCTACCACCTCCACCCCTCGCGCATTTTGTTTTGTTTCATTTTCGACTGTTCAACAAATGCTCGCCAAATGTTCAACAAACTTTCCACGTGCTTTATTTTAAAACAGCTTGTCACGAAACCAGCAATACCACTAAACCACCCACACAAGATGATCCATCCATCGTCGTCGGTGGTGTTTGTTTCTTTCTTGTGTGTTTGTGTAAGCAAAGACAAATTTGTTGTAAAATGTAATTGGATGTTGGCTCAGACAAGACAACAGTTAATTCAGCTAGAATCATTACGACATTGCAAAGCCACCCGGCGAACACTGAGCCAACTAATCCGCCGGTTTCTTTGCGCTTTATTTCACCAAGCAAACCGGGATGAACAATATGAACTCGTACGAGACCGGAAAGTAATAGCGACGCGCAATGTGGTGTTCTACGAGTCGGCGGCGAAGAAGCGAAAATGATTGCTGGTCACCGCAAATAACTTCCGGTGTGCACTGTGTGTGCAAACATCCAGAGCGGACCGGAAACTCTATTAATTATTGCTGGACTTTAGACTTTTATACACTTGCTGCGTTTTATTAGCTGTGTTTCAATTCCAAGCAAATAAAATGAATAAAAATAACAAAACATTCAAGTAATACTCGAATGTTCAAGTTTCTGTGTTTGTTTACGTTGAAATCTTATCGCGAATTCCGATGGTTGATCGCGATAACAACCAAGCCATTTGCTTATTGCGTTACACATACACTATAGTATCGAAAACTTAATCCATTGAATACATAAACCAGCAAGGGTGAGAAACCCTTACACTACTAACGTAATTAAAACGATTTCTCAATATCACGTAGCATAAGCAGCTCAATTTATTTCGCTTTCTGCGCTCGCAAAACGTTTTGTAACCGTTAACACAACATATACAAGTTTTACAATTGAATTTAAACTTAAAACTATCAAATTATCATCTTACTCTTGTAGAAGGGCTTCGAACACCTACAGAACACTTTCTTGAAGTCGACTTGCACTATTACACTGTTTTATTTTTACGTTTTAGTCTCTTAACAACATTCACGACAAACACGCACTGTAATTGTAACCGTTACAATAACTTGTCTGCAAAAAAATGCAACGCTTATCTTACACTAAACAAACACAAAAGAATACGTTAGAAACGGTGTACGTGGCGCCATCTACACGCGCATATTGCAACATGTCAGCATGTCAAATAGATGCAACTCGAAATCATCACAAATCGCTACGCAAAACTTAACACCGCTGAATAATTAATAATTCGTCAAATAATCTGTGTTATCGCCAGCGCAAATTGCGCCGAAACTCGCGGACGATGAGCGACAACGAGGACGACTTTATGATCGAAGATGAAGAAGATTACGGCTTGGTAAATGATATTTTTCGACGATTTCTCATCGCATAACCTGCAAATCAATCAATTTTTCCTTGCTTTACACTAATTTATCACCGTCGATGTTGATTGGATTGTAGGAATATTCAGAGGATAGTAATTCCGAGCCGGATGTCGACTTGGAGAACCAATACTATAATTCTAAGGCGCTCAAAGAGGATGATCCAAAGGGTGCACTCACATCATTTCAGAAAGTCTTGGATCTTGAAAGTGGAGAGAAAGGAGAATGGGGTTTTAAAGCTCTCAAGCAGATGATTAAGATCAATTTCAAGCTGGGGAATTTCAAAGAGATGATGACCAGATACAAGCAGTTGCTTACTTATATAAAAAGTGCAGTAACAAGAAACCATAGTGAGAAATCAATTAATTCAATTTTGGATTATATTTCTACATCAAAAAATGTAAGCAATGTTTTTAACTACTATAAAATTGTAAAATGAAGTTATATTTAGTATTATTAGTTGAGGTTTGTGTGTTTTTCAATGATTTTAACGAAATTTTGTTCATATAAGTTAGGCAACCAGTCATACATCGACATAGAAATTAATTGAAATTTACTTGTTTTTACTTTAATTTCAGATGGAATTACTGCAGGACTTTTACGAAACAACACTAGAAGCTTTAAAAGATGCCAAGAATGATCGGTTATGGTTTAAAACCAATACAAAACTTGGTAAATTGTATTATGATCAAGGTGATTTCAACAAGTTAGCAAAAATTCTCAAACAATTGCATCAATCATGTCAGACTGATGATGGTGAGGATGACTTGAAGAAAGGCACGCAACTGTTGGAGATTTACGCGCTGGAAATACAGATGTACACTGAGCAGAAGAACAATAAGAAACTGAAAACACTGTATGAGCAGTCATTGCACATCAAGTCTGCTATTCCACATCCTTTGATAATGGGAGTGATTAGGGGTAAATCATTAAATAATATTTTTAAAAGTCTTTAATTTGACAAATTTTTGATACTAGAATGTGGTGGAAAGATGCATCTGCGTGAGGGAGAGTTTGAACGAGCTCACACTGACTTTTTCGAGGCTTTCAAGAACTACGACGAGTCGGGAAGCCCACGAAGAACAACTTGCTTAAAATATTTAGTACTTGCCAATATGTTGATGAAATCAGGAATAAACCCCTTCGATTCGCAGGAAGCCAAGCCTTACAAAAACGACCCTGAGATTCTAGCGATGACAAATCTAGTAAATGCGTATCAGAACAACGATATCAACGATTTCGAGCTGATCTTAAGACAGAATCGTCAAAATATTATGGATGATCCTTTTATACGCGAACACATTGAAGGTATTCTTATTTATTTATCATAAACCAGATAAAAAAATTGATTTTTATATGTTTTTTTGTTATTTTTACAGATTTATTGAGAAATATCCGCACCCAAGTACTTATCAAATTAATTCGTCCCTACACGCGAATCAACATACCGTTTATCTCAAGAGAATTGAACATTGATGAAGACGACGTGGAGAATTTGCTAGTTTCGTGCATTTTAGACAAGTAAGTAACAAATAACTATAAAACATGCCAATTGTAACGTTTTTTACTATGATTATTCATATGTTTTAGTACAATCCAAGGACGCATCGACGAAGTCAACCATGTTCTCTTCCTGGAGAAGCCGAACGTCAACACGACGCGTTACAATGCTCTGGACCGGTGGACGAATCAACTGGGCGCGCTACACATCTCAGTGGTGAACAAGATGGCCTAAACACACCACACCACTCGCGTATTAACTGTTTTTTAATGCTAATATTATTGATAAGCAATCTGCGGATAATCGAACCAGTGTTTGCGCATCATTCGTTCGGATGGTGTGTGCGATGATGCCAAAAGTGAAATTATGTGTTATTTAATTTAAGAAATGCACATTCTAGATGCACAACTAGAACAAACAAACATCTTACATGCAACTTGCAACAATGCTGCGTAATGGCATTGTTCCGAAAGAGACCGAAAAGAAATCAGTGAATCTAATTAAATATTAAGATATATTCGATTGAATCAACCACTGTGCATTAACTCTGTGAATTATCTTAGGTTTGCATATTTAATGAATTGAAATTAGTTTCGGAAATCGAACGATTCGTACGTATGGTTGTTGAGTTGTGACAGTAATAACATTCTGTACGATTATCAGTGTTTAGTAACAACAATAAAAGAAGGATTTACATGTTTTATCAGTGGAATGTTTCTAAAATGGCGGACCAACCAAAAAATACCCAATGCGTAGTCAAACATTGGTTTTTTTTCATGCAAAAATTAAATATTTAACTAATATTCGACTAATTGTACATGTTTTTCGCATTTTTCACAGTTTTCCATGCGAAAATTTAAATTTCTTCATTTGACGCTTGATAATCGAATTACAAATCAAGGTTATACAAATCAGCTGTGAAAAGTGTAAATATGTACGTTTAAACTTTGATTATCACCTAAATCCATCTAGAAATTCCAATTTGTTTAAATTTACTCTCTTTGTCAATCACAGTTGACGTGGGGAGTAAAATCATACACGTTTTGTTACTGTTTTCCACTTCAACACTCACTCAATACATCATTTGTTTATTTATAGAAGTGAGATCAGATTTATCCCAAGTGTGCATCAGTGAGTTATCAAAATGAACAAAAACTCGATGGAATACGCACCCCTGCGAACCCTCGACGATTTCCTGCTGGAATCTGCACGATTTCAGATACCAAACTTCTCAGATTGGGAAAAATGGGGCAACAGGATTGTCAGCAATCTACTGTACTACCAAACCAACTACTTTCTAATGTCCATCATCATCTTTATCCTCTTTGGAGTGATGCATCCAGTGCAGATTATTACTGGATTTCTGGTTATGCTGGTGATCTTTACTGTTTTCTGCTATGTGACTAATGAGGCTGGTGCGATTGGGCAGTTCAAGTGTAAACATCCAGTGGTTTCAACTGGATTGATCTTTACAGTGTCATATTACTTGTTGGCAACTGTAATGGGTTCACTTTTGGTGTTTTTGCTTTCTATACTTGTACCATTTTGCAGTGAGTACTAATTTTTATGTTTTTCGAATGTTTTAAATATTATTGTTTAATTTTTTATTTAGGTATTTTCATTCATTCTTCTTTGCGTTTGAGAAACGTGAAGAACAAATTGGCGAATACTTTCGAGCCGATGGGAGTCACTCGTACACCGATGGGCATCTTCTTGGAAGAAATGGGTTTGCAGGTGAAAATATTTTAAGGTTCTCATCTTTTTTCCAACAAAAAGCAACAAAAACTCAAAAAGAGATGCAATTACATGCTACAAAAGTATTTCAATGTTGCAGTACATTAAATAATTAAAGTTTTTAAGCTTAAAACTTAAAACGCGCAGTATTTCAAGTGAAAAACTCAAAATTCGCTTCCAAAATGTTTAGATCAGCGAAAATATTTGTTAGCATTTGTTAGTGACTAGTTACCTAGATAGAAACGTTGACCATGACTATGACAAATCTTAAAATACTCAAATATATTAATACTTACAATTTAATAAACACTAAAACATTAATACAGTATAAAACAGTCCAAGTGTGATTGAAATAAAGCCACAAAACGTTAAAAAACGATTTGTTTAATTAATTTTATGTTTTGTTTTGCAGTCCCAAAGAAGTACAATTAAACTCGGAGATTTCTTTAAGCCTTCCTCACTGATCAAAGATTTCAAGTCATCAAAGACGCATTAACGTACTTTTGTCATGTCACGACCAATCCGCGCATGCACAGCCATTCATTACATGATTTACAGCCATTATTACCTTTTATTATTAATTGTTATTGTTTTAATTGATGTTACAAGCAATCCAAAGATAATATAGTCATTTTACATCCAAATGTATGCATTTAATGCACTTCACATGATTTTACGCACGTATTTTTGTTTAATATTATTAATATTATACATTTTATACATAATAACGTATTGTTTAAGTAGTAACATTCATTTTGGACACCTTCTGCATCCAATTCAACAAGTATTCCTCCTGATCATACAATATCCGAGTTGTTTTATGTGGTTTTATCATTAAAGAATCATGCCACGGTTTAGCTCGTCCAGTTATCAGCAATAAATCATCGAGTTTTATGTTTTCTACGTAAGCTATTGAGTTAAAAGTGATTTCGAAGCGTAGTAGTTCCAAGTCATATGTTTCCTGACATATTATCTTGTTTTTTTCATAGAAAAAAGTTTTTGGATTGAGTTTCTCTTCGAGTTTTTTCATGTTTTCAGTGAGGTAAGTCCGAATTGATTTTGGTTGATTTTCGCAATACATTGAAATTGATATCGTTTTGATTTTATCAGTAACTGAAGCAATAAAAATGGTTTAATTTATTATTATAGCTGAATAAAGGGGATTTGGCATACTTTTCATCACAACCAAATTTGTGCATATTTCCAGGCTTTTTATGTACCCACATATCGCGATATCAGTAAATTGCGCTGTGCCAAGCTGTAAACATTCATTTGCTGTGTTGTACGTGCATTTCAGTGCGTTTTCAATGGATAATTCCAAAATTTTGCCTGAAATTCAACATAACCTTACTTAACAGTTAACCTCCATTGCTCTTTTCAGATCCAAAATTAACTTTGAAATTAATTCAATTATGCAAAAGCAAGTTTGACCACTCAAAATTAATATAAATTCAAATTATCGGGTTTAATTGGGAAAGTTGGATACAAACTTAATTAATTAATAATTATCTAAATATTTACCTGCCATTCTCTGGTTTTGAGTGAACACAAAGTGGAATACATATGCTAATTTGTTGTTAATTGTTTAAATTATAATTTTCGTGCGCAGGCGTCTGTTTTCCTCTCTTTTCTCTCGGAAAAGTGTTTGTCAAATACCGTATAACCTCAACAGGCTGCACCACTGCTCCACATCTGCACCGAAAATAAGCAAACTCTGCCAGTGTTCGCAATATTGTCAGACATCTCCAAGTATTAAGTGCAAAACATCGTGAACCAGCAGAAAATCACCGATGAACAGCTTCGAAACGCCAGAAGAAGTCGAAATTTGACGAGTTTTTGCATTATTAGAGGGATTTGAACCTGTCTGGCTCACAAAGTCAATATAATCCGGTGGTTATCGGCAGATTAAAAGCGTTGATAACCAGAATCAACACTTGCCCTTCCAATTTGCAATAAAGTGCATTAAGTATAGAGTAACAACCTTGTGATCATTGTATACAGTTGAGTTTTCAAGGAAAAATTCTAGACTAGAGGTTGATTTAGGAGTGAATAAAGTAAAAATAGTAGAATTGTGACCACTGGATTTACAACTTCATGTGCAATTGGTTTTTCTTGGACAATATCAACTTATTGTGAGTATTTTTATCAAAAATCTTGAGTTTTTAATATGATGACTTGCATTTTTTAGTTAGTAATCTGTGACAATGGAAGAAAACCATGGAAATTTTCCTGTCTGGGGACTACTGCCAAAGAAGGAAACTGGTGTCACCTCATTCCTAAGTGATAATCCTGACTACAATGGAAAAAATGTAACCATTGCTATTTTTGACTCAGGGGTTGATCCAGGAGCACCCGGATTAAAAGTAATGCATCATTATTTTCAAATAATAAAGCTTTTAACCTTAATTTTTCTCATTTTAAGGAAACACCTGATGGAAAAGTAAAAGTAATTGAAAGATTTGACTGCAGTGGGTGTGGTGATGTGCAAATGACAACAATAGTTGAATCAAAAGAAGGTGCAATCACTGGTATCAGTGGCAAAACATTAAAGGTAATCATTTTGTTTCACTTAGAATAAATTTCCAATCAACCAGGAAATTTTTCCAGTTTTAATTCTGAAAACCTCCGCCATTTTGTTGATTTTTAAACAGATACCTGAATCATGGACGAATCCGACCAACAAATATCGCGTCGGCATCAAAAACTCTTTCGATTTGTATCCGGAACGTCTCAAGGAACGCATGCAGGAGGAAAACAAGAAGAAACAATGGGAGAATCAACACGCAATGGCGTCCGCAGACGCGTTGCGGCAGTTGAACGTTTTCGAAAGTAAACATACCAACGGACACGCCCTTTCCGAGGAGGAAAAGTTAGTAAAGGAAAATCTAGACGCAACTATCGAGCATCTAGCGTCTACGGAAAAGAAATACAACGATTGTGGACGATTCTACGATTGTGTAATGTATCACGACGGTGAAAAATGGATGGCGTGTGTTGACACGACAGAAAATGGCGATTTGAACAATTGTAAACTGCTTGGGGAATACAGCGTGACGCATGAATTTGCGCCGTTGAACGAAGCGGATCAATTGAATTTTAGTATTAACGTACACGACGATGGGGATGTTTTAGAATTAGTTGGATTGTGCTGTGAGTATTAAAATATTGAAAGTGTAAAGTTATTATACTAAATGTTGATTTAATATTTTAGCAAGTCACGGTACTCACGTGGCATCAATAACCTCCGCTTATTTTCCCGACGATCCGGAAAAAAATGGCGTCGCACCTGGTGCGCAAATTGTCTCACTGACAATCGGTGATGGACGACTTGGATCGATGGAAACAGGCACCGCGATGGTGAGAGCCATCATTAAAGTGATGGAACTTAAAGAAAAACTTGGTATTGATGTGATTAACATGAGTTATGGTGAACATGCGCATTGGTCTAATGCTGGGTAAGGAAATATTAAGTTATTTTGATATTGTGAACATAAATTTAACCTGTTTTTTAACTCTACAGGCGAATTGGTGAACTAATGAATGAGGTTGTGAATAAATACGGTGTTGTGTGGGTTGCATCCGCTGGAAATCACGGCCCTGCTTTGAGTACAATCGGTACACCGCCAGACATCAGCCAGGAAACTCTCATAGGAGTCGGTGCGTACGTAAGTCCGGATATGATGCTCGCTGAATATTCCATGCGTGCAAAACTACCAGGTATGCCGTATACATGGAGCTCCAGAGGCCCGACAATCGACGGCGGTCTTGGCGTAACAGTCTGCGCGCCAGGTGGCGCTATAACATCAGTTCCAAACTTCACTTTGAGAAACTCTCAGCTTATGAACGGCACATCAATGGCGTCCCCGCACGTAGCGGGCGCTGTCGGCGTGTTAATTTCCGGTTTGAAGCAGAAAGAAATCAAATACTCGCCGTATTCGATCAAACGCGCGCTGGAAAATGGCGCGACACGTCTCCAAGACGTTGAATTATTTGCCCAGGGTAACGGACTACTCAACGTCGAGAAATCCTTCGAATTGTTGGTGAATCACAGTAATGCGCCGGAACGTGACGTGCGTTTCCATGTCACATGCGGTGGCAACGCGAAAGGAATCTATATCAGAAACAAACCGCCGAAATCCATCTTTGAAGGATCCATTACTGTCGACCCACACTTTTTAGACTCCGAATCAATCTCACCCAACACCAAAATTGATTTCAATTTAAAACTTACACTGAAATGCAAAGAATCATACGTAGAACATCCCGCATTCTTAGATTTATCGAACATGACGCGTGTTTTCGGGATAAAAATCGACGTTTCGGGCCTGGAAGGCTTGAACACGACGTTTATCGAGGCGTACGATGTGTCTTGTTCGGCGAAGGGGCCTGTGTTCAAAGTACCCGTCACGATTATCATACCGCAGGATGTTCCCTTGAGTAACACCATTGTTGTTCCCTCGGCGCAGTTCGAAGCGAATACGATTTCCAGAACGTTTGTGACTGTACCAGAATTGGCGACGTATGCTGTGATCAAGATGCGATCACTGGAGAAAGAATCGATTGGGAAATTTGTTGTGCACACGATGCAGTTGCTACCAAAACAGTATTGCAAAGCAATGGAGATTAATAAACATGTTACGGTTAATTACAACGCTGAGAGTAGTCTTGCGTTTCCTGTGCAGGGAAATAAAACACTGGAAGTTGTGATTGCGAAGTACTGGGCGAATATCGGTAGCATTGAGGTGCAATATTCGATTAATTTCTTTGGCGTGAAGCCTAATCAAGGAAGTGTGACGATGATTGCTGCGGATGGTGTCCACAACGTGCATGTAACCACTCTCCAAGGTGAAGATATTCAACCTGTGGTCACTTTGAAGAATGCCGTACAAATTTTAAGGTAAAATATTAAAATTTCACAAAATGGCGTCTGATTTAACCTCAAATTTATTTTTTCTATATTTTCATGTAAAAATCTTTTTGAAGGCCTTCCGATGCGAAAATTTTATCTCTATCAAAGCGTGATGTGATTCCACCCGGAAAACAAATCTACGAGTTGCAACTGACGTACAATTTCCACCTGAACAAAGGCACGGAAGTATCGCCCAACTGCCCATTGCTGAGCGACGTGCTCTACGAATCCGAGTTCGAGAGTCAATTATGGATGATTTACGACAACAATAAACAGTTCATGGGCTGCGGCGACGCCTATCCCAGCAAGGTAATAGGAACCGACTCCATTTCATCATTTATTGACGGTGGAATGCAATAAAATACGCGTGCTTTATTACCGACTCATTTGTTACGCGCATTACGTGATATGTTTTGCTTTCAGTATAATATAAAACTGGAGAAGGGCGATTACGTCCTGAAGATGCACGTGCGTCATGATAAGAAGGATCATTTGGAGAAGTTGAACGAAGCGCAGTTGTTACTCTCGCAGAAATTGGCGAGCAGTTTGAGTTTGGATTGTTATTCGAACTATTCACAAGCGCTGATTAGCGGAAAGAAAGGATCGCTCGCGACGTCGTTTGTTAGTAATACGGTGTCTTTTTATATTGCACTGCTTGCTGCTGATAAGTAAGAATTTGATTTACCTAGAATTCTTTCAAAAAAATATTTGTTTTTGTGTTTTATTTATAGATACAGTACAAAAACGAATAACGCAGCGCATCATTTGTGCGGAACGATAACTTACGCAAAAGATGATGTCGGTAAGCGTGTTGACACTTATCCGATTAAATATATCCTGCCAGAAGCGTCGAAAAAGGCGACGAAACCTCAGGAAAAAGCCAAAACCAAAGCGGAGGAGTTCAAGGAAGCACTCAGGGAGTTAAAAATTACCTGGTTGAAACAACTTGGTATGTTTTTTAATATTATGTGTTTTTTTTTTTGTTGAATTTATATGTTTAGATGCTTCCAATGGTTCGGAAACTTTATACAACGAAATGCTCAAGGAGTTCCCTGATTACCTACCCACGCACACAGCGTACCTGCAGAGTTTGGAGGTGATGGAGTCCAAGAAACAATTGCCCCTGCTCAATAAGGAAGCGATTGCCGCACAGAAGGAGGAAGACATCAAGAAAATCATCACCGTGTGTGATAAAGCCCTGGAAAACATCTATAACAATTCATTATTGATGTTTTTCTCCATCAAGAATGATCAGCGTTGTGATGCCGCACAAATTAAACAGTAAGTTGTATTTTATTCAAATTAAAACAATTTTTTATGGTTTATTTTGTATTAGATTGATGGATCGTCAAAAAACGGTGTATATTGATTGTCTAGCACGTAAAGGCATAGCCAATTGTCGTCTTTACTTGATTAGCAGTGAAGATCCCACTCGAATGGAGAACATAACCACAATTTGGAAGAGTTTACTGCAGTTTGTCGATCCGAACGACTCTAAAGTAAGTGATATGTTCTATTAATGTGATTCATTCAATTAAATGTCAATTTCCATTCCCCAAGGCGTTCCAGGCAAACGCAATGTACTTTGCGTGCTGGCACGCGACTGTGTTCAAACACTATGGCCGCCTGTTGAAGTACCTCCAGCGTATCATCGAAGAAAAACCCACTCGCGACGTCGAAGAGAAGATCAACGAGATCTACAAGTTGCAGAAATGGGAGCATCTTGTCCGCTACCACGACCGGCTCATCCTCGCCAAATATCCGCATGGTTATCGACCTTTCTAGTTCAGTGTGGATATTGACATATACACATAGACGTAATAGATAATTGTAACTAATTTGACGATGCAGTAATTCTAAGTTGACGGATTTGTGTTGGAAAGGTAAGAAAAATGATTAGAAGCATCCACTTCTTTCTATTATTATTAAACATAACTTTATATTAGTCACTTCTTCGTTTAGTTCATCATTTTTGTTTTGTTTGGTTTCATTTTAAATACAAAATCTTAACTTGTACATGTATAATAAAAAATAAATCGATTTCAAACATGTGTTCTGCGTGTCAGAGAGAATGCCGCAACCGAAGAATTCGTGTAATGCACGTGTATGATGCGCGGGGGGGGACAAACGGGAGATGGGCGATAACGAGGGGCAGAGCTATACACATTCTTCATGTTAACAGTACATTGATTACGCCGGCGGTGGGTAATTTATTGCCATGTGCGCCAAGCGTCAATTTCGGCGACTGGGTTCTCGAGTTTAAACGTTCAATAAGTGCCTGATATTCGGGTTATGCTTCTTTCTTGATACATTTCACTTGTGAAGGTATTCACAAACATAACCTAACTTGTACATGTAAAATAATTCATTGAAAACGATGAATAATTGTGTAAATTTTACTTGTACAGTATGAAAACACTTGTGTGCGGGTTATTAATCATCGCCAATTGTATGAAAACGCCAGAAAATGTAAATCAATTCGCTGCAGCACTTGGAATATTGTTTTTCTACTGAAGCACTCTTCAGATTTGCAATTATAATGTAATTACGTTATTACACACACATTTATGGTTATAATTTCAAAATGGCTGCTTCTGCGTTGTTTTAAATATAATTATTGATGTTTTTCACACGATGAGTTTTCATTATCATTATCAGGGGCATTTGCACGTACATGCAATAAATTACCGCACCGTCGACACGTTATTACCGCATAACAACAAACCCATCCATTTTACAACGAGTTTACATTTACATTTGGTTTTATATAACGCTTAGGTAGGTTTTAATAAATAAAACATGGCGCAATATCACTATCAGCGCGTAACAAAAACACTCTTTTATAGACTAAACGCAATTTCCCAACAGATATATGTAAATTTTTAATTTCGTAACTAAGGAAACAAGTCGTAATGAAATTTTGGTTGACTTGTTTACAAATGGCGGCCATTGCAGTGGCCATTAACTAGAAAAACTCAAACCTCTCTCGCGTGCGATATTATTCCGGCGATAGTTGTGTGTAGTGATGAAAAGAACATGCAAAGAAATCGTTACATGTCGAACAACCGCCACTGAAGTGGTGTACAACCACAACGGCGCCGGAAATGAGTGAGTTGAATTATTTCGGGGAAACCCCCCGATCGGCGGGTGTCTTTTGTGTGTTCGCACGAACGCAATTTACATGTTAGAAAAATACCTCGCGATCAATTTCGCGTCCTCGCGCGTGGTGTGCACACTGTCCAAAGTCCAATGTCCCACGTCCGCGCTCGCCGCGAGTTATTAAAGAGCGTAAAGAAATAGGGGGTGTACATCCATCGGGTTTGAAGACAAACCGAAGTAATATCAATACGTTTAACACTCACAAAATATCGCAATCTTTTTCTATAGGAGTACAGAATATGTAAACTGTGTGTGTGTGTGGATGCAAGTGCAGGACAATGGTCTGAATCAGTCACGAGTCAATATTATGTGATTTTTCAACGGATAATTACTGTAGCGTGTTGAGTTATTAATTAATAACTTCAAGAAAATGGTAACAGATGTTTTAGTAATGAATTATTCATGGTAGCCGGAAAATGCATCAAAAAGTCAAGAAAAACAACCGGAAATGTGTGTTTTTACCATTTTTAGGTTAAAATTTTATAAAAATTGATAAATGGCAATAAAAAAAACTGAATTATGATAACAAGAGACTATAATCAACAAATTAACCAGAAATCTATTTTTTATCATGAAATTTAATAAAAATTGATTAATAACGATAAAAAACTGAATTATTTGTGATAACTTCAAGAAAATCAACCGAAAATGTGAATTTTTCCATTATTTTTTTTTTGTTAAATTTCTATAAAAACTGATTAATCACAATAAAAAAATGAATTATTCATAATTTTCAGAAAATCCAATAAAAAAATTAACCGGAAATCTATTTTTTATCATGAAATTTCAATAAAAATTGATTAATAACCATAAAAACGGAATTATTCGTGATAACAACAAAGATACAACGAAAAATGAACCCAAAATGTAATTTTTATCATTTTCTAGGTTAATTTCAATAAAACTTGATTAATATCAATAAATCAATTGAATTATTGATCGTACTAACAAGAAAATTAACCTAAAATGTGATTTTTACCGTTTTATGATTTAATTTCACCGAAAATTGATTAATAACAACGAAAAAACACGACAATGACTGATTCAGACACCCATACTACACTTACACCATTGTAAACGACTATACAAGATACACGGCGTACGAAATGTACAGAAATACAATCATCATACAAAAATCGATTACAAAGTGTGAGAGAACCGCCGACATTGCTGTTTCTTTGTGTAGTTTTTGTTGTAAATTATCAGTTTTTGATTCTCTGTCATAATAACTCCTCATTTGGTTTTTACTCTTCATGTGTTTGGTTAGGTTTTCAACTTCTACGTTTCTGTATAGACAAATAAAGCGTCGTGGTATCATCCGCGCGTTTTTTTTTTCTCCTACGTTAATTTTGTTTATATTATAATCAAAAGCACACGCTTTCTACGCTTTTGATTCGCACGCAAATCATTTGTTTATATCAATATCAACATTTACATTTTGTACAATCAATGAGAGTAACTGAATAATCGTAGGAACCGAATCGAAACGAGTAAAAAATCTATCACGAACGCGATTACCAGACATAACCGGAATTCAACTAGTGCGCATGCGCAACGCATGAGATAAGAATGAATGTGGTGTTTTCGTTACCCTACATGGGTCGGATCGCCATGAGGTCCGAGTGATGACTGCACGTGTGATGTAGGTCCACGCCGGTGCTGATGGACCCATCGCTGAGATCCTGATGAATTCTAGGCCGGCGCGAGCGTTTGTGTCGGCCATGTCTGCCGCCAGTCGAGTGACATCTGCAATCGCAGTGCATAACACACAGCGCGATTGATGTTGCCAGCGTGATCACAAATGGCACCGCAAAGAAGTGCACAATAATCGCCACCTGCTCATCTCTTTCATAGTGTGTCAGCACCACGGTGCGGTTTTCTCTTGAGTGGTAACACGGGAACTCCGTGCCTTCGGTACCGTACTGCTCGGTGAAGTTGGAGCAGAGTACCGTTGGTGGATAACCGCACCCTTTGATATTCACCAGAAGGACAGCGTCGTCCGTCTGATTCGCACTCTCTGTATCATTGTAGCTGACGTAAATGTGTGTACAATGATACGCGTCACTCGTACATCCCTCACGACAGGAACTCCAGGAGCAGTTCGCGAGACCAGCGAGTTCGTCCCGCCGGGTGGTGATACAGGTGACGGGTTCGGGGACAAAGTTGGCGGTGAGTGTTGAGATGGCCGGGTCGACGTATAACGGCACGAGGAAGAGCAGCGATGAGCCGGCGGACATCGCCACCACTGCGAGGACGCTGGTGCTGTAGAAGAGCGCTTTCTCGCGACAGGTTTGCCCGCCGGCGGCGCGCGCCTTCTTCGCCGCCTGCAGCTCCTGGATCTTCCGCTTGCGGAGCTCTTCCTGTTCTTCGAGGAGCAGTTCCGAACTGCTGCTCCGCATTGTACGGCGCGTCAGGAGCTAGGGCATTGCTATACGGCGCGCGCTCCGGTTCTCCACTGACTGATCGTGGCGGTGGCGATGTGGTGCGCCGCCTCCGTACGAATCGTTCAGATGGTGCGCATGCGTACAGTGTGCTACACCCGCCGCCCATCAATATTTCAACTTATTTACAATCGGCGCGCTAATATTTTATAGGACGCATTAGCTGCAATCAATTATTAATCAACGCTGCCGTCTCCATTGAATGTACCCCTTCCGCGATCGATAACACACACACACACGGCGCACATGACTAGACGCAATTTGTGTTAAGGTGGTGTTTTGTGCGCTTTGGACGAGTGTTCGATTCACTTTTCGATTTCCCAGCGCTGCGTATGGAATAAAATCGCATTTCATGCACCCGCCGGGGGTGGGAAGCGCTTACACAGCACTCCACTTAGTCTGGAAGGGGGTGGTTAGATTTTTCCGCAAGTGCGGTTGTTCTAAGACTTCTTTTCTATGTTTCAATGCTTTTTTATTACCAGAATGCGTTTTTGACGTTTTCTCTTCAATGTTTCACTCAATTTAATTAAAATTTTTGGATAACTATTAAAATATAGTTATGCAACCCATTTTACAATCCATAACCTCTTTTTTAACTCAAAGTGAAACCGAAATTAACATGTTCTTGTAAATGTAATTTTGCGCTCGTCATTTTCATTTCGCTGCGTTTTTAGGTCACCGTGTCATTTCCATGCAATCCACATCCACCCACGCCCTCGTCGTGCACTTGCCCTACTGTCCCAGGAACTGTATCGGGGGGCGGTAGGGGTGACCGAGGCAAGCGAGTAATAAATTCGTCCGAAACGGCGCAAACTTTGCGCCCCCGCATTTCGTGTCTCTCGTGCTCGTAACTATGCTAATATCGTTTTCAATGCGGCATTTTCGCATGTGTGGCCCGCCTGTCGCAATCCGCGTGGGCTAGGTCAAAGCACCCCTTTGAATTACGTCCCAAAATTGTTTTTTATTTACATTTACTTCATTTTGCGTGGAATGGAAGATTAATTACGGTCATTAAGACTGCGTCGCGCACCCAAAACGGTAAAACATTAAACAGACAGTTAATACACGCAATTAACATATAACAACTCAAAAAATACACCGCAGTTCGTAGCAGGGTTTGAAATAAATCGAAATTTGTTAATATTTATAAAAATTAATTTATCTAGCACGCAAAGACCTCTATACAACTCGAACCAAACACTGTGCTGCCATCTACATCAAGTTATTAGAACTAACCTGACAACTGACAATTTTAAATCAGTTGTTCGACGTTTGTGATGTGGATGTGGATGCCGTGACGTGTTATCCCGTTGTCACAACACAAGAAAACCAGAAAAACAGTGCAAATACACCGGGAATAGTGCAACCCTTTTAAGAAACAATTAACTAACTACTGCCCCTTGGTAAGTATCAATTTTATACATTCCTGAACCACAATTTTACCACTTTAAACGGCAAATATTGTTTGCTAACCTAAAAATATGTTTTATCCGCAGACACGTATGATATCAGGCTGTAAGCCTGCAATTCGACGATGTTAACGAAATTTGAGACCAAGTCAGCCCGTGTAAAGGGTTTATCTTTCCACCCGAAGAGACCCTGGGTTCTTGCAAGGTAGGAAACACATTGTTTTATTATTTTAAACATAAATAAGTTTATTGCAAACATGAATTTGTTCTTAATTCCAAGATATATTCAATATTTACATAGTTTTTACATTCTAAAGATCTAATAGTGATATTTTTTAACTGGTTTCTCCGACTGTGTGTTATATTATTGTGTGATGACTGGTTTTGAACATTTATTTCTGATTATTGCTTTTTATTTATTTATTCAACAATGATTGTGCCCATTGTGGACTTTTCTTCCTTGGTACTAGTCTCTGCTTTTTCAGTAGTGATTGCAGTAGTAGTAGTAGAAGATGGAGTAGTGGATGAGATTTTGACAGTTTCTTCAGTTACTGCAGCTGTTGTAGAAGCAGTTGTGGTTGAAGTGGCAGCAATTGTGGTTTCAGGCGCTACGCTTTTCGTTTCGATATTACTAGCCGACACTTGATGTTCTTCTTTTTCTTCCTTTGCTTCTTTATTCTCAGTTTGGGCTACAGGTTTCACAGTTTGTACATCCAATTGAAAACTTGATCTTAAGATAGGGAAAAGTGGAGAAATTGGTTGGGTAATAGGCAGGCTCGTTCTAACGTTAGCAAATGGATGAGGTTGGAAAGCTGGCAGTGCTGGAATTTCATCCTCAACACGACGTGAGACCAAAGCGTTGTTTATAGAATAGAAACGTTGAACGCCAGCTTGGGGATGTTCCAAGTATTGAATCAAAGCATCTAGGGAATGGTCATTTGTGTTGGTAGATGCAGTTTTGGTTGCTACGGTATCCACAGCATCAGATGCTGAAGTCCTTGAGGGTAGATCTTGGGCGGTTGGTTGAGATTGAGGGAAACGATTTGCTTCAGGTCCTGAAAGAATTAAGATTAGGTTTTGTTAAATGAAAAAGTTGAGAGATTTTGCGCGCGATCAGCAAAAAGTGGTGGGGGTAAGTTATCTGACATCTTATGACCACACATCACCCCCACCACTTTTTCCGTTTTTTTTTCTCTGCTTACTTACCAGTTATAAAAACAAAATGCGAGCGACCACCCTCAAACTCATTCTGGTAGGCAAATCCACGGAAATTATCATTTTGTTGCACAGGGTTAACAGGGGTAGGCAAAGGGTTGTTTGTATTAGTGGTACCAGATCGGAAAACAGCGTTGGTGATAACCGCCTCGTCATCTTGTTCAACATCATCATATTCAGGGGTGGTAGCTGATTCCGATTCAGATTCAGTTGTAGAAGGAGATGAGGTTGTAGTAGAACTTGAAGTACTTCCAGGAGTAGTTACTGCTTTATCAGCTTCAACTTAAAATCAAATTTTATTATTTTTTTATTAAAAGTATTTAATCTATATAATAATACCTGGTGTGACTTGCTCTGTAGGAGTGTGATAAATAAACTGTTGAGGAAAACTCTGCTGGTATCCAAAGTGTTGCGGGGTAGGGAAAGCCGGAAAAGCGTTATAAGTCTGCACCTGAGGTATATAATGTTGTTGCTGAACAGGCACATAACTTTGATAAGTTACAGGTGCTTGATACTGCTGGTATTGCACCGATGGTTGAATAGGGGTTGGAAAACCAGAGTAGAAGTATTGCTGGTACCCTGCATTGGCAGCATGCCCAGTAAGGCATACAGCAAGCACCTGTAGATGGTAATTTACATCAAATTATAGGCAGCTGTTTAAAATTTAAAAATAAAGACAACAATTAAATTGCGCAAGTTAAGTATGCATGCTCCAATTACGTCGGGAGTTTTTGGAAATGCGATCTTGATCATCATAACTCGTTACATAATGTCACTTATGATGCGATCAGGCCGAAAACTTGAGGCCCACGACACACAAACAATACTTGTTTTTCTGGTAGGCACATTTTGGTGTAAATGTCGTGACATTTTCGGCGTCTTCGGCAACCTTGATACATTACACATATGCGCTGAGCGCATTGCGCAAGCACCCTAAAGTCGAGCAGGAATATGAATTTTTATTTTTAATCAATTTTTAATCATTTCATAATTTTATGCTTTTTTAGACTTTTTTTTTTCATGTGATTTGCATACAAATTTGGTAAGAAATTAAAATGTGATTTATTTATTATCTTGCGTCACAATCAATCAGGAAGCCGTCTTAAGTTGTAGTAGCGCAAGTTTAAGTGACATTTAACTATACTTTAAATATAACGTAAAAAAACTGTAACAGTTTTAAAGTCCAAGGCGGTATTTTATCAACATAATAAGAAACGACCTTGATACAGATAATTACTGGTCAGAATTGATTTTTTTTATTATTGATTTTAAATTAGCGGTTTGATGTGTCTAAATTATATAGAAAAGTCGTCAAAATTTGCGGTAATAAATAAACTATCGATCATTATGAACTTGAATTAAGTGATTATTTAAATTAAATTGCGTTTTGTGTTGTGGTTACTTACAAATACGTAAAACATTTTTATTTTTTCCACCCCGATGGAGAAAAATGGCACTTTTTTCACTCACTCACAGCGACGTTCGTCGGCGGGCGTCGACTCGGCAAAGAACTGAATTTTTCAAAGTGATTATCAATTTATATCGCTCGAAAATCGCGCTCTCGATCTTTCTTTCTTCGCGTCCCTCCAAAATTTGGCAATCGCCCGCCTGGGCGGGTCCTTTCTTATATTATACTCACACTCGATACACATTTCTACTGTAGAAGGAAAGAGAGCACTTAAGGTTACCTCCAAAAGCTTAAAGATCACCTTCTGCGTAGTGTACTGGTTTTTTTTCTCTGGAATTTTCAACCACACATTCATCAATCAAATTAATTACATTAACAAATTACTCTTACAATAAAATGACATAAAATATACCAGGATATTGTTGGTAAATTATTTTTTTTATATATAATATTTGTTGATATGAATAATAATTTGTAATTTTTGGGAAATTTTAATGAAAATTTTTAAATTTCTAAAGTTTTTTGAGGGTTTTCTTTGATTAATGATAAAATATGAGTGGAAATAATTAATGTCTTTAAAGTTGTTGTTATTTTTAATATTATCTATTAGTATAAACAAAAAAAATTTTTTTTTGAAGTTTTTTTGGAAAATTTTAAATTTTGCAAAGTTTTTCGGGAATTTCTATTGATTTATGATAAAACATGCGTAGATTTGTTGCAAATTTGTTATATTTTTAATATTATCTGTTGATATATAGGAAAATTGTGAAATTTTATGAAATTTTTATCAAAAAAATTTCATTTTGCGAAGTTTTTCGAGATTTTTTATCTGGAAATAATAAATCCTTTGAAATTTGACATTATTTTTAATATTATCTTTGGATATCAACAAAAAATTTACTTTTTTTAAATTTATTTAATTTTTTGTGGTTATTCCTTGATTTATGATAAGATATGCGTGAAAATAATGAATCCTTTCAAAATAATTAAGATTGTCAAGGTTGTGGGCACGCATAGGTCAATTGGGGATGGCGATCAGTGATCAGCAAAGTCTGCGGGCGCAAAATAAACTCGATTTTTTCCCAAATGTCATCACTTGATGTAAATTATGGCCGACGATGCCCAAGTGACCTTTCCACCGCAACGCACGCACCGTGCAGCCAACACCCAACCCTGCTGCTTGTGCTCTTGTCATTTGCTCCACATTCGCAGCCGCCGCGGTGTTAATGATCTCGTTCCGCTGGCGCGATTAATAAACAAATATCGTGGGTCGCACTCATGCCTTCTTTAAATACAATTCGGCAATACAATTACCAAACGCGAGAGCAAATGTCAATGTGAATTAGCGTTTTAGGCGTTTACAACGATTTGTTAATACCTAGCCCACGGGTTTACACAAATTTAATCATATAGATAATGTTAACATTGAACTTGCAGTTTGCATAATGGTGCCATCCAGTTATGGGACTATCGCATGTGCACCCTGTTGGAGAAATTCGACGAGCATGACGGGCCTGTGCGTGGCATATGCTTTCACAACCAACAGCCGCTGTTTGTCTCCGGCGGAGATGACTACAAGATTAAAGTAAAATTAATGCTAATTTAGAGTTGTGTTGATTACGTTTACATTATGCATGCCTTCATCATCATAACAGGTATGGAACTACAAATTGAAGCGCTGTATCTTTACCCTCCTGGGACACTTGGACTATATCCGTACCACAGTGTTTCATCATGAATACCCGTGGATTGTTTCCGCCTCTGATGACCAGACTATACGCATCTGGAACTGGCAGTCACGAGCATGTATCTGCGTGCTTACAGGTCACAATCATTATGTGATGGCGGCACTCTTCCATTCTTCCGAAGATTTATTGGTTAGCGCTTCACTGGATCAGACTGTACGTGTGTGGGATATTTCCGGTTTGAGAAAGAAAAACGTCGCCCCGGGTCCTGGTGGTTTAGAAGAACACCTGAAAAATCCTGGGAGTACTGACCTCTTTGGTCAGGCTGATGCTGTGGTGAAGCATGTGCTTGAAGGACACGATCGTGGTGTTAATTGGGCTTCATTCCATCCTACTTTACCGCTGATTGTTTCCGGGGCTGATGATAGACATGTTAAGCTATGGAGGATGAATGACTCCAAAGCCTGGGAGGTAGACACCTGCCGTGGTCATTACAACAATGTCTCCTGTGTATTATTCCACCCTAGACAAGAATTACTCTTGTCCAATGGTGAAGATAAAAGCATTCGTATTTGGGACATGTCCAAACGCACTTGCTTGCATACATTCCGTCGTGAACAGGACCGTTTCTGGGTGTTGGCGTCCCACCCAACGCTTAACCTCTTCGCGGCTGGTCATGACACTGGAATGATTATTTTTAAACTTGAAAGAGAACGCCCCGCGTACACTGTGCATGGAAATATGTTGTATTATGTAAAAGAACGTTTTGTACGCAAATTAGACTTCACTACATCTAAGGATGTACCTGTTATGCCGCTAAGAGGTGGGGGTAAGACACCGATTTACAGTATGTCATTCAACCCGGCGGAAAACGCTGTTTTACTATCGATTCGCTCGAGTAATGTCGACGGAAACAACTATGACCTTTATACCATCCCCAAGGAGCACGAGGGCGAGTCCTACAGCGAGATGGATAACAAGAGATCAGCTGGGAATACAGCCGTATGGGTGGCACGCAATAGATTTGCTGTTTTGGACAGAAACATGCAGTTGAGCATCAAGAATCTTAAAAATGAGACAACCAAGAAGGTGCAGACACCAAATTGTGATGAGATCTTCTATGCTGGCACAGGGATGTTACTCCTGAGGGATATGGATCATGTTACGTTGTTTGATGTCCAACAGAGGAGGACGCTAGCACAATGTAAGTTGTATTTTTATGGAAATGTCGATAGTATCTTGATTTTTATTATAATTTTATTGCCTAGTGAAAGTTGTGCGTTGTCGTTACGTTGTGTGGTCCGCCGATATGTCGCACGTGGCTCTCCTCTCGAAACATTATGTGACAATCTGCAACCGCAAGCTGGAACAACTCTGCTCAATCTACGAGAGCATTAAAGTCAAGTCGGGCGCGTGGGACGACTCCGGCGTCTTCATCTACACGACCAGCAATCACATAAAATACGTCCTCAACAACGGGTAAGTCCGAGATTAAAATATCAACGACCACATTCTTCATTGCTTGGTCATTATTGCAGAGATAATGGCATCATCCGCACTCTGGATTTACCGATTTATATAACACGCGTTAAAGGCAACAGTCTCTTCTGTCTTGATCGTGAATGTCGCCCGCGAGTGTTGACTATTGATCCCACTGAGTATAAATTCAAACTGGCGTTGATTAATCATGATTATGAAGAAGTTTTGTACATCGTACGCAATGCACGTCTTGTCGGACAGGCTATTATTTCCTATCTGCAGAAGAAAGGTTATCCTGAGGTGGCTCTGCATTTTGTTAAAGATGATAAAACTATTTTCGCGCTTGCGTTGGAGTGTGGCAATATTGAGATTGCGTTGGAAGCGGCCAAGTCGTTGAACAATCCGGCGTGTTGGGAGAAACTAGCGGAAGCAGCACTTATGCAAGGCAATCATCAAGTTGTAGAGATGTGCTACCAGCGTACGAAGAGTTTTGATAAATTGTCTTTCTTGTATTTGATCACTGGTAATTTAGAAAAGTTGAGGAAGATGACGAAGATTGCTGAGATTAGGAAAGAGCGCTCTGCGCAGTACCATGGAGCGTTACTCTTAGGCGATGTTGAAGAAAGGGTGAAGATCTTGAAGGGTGCTAACCTAAATTCATTGGCTTATTTGACTGCCGCTACGCACGGTATGACAGAAGCTGCTGAAGAGTTAAAGGAGACTTTCGGAGATAAACCCGTGCCGGATGTCTTACCAAATGCCAAATTTTTAAGACCTCCACCACCAATACAGGAAGCTGAGAATAATTGGCCTTTGTTGACTGTCAGCAGGGTAAATAATATTTTTAATTATTTTAATTCTATTAATTAATATTCTTGCGTTTTTTTTTTTGTTTTTGTAAAGGGTTTCTTCGAAAATGCTTCACTGAAGAAAGCAGCCAACATGCCTGCACTCGAAGTTGATCCCAATTTGGATGTGGATATCGGCGATGCGGAAGGTGGTTGGGCCGACGATGATGAAGACATTGATCCCCTGGAAGATACTAAAAAACGCACAGAATCTGCCTCCGGTGATGGTGAAGGTGGTTGGGACGTGGAAGATGCTGATCTTGAAATACCCGATCTTGGTCCCTCACAACCCTCGACCCAAGGAGATGCTTATATTCACTTACCCACCCAAGGTCCTTCCCAGTCTGCCATCTGGACTAAAAATTCCGAACTTCCTGCTGATCATGTAATGGCTGGCAGTTTTGAATCCGCTGCGAGATTACTCAACTCACAAATTGGTGTTGTAAACTTTTTACCGTACCGAAAATGTTTCCTAGATATGTTTGGCAGTTCGCGAACGGTAAGTTCCTGGCAGCAACACATTCCGCCCAACTTTAGTTATCCACAACGGAGTGGAAAAGACGTTGGTGCAAAAGGACAACTTCCGGTCGTTTCCATAAAACTATCGGATCTTGTACAGAACTTACAGGTTTGTTACCAACTCACAACCGGTGGGAAATTCACGGAAGCCATTGAAAAGATGCAAGCGCTCATGCTGCAAGTCACATTACTAGTTGTGGATACAAAACAGGAAATATCCGAAGCACAACAACTGCTTAAAATATGCCGAGAGTATGTGGTAGGTCTCAAAATGGAAACACTTCGGAAAACTCTACCGAAAACAACAGCAGAGGAACAAGAACGCCAATGCGAAATGGCGGCGTATTTCACACATTGTAACCTCCAACCTATTCATCAAATTCTAACCCTTAGAACCGCCCTGAATATGTTCTTCAAGTTAAAGAACTACAAGACAGCGTCATCGTTTGCAAAACGCTTATTAGACTTGGGTCCTAGGGCAGAAGTCTCCCAACAAGCGAGAAAAATCCTGCAAGCATGCGAATCCAATCCCACAGACGAGTTTAAACTAGGTTATGATGAGCACAATCCGTTCAATCTCTGCGCATACTCGTACAAGCCAATATACAGAGGAAAACCCGAAGAGAAATGCCCGCTGTGTGGCGCGTCTTATATCCCACAATACAAGGGTAACGTTTGCAATGTCTGCGAAGTGGCCGAGATTGGCATGGATTGCATTGGCCTACGGATTAGTTATCATCAATTCCGTTAAGATTAACATAAAGTATTAAATTAAGTAAGTATGCGAACAGAAATTTTAATGTAAACCTAAACTTTGTAAGTAATATATTATTAACAGAAAGAAACCAAGAGTATTCTTGAGGGGAAGAAGAGAAAATGAACAAAACCGTTCGTAATTTGATATTAGTGGTAATGAAGTTTTTATAATTTATTGTATTGAGTTCTGTCAACATGGAAAAGTACAAATATTGCATTGCATTACACCAACTAGTCTGGAATTTTCGTCATTGTACAATGTTTTCCTCTGGTATCTCCGCATTAGTTACTTTTTTGTTTTCATCTAAAATTTCGTTTTCTTCGTATGTGCAATATCAGTTTTTATACGTCACGGCCGAAGCGGACAGTTCTAATAATGTGTTGGAATTTTTAAGTTTCGATTGTTTTCGTTTTCATTAGAATTTAAATCCTCAATTTGTTTCATTTCATCGTTTTTTTTTTTTTGCGCGTGTTGTTTACCAACGCTCGTGTGTTGTGTTTTTTATTTTCTCTGTTGTATATATATAAACACTGCCGATTTGAATTTATATTAGTATTTTTCGTTTTATACAAAATGTTCAATTAAACATGCATACTAGATATAGAGTTGTTTGCTCGTGTCCAGTGCCAACAATTAACGTCACGCCTTCGCATCATCCGACACCATTTCTGTATATAAACCGAGGAAGTTGTACTTGTACATAAATGCGCGCATCTTCTTTGTAGAATTTGTATAAATTGTACGTTTGCGCTACAATACTATAAACCGACTGGCGTTCCAAAAACGTGAACGCGTCTCGCTATGCTTTTTCGTCACAGAATATGTGTATGGTTGTGTAAAGCAGTGATGGGGTGTAAAATTGATCGCATCCCGAAGGTAATCTATCGTAATATGATTGTTGCTTGCATTTTTTTTTGTTGTTGTTGGTTGTTTTGCGCGCGTTTGTAGCATTGTAGGGGGGTCGCCATCTTGTGTTACGCCTCGTAATGAAAACATATTCCTACTTTTATAAGTTGACTAACAACAACTAACGTCAATTAGTTTTCTTCATAATATTTTTATAACATGAAACCTGCCGCTTGTCTGCTGCTTGTTTGTTTTTTTCTTGTTTCTTCGTTTATAGAGAGAGATTAAAAATGACAATTAATACACACAAATTGTTTGTTTACCATTATGACACTGGACAATAAGCAAAGAAAATGACATTAATTATAACAATTGAATAATACATACAATATCGTTTATGGGTAATTAATGTATTATGCGCAATGAATGAGAATATAATAGAGGGTACCGTAATATACGACTTAAAGTTAAGATAATTAATTAATATAATAAAAGATAGAGAGATAGAGAGTTAATAATTAAGTTGTAAGTATGCGTTCTTTGTTAATGTTTAAATAATGTCGCGTTCGAAAGCATTACTGTTTTATCTTTTTTTTGCATTGGTTTGTTTGTGGTAATGGCGGTGTTTTGGGGAATCGGGTGGGGGTTAGGAATACGAACGAGACTTGCTGCTTTTGCACCTGCACTTCTGCGTGTTTACGTTTTTTACTTTACTCTTCGATGCATCGTTGCATTTTCGGCGGCGGTCCGCTGATATGTCACTACAAACGTGGTGTGTAATGTTGGGTGGCAACTGTTTGTTAATGCCGATCGCATGCAACTGTCAGTACTTCGCATCGGATAGCCGGGAGTGCGCGCATGCGCGCGCGGACGCGGCGGCCATTACGTACATCTATCTGTCCGGTATTCGGTGAATTCGAACAAGTTCATCGACGCCGTATAGAAAATAAAAAGGATCAAAACGTGGAAGTGTCGCCGTGATCAATTTGTCTGCGCTCCGCATGCGACACTCCCAACATCATCGTTGTCGTCACGTGTGTCGTCGTTCGCCATTTCTTTGGTGGGTAAGTTCGTTTTTGTTGTTGTTGTTTTTTTGCATGGTTTTTGTTTCCTTTTGCCACTTACGCTAAAAGCTAAGGTATGTATATTGTAATAAGAACTTTCTTATAATAAGTTATTGCATGAATTACAGTTTTATGAGGTACTGTACTTCCTAATAATTATAACCTCTGTACATATAACTTTTGCACTCGTTTATATATAATAATAACCACCATTATCATTTATGAAAACAGATAGATATATGTTTCTTAATGGGCTTTTCCTCATAGCGCATAGTCTCGGATGAAGATATAAATATGTATATAGAATATCAGTGGTTTGCTTCACTTCCGCTTCTTCACTTTTTTGGTTTAATAAATGGAATGCATCTCGTCACAACAATATTTGAGCTATGGCCCGACGGGTACTTCCGTCGGGCTGGACGCGTGCGCATGGCCGCGTCCGGGAGAGACAACGCTCCAGTCACTCGCCTCGTTTTTTTTCCATTCATTTACTTCCGCCCGACGCCATTTTAATAGCGCTCAATTATGTGTGCATCACACCGCGCGTGCGTCTGGAGCTTTGTCTCGCAACACAACAGCTACACACTTAGAGAAAGTAACCGATAGGAATATGACTATATTACACTTATACTAAGAGGTCTACACAACACACAAAGAGTTAAGTCTCGTTTTAAAGAGAGAGTTTTTTTTTTAGTGATACGTAATATTTGTTTTGTTGTAGGTATGTGTGTTCACTGTCACTGTTTTAAAAAATCGTGTTGAATGTGTGTGTGTGTGTACGATGGTAGGGGGTGCGGGGTGGTGGTGTGGAAAAGATCAAGCAAAATCACGAGTTATTGTGTGTGAGTGCTGCGCGAAACAAAAAACGCGTGTAGCTAATCGAAAACCAAACGAAAACCGCTGTTGTTGCTGCATTTTGCTGCTGCTTGTCATACCTTTTGTTCATCATCATTTTGCGCCCGTTTTGAAACATTTCGCTTCATATAATCGCTATATATCAATTTGAATATCGTTGTTCAGTGTGTGGTTGATTAATACATTTATAGTCTACAAGAGTTTCACTTTAGGCCAAAAATAATGCCGCCGGCATTCGTATGTTCATCCCTCCCTGTCAAATATCCGTGGATATCTTTAATAACAATACTAGTGCTAGATTTGTGCTCCATTTTGTCTTCGCCATCATCATCATCCTTCAATCAATCCGCAACGCGTTGCATCGCGAAATATTTACAACTATTGGCAGATCGCGCAGTGTCTCATCGTCAGTTCATCAACTTTACAAATATTTTCACGGTGAGGGTTTAAAATGTTAAAGCATTTTCACATCGCGATGCAACGCGTCCTCGAAAAAACACTCCCGAAGTCAATGTGTGTCTGCTGTGTGTGTGAACTTGTGGTTGTGTAGCAAATGAAACATTTTGAGAAAAACTCGCAAACCAGTTCGGACTTTGAATCATTTACGAATTACGAAGAGAGTGAGAGATGTCGTGTGTAAAAATGTCTTGTGATGTTTTTGTTTTGTTCATTTTTTTTTCTTTACTCCGTAATGTAATAAGAGAGGTAAAATTCAAATACGAAAAATTTAAATGCTTTAAATACATTTGTCTAAATACGTCTATAATAATTATTCAATGTATACGCTATTAATATATGTTAGTATTTTAAATTTCCATTTATCTCAATACTCGTCAATACTCTTGCATCTCTTCAAAATTGTTTTTGGTTTAGTGTTTTTTTTTTGGTAAAATTTTATATTTATATATAATTTGCATTCATTTGTCCTATTAATTGTTCTATCGTTTTTTGTTTGTTCGGGTTTCGCTCGTCTGCGTTTTGTAAGTTGGTTAGTTGTTCGCAATTAGTGTGTGTTTGGTGTTTTCTTAAGTTGTTTACATCTTGATTGTGTAATATCTCTGCGCCGTCTGAAAATGAAATCTCCGCGGCTTTTTTTCTATCTATCACAGGCGGAGATGCACCTGGGGGGGCGTTAATAACGTTGTGGTGCGCCACGTTCCTAAAAATACCTGTCTGTCGTCCTTCTCATCGCGCAACAATAAATCTCTGAAATTTCGCTATCAATGCAATTCGGGCTCGGTGTGAGTGTGTCTAAACTTTTCATCTCTATGTACATGTACACGTATTCTCCTCAGCTGCTATCGGTTTCCTTTTGTGGGCTTGAATTCGTCACTTGAATCCACCCTGTGCGTTTCACTTTTCACTTCAAGTATTTAATAAGAGTCGCGTGTATAAAAGCTGCGCGACTGTTTGCGGTTTCTTTGTTTTCGTAGCCATTTGGTTTAGTACGTATAATCTATGTTGTTCCTTTTCATTAGCGTTTTTAGTGTTAAAAGGTACATGGTCTCTTATAAAAAATAGTTATTCTTCAGTGGAAGTCGGTTGGTTACTTCTCGTTTAGCTTGGTTTTCATTTATCAAGGGTTTTGTTCAGCGGCCGGTGCTGCTCCCTCAGCGTCCATTTTGTTTGTCATGTCACGTGTATTGCACTAAAGAGTATTGCCACAATACGCTGAGGAAGCAATCAACGCTTCGATCGCGCGAGAGAAACACAAAACTAAAACATAAAAACAAAACAGAAACACCAACACAAAGAAATCATATAGAAAATAAAAAACACAACGAAACGTTTTTTACAAGTATAATTCGAAATTAGTTGTTCAGAATCGGTCAGAAAATAAACCCTTTTATAAACTAAGAAATTGATGACTTCTCGAAATGAAGAGCAAATGAAAATACAAACAAAATCATATAATAAAAAAAGGAGTTGCATAGAGCGCAAAAATGAAACAAAATCATAATATAAATTAGAAATAAATCAAACCAAATCTATACCAAAAATAAATCGGAGATTGTTGTCTATCGGGTCGCAGTTAAATATATGTGTGTGTGTGTATGTGTGTAGAAATATAAATTATTAATGATTCTCAGTGAGATGATTCATAAATTAAATAGTGTCGTGGCTCGCACTTACGAATACGTCTTCCTTCTCACGCCTCTTCTAGGTATAATATATATATCTATATATATTCTTTGTCTTGGACATTTTCAAATTTTGAAAAAGTTACGAGTAGCCTAACTGTGTCGGTGGTTAGAAATAAATTTAATATTCGTGTAACTGAACAAACACAAAACACACAAGAAAATTCTTTTGCCAGCGCGCGCGCGCGCGCGCACAGCCGAGTTTCACTCGCGGTGGCGGCGGCAGCGCGTGGCCGAGCGACGCCGCCTCGGCGCCGCCCGTGAGACTAGCGATATATGCATATTATAAATACACAAAACACGTACATATAAATATAAGTTTAAAAGTAAAATTAATCGAATACTAGAGAACTCAAAAATCAAATGAAACACATTACGGAAAAGAGGGTTGTGAATAAATACTATAATTATAATTTACTATATGCAAAAATCTGTAAGCTATCTTTGGGTTCGCTTTACTTCATGTTTGGGCCCCTTGGTGGGGCGATGGCACGAATATTTAGTCTGTACAGATCGTTCTTCCCTCGGGCTTTTGCCCATTCTACTACTGCTGCATTCGTTATTTGGTATCCGGTTGCATATTGTGTCAACCGCTTCGTTCTGTAATCTCATCGTAATCGTCATATTTGTCTATTATTATGAATTTTTGCTATGTGAGGAACGCGATTCCTGCCTCGCGTCTCTTCGTGACTAGCATCGAATTTATTACATAAGTACATCAAGCCTCTATGAGGTTTGCCGTTATTCGCAGTGTGTGTATATGTGTGTATGAGAGAGAGAGAGAGAGAGTTGGGGGGTGTGATGGGGTTGTGTGGCCCAGCACGCCCGCGTCATCCGCTGTCCTCCCATTTGCAATCTCCTCATCATCCAACAGATCAGAATCACTTACGTTGCGTATCATCAAGAGTTGTTGCTGTTGTTGTTGTTAGTAGTTTGGTGGTGGTCGGTCAGACAGAGTGAGAGTAATAAGTTAAAATTAAATACTAGAGCGGGAGGCGGCGCGAGACGGGCGGCCGGGCGCGGGGCGTGGCGGCCGCGCGGGCGTCTATGTCGTCTTGCTCTTGTTGGTCTTGAAGCTGACCTGCAGCACGCGGTTGCCGAGCGTGTAGCCGTTGAGCGACTGGATGGCCACCACCGCTTCGTCGTAGTTTGTCATCGTCACGAAGCCGAAGCCCTTGCACTTGTTCGTCTGCAGGTCGCGGATCACCTTCACGCTCTGCACGGCGCCGAATGGCCCAAACAGTTGCCACAGCACATTCTCCTCGGTCTCCGGCGCTAGGTTATAGACGAATATACACCAGCCGGAGCCGTTCATCGCGTTGCCCGGCAGCATTGAATTGGCCAAGAGGTCTCCGGCCAGCGGAGAATACCTACAATCATCATAAACACAAATTACAACACAATTCACACACAAAAACATAGAGATGAAGATAAAATAATACCTGAAACGTCCTGTTGGATGATGAATAGGTCCAGGAAACCGTCGTGTGGCCTGCGGCGCAAGATAAGCAGCAAGCGGCGGGATGGCTTTGTTGTTGTTGCTCGGATTATTGGCGAACTTGACGGTGATGGGTTCAGTCGAGCCCTTCGGAATGGTCCCGTTGAGCTCCTGGATGGCGCGCTCCGCCTCCATGCGCTGGTCGAAGCGAATAAATCCGACTCCTTTGGAAAGACCTACATGAAAAACGTTACCACTCTCATTGCATTGTCCGGCACTCGACTGCATCGCGCTCGTGTGTGTAAATGTATGCACATGTATGTATATATCAAGTGTAGGTGTGTTGTATTTAATGTTTGGCACGTGCAATCGGCATTCGCGCGACGCGCGCGCGCGCTCGCTTTGCTAATTAATCGCATTTCTCACGCGCGCACCGCGCGGCCCACAGATTTCTTACAAGTCACTATGCTTGGGGTCAATATATCGGCGCATATATCTTGTGTGAGAGGTGGTGTAAAAACAAATGAGAAACGTCCATCAAATAAATAAATAACCAGCAACGCATCGAAATCAAAACTCACATCATGCCACGGTGCATAATCACATACACTGGTTGTAAACGTAGAGATAAAAACAAAAACAATAGAACGACATCAATATATATATATCAATTAATATAATATAACAAAGCGTCACACAATACGCGCGCAATTCTCCTCGGAAGTAGCAGGGTCCAACTGAAACGCAACTGAAACCAACGAACTCAAAACAGACTTCGTCATTTCAAAGGGGCTGGGGGGTTGTAAGTGACACATTATTCTTTCTTTTTATTTTGGCTCGTCAACAAATAGTTTTGATTCCTCTCTCGCGGTTATTTATTTATTCGATCGCACGCCGAGTGGATATTTCTGGTGACTTGTAATTTGTGTAAGATGGGGTGTCTTTTTTAGCTACAGCTCTTTCCAGCGTTAATTTTTATCGTTAATATTTGCTTTGCACAGAGAAAAACAAATGTAGAGAGATGGGTGTGGTACGTACCAGGCAAATTCTCTCCGGCCCCCGTGACAAATTGACGTACTAGGGAAGAGAAGAAAAAAACGCAAAATATAGGTACAGTAAGACAATAATATAATAATAATAATAACAACAATAATAATAATAATGGGCGTTTTGAAATTATATATATATCTCTCTCCGTCGAGTAGTTACGCTCGCTTAATAAACACTACAGGCATTCCAAATTCGCATTCGCAATCTCGCGCGCACAACCAAAATAATAATAAAATCAAAAAATTCACGTGTCTCATCATCATGTGTCACGTCCAGTCGAGTCTTTAAAAAGTCAAAGAAAGCTACTATATATTAGCCAACCACATTCATCCGATCAATATCGAAATTAATTTCTCAAAAATAACTAAAAAATAATCAAACCGCGCTGTATGTTGATGTATAGATTTATATCGTATGGTTGAAATGTATGTGGCAAACGAGCTGCGTCGATGTAGATAGGTGAGCATTGGGGCGGTTGGTTTACCTGTGATGTTGTCGCAGAGGATGCGCGAGGTGATGATGCGGCCGAAGGGGCTGAAGAGCGACTCGAGGTCCTGCTGCGCCATGTTCTTCGGCAGGCCGGACACGTACAGATTGGCGCCCTTGATCGCCTCCGAGCTAGGCCTGGCGTACGACACCTGGGCACGAGGGTGGAAATGAAACAAACAAAAACGATAAAATTCCGAAACGTATCTAACGCCTACGAGAAATCAAACTATGAATTATATGAATGAGAAACTGTGTGTGAGAAATAAAAAAGCATAATAACATATGGCGGTGATGGTGGTTGTGTGGAGTAAAATGGGTTGCATACCTTGATAGTTTTGTTTTGCAGTCTGAGACCGTTTAAGGTATTAATCGCCTTTTCGGCGTCTTCTGGGCGATGGTAATTAACGAATCCGTAGCCCAAGCTTTGCCCTGTAACCAACGGACTACTCAATTCTCCGAGCGGAACTGTAGGCAATAGAAAATTGCAAAAACGACCTATTAATAAACAAAAATCGGCGCGGGGCAGCGAAGGTTTTTTCTTTTCTTGTTGCAAAAATGAAATCACGCGACGTGCGCCAATCGACAAAAAATCGAGGGCGTTCGGAAAGAAAACGATTCACATCACATCGCATACAGTAAATAGGTAGCACTTTATGCTCCCCCACTTATACATCAACTGCACACGTGCTTCTGACTCATCCGCGTTGTGTAGACAACTACAAAACGTCATCGTCATCATCAACAAGGACACAACTCTAAGGGTGCGTATAGTGTGTAGTAGTAGTAGTTATTTTCATCTCCAGACCACCTGGTAATAAAAAACTACTAAACCCCTCTATATAAATCGTTTTCTTTCCTCGCCACCGCTCGAAGTTTTCGCTTGTCGCGCGCATCGCACGCATTTTTCTTCAATTTCACACGCGAAAACAAAAACAAAACGGACCTACATGCTCAGCACATGTCGGCACAATCAGCTCGTTTTCCTCCATCTTTAAATCTCCATTTTAATAAATAAATATTGTGAAATTACCTGTGACTTTATCGCGAATCAATTTGCAGCTCTCCACCTCGCCGATGCTGGAAAACAGCGAGCGAATCTCCTCCTGCGTCATCGTCTGCGGCAGGTAGTTGACGATCAAATTGGTCTTGGATTCCTCTTGGCCACCGCCGCCGCCACCGCCACCGCCGCCACTCTGGCCATTATTGCCGCCGTTCTGCTGGCCCACGACGCCTGCGTCCAGCCCGTTCGACATCATGCTGGTGGTGACTTCGTCAAGCTTCAGTTTGAACGACGTGGTGTTAGAAGCGTGCGCTTCCGTGACGAGAAGATTAACTTAAATCTTCTGCAAAAGCGAAAGGTAAACAAATGCATTTCATTACTATACAACAATACAACACGTATATGTGTTCATAGTAAATAGTAAACATTGATATCGTGCGTGTTTCATCCGATAATCAAGTAAAATATTTGCACGGCAAGTGAATACACACATTTTACGACAATTTATTTTTAATATAATAACAAAATAATGATATTTCCTTAAATCTTTGCGTGTTGCAGGATGGCGTACGCAACATTTTAGGGATTTGTGTATACGCAGCTTCTTTGTCCCGAAATAGATAGAGAGCGACTAAAAATAAACCGAAATTTTCATATCGATGTCCGCGCATAGCCTAGGAGTACACGATGTACAACTACAGCCGCGCACGCTTTTTGTGCGACGTATGAATCGCTTATTATGCATGCACGTTCATAACACGACGCGTGCACTGTGTACACACACACATACACACATATCCGTGATATATGTACGGATGTGCATAATGCGCACGGAGCGGAGCACTTTAATAAAACTAGCGCATTAAAAATGTTACAAATGTTACGCGGCGTACACAGCCTATAATAACTCAGAGAACTTCTCACTTCGCGCTATTTCTCACTAGATATTTATAATTTATACCTAGTTATATATTAGTTGGGTATTTTACAACGTGCGGAAGTCGGCGGCGTCATCGTCGGCAGCGATAACAGAAAGTTTAACGTTTTTTTTTGTAATTTTTATTTTTTTATGAAATTTTTGTTTTTTTGTTGATTTTGTTGATTTGTTGATGGATGTGATGTGTTCTTAATTAGTTTTATTGAATGAATGTGTCTCGTGTGTCAAGGGCGCGTGCGTTGTTTGCCGGTTGCACTTTTTACGGCGCATTTTTGGCTTTTTTGGAGCACGCTGGCGCGATGATGTCACCACGTTTGCGTTCGGCTATTTTTACGCGATTCGAGGTATTCCTGGTCGCTGTGGTTGAGGAAAACGTGCGCGAGCACACCGGTCGGGAAATGTGTTTGGGACACACGTTGGATTTTCAACTATTTGCGAAACTATGCAAGTGAAACACAAAAGACACATTTTTGTGGTTTGAAGTTGAATATTTAACATGCAGTAATTAATTTCATTATAATATTAGCATATATTGTAGTAGAAAGTGTAATTTAACTTAGTTTTATATAAAGAGTTGATTTTAATGATTGCAAAGCAAAATTTTAGTGTTTTAAAAGAAAATTTAGTAAGAATATTTCAAATTAGATGTTTTTGTGTACAAAATCTTTAATTAATCAAAAACTTATCTCGATAAAACTATAATTCTTTCAGGAATATATTCTTAATTAAATTATGCACCAAGTAACGTAAAAATTATCAAAATCGGATTATTTCTCGAAAAATTATAAACAATTAAACTTTTACTATGAAAAACTTTCAAAATTTCTACAAATTCTTCAATAACTTTTGACCTAAATGTGATTTCAACTAAATAATTATATATTCAGATGCAGAATTAAACTCTGAATAATTTCCTGAAGAAATAATTGATTTACATGAATTAGTTTTCGAGTAATTGCAAAATAATTTTACCACTACAATAGTCCTTTTTTAACCGAGTCTTCTTAACAAGACTTAACTCATTAAACCAACCCCTATTGATAATAACGTTAGTGATGTACTGTTCTCATCGAATTCGTCATTCAATTCACCCTCACTAAAACTGAACCACCATCACATCAGTATCCAAACTAGTGGTAGTAGTAGAGTACAAGTACTTTCACCCTCGGCTGTCCGTCGAGCATCTCGCAGTCTCGCACCCCGATGGCGGCGGCCATTAAGCATCATCCCTCGAGCGGCATGGCGCGCTCGAAACAAACACTCACGATTTACATTTGCACGAAACGAAACGAATCGACACAGACCTGTCCGCAGCGAAGGGGACGCCGCGGCCGCGGACTCAACCCAAGGGGTGTAAATGTATGCGTGTGTAGTAGTAGTGAGAGTGCGCAAGGGGGTGATTTGCATCATGATATTTCCCCTTTTCGATCACAGAGAAAGAAGACGCAATCAAACACTGCCAATAGGGGTTGAATGATGCAATATTTTAGCGGATATCACAAATTTAAAAAGTTTTACGCCATGTGCGTAAGTTTGAAATGACAGCGTGACGCATCCGCGCATGCGCACACAGATAAACAAACCGCGAAAACAAAACTATTGATATACGAGTGTCGCCTGCTGGCTGCTTACCGAATTGAAGAGTGATTAATTCCGGGGTGGATTCGCACGCGTGCGAATTTAATAATACTTGAAGTAGCTGGCCGGAATCGTAGTAAAGTGGTCGCACTCACGGAGCACAATAAAAACTAGTTTTATCGTTCGGCGTGTGCAGCCGATGATAAAAAAAAAGGCGTGCGGACCGCGCGGACGACGGTCGGTCGCGAGCCCGATCTGCTTCTCTGTCGCTCTGCGCGCCGTAACAAGGTAAAAACGCCGTGAACGCCGCTGCAACGTGCTGCCTGCGCGCTCTCACTGTATATTATACGTTGGTTGTTGGTGTTGTGTTGCCGTTTTTTGCTGTTGAAAGTATTGCACAGGTCCGAATCTCTCGTTGGTGTCACTGACGCAGCGCGCACCCAATAACTCGATGATGGTAAACGTCGCACGCGAAATCGAAACTAAAGAAAAAGGGTACAGAAAAAATAAAAGTGGGGCATACACCGCGCACAGCCTCCACCGACGCCAGGCAAACTCATACTAAAAATTTCTGACGCTCGGTAGAATGCGAGGCGCGCGCGCGCGCGTGCCGGACATGTGTGCGCAGACGGCGCAGGCGCGCCGCACGTCGACGCTGCTTGTTTCCTCATCGATTATTTCCCCGGACGCTCGCGCTTCCTATCGCACAGCGAGAAATCTCGCGTTGTCTTAGCGCAATCATCAAGAATTCATGCAATTGTTGATTGTGCTATGCTTTGACCGCGTTTGGTATTTTTAGCCATGCTAAAACATATACAACCGCAGGCGACACTCTGTATGAAGGTAACAAAAATTACAGGAAACTGTAATTGCAGTTGTTTCAACGGCAACCATTTTGAAATTGTTTCAAAGTGGCTTCGGCAGTGCAACGGTGCGTTTCAGAGTAATTTTCGATAATGCACAGGTAAGATTGCAGCCTGCGTCCTGTTTCTATAACCGAAGGGTGTGCCATATGCATACGCGTACAATTTTCATATTGCTCGATGGTAATTAATATGCGCGGCCGGCGTGCATTAGAAAACTAGAAACACGCGGTGGTTGTATTGCGTGCGTTTTGGTTGTGCTCTATACACAACTAGGAAAAACGGCATGTGCGTCGACGGCATATGGTCATTATAAAAACACGCTCGCCCTCGAATTATTAATCTCGGACAGAGATGCCGAGTGCGTTCGCGTGCGTGTGCTCACTTTTTACGCACGCTCCTATTGTGTGCATGTGTGTGGGGTGGAATCAAGCGCACGAAATCCGGTTCGCAGCCCTTTGCGAAGGGTGCACGACTATACACACACACAGGCGAGACACGGCTAGTTACTGCCCGAAAACGGCAAACAGCTGATGATGGAGCTGAACGCTACCCCTGGGGTAATAGTTTTGCGTCTAGCTGTGTCTAGTACACCTATATGCCATGCCTGCACCCCCCTTTTGGTTGTGGTGTGGCTGGAGTGCAGCTCGTCTAGGCTCGCCCTGGCCGCCGGGATACGCGGAGGACATTGCACCCGCCGAACCCAGTATTCGCGACGCAGCCCCCAAGCGCAGCGAGTGCATGCGCCGCCATTATGCGTTCCCATTTCGGGGTGACTTTTGCCTACGCCCGGAAAACTCGCGCACACCTTGAGCCACATTTACATACCGGCTTAATTCCACCCGGTGCGTTTTGTCTGAAATCGTTGACCCGAAAAATCAAATCCGGATTTTATCGCTATCTAAACCCATTAAAACTAATTTATGGGTGTGCTATATGAAAAAAAAAACGCTTAAAATGCCAACGGTTTAATTTAATACTTCAATATTTTAAACACAACCCAAAAAGTGGGCGTGCCTCTTTAAACACTTTATTTTTATAAATAAAAATAAAAGTTTTAAGAAGAAAATTTTGAAGGTTTTATGAAAATTTCGTGCTGGGTTTGTTCGTAGTGATTTGTTTCATTCACAAATTTCATCCCCTTGCCAACTGGGAAGCGTTTCGCTACCGCGATCGGCGCCCGGCGCGCGATGGCCTGGCCAACGCCAGTATTGATCGCCCGGAATGCCAACTCCCTTTCACGTCCGCGTGTGTAAAAGCGTGCATTCATGCACACTCACACCGCCACAACCCCGACACCCTCGTCCTTTTAACACTTCCACACACACATACACACACACACATGCGACTAGTTTTACGAGCTGCCGGCGAAAAAGATTTCCTTTGCTCCACTTTTCTATATGCCGGCGCGGCGCGTTTAATCACCCTACACCTCGACTTGTGTGAATTTCTACTCCGGGCGTAGGCGTACCACCGCCCGGAATGAGATGACCCGGAAGTGCGCTTACCTTAAAATCTCCTGCGCTCTGGAGTGCTTCCAAATGGTGTTGCTTCACTGTTTACGTATTTCGGGTCGATTTGTTTGAAAAATGTATTGCAAAATTGTTCGATGCCTAGCTAGGAGTATAGATATTTAGGATTTGACTTGCTACGCGAATACAACACGTACAAATAGAGAGAAGTTTTGGAAAAAAGTAGCGCGCGCGCGTATATCTGCGGCACTGTGGTGGTGGTGCTGGCGGCGTCGTTGGTGTCTCGTTCAACCCACGGGGGTGACTTTTCGGGATGGCGTGCAACGCAAACTGGAATCAGGCTGCTGCTGCTCGACTTCGGGTCCACCACACTAACGGCGCGCACACACACACAACACACACTCGCGCACACACAATCACTAACTCTGCTGCTGGCTGCTGGCGTGGTGCGTCGAACTTAGTTTTAAGAAAACCGGCGAAACGTATACGTACATACGGCGTTTTTCCTCGTTTGAATCTTGTTGTTGGTACTGGATGGTCGAAATAATTCGTTACACGAGATGTAGTTTTGCGTTGCTTGTAGATTGAATTCAGAGACAGTTGGTTCGGTGTTTTCTTCTTTTATTTTTTGCTTGCTTCTTTTTTTAGCTTCGTCGGTTGATTTTTAGGAATTATTAGTAATAAGTAATTACGCAAGGAATGATATTATTACATAACGTACACTACCAAACGTAACACAAGTGTTATTCAGAGAGTGCAATAACTAAATGGTGTTGCATGGCGCGGAGGGTGTCGGCTAGGGGTTGCCGAGGCATTCGGGGGCGCGCGCGCGAAGCGGTCGATAGCGTGCGCACGCGTTTTTACGTCTTATCCCGGCCCGGGGCAGCCGGCTGCCGCCCTCGCGATTGTGTGCGCGGGGGCGGGGCGCGTGCGTGCATCATGCCGCCGCCCGTGAGCCAAACGCCGACCCGTTTTGCCCTGCTTTCGCAATCGCTTCCTCAATTTTACGCAAAAAGGCTACTTTTTTACATTTGCAATCAATTCCTTATCAAAAACATCAAAAATATCTTTATTAAAACATCTAAATCTCAAATAGAACAATTATTTCGTAAAAAAAATCATTTTTCAGCTAAAAAAATAAATATCTAGGCAATTTCCGGTTTTTAGGTTATCCAGAACCATCCTCATGGTCTTCTGACAACCAAAAAAATTATTGCTCCTTCATTTATCCCTATTTTCTATCAATTTTTAATAAATATTTTGATTTTGCGCAAAATTTTCTTTTTATTTAATGTAATGAGGTCGCATCGATCAAACATGGCGTTGCTTCGAACTGTTGATGACGCGTACTCTTGACAATCTAAATAACCACAAACAGAAGGAGTTCCTCGGGTATCGCAGGCACGCGAAGCGTCCAACTTGACGCCATCTTAGCATTGCATTAGCATCTCCGTGCCTGACAGCAGTATCATGGGCGATTTCGGCGAGGGTGAGTTTTAATTGCCTCGTAATCAACACGCGAGCCTTCTGGGCGCGCAAAAAGTTTGCACCCGCGTTTTGATAAATCGGAAGCGATTGAATCACGATCGAGAGCCTATTTATAGCTCGGCACGCTTCTCGCTTTCAATACACTTTATCAGAGGAGGATTTAGCGAAATAATCAAAATAAACACACAAAAAATACAATTTTATTGAATATTAATGCCCCTCTGATTGATAACTTTGATACTTAAAATAGGATTGCATGCTGACACCTTGAGGAAGACTTATCACTCAGGAATCAGTTGAGCAACACCCACTTTTAAGGTTTCTAGTGCACCCTTTTTGCATGATGCACATTCCTTTTTCCCACGTGCTCCGAAAATGTTCAATTTTGATTCGTTGCAACATACGAGTATTTATCAGCAAGCTATTGATGGTGTGTAATTTTTAAACTTCAAATTTAAATCTTTCATTTTTTTGTTTGTTTAATTTTTAAGATAGTGATGATAGTGATGGAGAAGGTGGAATGGGTAATGTCAACCGGCTGATTATGCGCCCCGCGGGGCATTCTGGTAAAGCCAAGCGTGGTCACCTCTGCTTTGACGCTTCCTTTGAGACCGGAAATCTGGGCCGAGTTGACCTCGTCAATGACTACGAGTATGACCTCTATGTACGGCCGGATACTTGTTGTCCCAAATTGCGGTTTTGGTTTAATTTTACCGTGGATAACGTTAGACTTCAACAGGTAATTTATTTTTTCTTTTTCTGGTTTTCTAAAGAATATTTTTCATTATTTTCTCTAGAGAGTGGTTTTTAACATTGTAAACTTCAGTAAAGCGCGTAATTTATTCAACGGGGATGGTTTAATGGTACCCATTGTAAGATCTACGAGTAGATCAAAATGGCAGCGTATTCCTAAACGTATGGTGTTTTATCAACGTTCGGTAGCGCATAAAAATCAATACGTTTTGAGTTTTGCGTTTGTTTTTGATAAAGAGGATGAGATTTATCATTTTGCGTTGACTTATCCTTATGGGTACAATAGAGCCCAAGCGTTTTTGGGCCAACTAGAGACTAAATGCGCTGATTTAGGAGAAGGTTTCAAAAGGGAGTGTATTGGTAACACAATTGTAAGTAAAAATACCAACTTAAATCAATTTAATTCATTTTTAAACGTTTAACAAGCAAAAAAGACCTGTGGATCTACTAACAATTGGTAACAATTCACCTATCACTGGGACCAAACGTAGAATAGTTGTTATCATCGCAAGGACGCATCCTGGGCAAGCTCCAACTAGTTTTGTATGTCAAGGTACCTTATTCAGTCACCATCTTAAGAAATAAAATTAAAATATTTTTTTGTAGGAATGATTGAACTCTTAATCAGCGCACATTCTATTGCTACTAAACTACGTGAACATATTTTATTCAAAATAATCCCTATGTTAAACCCTGATGGTGTATTTGTTGGTAACTATCGCAGTACGATTATCGGCGCTGACTTAAATCGCATGTGGCATCGTGCATCGCCATTTGCGCATCCTGCTTTAACAGCAATCATTGCACATTTGACAGAGTATGAAAAAAACAAAGTATAACCTAACATTTTAACTTTTAACCTTAAAAAATACTAATTTTATTATTTATATCGTTGTAGGACTATCAAATTGATTTTGTAATTGATATCCACGCACATGCAAGCCTCCTGGGTAGTTTCATCTACGGGAATAGTTACGATGATGTATACAGGAATGAAAGGCATATATTGTTTCCGAAGTTGTTGGGAAACATGGCGGACGATTTCGATCCAAGATCATGCATGTATAACTCATGTCCGTCAAAAGCTGGTACTGCACGACGCTACTTTTGTACAGCGTTCAATGATAAACTAAACGCATACTCGTATGAAGTATCTATGTTTGGGTACAAATTAAAGTCATCCGATGCTGTTATACCCTACACAGAAGAGAGTTGTATCCTTTACATTTATAGGTTAGAATTATTTCAACCGGCGTAGTGTTCTTAACTTTAAAATAGATAAAAGGTGTGGAAGAAACCTGCTTAAAGCACTTCTGGAGTATTATCGTGTCACAGAGGTGATTCCGCTGAGTTTGACACAAGATGTCAAAGAGAAAAGTACTCGCCGCGTGAAGAAATCACGAAAAACACGACCGTGTAACATTTCATCGAGTAGAAGTCACACACAACGTGTTGCTGCGCCTGTGCATTACAAAGAAATTAATATGTATTACGATAGTGAGAGTTCTCCGGAACGCGAGGATGATCGCCCACTGTTCAGGAGTAAATTCGGCAAGAAAACGCGTAAAAATACTTCTAGTGGAAAAAATAAAACAGAAAATGTTTCCCGAAGTTCTTCGCCGGTTCTAATGGTGATGCCGCCTACAAATGAGCCGTGTTTGACCATAATTGACTTTAACATCATCACAGAGAACGAACTCAAGATGTAAGTGGTACAGTTTTGCTTTAATATTATTGTACAACCATACAATCATCAGTTATAACATCGTAATAAGTAAATCAATAGAAATGAAATGTCAACTGTTTGCGTTTGGCACAATTTCAACTCAGCGTGCACTTAATCCTTCTCGGACAACTCTTGATACCGCGCGTACATCATTTTCTTCACACAGTCTTTGTATGATTCGCCGGCGACAGCTTGATACGTGCCTGATTTGCTCCCTAGCCCAACGGAGCTAACACGTTGTTCGGCTTGAATGATGGTGGTCCTGCCTTGATTGGACTTGCCTAAGCCTTGGCCTTCAGTCCAACCCATTTTCTGCAGCAGTTTGTTGCCTTTGTTATCAGCCCCGATGGGTTCCAACACTGAGGAAGTCACGGGTGGCATTTCCATCTCCCTGGACTTCAGGTACTTCTCCTTGAGCTTACTGGGTGCTGGTTCATCAGGATCGCCGTATTTTAAACGTCGCTCCTTGGCGCGGTCGCGATAAATCGTCTGTTTATCATTATCCCTGTCGATTTTGCGCTTCTTTGACTTTAGATTCTCCAAGTTTTGTTTGTGAATCGCTGAAAACTGCGCATGTTTCGTTAACGCGTCTGAATTCGGCAGCATGCGTTTGCATAGGTTGCAGATGAGCGTGTTGAAGTCCAAGAAGTCAAGATCGTTGATTTTAGTCTTTTCCTCTTCGTCAGAGGATTCACTCTCGCCGCCATAGGCGGCAACAAGCGGAGTTTGCGCATTGGACATATCAGACTCTGTGTAACCATTACTGATGTGGTTCTGGTTGGCTTTCTTTTCAAGGACGGAGAAACCGATATCTGCTGATCCCGAAGCGTTCGAAGCACCGTAGATTGAGTCGTAGGGACGTTGTGGTTGAGCATCCTTCTTCTGATTGAGGGTTTTCGCCCAACGCTCCATATCTTTGGCGATTTTCTTCGCCACTTTCACCTTGTCTTGTTTTTCCGGTTTGGTTTTCTTTGTAATGGATTGTTGGGGTTCTTCGGCAGGTGGTTGGGCCACACCAGTCTGATCGTAGTTACTCGGAGCGAGGACATAGGTTAATTTCTCGCGGTCCCAGTAGAGATACTTCTGGATGACACTGTTCCAATAATATTGTGAATTCTGGTCGTAGTAGAGACCCGTTGATGCATCGTAGTAATATCCGCTTGATTTCTCATAGGTGTATTTTGTTACATCCGGTATTGCTGTGAAATTTCATACAAAACAATTAATTATATTAATGATATATTGATTTTTATACACTTACGATATCTTTTTCCATCAGTACCATTCGGTACAGACATATGTGTAGTGTCAAAGAAAGTCTTATTCGCTTGTAATTGTTGAATCGCAGATTGTGCGACAGCAGCAGCTGCATTCGCTGCATCCATTTGGTTCTCCTGTTGTAAAGTAATCGAATTACCAGCATTGATCTGCTGAGTAAAGTAATGCTTATAATAATTGAAATAATGCTGATATTCGGCAGCGTTCTTTGCGTATTTATTAGCGGAGTACTCTGCTAAACTATCCACATCGTTGAGGGTGTAGTTCGTTGGTACCGAGGCACTGCTGCTGAAGTTATTCTCCGGCTCCGAGTACAAATGCTTCGTGTCGCCCATGTTGTACTTGCAGTAACTCAATATGACTGTAATACAACACTCCGGATATTATAAGTATGAGCATTATTGATATTATCATCAGCATTACCTGTTTTCCCATCGATGCTTAATGGCGGACTTAAATTATTCAACGCACCGAAAATGCTCAACGCGTCCACGGTGGACTCGGTACCTAGATAGCAAATTCCACGCGATGTGGACGTCAAAGGATCACGACCGATTGCAACCGCGGATATTTTCTTCACGTGTTCTTCTATTACATTACTCAGGACGGACATGATTGTATCTTCTGTTGTCAATGCATCCAAGTTTCTCAACATGATCGCTAGGATGATTTACTTGTTATTTTTTTGTTGGTTAGTTTTGGTTAATACTTACTTTTTGTGGTGTAATTACAAATTTCATCACTACCACTGCCGCCTTCTTCGCTTTCCATTCGTGAAGCGTGACATTTGAAGCAAAGTTCACGGCGTTTGAAATTTTGAGCACCACACTGGAATAAATAGGTTTTCAGTAGGTTTTGTGGTTGTTTTATATTGTTTGGATGGCTTACTTTGATACAGAACCAGTCGGCTGATGCTTTGTGCGATGGTGCCTTCTCATTTTGCGGACACAACTCTTTCGGAATGCTATATTGCATGATAGCTCTATACTGATCTTGCAGCATTAAAATGCCCTGTAAATCATCAAAAGCGCATATTAGTCACGTGCTACCCATCTAAGCGACCCACCCCTCTTACTAAAGAGACCTCTGCTGCCCAGGCAGCCAGCATATTTGATTGCATCCCGGCCAAATGATGACTATGACTTTAATTGAATTCTATTCTTTGAGCTTTTAAAATATTACTTCGACTAGTTTAATTCTTTCGATTATTATTGTTTTTTCTTTTAAATATTCTTTTCTTTTTTCTTTAATATAATGATGAGAAAAAAATGAGTAGGTAATAAATTGAAAATGTTACTTGTTGGTTGGATCGACTAGCGTTATCGCCTCCGATAACTAACGACCACCGGCCCCCACCGAGGAGGACCAACAACAAGTGTGTGTCACCCTTGTGTACAACTAAGATACCTGCTTCATTTCCATCCATCGGACTGCCTCTCCTACCGTTGAAAACTCGACAAAGGCAAAACCGCGCGACGCACCTAAACAGCACAATACACACCAGTGGCAATATTACCTCAGCCAATCTAACACATCATAATCACGGTTGAAACTATACAATACCCATATTCATCAACATCAAGTACAATAATCAAATGGTTCTACATAGATAAAGTGTAAGAGTGGTTGTTTTATGAGCATTACCTGTGTCCTTCTTGCGAATTAGACGAATATCTTTGGGCATCAATCCACACTGGATAATATCTTGTCTTATCTACACAAAAATACAATTTAGAGGAATTTCAGGTGATATTAAGAGTAACATACATCATTTTCTGTTATGTGTTGAGCAAGTCCTCTGATCATTATTGTGTGATTAGGTGGTTGACTCTTGTAGCCAATGATTTCCGACCCACTCGCGCCTAGTAACGCACCACCACATGAACTATCACTACAAAAACAAACACTTTAGTTTAAAATTAATCTACACAATGAAACAATTTACCTGTCATCACTTTCTCGTCCGTTTTCTCGATCACGATCACGTTCTCTATCCCTATACCTCTCTCGGTCTCTATCCCTAGACCTATCATCTCCCCATCTTGAACTACCTCCTGAACTCCTTCTGTAATCTTTCTCCCTGTGCGAATCGCGATGCCGTTCTTTTCGCTCACGATGATCACGTTCACGGCTCTGACTGCGTTCTTTCTCCTCATAGAAATACTCCTTATCTCGTCGATAATCCCGCTCTCGGTCTTCTTCAATTGATGGCTCTCTATCATAGCGATGATCTGCAATTCACAAGAATGTCGGTGTTGATGTTGATCGAGTTAAATTTAGATTTATGCTTACGTTTGTGAGTGCGTCGTTTTCTTGAGGGCGGCGAGTGCGACCTTGAGTTGGAACGCGAATAACGCCTGCCGCGCGAATTCGATCGACTGCGACGATTGTACATGTCTGCGGACTGATACGGCGAATCTTTTCCACGCATATTATTCATTACACATGCTTTTGTATTATGTTATGTGTTATTGCTAGAGGTTGCATACCATGAGGCTGCGGCTGGAATGAGAGTATGAGTTGGTATGCAAATGAAACGCACTTGTACTCGTACTTACAACATGGCGTACACTCACACGTTTTATCAACAGTTTGATATTGCGTTGTGGATGATAGTGACTGCTTGAAATAATCTAAATACTTGTGTGTTGTGGAATATGTGTTTATGTGTACTATCGGTTTTTCAGCTAGCACCGCACCGCACGCCCTACCTTCGACAAATCGACTCTGCTCGCCGTTATTCACTAGGTTCGGGTACTACCTCCACTAGAAAGCTGCGCATTTGGGATGCGCAGTGAAAACAGACGCCGAGAGACGTCGAGAACATTTTGAGGTAAGCGTGCTGATTTTTATTTCTTTTGTTTTTCAAAATTTACTTATAAACGATAAATTTCGGGTAACTTTAAGAGAACCCTGCGATTATTCAAGACAACCGCTTGCTAACGATAAGTAAATCTTGTTATTTCTTCACTCCGGTCTCTTTTCGGTTGGGACTGAACAAATACATTGAACAAATATACTAGAAGTGGAAAGGAAAATGGGCTACTCTTTTGCATTCGATATTTATTGCTATAAAATGCGAACATAAACACCCACACGCGTCACGTGGGTTTCTTTCGAAGGGTTTCCAAGGGTTTTCAAGCGGAAATTAAGGTTTATGCAATCGCCACCGCAAATAAACATCGTCGTAAACCTAGAAATTATACAAAACTAAATTTATTTCCACTCTTCATTTGGTAAACGATAACAAAGCTTACATTCTACACCTTATTACAATTAAATTATGACCCAGAGGCAAGAACTTCATATCTTATATAAAATCACAATAATTTACTGGTTGTTTTCATAAAAATGGTCAATCACGGAACATTTTTGATGATTGATCCCTTCAAAGGTAGATCACTAACGGAAGGTCTGGAATTCTGTTTGGATTCAGTGTAGGTCATCTTGGTCTTCATAAGATTGAACAATTTCGCATATGCTTCACGGTATTGCCGATTGCTCACAGCATAAATCAACGGATTTATCACACTGGACATCCATTCCAATATCGAGGAGATCACATGTACTGCTGGAGGGATGTTTATTGTCTTCTCAAAGACATTCACGAATGTCAACGGCAGAAAACACAGCACAAAACTAATGAAGATTATAAACATCAGATTCGTCAAGCGGCGATCATCTCGTTCACGTCTTCTGCTTCGATTATCACTTTTCATTCTGAAATTCATTCAGTTGTGCATAATTTTATTGTATTGTGGATTTAGGGTAGCGGATTTTCTTTACCTGTGAACAGCGAGTTTCAAGCGACTTTTGCGCACATTGTAGTAGATTGTGGCGTAGCAGATGGTTATGATGCACACAGGCAGGAAGAAACCGACGAGGAAGATCATCTTCTTCGGTGAGCGGCCGTCTTTCTCGAGAATCGTGCATGAAAATGTATCGTTGTTCTGACCCACGGTACCCCAGACTCCCAATAACGGTGGTAGCTGTGTGTAAATCAACGCATTGTTGGTATATCTTCAGGGGGAAAGATTAACACATTTCATACGCACCATTATAAGGAAAGAAAGCGCCCAGATTATGAACAGCTGCGAGAATATGCTCGTTTTTGTGTATAATTTCGCATAGACTGCATTATGTGTGATGATTATATATCTAAAAACACAATATTTATTCGTATTAATTAAGGTTGGGATGGTTCATATGGTTCAAGTTCAATTAACACAATCAATGGACTAGAAAATCAACCGAGTGTAAAATTGTGTTGTGGTAGTGGTCAATTGTCTGCTTTTATGTTTTACGTTTTATTTCGCATTGCATTGTCACGGTGTGGGTCGCTTAGGCGAGCCGGCTCGGCTCTCCTAGTGGCAATAATTAAGTTGATTATTTAACCTTTCACCCCGTGCTGGACGCGCGCAACGCGACACGACAATGCTCGTAAATGACGCACCGCGCCTAGAACAGATCGTCTTTTGTTTTGTTTTATCGCCACTGCCGCGGGTTTAATTACACCGCAGATATATATCATATCACATATTATGCATGCGGTGAGCGTTCACCACATTCATATTTCAGTAGTTGTGAACTCAAGAGGAAGACGCCGGAGGAGAAAAAAAAAACAAGGTTCTCATCTGAATGGAACATGTGTAGTGTGGAAACGCCAAGTATGTACTTGAATTACATGTTGAGATCACATTTCGAGGAAGTTCTGTTTGATTAAATTAATGTTCGAATTATTTGATCAAGTCCCATTGCGAGATTTTTCTGTTTACATAATTGATATGATAAGATTTTGAAGACTTTTGACACTTTTTGATGCGTGAGTTGTGAATGTTTGTTTGCGATTCGATAAAACTTTCTCATCTTTATGCCATCGCTCGATTTTTTCGGAGGAAAGGTTAAAATTAACATTAACGCAAGAAGTCGCGGGAGTTTTTTACGAGCAGTAAAACCACGTTGTGTGCACACATTTCACTCAAACACTCATCAAACTCGGAGTCATTTGGAGACGCATAAAGATCACACGGATTTTTTTTTGTGTTTTTTGGTGGGCTTTACCTGTTGATTGTGATTGCGACCATGTTGAGCACGGAAACGGCGACGTTTCCGTAGAACAAAACCGGAAAGATTTTGCACAGCGTATCGCCGAGCGTCCATTCCCGTTGGATGTATCTGGACGCTGTTAGCGGCATGTTGAACGCGCAGAAAAGGAAATCCGAAAATGATAAACTGATGATGAACGCTGTCGTTGCGTGCACTCGCAGTTTTGGGCATCGTATAAGTGCCAAAATTGTTATAAAATTACCTTTAAAGCAATGAAAAATTATTTTTAAAAATTAATTTATTTAAAACTTACCAGTTACTCCAAGAATACAAAAAATAATCGAGCACACCGACGCTAAAATCGTCGTGCCTTCCGAATAAATAATCGTCTCTGCCATTTTTCACAAATAATTCACAGCGCAGTATTAAATACAAAAGCGCTTACATTTTATGATGTACACTTTCACTTTTCTAATTATCCACGTAGACAACAAACGATTAACTCGTTGTCCACTAAAACCACCCCTCGTAGATGATTTATGTTGTTGTCGCTGGATGATTACCGCACGCGATGCACTCCGGTCGGCGCACGAGCGCTGTATGAGCCGAGCGCGAGGAGATTCGGCGATGTTGTGTTGCTTGTTTACCAGCTTGTTGGTATTGTGCGCGTACACTTACAATGTGTCGCTCACGCTCCTCTGCCATGTGCTTTACTAGCTTACAACCGCATTTTACTTGACCCTATGTGACTACGCGAAATTCCCTTTTTCTACGTAAATAAATGACGTGTGTAGCATCAAACTTTCTAAGAAACTGACACATTTTGAGGACGCGCACTCCTTGATTTCTTATCGGTGATCTTATCTTATCGTGGTAATAATAATTTTTATAATTATTTCTATGTTTCTGGAGATATACGATGAATTTTTGCTCAATTACTCGGATGATTCAGAGTTATCTGTAACTTTGCAAATAAGTAGCATGTGCACTAATTTAAGTTGATTAACTTTTCAGTGTGTATGGCTTACTAATCGTGTTCGTGTTACCATTGCAACATGTGCGCGTTTCTAACGTCTGAGACTTATCTAAAGATAGTTAGTAAAAAGCAAAAAAAAAATTAAAACCAAACTTGTATGCAGTTGATTAGCAGATCAATCTTTGGTATTCTTCGGTAATTGATGCTGCATTAGCAATCTGCATTCAAGTTGGCTTTCTATGCAGCTTTGAATGAATAAGCACTTGGGATATGCGTTTAATTACATCTGTTTCTGAAGCATAAAGTGCACTGCGTTGGCGGATGATTCAAAGGATGAAATGAAACGCTCGCATTTAAAATTAAACATATAACGTTTTTATTTGATTTGATTGAAACGTATCGCATGTATATTTGATTCATTTTTCCATTCGCGTCCTTTCTTCGCCCACAACTTTATTTTTATTTCATTTTTTTTTTTCATCATTTTCGTCGTTTTTTAATAATAAGGATAACAATGAATTAATTTACAGATAAATTTAAAGATAAAGATACTCAATGCCTCTTGTTGTCGGTTTTGTTTGGTTTGTTTTGCTTGTTTTGTATACGCATAATGCGTCTAGAGCGTTTTTAATACACAATAACATCATCATCTCGTCAAATAGAAGATTTATTTTTTTATTTCTTTTCGATTTATATATTGTTTTTTGTTGCTGTTTGCTGTTTGGTTTTTGGATATTACAAAAATGTAATTACAGTAGGTATACGCGCGTGTTTTTCGCTTACTTTGGTTTTGCGGGTCGGTATCGTGTGTGTTTTTATCTATTTTTTTTTTCTCTGGAGAAACAATCCATTTCCTCATTTTTATTTCTCTTCGCTTACTTATTCAAATATAATAAGAGATAATTGTCAAATAAAAACCAGGTTAAAAAAACTACACATCGTATTATACTTTATAATATTAAGTCTCCTTTTGGACCAGAAGAAACGTATCTTTAATTTTAGGCACTTGGTAGTAGAGAAACGCTGGGTTCGTATGTGTGTGTGTGTGTGTGTGTTTGTTTTGTGTTCATGTGTTTGTGTATGTGTGTGTGTATGTTCAGGACACCGTGATGGTGTGGCTGTGGCCGGGCTCCGGGGGCTATAACGGCGGATGTGTGCCGTCGTACGGGGGTGCGCGCATTCGACGCTGCTCTTGTTGCATGATGTGATGCGCGGCGCGGTCCATTTCTTCCTGGGTCATATCGAGCGCCTCCTGCATCTCTTTGGAGGTGTAGCGCACGAATTCGGGGTCGCAGTACTTGCCGAGGCCCTGCTCGACGAGAATGCGCCCGACTAGGCTCTCCGCCGAGCCGACAACTTCGAACGCCGGCGGGCGGCGGTCCGCTGGACTTCCGGGCAGCGAATGTGATAGACGTTCAGGACCCGCGTGTCCGTTGGGTTCGTGGCCACCTGAAACTGTGGGGTGGAATGGAAGTTAGACGCATCGTGGTCTTGGTACGGCCCTGTGCTACATCGAACGGCGCGAGCAGGACACACTCAACGAAAACAAAGCACCAACGAAAGCATCTCGCATGCAAAAAAACGACCAACTCATAATGGACGACATGATGACAACAACAACGGCTCTAGCTGCGATATACGAATTGATAAAAGAGAGAATTGAGAGAGTTATTAAAAATGGGGTGAGATTTACGGGCGGCTAACCTCTGCCATGGAAGGAAGCCCTGTGATTAAGATAGGAGCAGCGCGCGTGCCGTACGTCCCCCGCGGCGGTGTCCACGAGGAAGGTGTGCAGCGGTGCGACGGGAGCGGCGCGCCAGTCGTAGGGCGGCTCCGGCAGGAAGCCGGCGACGGCCATCGCCTGTGCCTGTGCGAGCTTGAGGCCGCTTGCAATGCGACTAAAGCTGGGTGCGTGCGGGAGCGTCGTCGCCACTGCGGGGCCGGCAGCCGACGGCGGCGGCGGCGGCGGCGACAACGATTGTGGCTGCACGCGGCGCGGCGGTGGCGTCGGCGGCATCATCAGCTCAGCGTAGTCCCCCTGTAGGCTGTACGGCGGCGGCAACGGCGAACACACAAAGAGAAAACAAATCATAATCCATGTCCACGCGTCTCCGCGGCACTCGTACACCGACACACAAATTAAGATATAGGTACAGTGATAGATAGTTAGAGATATACTGGAGCAAGAGAAAGATAGATAGAGATAGAGAGAAATAGCACACGTTTCGGCCAAAAACAAATAATCGAAACGGAAAAACCACCCAAGCACACGCACACACCCCTTGCTTTCCCCCCCAAGGTGGCGGGGGCTTACCGTTGTAGTGCGGGTGCAGGAAGTCTGACTTGCTGAAAGCGAAACGTAATCAACATGTTACTAGGGTTCGCCCCATTTCGATGGTCACACACCTCGCCAGCCTGTCATTCGTATTCCTCATTCAAACACCACGTGAAACTCAACGTAAACCGAGAGTATTATAATAAGGGTTGATTCCAAAGAGATTCATAAGAGAGAGTCGCGGGTACGCGGTGTCAGTATACTTACTCGATCACTTGAAAGTTACCCTTGTCGGGGTCGCCGTTGTACATGTTGCTGAGCGCCTTCAGCGGAATGGCCTCGTCCTCGCGCGACATCTCGCCGTCGTGCAGCGAATTCGCCGAGAAGCGATTCTGCACGACGTTGCGCGTCATCGAAGTGATGTGGTTCATACCCTCGGTGACAGCGCGTTGTAACGAGTTGTGGTGGGGTAGGAATGCGTCGATACTGGACGCCGGCGTGATTTTGATCTGCGTCGAGTTTACCTTCAACGACTTGGCGCGGTTGAAGCTGTGCGCGCGGCGCATCGATGACCACACACTTCCAAACAATGAATGGTTTCTCTGCGAAATATTTAAGATTTATATAAAAATATGGTGGGAATATGATGGGGAATATTTACCCTATGCATTGGTTCTGGATTATCATCGGCCAACTCATCCAAATTGCCGGAAATGGCACGTTTGAGTTCGGGCCCTGCTTCGTGCAGTGTCCGCAGACCTGCTTGTAGGGTGACAGTATTGTGGGCGTCTTTATCACCCTCTTTTAACTCCTCCTTGCGCTTCTTAAAACGCCGGAAGTAATCTTGGATGAGGAACGTGGCGTAGAACTTGCCCACGGTCACTTCGTCATCCACACCTGGTGGTGGTACTACTTGGTCCAAGAGTTTACCATTCGTCCGCTTCCAGATCTTTTTGATCACGGCTCGCAGCTCCGAATTGGCGTCATCTATATTACCTTCGGTTTTGATCCGTAGCGAGGTACGTACTACAGCGAATAGCGTCGCGTTGAACAACACGGTGCCATCGCTATTCAGTGGCATATTCATGGAGACTAAACGCTTGCAAGCGACACGATGCGGACACAGCTTGCCGAAACCCAGAGGAGGTGAAATTTTTCTCAACAGAGTAACGACATCAAGATGTTTAATGCGTCCCTTGGCGTCCGGGTCGTATTCACTCCACAAGCGGATGAATTCATCTAGATGATGGGGTCCGAGGATGGACCAATCGCGGGTGAGGTAATCAAAGTTATCCATGATAACCGCCACGAAGAGATTGATGATGAGGAAGGAGCAGAGGACGTAGAAGGAGATGAAGTATGGGTAGGCGATATCCGAACCGCAACTGTCCAGCAGGTGACGGTTTTCAATGCGGTAATCGCACACCACTTGATCGGTTGCAGCGCAGTCAAGCATAATGTCCTGCCAGGCTTCACCAGTTGCTGATCGGAAGAGTACCAGGACTGCTTGGGGAAACGATGCGAAATTGTTGTTTCGTGTTATGGATGATGTTGAATTTTGACTTTCAATTTTACCAAACATCTACAGAATAATCCCAACAAAAATATATTGAATTAAGTTTAGAATGAATATTAATTAAATAGTACCTGCATGCCGATGACAGCGTAAATGAAAAACAGCATGACAATCAACAGGGCGACGTAGGGTAGAGCTTGGAAGGACTTAATGAAAGTCCAAAGCAACGTGCGGATACCTTCACCTCTACTGAGCAGTTTCACCAAACGCATCACACGAAACAGTCGGAAGAAGTTGATGGAAATCAAACTTGATGGTAACCCAGGCTGGAAATACAAATATAATTATTAAATACAATTAAATCAGGTTTAAAGTGACTTACATTGACTTCCGAGTAGACAATGTCGATGAAACTGCCGAGGACTATCACGAAATCAAACACGTTCCACGCATCTCCGAAATAATTCTATAAACAATTAAAAATTTAAAGTTTTTCTTTATTCTGCGAGTTGTATATTACACCTACCTTAAACCGGAAAGCAGCCAGCTTGAAAACAAACTCCAGCGCGAATAGGGCAGTGAAAATCATGTTCAATATGTCCAGCGACACCGAATAGAACTCCGGCTGCTTGTAGAACTTCATCGCCAGCGTGATGGTGTTTATCATAATGAGTATAAAGATGGTGTACTCGAACGGTGACGACGTGACGAACCACCACACCTTGTACTGTATCCGATGTTTGGGTATATACCGCCGCACGGGTTTCGCTTTCAACGCAAACTCTATACAATTACGCTGGTTTTTATCCAGCTCGCAGTTTTTGTACTCTTGCTCGCCCTCATTCTGAAAGGTGACGATAACGAAACCTACGAAGATGTTCACCATGAAGAAGGCGATGATGATGATGTAGATGATGTAGTACGCGGCGACAATGGGCCGGAAGTTGTGAATTGGACCACGGTCTTCTTCATTGGAGTCGATGGAAACGTAAAGCAATCCGGGCCAACCCTCAAAGGTAGATACAGTGAAGAGGGTTAACATTGCCTTGGCGACGTTGTCGAAGTGGAAGCGGTTGTTTTCCCACACGCGTTCTTTTGATGTAGGTTTTGAGATGTCACCTCCTTCGTAGATCAGATAAGTACCACTGGAAGATTAATTTCAAGGTAATTTCTGATTAATTTATGATGGTTAAGAGTTTCTTACTTGCACTCCCCAGCGGTGAGTTTAGAAGAATCCGAACATTGTGAAAATTTACCCTGTTTTGTAATTTTATATTAAAATCCCGGCAGATTTGAGCAAATCCTGATAATTAGCTTTTAAAAACATCAAACACCAAATATTTACATGCAGTCATTAACACACACACAACATGCGCAAGACGAGAAATTGTAAACACGAAAAAATACATTACGCTTAGTGAAGCATGCGCCAGGCTATCAACAATAGATTGACATCACTTGTAGTCATAGCTAGTGAGACATGGTGAGAACACTGACAGTTTCACAAGGCCCCAAACGCATGTTTATGTATATAAATTTTGTCTCGCTGAGATTTCCTAATTAAAGTGTGTTTGGTGCCCAAGTTGATGATCGCGTGACACAATCGCGGTGTAAACGAAACAAATCGAATAGAAAGAACACATCCAGTAACAAACAGCACGAGTACACCATTCCTGCGACAGACACTAGAACTAGAATATATATGTAGAGGTATATAGAGAGATCGTACAAAAGAAGCGGCTTGAGCAGCAGAGAGAATGCAGATGAGCTGAAAACAGGCGGAAGGAACGAAACAGTAACGAATGCACAGCCCCACAGACACAGTATACAAAATATATATTTATATCTGCTTTGAGTGCAAAATAACGATATATCGATCCTAATTATCAGCGCCAACAGACATGCAGAGATGCATCTCACATTGCTTTTCCTTTTACATTCCTTTTGACACCTTTTGCTAGTTTTTTCTAAATTTATTTTGCTCGCTATCCGCGCTGCGATGATTACCTTGAATAGCTGCACTCCGATCACGGCAAACATGAACTGCAGCAAGTAGGTGACGAGCATGATGTTGCCGATCGTCTTGATCGCAACAATGACGCACTTCACCACGTACTAACCAAACGCGGGCATTAGAAGAAGAAGAGCAGGTAGAGCGGAAACAGAAGAACATTACTCGCTCAGTGGTGGTGTTGTCACTCGGGCGGCGGTGAGTGATATACAGTGTGTGACAGATAAAAAGATAGAATAGTTGCGAGTAGCGGCGTGTGTGTGGGCGTGGCGTGTGCGTGGCGCTGCGGTCGAGAGTCAAATGCACCCAGGGCGAAATTTCGCCGCGTCCTAGATATGACTACAAGTCACTGATGATTTTTTTTGGTTTTGAGGGGGCGTGGGGGCGTAGTAGGCAAACACACACAGAGAGAGTCAGATCACACCATCAAAACAAAACGTGAAGCGTCACACACGGGGTGTTGTTTTAATGCGCAGCAAACACGCCGGAAGTATACTTTGGTCGATGCCGAGTGTTTTGTTGGGTTAATGGGCGGGGCGGGGCGATGTGAGCCAAACAAAATGGTCAAACCCATAGGTGCATTTGCATTATCACAACAAACTTGGTTTGGTGGGTGTTTGGCGGACGTTAAAGACACTCAGATTATATAGGAATTAAGTTGTTTAATTAAAAATGAGGGGTGGGAGGGGCTTGAGGCCCTACCTTGAACAATTGCACGCCGATTACCGCGAACATGAACTGCAACAGACAGGTGACCAGCACAATGTTGCCGATGGTCTTTACCGCGACAATCACGCACTGGACTACATGCTAAACGACGCAGAGAGAAAAATAAAACGGAGGACACAGATCATGATCAAATCGTCGAATCAGAAAGTCAGAGAAATAGAGCATCACACGCGCTGCCACACGCTTCATTTAAATTATGTCAAGAGGAACGCCGGCGTATTTTTTTCTAATGTGGCATCCGTTGGTTGTGGAGTAAAGTAAAGGAGATGAGAGGAGAAAAGTCAGCAATTTTGTTTTACCTTGAGTCCTTTCGCTCGATTGATGGCTCTGAGTGGACGTAGCACACGCAGCACTCGAAGAATCTTCACTACGGACATTGCGCCACCTTGACTGTAATAATAAAGAGGAAAAACAATTTAGAAGCTAAAAAAATATTTATTTTCAAACGGGACTTACTTAAATATGGACACCAGTGAGACGCACACAACGACTAAATCCAGCATGTTGAACGCCGAGCGTAGGAAAGCTCCGTCGTGTAGAAACACACCATATGTGATGGTCTTGAGCAGCAGCTCGGTGGAGAAGATTGAGGTGAAGAAGTAATCGCAATAACCCAGCGCCTGATAATCACATCATATCGCATGCAATCACATTCGGCGCATAAAAAATTCAGCACTGCGCGCGCGCTTTTGTTTTATTCACACATTTGAACTTACCACGTTCATTTGGGACTTGGTATCGATCGGATCCTCCATCGCCAGCAGAGCGGAGGAAATCATGATGCACACTAGGATGATGTTGCTGAATATGCTGTGATTGCTCAGCCAGTGGCAAAAGATGCGAAACCTACGCGGAGGAGATCGAGTTAATCAATCGGCACGGCTTTGGGAAATTCAATCGGCTAACGCTAATTACGGATTTACACATTTACCACACAAGTAATAGAGAGATAGTAATAGAGACATCGATATTTATGTATACAGCAGCAGCAACCAGCCAGGCGGGGGGACGTTTTGTTTAATCGCACCTGATGATCATTAATTCAAAATATTTACTGGAGAGTTTACGGCTAGCCTAATGGGGATGCTAAATGTTGACACACTGATGCGTGATGCGATTTATGTACACACACACACACACACAGATGAGATGATGATGATGGTGTTATGCTAGAGTGATAACTATCTGAGGAACACACGTCTATTTCGCAACATCTACGTTGCACACGTTTCAACGGCAAGCAGCAAACGCCAACACTCGAGCCAACTACTAAAAGGGGGAAGTGGGCCCAAGTGGTCCGGAGACAGACAGCGCTACCACAGTTCACCTGTTCGTGGGAGAAAAAACGAAGAACGACGAGGCCGGTGGAATCGGCACGATTTTTGATGTGCTTGGCTTGTTCAGCTCGGACATGCGACGCGGACGCGCGCTCACGTCCCCATCGTCCAGCTCGCCGCCATCTGCAATCGTGCACACGAAAAAAAAAACAAAACTTAATACTAATTTACGACGCGACACGGCTGCGCAAAGTGAATTACAGACCAACACGACACCACCACTATATAATAAATATCTATTTAGAGTTTTATTTGGTTGGGTTGATAAAGTGGTAGGTGTCGTATGAGGTTAGACCGGGTCTATCTTTGGCAACCGTGTCCTGTTTGCGGGTGCCTACCTGTTCGTCTGGGAAAAGATAAAAAAGGCGCTACCGGCCGGTATGGGATGCACCTTGTTGACAATATTCACCTCGGACAAGCGCCGAGGGCGCGCCGTCTCGCGCGTCACCTCTACATCTAACTCCTCTGAAAAGTGGCAATGCTTTTTTGGTCCTTTTTACAATACGCTCGCCGCGCGGAATGGTTTGATGTGATTAGTGTGAGCCTACACGGCGCGCGTGCCCGATCGTCACCAGTGCGGTCCTACCTTTTTCGTTGACGCTGTGCTCGTCGTACGCCTTGTCGTCCATCTCCTCCTCCATCTCGTCGAGGTTCATCTTGGTCTGCGATTCGGTTTCTTCTTCAAACTCATGCTCCGACCTGTGGAAATTCAAAAACAACAAAATTTAGTTTTGAAGAATGAAAAATTTTGTTTGGTTTTGGTTACATTTCTGATTCGTACGCTCCATCTTCAATTTCTTCTTCTTCAACGGAATGCTCCTCCATGTCAATCTCCTCATCGTTGGTCGGTGTTGGACTCTTAGATTTTCCTTGCTCAGCTTCCGCAGCTTCTTCTTCTTTCTCTATGGCTGTTAGAGATTCGGCGTCGGCCAAATTGTCGACAGCGATAGCCAAGAAAACGTTTAGCAGAATATCTATCAACAACTTATTAAGGACACAACACATTCTCCATATAAAATATTATCTATAACAATCTACGTATCAATGAAAAGGATACAGTTACCGCAGATGAAGAGAATAATGAAGTATATACAGGCGAGGATTCCAAAGGATCCCACACCTCCATAGGCTTGGATACCGTCGTACATGACCACGTTCCAATCCTCACCGGTCAATATCTATTGAATTTAACAATAGAAACGTAAACATACAGAATGTGCATTGTGAAAGAATGTATCACACGCACCTGAAATACAGTGAGGAGACTCTGCCAGAAGCTGTCGAAGTTGGAGCGCGGTTTATTTTGCGTGGCGTTGAAGTTAAAACGCCCGCCGAACACTTGCATGCCCAGCAGGGCGAAGATGACGATGAAAAGGAAGAGCAGCAGCAGCAGGGAGGCGATCGATTGGATCGAGTTCAGCAGCGAGGCGACCAGATTCGACAGCGAATGCCAATACCTGTTTGCGACAAGTTAATCATAATTTTAATCCGAAATATTGGCGGTGCTGGGTGGATATATTTACTTTGTCACTTTGAAGACGCGCAATAAGCGCACGCAACGCAACACGGAGACGCCCAGCGGTGGCATTACTTCCGTACGCGTGAGCACTGTTTCTGTGATGCTGCCGATCACGACGAAGCAATCGAAACGATTAAACAATGATACAAAATATCCCTGCGGTTTAAAATAAACAAAATTTATTTTTGTATTTTTAGACATAAATTGGTGGTATACTGACCTGAAAACCTAAGCTGTACATTTTTAATAACATCTCCATTGTAAAAAGTGCAATAAAAAACATGTTTGTATATTCTGTAAAGAAAAAAAGCGTTAAAATCAGATTTTTATGATGAAAAATCGGTTTTTACCCTGAAAGTCATCTAGCCAATAAGGTTGGTCGTAATGTTCAGTCGCTAATACAACAGTATTAAGAAAAACTAGCACTATGATGAGCCAGTAGAACGCCTGGGACTTGACGGCCCTGCGACACGATTTGCGCATGCGCCGATTGACACGATCAAAGTCTTTGCGTTTCTTGCTGTACCACGACTCCTGCTCCAGCTCGGCCTCTTCGCCCAGCTCGTCCGTCGAGTCGATGGCGGCTTTCGCCTTCGCATCAGCGTTGTTCTTCTGCTTCTCGTGCTCTGGCTCAATATCCTCCGCCTGCGTAATCCAGTCGAGGTATCCTCTCAGGTCTTCTTCAATCTGCTGCTTTTCGCGCAGCTTTTGAAAGTCGCCGCGCGCCTTTGCCTTCTCTCTCTCCTTGGAGAATTCTCCGCTAAGCACACCGAGAATGAGATTCATCACGAAGAACGCGCCGAATATCACCATCGATACGAAGTACGACCATTGCCAGGTCTTTCCTAAAGCATCTTGTATCTGAAATAATTTTAGGTAATTGATTGTTGATGATGATGATGGGCTGACGTACGTTATAAAGCACGTCGGTCCAGCCTTCTAGAGTAATGCATTGGAACACGGTGAGCATCGACAGCCCGAAGTTGTCAAAGTTGGTGATGCCGAAGTTGGGCCCGTCCCATCCGTCCCTGCACACCATCATCGGATCGATCTCCGAACAATTGAAGCCCATGTCGCCGCACGGATGCGGATCATCCATTATTTCGTCTGAAAACGCAGATTACAACTATACACATGCCGCCCGGAAGCAGTTATCACACGCGTTATCTCACTTGTTATGTTATGATAACAAGTTGTGTGCAGTTTTCCTGAGAACAATTCCAACCCGATGATGGCGTAAATAATGATGACGAACAACACTAACAGAGCAATGTGTAATAAAGGCACCATGGCACGAAGAATCGAATTCAAAACGACCTGTAAGCCTGCAAGCACATGCGTAATTTATAATTAGGAGTGGGGGTAGTATGGTGGATGGTCGATGGTGGTTCTTACTCGGAACGCCCGAGACGAGACGCAGCGGCCGGAGTACTCGGAACGCCCGCAGCGCCTTCACGTCGAAGCTGTCCTTGATCAGATGCTGGAGCACCGTACTGATCATGCTGCAAAACACACAGGTGTAATTGCGGCCGGAAATTAGCGGCAAGCCCCGGCTTGGGTGCTAATCTAGTTGCGGGCAATTAGCGCCTTGCTTACCCGATGACGACAATCGTGAAATCGAGCAAGTTCCATCCGTTGCGCAGATACGCGCCCGCGTGCATCATGAATCCATAGGCGATTATCTTCATCACGCATTCGACGGTGAAGATGACCAGAAAGACATACTCGATTTTTTCCTATGTGTGTTAAAATTGATGGTTAACAATTGTGGTTATGTTGTTTTGTTGTTGTGAGTATGTTACCAGTATCGCATTGGTGGCGTTCGAATCTCCGCATGGAAATGGCGTGTAAACAGCGAGGGCGATGCAGTTGGCAAAGATCGTCAGCAGGATCAAATATTCAAACGGTCTGTGTGCGTTAAGGGGGTTGTCAATTAAGGAAAATATCATCACAAAGTGAGATTGATTAACGCGCGTGCACGTGAAATGGCTGCAATAAACACGCAATAAACGCGTAATTAACGTTTCGTAACGAGGCTGCTTTCAAAACGGGGTTGGCGATGATGTTGAAGGACCAGAGTTGGCGGCGAAATTAGGTCGGTGCGCAATCAATCCACACTCGGCGCGCGGCCCGCATGCATCAACAACTCGACTCGACGAGTCTCTGGTGCGGGTGTGGGTTTTGTGGGGGGCGGCGGAATGCGGTAAAAGAGAGTCCGGTTTTCAATTGATCGCGAACGTGATTTATTCGCCACATCGCCGCACGTTTACTCTGCCGCCCACTGTTTGCGCTCGGCGCGGAGTAGTGCCAGTGCGATCGTCCTTTGATTGTCCTAGATTCCACTGCGTAGGGGGGATAATAAAACGTCACGGCCGGAAAATGAGAAAACAAACAAGCGACACTCGCCGGACGTGAGGTGAGGAAAAAGTAAGGAAGCAGCACGGCGTCAATTGATGCGATTGAATTGAATTGAATGAATGTTAAAAGTAGAAGAAAAAGGATACTTCCATTCGACGATGTCAATGCACAGCTTGCGCACTGGATTCTTGAGGTAGAGGAAGAAGAGGGCGCGCTGTGGCCGGTCCGGCGGTGGTTTGACGCCCCGACGGACGGGTCGCGGCTTGGGGGCGGCCGGCGTGGCGCTCGGCGCCGCCGGCGCACCGCCCGGGTGTCCGGGGTGGCCGGCGTGCCCGGCGCCGCCGCCCCGTCGGCCCCGGCGGTTGCCTCCGCCGGCGCGCCCGCCCCCACGGTGCTCATCGCTGTCGCTGCGGTGGCGGCGGCGGTGGCGGCGCTAAGCGGGCCTTGCCATGCGCACCCCGCGTACGCCGGCTGCACGGAGAACAGGCGGTTGTTGGCCTGCTCTTGAAGTTCATACTGCAACCCTGCAACCAGACACATACACACCAAGCATAAATCAGCCTGTACGTCACGACCGCCTCCATCCCTTCTACGACTACTACTCGCGCAATGTCTGCAAAACAAAAGACGCGTTGCGGCGTGCGTTTATGAATCGCCATCCATTGTTCTTTTTGAATTTCGGAACTTTGATTAATCACCACATGTACATTTTACGCTACATCCACATCATTTTTTGCCGCCTCTGCTTGTAATAATAATGTTGCCGGAGTTTAAATTAAAACTCGCATTAAAATGCAGGAGCACAACGCAGGAAAAAGGAGAAAAGTGAAAAAAGTACGTTAATTAGCGCACAACTGGAAGCTGTCTTAACACTCGCCATTTGTACAATGAAAAAAAAGCGGGAAACTTTTTTAAGCTCGACTTTAATTACAAGATAATTAGAATTTTCCTTGTTTTACATTGCATTTACTTCCGTAATCATTATTTGCAAAAATTAAATTAATGTTTGCAACTCTAAACCAATCGAATTTCGAAGGAAACGGAAGCAATGCGGATGTTTACAAACATTCGTCGGAATGTGTCTGTAAACACTGTGAAAATTGGAAAACGAGCTAATTTCGATTTTATCGTTTTGCGGATGCACTGCAGCGCAAAATGTAAAAAAGTCATTTAATTAATGATTGGATGCTTCCAATGATAATTTGCATATCAAACGGAAAAACTCGGATAGAAAATGATAAAATGCATAAGTAATACTTTCATTTCCACGCACACGTGCAGTAGTGTAATGCCGTCGATTCTAGCACCGCGCGTTGTTTTCGAATTAAAATTTAATCAACTCGACTGTCAGAATAAATCTGTGTTTACAGGTCACGAACCGGCAATAAACTGTTGATAACAGGCTGTTACCGACGTCATGAATAACTGAAAGCGAGTGCCGCCACACCGCACCGCCGCCGCCGCCGCCACCCAAACATATGCCGTCAATCAATCGGGGTTTTGGTGGCGGCGCCGGTGCCGGCGCTCATCATCATCATCATCGTCATCATCACCGTCGGCGTCATCGTCGTCGCACGTTCCGCGAGAGCGGGAATAAAACGGGCATAATATCGATCCGATCCAAGGGCGTGGTTAGCGAATGCGATCCTCGGCGGCGGGCGCGTGTTGTGTCCGTCCGGCCGTTTAAACATTCATAGATAACAACTGGTTGTCGCATATTGCGCAAACGGCGGCGGGCTGCGGCGGCGGCAAAGGTGCCGATTTGCCGCCCACCCTGTCTGCTCGAATGTGTTGGTGTGTTTTTATGTGCGTAAGGCGTGTGTGTGTGTGTGTATACTATTTGCTCCACTTTCACGACAAGTGCAGGAGAACGTTGTGTTTACATTCATGAATACGTTATTTGCATTTTTTTTTTCAACTCGCATTTTTTTCTCCGCGTTTATAAATCGCTCACCGGGACAATAAAGCGATGGATCCATAATCGGCGCTTTTTATCGGCTGGCGAAAAACCGCATCAGGCTGGCACTCCATATCTTCGACAGAGCACTGACATCACCTACTTTGTAACCACCTCCGCGCAGTCGACGCACTCGACGCAGTTTTGGAAAAATTGTCGTTTTTTTCGTGACACAGTTTGTGTTTTTTTTTTGTCAGTTTTGTTACGTACAAGTAATTAGCAGCATGATAGAATATTCCTTAGGTATGTTATTAAATACGACGCAGAGAGAAAGAGAAGTGGCGGTGGTGGCGGCTGTTGCGGCCGGTGAAGGATAAAAAGTATGTGGGCGCACTCAGGATCAAAATCGGACGACGCGCGCGCGATGTTGTTTCATGCGCCGTGTTTGTGTGATTTCGTCGCGGCGCGGTGTGGAAGCGGCGTCCTCGGCGGCGGCGGCGGCGACGGGCGCGTATGCAATGCGGCGACGCGCGATACACGACCGACTCGATCGAACACCTCCACCCGCATACGGAACGCGGCGTGCACTGCCCGGCGGCGCGGCGTCGCGAATCGGGAACACCGCCGACGCCGCAGCGTCGCAGAGCTTTTACGTGTATACCTTCTATATGTGTGTGTATGGCTGCAGCTTTGGGAAAGCGCGGAAAACTCGCCCCAAGCGACATCTATCCATTAACGTTGCAATCAATTCAATTTCACGAGCGAATCGCTTGCAGAAATTTTTATTTCCACACACAACTTACTTAATATAAGTCGAGTGGCGTTTTGAGAAGTTGAATGAAAAATTAAGACAAAGGAGAATTAAGGCACCACGAGCGGTGATGTGCTAATAATAAGCTCGCGCTTTTGCGACAAATGACTCAATTTGATTCATCATCGGGATGAGGCAGATTCTATAACTAAACCGCGCAACATGAAACAACAACACAATGAAATCATTTACCACATTAAGAGGCACATCATATCACACGCTGGTTGAATGTCTGGCAGTTATTTATAAAATTCCACCACTAACCAACACTCGAACACACACACCCGGGAAACACACAAAGAGGGCGCGCGCACTGCACGCTGATCACTGGCACTTGTTAGAAAATAACTTTGGTGGTTTGCGGGGTGGTTTTTCAAGTTGGCGGTGGCGTGTCGCGTAATTTTCGGGTCCAAACTGCTGGTGGCCGCGACAGGTCGCGTTCGGAGCGCACTGGCGGAGAGAGGCAGGCACCGCGGCTCGGGCGTCGCGGCGCGCCGCGCGCGTGTATAAATAGACAGAGTCCGCGACGCTATAGATAGGATCGCCGCGCGGCGTGCGCTGCCCGATCGGCTTTTTTTCGCATGCCGCCTGCCACTGCCCGCCGCCGCCGCCGCCGGCCATGCCGAATGAGTCAAATGAGTCAAGGCGAGAGACATAACGGGCGCATCTGCGTCGCGACGCGCGAGCGTTTTTTACATTTTTGCGCGGTGCATGCATTACAAGTGAGTGCAATCGTTAAATTTGGTATTCGAATGTTTTGCGAATCATCAATTATTCTGACCAATTTTAGAATGTTTTTCGTGGAAGAATCTTTGAAATTCTTGAAAAGTTCTTGCTCTTGGAAAAATTTATTTACGTAGGCAACTTTATCAACTGCAAAATATCTATTATTGTTTAATATAAGAAGGAAATGCTCTAAAATGTTTGTTAAAATCACTATTTTTTCTAATTCATAAAACTCAATTTTAGACATTTTCTTTGTTAATTAATACATAATTAGATTCTTTACCCAATGTATATTATTGCAATTACCGTAATTATTATATTATAGATTCATTCTTAATAATTACATTTAAATTCTGTGCTATAAAAGTTGCCTAACATGCCTTTCCACTTAGCAATTTACCAGCGACCTTGTTTATTCCGCTAGCACATGAATGTGCACTTGTGCACTTGCCTACTCATTCAAAATATTTTCATTTTCCACTCCCTAATGATTGCGATCCGCTGCAATTACGATGTGTGCTGTGTGAGTCAAGTGTTTTCACTGCAACGCACCGATTCTAATTACGATTAATAAACTAAGTACAAATATTAAGGTAAAAACCTAACATCCAATTATGACTAATTCTAATCTGACATTACTAAGCTTAGTTTTTATTTTTTATTTACAGAGGCAATGGCTTGCTACTGGCTGCATCAGCATGAATCTAAAGTAACCATTCCAAGAGTTGAGGAAACCAACTCGATTATTTTCTACAAAATACAAGTAAACATTGCTGATGTCCAGTGGGATGTGGCACATCGCTACAGTGAATTCTATGAACTGCATAACATACTTGTATTGGATCATGGAGTGTCCAAAGATGCTCTGCCTGCAAAGAAAGTATTTGGTAACAAGAGTCCAGAGTTTATCGAGAGTAGAAGAGTGGCTCTCGAGGAGTATTTACAGAATATGTTGAAGTATCTTACTCGGACAATGCCTCAAGTTTTTATACAATTTTTACACTTGCATTTGTATGATGTCTTCTTTTTATTGCAACACATGGCAGCAGCATACTATATTAAGGGAGATGCTATTTTATCATCAAATAGGATGCAAATGTTTAACCCTTTAGAAGTAATATGATGAATTTTAACTAAAATTTATCATTTGTGTACTAATATTTGATGTTTTAGTTGCATGCAATTGGCATTTGTTTGAAATTTCCATTTCCAAAGATTACAGACAGTGATAAAGCATATGATATTAGTAATGTGATGGAGGTGTGCTCACAGCTGAAGAGTTTACAGCTAGATGGCAAAGAAAATCATCTTTCAAGTAATATTTGTCCAAATAAGTTAGAAATTGATTTAACACCTTTTAAAGTAAGTAAAATTTTACTTATTGGTTAGTTTTGTGTACCTATGCGATTTGTTTTAGGCATTGGAAGTATTTATAGTAAAAAAGTACAATTTTGATAATATTACCGAGTTAGGCAATATTCGTAGCACCGTAAAAGTACTCACTGTGCGTTTTACTGATATTCGAAGTATTTCCCAAGTGTTACAGTGTGATAATGTGCATAAAGGCAGTATTACCGATGGCCAGGTATATATTTTTAATTATTTGCTTGTTGCATGGATAAAATTAATTTTTATTCAATTTTTAGACATGGGCAGCAATTACGAAACTTGACTTGAGTTCAAATCAGCTAACGAACATCGACGAGTCAATTAAACTCCTCCCAAAGATAGAAACTCTAATACTCAACGACAACAAAATCAAAGAGATTGAAAACCTTTCGTCCCTCAGTTCTCTCCGACATCTTTTTGTATCTAATAATTTGATTTCAAGCATTGAAGGCATGAATACTAAAATTGGTAATGTATTAACTCTGAATCTTTCCCAAAACCTCATTGGTCGCATTCAGGACCTTGGTAAGTTGTACTCTTTGGAGACTTTAGTGTTAAGTTCGAATCGCATCAGTGATGTCAATGATGTTGCGTGTATTGGCGATTTGCCTTGCTTGGAAAATTTTACTTTGACTGGAAATCCAGTGTCGACTATAATTGATTATCGTATTAAAGTGTTGAAGCATTTTGGAGAGCGCGCGCGAGAGTTGTGTTTGGATAATGAGAAGCCTCTGCAGCCCGAGATTGATAAGGCACTTGTTTTGAGGGCTTTGCAAATTGGCAAGGAGGGGAAGTTTATTTCCAGTATACCGAAATGATATTATCGATGATATTTTACCGTTAATTTTATTAGTAATGTGTGGGTGGGTGTATAAATTGTATAAAATTATAACGAGATGAAATTTTGTAATTTATTGTGAAATTGTTATTAAGGAAAGACGAATATTAAATGTTATACGTATTAACTTATATGAGGGGAAAATGGCGTTAATCGGTATTGTGTGTTGCCTAACATTAACGTGAAAACTTCTTTTTGAGTTGATATTTTTTGGTTATTTACTTTTAAATTCTGTTTTTATTAATTAAAAGTAATTATACAACGTAATTAATTCCGAAAGGTATGAATACATGAATGTATTTTTAGTTTGAACTTCTAAATTTATAAAAAATGGCTTCGTGGCTTTTCCCATGGCCAAAAAAACTTTAAATTTGCAAATTTTAAATACACAATTAGTAAATCGTAACTCCATATGTAAATCCATTTTTTCTTTGGGAACTTCTTCACATTCTCACTGTATTCAAATACTTTTTTGTCTTGCTGCCTTCATTTTTTGTTTTTTCGGACATTTTTTTGTCTGCCACAAATTTAAATATTCGTCTTCCGAGGAGAATATTCCCAAGAAGTCTACCGCGTGTCAAAAAAACCTCCACCCTTTCCTTGTTGAACTCTCAAACACTTTTTTACGCCACTTTTTCTGTGCTTTTGTTTTTTTCTAGCGCCTTGGTCCAGTTTCTTGGCTTTTTTTTTATAATTTTCCTCTGAAAAAAACACACATTACCATCTAATAAATATTCAAATGTATGCATCGGCACGCCAGCGGGGTAGGAGTGAAAGGGGTGCAAGGGGTTAATGAGATTACGATGCGTCATATCAAAATTTACCTGAAGACATTCAAGGCACGCAAAAAAATGGAAGATGATGACGAAGACAACAAAAAACATTTTTCAGGAAGGGTTGTCATGAAGCTCATTAAACGAAGGGCTGTGGAGGAAATAAAAAGAAACAACAGCTGAATAGAAAGAGATATGTATACCCTCACAGGTAAAAGAGTTGTATTTGTGCGATGGTAGATGTATAGCCAGGGCAGTGGGGCGAGTTTACGTCGCGGTGGGGAGGAGCGCCATGTGCTGTGTAAGTAGAAGCAAAGAAAAACAATACGGACATCTCGCGCCGCACGCCGCAGTGGCCAGGCGAATGCGAATGCATCCAGAAGCGATAGTGCATTCGTCGCATGCACTTCGTACACACAAACAACACAAACAACAAACGTGCACGCGTTTATTATTTAAATATAAAAATATTTAAATTAATAACTGTATAGTGTGTTTATTTGTGTGACTGAATAAATGGTGAACGAAATGGATAGCAATAGTAATCACAGTGAGCACAGCGTTGAGGAAGTGGTGCGCCGCGCCGCGACGCCAACTTCAACCACCACCAACGGACTCGCACGGCAATCGCCAAAGATAACCACGTCGACGTTGTTGACATCACCGCCGACTCCAGTAGCGCAGGCTACTGTTGCACTTGTACGCAACACGTCTTCACCGGCGAGTGTTATTTCACGGAAAGTTATGAGTAGGAATCATAATAATACATGTAAGTAAATATTAAATTTTAAATTTTAAGGTTATGTAGCGTTAAATATTGGTTATGTCAATGGCGTTGAATTTATTTTTATTTGTTTTTGTAAATATTTAATTCTCTGCACGTCCACAGCGTGATTTCTCGCGTTCTTTTTTAAATTTGTGTCGTAACCGATTCGATTGATCGCAATTTAAAGCAAAAACTCAACGCATAACTTTATAAAAACTCGCACAATCCAATGTCGTATAGGAGTATTGGTGTATTTAATAACAAGAGATAAAATTGCACGCAAGGCTTGTTTTTTTATCGCTAGAGTCAGCGAAACGATTTGAAGGGAAAATATTTTAACGTCCACTTTGAAAGCGCACTTCTTCAGCGCTTATAACGCCTATTACGATGCTATTAAAGTCTTGTTTATGTTGATATTTAAACATTTGCAACGCTTTTTGTTTTTCCACGTGTGCACGCGCGCGCGCGCGCAAGAAGTGGCGACTTTCTTGAGGCTTTCTTGGCTGTTATATAAGCATGTATTTAACGTCGCGAAAAACGGCGCCGGCAGGAACTCGCGGTGGAAGCGGCGAGCGTTTCGCAATAATCGCGCATTGTGCGCGCCGCGCGCCAGACTCGCAAGAAACACGCATCGGGAAGAAAAGGAGTCTAGAAGTAGAAGAAGTGCGCTGCGCAAAAAGCAACGCGATCTACTACAGGGACGGTAATTATTGCCTCGGTTTCAAACTCAAACCTTAAACCAACACTTAAAGTAAGTATCCCTTAGTAATTTGCGACAATAATTTCAGAGTTTATTACTGCGCTTGCTAGGATTTTTAAAATACCGATGGGAAAAAGTTTTATTGACTGGTTTTTCTTATATTGGTTCATGTTAGGTCAAATTTGATTAGGAAAATCATATTTTAAAGTAAATTTCTTATTATTAAGAACATTAAAATGGAAAAAATATTTATTTGGCTTTTTAGTTTAAATTTATGCTGTTTTTGATATTTATTAATTTTTTTTCTTTACAAATGAAGCAGAAAACGCGATATTTCATAACTTTCTCAGTTTTTAATGCGTTTTTACCAATTTTAACGGTTTAACCACACTTATTGTGCAATTAATAACCCGCCGGATGTAAATTATAAAGAAAAACCCGCGCAAAACATAATACTGCACATAATTAAAGAAATCTGCGAATAATTCAACGAATTACACGACTCTTATTCATTGGGGTGAGTCCACTTCGTCGATTGTACTCTCCTCAACCCATTGAAAAGAACAAAAACGTTTTAACGTACGAGTATTCATACACCAACACAACCTCAACCTTAAAAACACAATTTGTACAAAATGGCGGAGGTTTGCGTGGCGTCGTTTGTCCGTTTTTGGCAGTTGTTCTCCACAACTACGACCCTCAGTTCTCAACCCTCTGAAATTCATCAGCACCCTAGTAGAATCACACAACGGCGTTTTTTCAATCAGATTTTTTTCTTTGTACATTTTAACCAATCGTAGACGTTGGTTGTGTTTAGGTGGAGTCATCCCGAGGGTGACGATCGTCACCACCCAGAGATGTGTCCCCACTCGCCCAGAATCTCACCCCTAAGCACCTACCTACCCTTAATTTTTTCTACCTGCGTTTTAATTTATATACCTGCCATTTTTTTCAACAAGTGGTAAAAAAGCCTTCCATTTTTTTCGATGGACGTCACTTTTTCATGTTTTTTTCTGATTTTTTTTTGGGTAAGCGTGGCATAATGATTATCATGCATAAACATGACTATGCAAATCCTGACGCATCTTATTAGCTTATTTTTTTGGTTTTTAAATCTTGTGATGAGAATCTTTATGCCTCAAACTTCTCACTACAATTTTTTGTCATTTTTTTCGTTTAATAATTTTTTTATTGTTTGTGTTGTAAGAAAGATAAATTTAAAATCAATTCGACATCATTTGATTGTATTTCTCGGTATCGCCGCCAGCGCGCAAAAAACGCCACATTCGAACGCCGCTCGCCGGCAAAAAAAATCATCAACTTGTGGCGGAAAAAAACGCGCAGCCGTATTACGAATCGACGTACCGCGTGTTGTGACCAGTGTACAACTCTGTGCGCGACAAAAACGCAGGAGTCAATTACGCGGGAATATTTTAATACGTTCGTAATACGTTTGTTGGTAATAACAACTCATTGTTTTGCGCCGCCGCGCGCTGCTTTTTTCTCACCCGGACGCCAGAAGTTTGGACGGAAAAAGTCGTCGCGAGCCGGACCACTTTTTACTTATCTAGTCACAGCACACACACACAGTATATTTGTGTTTGTGTTTGTGTGTGTGTGTAAGTGAGCGGTGGTTTTTTTTTTCGGGCTGAGATCTTCGGATTTCAGTGCATATTATGCAGTCGCGAGTCGTCGCATGATCGTCGAATTTCAACTTTTTGTTTGTTCTTTGAGGCAGCGCCAAACAAACCGACGCAGGATGCATCAGCCTAGGATTTGGCAGCGAATTTTCGTCTTGGTGCCATTTCTAGGGCTTTTGCTTTTTTTCGTGAAAATTTTGAGTTACTACTTAATAACTCACGAAATAAATGTCCTACGGTAATTATTTTTACATAAATAAATTCTGTGCTTAATAGTGCATCTAATTGTGTAAACATTTTCAAAATTGAATGTTTATATTAAAAGTTGTTAACAAATTTGTAAAAATTTGTCAAATTTTACCAAACATTTTGGTTTTTCAGGTATAATTTTTTATATTTCAAATAAATATTGATGTTTATACTGTTAATTTACGCAGAATTAAATACTGAACAAATTTATGTAAAAATAATTATTGTTACACCGTTAGTTTGTGAGTAATTAATGAAAAACTAAACTAAAACAAGTATTTTTCTATTTTTAGCCGCTCGTTCTTCACTTTTGACTAAAACAAAAACTCTAACAACAAAAACACAAGTTTTATAGCATTGTTTATCTAATTCTCGAGACTTCTTTGTTGTTCGTTTAAAAATGCAACAAAAACACTGTCGTCATCTCGGATTTATTATTTAATTTGCAATAAAAATTAAATTATTCTAATTATGTAAATGTCGAAAATGTTGCTCTTGCACTAGCGGCGAGTCGGCAAGCCGAAGTAATTGTTGTTAGCTATTGTTAACTTTTTTCCAGCTGCAGTAGATAACGTGCGAAAAAAGTGCGTTTTTTGCGCGTTGAGTGGCGCAAGCCCGCGCAACCTTGACCTTTACCTCGAATTTCGAGTGTTGTCCTAGTGACTCGCAAACCGAACACGCGCACGACCAGCTGAACTCTATAAAAACGCTTTGCATTCATTAATATTATGAGATAATAATATAAATAAATCGTTAAACGTAAGAAAACATTAAAATAACAAACCTGACAACAGATTTTAACCTATTGTTAGGTAAGTAATGTCAAAATATGTGTGTTTGGTTGCCTATAGTAATAATAATATTCCATTGAAAGTTTTTGTTTAGTTCTCACGTGATTTAACATGAATCTATTTATCTCGTGTTCGTATTCAATGTGTACGCAAATAAAAAAATCTTTTGGAATCTTTAGTCTCATCGCGTTCCTCTCTCTTTGCTGCCTTAAAAAAATTTAATCCTTCCCCGCGCACGACTCACCTACTCACATCAAACCATTAAAGAAGATAAAAAACTAATAAAAGGTATTCCGTTGCTTGTCTGTTACGGAAAAAACCGAGCGGCCTCCGTGTGAACGTCGAAACGTCGTCGGGAAAAAAATTAAAAACCGAGCGCATAAAAAGTTCTGATTAAAAATAATTCCTACGAGCACAAAAAACACATCATCATCGCAACGCATCACGAGTTTGAGAAGTTCACGCAAGAAAAGAAAGGTTTGCTGATATTTTATGCAAGAATAACGCCGAATTAATATGCAAGGACACGTTATGTCAACATGACCGCATCTTTAATGCGTGTGGATGTGTTTGGGTGAACTACGGGTGGCCTACGAAACACGTCAAATGAAAAAAAATTGTACAAAAACCACTTGAAAAGCAAACTAAACCACTAGGTGAAGTTAAAGAGAAGAAGGGGTCACTTTTCGGGTTTATACTGGTCGGTTTTTTGTTGATTTGCATCTTGTGTCATAAATATGACCCTTTAGATTTATTCTCACGCTTGGAGACACAAACCGGAAGTCAGCAAACATTATATTAATTAATTTTACATAAAAAATTAAGTAAGTATCAAATTTTTGTTTTTACCAATTGTTTTGCCTAAAATTTAGTTTTAATTTAATTTGACAGGCTTTATTTCGGAAGTTACGTCTCGCGTGGCGTTTTCTCACGGTGGCCGCGACTAGGTGGCTAGTTTTTGTGACCGCAGTGATAAAAAAAAACACCGACGTGAAGTAGCGGCAGCCGCAGCGCACAAAAAACGCAATACCTGCTTGATGAGTTTTTTTGCTCGTCGCATTTTAATACTTTGTCGTGTAAGTCGTGCGGGGTACTCTAATGATATGCAAGAGGCTCTCGAAGGGTTCAAGCGAGGGTTACGCTAGAAAATATCTAAACATTTTGTTTATATTTTACATTGTGGGAGTTTACGTCTCGATACTAGACGAATGCTCACATTGCTCTCACATCCCTGACCCGCTGCACATTTATCGATTATCCTCATCGTTACCCATCGTCCTTTGTGGGTGGCGCGTGCATTCTTTTCCGAGTTCGCTTTCGGCTACAGATGACGCATTCGTCCCGCGTGTCTCGGCCAGCCGGGCATGCGCTCGTTCTTCTTCCGCCTGAGTTTTGTTTTCTTATTTTCGCACACACCCGCATCGATTGCGCCCTATATCCAACCGGAGGACAATAACCCACTAATTTTATCCTCAAACCACATAAATTTATAATATTTTATTTTGTTTCAGTGTTTCCAACATCATTCCCCAGTAATCTTGCAGAATTACAACTATTTCGCGTGATGCAAAACGCGTCGTTGTTGTATTACTACGACACATTACTGGAAATGGGTGGTGACGACGTGCAACAATTATGCGACGCCGGTGAAGAAGAGTTTTTAGAAATCATGTCACTTGTAGGCATGGCATCGAAACCCCTACACGTTCGCAGGTTTCAAAAATCTCTTCAGGAATGGGTTAATAATCCGATAAAATTCAAAACTCCTTTAACGCCTGGCGATGATTTTGAGCTAGAAAGAATCCCACAACAACAACCTGTCAATAGTATTAATAACCTGCCTAATGTAGGCAACCAACAGTACACATTTGAAGAAACAGCGCGGACATTATACGCAGCTAGCCCTGCAAGTCCTTCCTCTCAACCATGTCCCATCACGTCCAACAAGAGGCCTTACTCTCCGCTAGACGCACCTAATTCCTGCCCACCTTCATCCAGCTCCAGTCCTGGCAGTTGTACATCTTTACCTTTGTTATCCGGAACTTCCGGGAGTAATGTCACTCCAAGTCTGCCGGAATCTCACGTGGGAAAGCTGGCAGCAGCTGCGGAACGCCTTAGTAAACAATTACCTCAGTTCGAACCTAAACCACAGAATAACAAGAAGAAAATGTGTAAAGAACTTGAGCTGGTTATGTCTATGGCGGATAATGATCCAAGGAGAATGGACGAAATCAGGCGATACGCGGCCATCTATGGAAGATTTGACTGTAAACGTCGTCCTGAGAAACCGTTAACCTTACATGAAGTTTCTGTAAATGAAGCGGCTGCGCAAATTTGCCGATTTATTCCAGCGCTTTTAACACGGAGAGATGAGTTGTTTCCGCTTGCAAGACAAGTGGTCAAAGATTCAGGCTGTCATTATTCTAAAACTGGGTAAGTTTTTAATTAAAAATCAATTAAATTTTTGAAAACATTTAAAATTTTTGTTTTTAGAGCTGGATATACAATGTGTTTGCGTACAAGTCAATCGGACTTGGTTGACACATTGAACAATAGCAATAGCAAGGATTCCAGCAAGCGGCGCTTTGATGATGGCGGCTTTGAGGAGGATGCGCCGGCGCAGAAGCGACACCAGGTCAGCACCACGTCGCCTAGCAAAACGCGCGGTCTGTTGCCGCCGCCTTCACCACGCTCGCCTCTGCAATTAACCAAGCTCTGAAACCTCATCAACGCACGCGTTACGCACATTTCGCACGCTTCACACTTGATTACTTCTTGCGCACCGCATGGTCTTCATTTTTCTAATTGCGCAAACATTCCATAGATGACTCTCTTATCATAGCTGTAATTATCATTTTGACACACCGGAGAGCTTTTCAAGCTGTTTTCTGTGTCGGAAATTTAATTTATGTAATGTTTGCGCTGTAAACTATGTTTTTCTTGATTTTTTGTTGTTAACAAAGGTATAGTATGCTATTTTTAGGAATTTTTCCGAAATTAACATCGGCCAATTGTTGCGGACTTCAAGATGGGTGAGGATGTTAAAGAAATGGCGTGGTATTATTGCATTTCATGTTTGTCTGCTTCTATTTCATTACTAACATTGCATGGCATTATATAGCATGGAGATTATTTGTTCAAGTAGCAGGCGTAAGTCGATTGAAACTGTTTGCATTATTTTTGATTTCCAGGAATATTTAAATAATGCACGATCGTCGATACACTTCAGTGCTTCACTGCTGCATTCAAAGTCACATACATCTACCAGGTAATATAAAAATAAAAAAATATCGTATATTTGAATAATACTTACGTTTTTCTTTGTAGAATGTGTTCAATTGGCCCAGGGACAGATGACGAAGCTGAACTTCATTATTCCTTGAGTAATTCCTGTTCGAATTCTCCTCTTCAGGTTAATAATTTTAATTTCTGGTCTTATAATGAACTATAGGCAACTTTTTATACATGTAACCATATTTTTTTCAAGGAGAGTGAAAAAATTGACAGCGCAGACGCGTTAGAAGAAGAAGACGTGAAACTAATGCTCGACGCAACGGACACAAGTCGCGAGAAGTTCTCACCGCGTGTCCAGGTAATCGCCGCCTCCGGGGACAATATCATCGCAGTAGCAAACCCAGCGCTCGCCCTCTCACCAGCCATGCTCCCCTTGAGCACCATTTGACTGATTAAATGTAAGTCTTCACTCTCTGCGGCAGGCAATGAGATTGCAATATTCGTCAAACGAATCGACGCGCAACGGCTCATGCGCACAACTACACATACGTAGTAGTTGACTTGTGATTTATTTATATGTTGCGTAATTTGTAAGGAATATAAACGTTATTTTATTATAAATATCGATTACGAAAAATTAAACAAATTTATTATCGCCTAAGTATAAAATAAATAATTACGTGCGGATTGGAATGCGACGCAATGGTAATACATTTATTAAACAGATACAAACTTAACATAATAAAAAGCTGTCGCGAGATTATTGGATATTCTTTAAGATCCAATCGATGAATTGTGTAACACGTGTGTACACGCCAGGAAAACCCGGTTCAGCGCATCGATAGCCGTAAGAAACAACTCCAATTTGATATCGAAGAATTAGGTTACCAGTTAAATTCGCTACCATTAGGGGACCACCTGAGTCACCTTGGCAGGAATCTTTTTTACCATCATTGTAACCTGCGCAAATTATACGATCATCGATGATTGTTTTTGCTTTTGCAAAGGCATCTTTGCATTTCTGATTGGGCACAACGGGAAGTATAACTTTCTGAAGATGTGCTGCTGACGGGCCATCTATAAAAAGATAATTCAAAATGGCGTTATAGCTACATTTATGAAATAAATGTATTTTTAATAAACTTACTGAAATATACAGCTCCCCAACCGGAAACGATGGCTTGGCTGTTTTCATATGTGAGACTGCGTTGTGGTTCATCGAGTGGTAAACAAACAGGTATTACATATGCTAAAATTTCAAAAATCAATTAATAGTAGTAATAAAAAGTTGTATATTAAGTGCCAAGTGGTTAAACAGGGGTTTTTGTAACGAGATTGATTTTAATCAATTGAGTGTTTAACAACGTTTAGCCACGTGATGCTTACGGTATTTTTTCTACTTCCACTTTATTTCCTCGTTTAGTTGTTGTATTTGAATTTTTTATTTAAAAAAAAAATTCGCTTGCACACTACTGGGAAATCTAATGCGCAGGCGCAAGCTCCACCCCGCGATTAAAACACGTTAATAAAGTACTTTAGGCACGACATTGGCCTCCCGTGTTTAAAGTACCACTTTTTTGTGTTTCAAAACCGTGAAAAATGGCGGAAGTAGAAAAAGCGAATAAAATTTATATTTTATACATACAAAGAGTAACTGGATGCTCCAATGTCAAAATAGCAATGTCATTGACAAAAACAGTCGGTGAATATTCTTCATGTATCATTTTCTTAGCGATTGGTACATTCAGGGGCGTGGCACCATCGTCATCAGAGTACAGATCCAAGTCACCAACACGTACAACATATCTAAAACAAATTTAAAATAAATTTTAAATTAATATAAATTTTTGCATAATTAAATTTAAAATTTTAAAATTTAAATTTTAAAATCTAACTTACACATCTTTATTATGAATACAATGCGCAGCGGTAAGAACATGTCTATCCGTGATCAAGGTACCACCACATAACCACCTCGGTTGATTGGTCTTGCTATTGCGATAACCCAAAGAAACCATCCAGGGATACTCTTTGAGGTTAGCGGGCACACCTCCTACGACACGAGTGTTGGAATCCTTACTAACCCCACAATGCGGCGGGCGTAGTTTTGTGGCTAAGGTAGGTTCCCTGGTGTCTACCGGAGTAGTATCCGGTGGAAATTCAGTGAATACCGGAAGTATTTGGGGTGGTATCGTTGGATCAAAAACAGACCGCCGAGTTGTTGTTGTTGTTGTCGTGCGGAATTGTGATTCCAGTTGAGGGCAGCACACGAGCGGTGTGGTACCCTCGTATCCGCACGTGGATCGTCGAAGATAATTCTGCACCTCGGGGTTTTGGATTTGTGAGCGCAGCAGACGGATTAATCCATCACAACGTTTGATATTGATACAAACACCAGGATCATTTAGTGGTGTAGTGCAATAGTTATCATCTAAAAAATAAATTCAAGATTTTTATTGCAATTAATGCATAAATTAATCAAAGGTATAGTCAGTGTGTTAATGGATCTGAACTTGAACTATAATTCATTGAAACGTCATTGAAAAAACATTGAATGTGAAATGTGGCGAATGACGAATGAAATTGAAATTAAAATTTCAAATGGAAATCATCGAGGCCTCTACATGCTGATCCTTGGTAAGTATGAGTATGAGTACATTTATTAAATGCATGCTGCACGCGTCTACAATTATAATTTCTGGGTTTCCACCGAGTTTATTAACTACGCATGCATTTATTCATCGATTGCACTCATATTTAACTACTCATATTAATCTGTTTTTAATTCAATTGATTTCTAAGAATAAAAATATATTTTTGAGTTATTTGTTCATAGAGAAGGTACGTTGACCGGACGATAGTAATTTTCGGCAAACATTTCATGGTCTGTTAAAATTGGTTAAGCATTGACAGCGAACATTGGACTCGTCATCTAGTTTTCACATTACTCGTAAACCAAACATAAAATTAGGATTAATTAAATTTTTCACATTTTTTGCAAATATTTATTTCGGTAATAAAAAAATCTCACCTTGACTAAAACATAATTATAGTTAATTAAGTTGAGTTATTTTTGTATCGAGATCGGAAGAGTTTAAAACTACGGAAAATCCACGATAATTTGTCATTTTTATTATGTTTATTATCTCTTCTAGTTAATAAACATGTTTTGCGGTTAGTTTTGAATGAAGGGGTGATGTAGTTCGAGATAATTCAGATCAATTATCATTAATTATAGTGTAATTTGTAATTCACATCAAAAACAAACGTTTTGATATTTTTTAACAATTTTCAAGTTTTTACAAGTTTTTTTTTTATTGCGATTTACTCAAAAATGACGTCATGGTAAACAGAATAACAAAGATGTGATTTACAAATAGAGTAATTGTAGAGTAAACAATTAAATCAAATACTTATGCAAATTTCTCGCATTAAAAAACAGTTAATCCTCATTAAAAACTAGAAATACCTTGAGATAATGCATATCCAATGTTGAGAAGCAGGATAATCACCACACGATGTTGTAGCATTTTGTCGGACGATGTTAATCGCACTAAACAACTTAAGCACACTTGCGGCGATCGCCGGACGCAAACAAGTTTTAGTTTTGCGAAACACAATCTATTGCTACTAGATTTATTTCAAGTTCATCACTCACTATTTCGACACTTAAAAAATATTAACTTAATAATAATAATAATAATTTATTCACCAAGCAGATTTATCCATCTGCAGTGAATAGATTGTTTATGTTTTTAATTAATACTTGGAGATTATAGATTGTAATGTCGCGACCGGCGGTACGCAAATGAAGAGATAATGCGCACTGAGTGACCAGTGGCTCGCGACTGCGGGTTTTTAAATGTTCGCGGTGATCTAAGTTGGCGGCGGGCAGCGATGCGAATTCGTCGAATGCCGCGTTTGTTTCGCGGATGAACCGAACTTATAACTTACAAATTGGTTTCAAAACAGGTTATTTCGATTTTTGATTGAATCCGAGGTGTAAAAACAGTTTAAAATGTGATTTACGATTTATAGTTGCAGAAAATTATTATAATTGTTATATTATTGCTATCAGGGCAATAAAAATTAACATTTTTGTAGGTATAAGAGTTATTTTTTAGTAATACCGTTATATAGTGACGTCTAATCATTTTGTTATCAGGAGATATCAAATGGCAACTTGGTTGGACAATAATATCAAATTGAAAGAATATACAGTTATTTTATTTTTATTTTAGGTCATTAACTTTGAATTAAATAAGTTTTTGGGGCATAAAAATATAAAAAATCAACTTTCTCAAATATTTTTAGCTCTAAAGGTGTGAAAACTTCAATTTACATTGGTATAAAATTAAAATTCACCCTTGTATAAACAAAAATTTAAATGACGCATGCCGCCAACCGCACGCGGTTTATCAATATCTAATTAAAGTTTGTCTATTGCCAATAGAAACATGATACACGTATGTATTTCTAGGCAAATACATTGCAACAGAATACTAACACATCTGCATGTCACTGGGAAGGACGACGACACAAAACGCCGAGAAGGTCGCGTCGCTATTGAGCGCACTTTAATTCCGTTTTCGGAGTCAACACAACACAAATATTATATTGCGTTCGCGGATTTACCCAGGCTCATATAAAAATTATATTATCGGAAGCCGGATCGGAAGTAAGGTTAATAATATAAGTGAAAGAGATGTTGATGGAATACCGCAACGCATGACTAATCCACTAATTTTGCATTTCACGTGAATTTCACGATGAAAATACATGGAAATCACAGAATATAACACTACAATCATGTGCAACAATTACTTATTGAGTAAAAATAAGTAAAATTCATCATTGTTGTTGTCCTCGGCGAAGAATTTCTTGTTTAAACTCTTCTGTGGATGAGTAAATCGGAATATCCCGCCGGAGTGACTGTAAGTACACTTGGACTTCTTCGAAACGATCACTAAACATGCGTAAAGGTATAAATTTTATAATTTACCAAAGAAAAATATTTAATATTTAATAATAACTTACATGGATGCAATGATGCAATCGCAATCTTCATTCAAAAATTCACTCTCGATGCCTCCAGCGTTTTTAAACGCAACGCGATCATAAAAATTGGAATTATACGAAATTTCGGTACTGCTCGTATCATTGATGATTTTATACCGGTCGAAAAACGCTGTATACCCGCGCAGAACTTTCCATTCGCGCGTGAAATTGATCTCAGCGTTGAATTCATTGATTTCATCAACAGTCAGCTGCATTACATTGTAATTACTCTAAAATTGGGTCGAAAAAACAGGTTATGTAACAAGTTAACCTTAAACTAAATACTACCTTTAAATACTCGTTGAAAACCTTCTTCAGACTTGTTTTATCCGCGGGAATTACATAAGAGTCACCAAAGTGGTCAAATTCCTGCATGAATCTCCTCTTGCTCTTTTCGGACATTTTAACCACATCAAAAGGTTCATACATCATAAACTCTCCTTCATTTAATACATGCCGTAGCCAATCGACTTTTACTATATCAACTTCGCCTGTATAAGTTTGTGTCCTGATGTGATCATCTCCTACTAACATACAGAGTGTATCAGGAGTGCAGTCTATAGCTAGGGTACCGCCATTTTCACGAACAGCTTTCTCTACCATATCCTTGGTCCAGTCACCTATACCAGTTAATACAACGAACGTATAACCCAGGAGGATGTCACTGACGATATCAACCGGAAGTAGCTCGAAATTCAACTCCTTTTTTCTTCGTTTTGATGGTTTTGATGGTATTACCAAATCTTCTAATTCAAGGTGTCTCTTGTTTAATTTTTGCACCACGGATGATCCTTCAGTTAAACTTGTAAGTTCATCAGTTGTTAAACAATCATCAAAGTTTTTATCAAGACGAAGACATAGAATACGAGGAAATCGAAGTGTATATTTGGTTGCATAGTCTTTTACTGTTGTAGAATCGTAGAGTTTGATCAATTCACTTCCTCTAACCTGGAGACATTTTGATTTTGATGGTGGGATCCATTTATCAGGTTTCTCTTTACCTAGTATTATATTAGACTTTTCATGGTGTGGGTCATTTCTCCAATGAGGGTTTAAATGTGTATTAAGTTCTTTAGTTTCTTCCCTGTTTAAACCTGTAGAGATTTTCGCAAATGATAAATATTTATTTTCATTTTTATCTTTGACAGCTACAAGGTACCCTGTTATTTCTCCTTTGGTTGCTCCCTGGCCATAATATCCTCCAATTATCACTACGTCTAAATCAGACATGACTCCTTCGAAATATTCTAGTTTTACTTTCCACCACCCTATGCGTTCATTAGGTAGATACACCCCGCAAGGAGACTTGAAAACAATACCTTCTTCTTTGTTATCCATCGAAGTATTAAGTTCATTTAGAATTCCTTGCTTATTAAACACGGATCTATATGAACTCACCATGATGACACCTTCTAATGATGTTACCACTTTTTGTAACCTTAATTTCCTGTCTTTTAATGGTGTGTTACACAAATTCTCACCGTTGAGGTACACCAAATCAAAAACACAGAAACATTGTTGTATGTTAGAATCTATTTTGACTTTCTTTATATCTGCAAACATCCCTTTGGACCCGAATGTTTTTGAGTTCTTTTTATATATCATCATTTCGCCATCTAGTATTACACTGTCCGCGGTGATACATTTTTCTATTTTTGCGCATGCGCTTTGAATTCTTCGGTGTAGTCATAACCATTTCTCGAGAAATATTTGAACTTTTTGTTGCCGAAATGTAATTGGAAGCGTTCCCCATCGAATTTTTCTTCAACGTAGAATTCTGTGTCGTCTTTGACAGCTCGGTTGAATTCTTTTACGTCACATCGCAGTGATAACATTGGTCTGAATGCATTAAACAATGTCACTTCGATATCACTCGCTGTTTTATTTAGATCTTCTAGATCTAAACATAATTGTCTTAAGCTGTTGTTGGTTGTGAAATATTTCGGCGCGTCAGGGTGGTAGCACTGTAAAATATCACTCTTTCCTAACCCAAGTTTCATTTCTCGTAATAAAATGCGTATCAACCATTTTATTTCGATTTGTGATATATTACTGAATAAATCATAGATGATACTCTCTTGTTTTCTTATATTTCCAGCTGCTATTTCGTCTAGTTTATCGTTGAGTTCTTTCAGAGTGTATTTTATTGTTGCTGTTTTTTGTGTTTTCTTTCGTACGACTGAATAGGCAGCATCCGCGTAATCTTTGAATTTAGACGCCGCGCCACTTGCGGATTGATTGAAGTTTTTTAATGTGTTGACGTCACTTCCGGTTTTGGGAAGGCATAGAATATTGGTTAGGGTTTTGGTGAATGAATGCTCACCGAGACGGTATGGGCCGCGTTCGCGTTCCCAGTTTGGGAGGAATAAACGAAGAGCATCGTAGAATTTTATCCCGCGTTCAAGTTGAATGACGTAATTTTTAATATTGGAAGTTTTTGTTGTTTACCTTTGGTTGATGAAATGGCTTCGAAAGTTTCACACAAGATGGAGAAGGTATCTTTAGTCATATTGTCGAAAGTTGTTGCTTGGAAATGCGTGGAATAGAGTTGGATACATCGATTACAAAACAAAATCAGCTGATAGTTGTCATTTCAAACGACTTTCAAATGTTTTTGACTGATAAAAGTTATCATAAATTATTACAAAGAAGTTGTTTCGATTACTAAATATTTTGTTTAACATTAACCTTGCAAAAATCTGCTTTGTTTTTAAGTAACACTCAGTTTAACAAACAAAAACGAATGAAAAACACTAGGTGCTTAATACTGCAGAGTAGCAGTAATAAAAACATTAGTAAATTATAAAATATTAACAAAATTAACGATAAATTTAGTTTGTTATTAACTTTAACATGTTGAATGAGCAAATTATTTATGTTAATCTAATAATTAATTATACAATGCTTATTTTTGCTAGGTATTTCGAACATCTTGTGTATAATTTGATGGGAGCTTTTTCCATACCAACATGAGTCTCGTAAGTGCAAAAAGCACTAACAAACAGACTGGCAGTCTTGCATGCCTGGTTGTTTGCCTGGCAGTCTGACTGGCCGCTGCCACCATGCGGCCAATGACAACAACACATCGAGTGGTGTAACCTCCAACTGCCAACTCAGTGCTTTGCTGCTTATTGCAAATATTCTTCGTAAGTGTCATTACATTGGTTAATTTTGAAGAAAATCTTCAACTTTCAACAAAGATGACTGAACCAGACGCTAAAGAAAAGGCCCGGATTACTCTCTACACCGAGTTTCACAAACATGACCAGAAAGGAGATCATGATCGTGCGCTTAAAGTTATTAACAAAGGTAAGTTTACTTTATTTTTTTATTTTATACCCATATGGACATAATAAACACATTCCTATTACCTAATAAATTACATTCGTTATAAATATTGATGTAAAATCTTATTTTTATAATATTTTTATTATTTTCAAAACTTTTAATAAGTATTTTTCTTCTTAAGTTTTGCAAATGTGTCCGGATGACACAACCGCATTCCAATGCAAAATCGTCTGCCTTATCTACTTGAATCGGTTCGAAGAGGCACTCTCTCACATCAACAAGAATCCAAAACATAGTGCAGACATGCACTTTGAGAAAGCCTACTCATTATACCGCACGAATCAACCGGAAAACGCGCTCACTGTCATCAATTCAGCACCACAAAACCACCGCTGTCAAGAATTACGCGCACAGATTCTGTATCGCTTAGAACGTTATCAAGAATCATTCAATGCGTACGACGAGATTATTCGTAGTGATCCCAACGATGACTACGAAGAAGAACGTCAGACCAATCTGTCTGCAGTTGTGAGTTCATTAAATGATGCTAAAATGTTGAAAAGTGTTGAGAATCAACTTCAAGAAGACACTTATGAGATGTGCTACAACAAAGCGTTGATGTATGCACAGGCAGAGAACTTCCAAGAAGCTGAAAAACTTCTTAAGAAAGCAGAGAAATTACTCCGGGAGAGTTTTGAAGAAGATGGCGCAAGTGAGGAGGAAACCGAAGCAGAACTAGCGCACATTCGTGTTTTGCAAGGGTACTGCTGGCAGAAACAAGGCAGAACTAAAGAAGCGCATTCTTTATACTTATCTGCACTGAAACAAAAAATCGACGATATTTCTTTATCTGCTGTAGCTAGCAATAATGTTGTTGTCATCAATAAGGATCAAAATGTTTTTGATTCGAAGAAAAAAATGAAAGTCGCTACAAATGATCAGTTGGTACATAAATTACCATCGGAGCAACGCAAAAATATTGCGTTGAACAACGCCATCTTTAATTATTACTCAAATCATCATGATCAAGTTACAAGTTTGAGTAATACTGTTGAGAAAACATGGCCGGAGTTAAAAGTACAATGTAGACTTCTAAAAGCGTTGAATTTGTATAAAGCTCCGACGAAACAAGATCCGATTCAGTTGTTGCTCAAAGCCGCTCAGGAAGCCTCTAATGAAGCGGAGAATTTTATTCTCAAGATGACTTGTGTGCAGCTTTTGCTACAAAATGGCGATAAGAAGAAAGCTTGTGAAGTTTTGGAAGATATCGGTGATTACAGATACAAACCTGGTATTGTTGGTGCGTTGATAACGCTGTATCTTAATCAGGGTAAAGAAGATGTTGCGCTTAAAGTGTATGAAGAGGCGATTGAATGGTACAAGAAAAACGAGCGCAGCGGGCTTAATTTGACGAGTTTGTTTAAACAAGCGGCTGATTTTCATATTAGAAATGGACGCCCACAGGTGGCTGCGAAGAGTTTGGAGCAATTATTAGCGAAAGAGAAGAATGATACGAAAACTATCTCGCAGTTGATTATTGCTTATTCGCAGTTCGATGAGAAGAAGGCGATTGAATTGAGGAAGCGTCTTGCAAATGTTGTAGATCTTGATGTGGATCTTGATACTCTTGAGAGTAATGTTTGGCTCACTGCGAAGAAATCCGCGACTACTTCGAAAGTTGATATTTCTCCAGGGTAAGTTGATTTTATAATTAATTGTGTGTAAAATACGATATATTGTTTTGTTACAGGCCGATTGAAAAGAAAAAGCGTAAGCATCGTAAACGTAAAGGTAAATTACCGAAGAATTACGATGCAAACAGCGCACCGGATCCAGAAAGATGGCTGCCGAGGTACGAGCGGTCTGGTTATCGTAAGAAACGCGATCGTAGGATGAAAGACGTTATTAAGGGCTCGCAAGGCACGGCTTCAGGTCATTCTGATCAATAGTAAGTTTTCTAATAGTTTTAATTGTTTGATTAGTTGTTTAATTTGTTTTTATTTCATTTTTACAGCGATTTTTCGGGTAAAACTGTCGATGATGATAGCGCACCGAGTGTTGAGCCGTCCCCTATGCAAAAGAGTGGTCCGCGACAAAATATGAAGAAAGGTGGCGGTAACAAAAAGAAGAACAAGAGGCGTTAAACGGTAAAAAGTGTAATATTTTGACTTTAATACGCGATTTTTACATTTATTACTTGTGGCAATTCCAATACAAAATGTCTATCACTGCAAAACAGTTATTTATTTTTCTAATCCTTTGAAATGTTTTTTTGTGTTTTGGGAAGTTTATAGTTTGATTTAGTTATATTTAGGGTTTTATTCTTAACAGGTTGGCATTCCTGGTTGGTGCAACGTGCGCGTGGCGCATGCGCAGTAATCCCTCGCTCACTCTAACGCGATCTGTTTTGCCGACCGACGTGCCGTATCTCCTTTTCGTCTAAGCTTCTAGCGAACATTACATGTTTCAGCAATGAAGGTACGTAAAGTTCGCAAAAAACACGAAAACTACCCGCGATTATGGCGAAATATCACTGGATTATTGTGCTGAATAGTGTGGCGGTGCTTTGCGTCGTGTTATGTGCGCGTTTTCGTAGAGGATGTTTGTGATTACCGAAGATTTGTCATGGGTGACGCGGAGCGCCGACCAACAACCAGCACAATACTTCCATGCTGTTCGCCGTTTATTTAACCAGAGCATTTTGCAAATGTGAAGTTCTAAGCAAGTTCAGTGTCCGAAAAAGTACGCGTTTCTAAAAATATATTGCGTGGTTAAATAGTTCTTGTGTTTATTTGATAAAGTTTGGGAAATGTTTTGTTTTGAGGTTAGAGGTTGAGTATACATGGCATGTGTTCATCTTTGTTATAGCTCAACGTGTCTTTCCCGGCGACGGGATGTCAAAAACTCTTCGAAGTAAACGATGAGCACAAAATTCGTGTCTTCTACGAGAAGCGTATGGGCGCTGAAGTTGAAGCCGACATTCTTGGCGATGAATGGAAGGGTTACGTCCTTCGTGTTGCCGGCGGCAACGACAAACAAGGTTTCCCTATGAAGCAGGGTGTCTTGACCAACTCGCGTGTGCGTCTTTTGCTCAGCAAGGGACACTCTTGCTACCGGCCAAGGCGTACTGGTGAACGCAAGCGCAAATCTGTCCGCGGTTGCATCGTTGATGGTAACTTAAGTGTTTTGGCTTTGGTTATTGTCCGCAAGGGCGAAAACGTAAGTTTTAACAACATAAATATCAACAAGTGGTTTAAAAACTATTATTTCTTTATAGGAAATTCCCGGATTGACCGACACCACAGTCCCACGTCGTTTGGGTCCCAAGCGTGCGTCGCGCATCCGCAAGTTGTTCAACTTGAGCAAAGAGGATGACGTACGTCAATACGTCGTGAAGAGGCCTCTTGTGCCCAAGGAGGGCAAGGAATCTAAGAAGCAGCGTTGCAAGGCGCCGAAAATCCAGCGTTTGATCACTCCATCCGTGCTTCAAGTAAGTTACCACAATCAATATTTATTATCTCTATTTTACATATAATTTTCTTGTTTTATAGCGCAAACGCCATCGTCTCGCACTGAAGAAGAAGCGTTGCCTGAAGCGCAAGGAACAAGCCGATAACTACGCCAAGCTGTTGGCGCAAAGAAAGAAGGAATCGAAGGCGCGTCGCGCTGAGGAAATCAAGCGTCGTCGCTCTGCCAGCATGCGCGACAGCAAGTCGAGCACGACGAGCGCGCCAACCAAGTAGACTGTAGACACGCGACATGAGACATGCCAACAACATCGGAAGCAACGCGAGATTTAAGAAGTTTAATTTAAAAAAAGCTACGAAACAACTCGGGGTGTAACGCAAGTGCTTTTAAAGATGTCTTTAAGTATCGTTCGTAAATAAAAAGGGATTCGTTATACCCACCAAGAACTTTGTTCAGGGACTCTCCCAAACTTTAGCTTAAATTAGAAATAATAATTTTTTTTTTTAGCAAGAGGGAAGGCGAAACTTTGGAAAAAGGTACCAATTTAATATTTTTACTCTAAAAATTATGTCAATATTAATAATTTTTTTATTTGCAGGACTTCAAGCTGTCTTCAAGCCTTCAATGTGGTTTAAACTCGCAAATGGTAATTATAAACTTCAATTCCTTTAATTTTACCTATGAAATGATGATAATTACTTAAATATTGTCTTCTTTTCCCGTCTGACAATTATTTATGATGCAAAACAAGTCCTGAAAATTAAATTCAATTCATTTTACTGCTATAAATTTATGAATTGCACGTAAATAACATATTTTTCTTAATTTTTCAGATTTTCCAGTTTTTAACGCTTGCTTTCTGCTTGAAAACGTCGTGAATTCCTAGGTAATTATATTTTGCGTTGAAATAAAATAAAATTTCCCTTCTGTGATGATTCTACCATACAAAATTGTCTTCTTTTCCCATCTGAAGATAGTAGTGTGATGAGACTTTAATCTGAGCCAACTTTCACAAATTATAATTGAATTTCATTTCTGCTGATCAAGCTGTAATAACATAATAACTTTTCTTTCCAGGTAAGACTCCCAACTACATTATCATTTCATTGCTAGAGAAGTTCATCGGATCAAATTGTATGTTGCAAATAAATTACATGATTGAATCGTGAGCACATCGGCGTATAATGAACACAGGCAATTATTCGTTTCCTGCTCGCTCCCAACATTCGCGTGCGATTTCCAAGCAAACAGAACAATCAGACGCATTGTATTGCATTTAATGTGTTTATTTTTATCGCTGTATGTAATCTTTTATCTGCCGCACATGAAATGCACCGAGCATTAACTAGCAGTTATTCACGAAAACTAAAACTTGCCGCGTGTGTTTTCATATTTAGACGCGCAGTTTATAAATTAGAAACATAATTTCGCCCAATCTAGCTGGTTAATGATTCAATTAGTGTTAATGCGTGGAAATTGTTGCGTGTGCGTCTTCCGTGTACTAATTACCGATTAATTCGCTAGATAAGTGAAATTGTTGGCTCTTCTATGGTGATTATTTAAATTTTCTCATTAGACTTGCGTATCGTGTGAAGATTCCTACCTTATCGACGTTTTTGGGCGATCGGCGAAGCGCAACGAAGCCAAAATGGCCGCTGGACGTTGACGTTTTGTTATTTACGTGACTAATATTTTGCAAACTTTACGGATTACCAACACGACCAGCGCAATAATCAAATAGAAGCGCACTGATAACACGCCGACACAGTACGATTTGGAGTGCAGGTGAGTGTGTGCCTACACAGGGCGTATTTTCCACATCCAATTCCAACAGAAGATTCAAATTAACTCAAAGCTAGGCTATTTGTTGTGATATTTACAAATTTTCATACAATACTGAATGAACAAACTGCATTATAACTAAGCAGTAGAAGGGCCACACTACAACACATCATTTGATTTGTTTTAGGTTATTCAGTGTGAAGTGGAAAGAAGTGATTATGATGGTGGAAGCAGTGCAGGACACAGAGTCATCAAACTGAAATTAAGGCTTCTGGTAGTGAAATTGAATGGAAAATGAGCAGTCAGGGCCAGAACTTGCCCAACTCACAGGTACATTAGGCTTAATGTTCCACCCTAGCCCATCTGAGTGTGTGTAGTTCAAGTATGGTGTGCACAGATGATTACAGTGCAATAAGTTTGTAACAGATGTGTTGTGTTTTCTAGGAGGTTGATGCAATTGCACACTGGGCTTCCAATTCATCGCCCGCGTATCCTCCGCCGCCAATTGTGCCCGCTCGCGGTGTGAAGAGGAATAATCCTGCTGAGTGCATGATATCCAGGGCTCATGAGAAAAATTCAATGGAATCTTGGGTAAGATTTATTAAACTAAAAGTGTAAGAGAGGATTAACGATTCTTAATCTACGTCAAATTTTCTATAAGATAAGCTAGTTAAATTGGAAGTTTAAGAGATGAAAATATAATTCTTAACAAAAAATAGGCAAATTATCATGTTTTTTGAGCATTCTTTTATTATTTCCGTACTTAAAACTAATAATATTGTATGTTTAGGATAAATTTGGGCCTATACAAGATACCAACTTGTTTTTGCGCCCTGAGAACAATATGAACCTGAATAATGATTGCAACATCAAGAATATGGGCAACAACGGCCACGACGTGAATGTAAATCGCGTCCAGAGTCCAATTATTCTCGATAGTAAATTTAATTCGTCGTAAGTTTACACTTCACGCAATTTACTTTAATTCAATTGATAAATTTTAATGTTTTAGCTGGTTTCACGGTAAAATATCGCGAGAACAAGCAGAGCAACTCCTACAACCGCGCATGGATGGACTGTTTCTTGTGCGCGAGTCAACTAATTTCCCCGGAGATTATACGCTGTGCGTATGTTTCCAAAATAAAGTCGAACACTACCGTGTCAAGTACCACGACCGAAGTCTCACAATCGATGATGAGGAGTTCTTTGAGAATTTGGATAAACTCATCGAACATTACAAGAATGACGCGGATGGGTTGTGCACCAAGCTGGAAATGGCGCTGCCGAAGGAGGCTGCGAAGACGGAGCCGATTCCAGCGCAAAATAGTCATGTAGATGATTTGTGTATTATTCAAGAACAAGAATTAGAGGTAAATTTTACTTTTAAATAAGATTTTATGCATTAAATGTTAATTTTTGTAGATTTTGGAACCAATCGGTAAAGGAGAATTCGGTGAAGTGCGACTGGGTAAATGGAAGAAACAGAAAGTCGCTGTCAAAGTATTGAAGGACTCCAGTGAGGCAGAAGCAATATTAATGAAGTACGTGAATTTAAAATTCAATTATTTTTGCATATTTTATCTCTTATGATTGTTTTAGGTCGTTACACCATGAAAACTTAGTCAATCTCTTAGGCGTAGTGCGAAAAAAGGATCAAATCTACCTGGTGACGGAGTACATGAGCAAAGGCAGTCTAGTTGATTACCTGCGGTCGCGTGGTCGGTTACACGTAACAAAACGTGATCAAATCAACTTTGCGTTTGATACCAGCGCTGGCATGGAGTACCTGGAGCGTATGCATGTGGTGCATCGCGATCTTGCCGCGCGGAATGTGCTGATCGCTGAGAACGGCATCGCCAAGGTGTCGGATTTTGGTCTGGCGCGAAACGAGAAGAATACCGCGTTGGAATCGGCTAAGTTACCCATTAAATGGACTGCACCGGAAGCTCTCAAACAAAATGTAAGCTATTTTTTAGTTTTTTTTATTTTTAATTAATTTTAACATTTGTGTTTTTTTAAAGAAATTTTCAAACAAGTCAGACATGTGGAGCTTCGGAATTCTACTCTGGGAGATTTATTCGTTTGGAAGAGTACCTTATCCACGAATTGTAAGTTTTTTTTTAGTAAATTATTAAATTTTTGACTAAAAAATATTTTTCGTTGCAGCCTCTTGTAGACGTTGTGAAACATGTCGAAAAAGGTTACAAAATGGAAGCACCTGAAGGATGTCCGCCCGAAGTTTATGAAATTATGCGACAGGTACGTATTTTCGATTTATTTCCCATCAATTTTATTTTAAATTCGTATTTACAATTTGTAATTTGTTGCAAGGCGTGGGATTTGCATCCAGACAAACGACCCATGTTTCAAGACGTGCGGGCGAAATTGGAAATCCTAAAACAGCAGACATTATAATTTCCTTCCAATCATCCAAGCATCTTGGAGACTTTGCCGTCGATGTCGCCTGTAGGCATCGCACGCGCGCAACATTTTAATTCAAGAGTCATGTCATATACATATATGTGGATTGTTCGATATTCTATGATGTACATATATCATGTGTACATTTATTTAAATCAAAGTCGCGTCGTCGCGCCGACAAAACGAACTTATACTAAGTACTTTTACGGTGTTCTCTCTCAGTTAAAACTGTAGTGTTCGTATTGTAACCGGGATACAATGCGAGAGCACTACTAGCCGGTAATAATCAGTAATCAATCAAATATAATTAGAGTTTTAAACTGGTTGTGCAATGCAAGTAGTTGGAATTTGGCCAAAATTACGATTTAAATTTTAAAACAATTAAACAAAGAAATTAATGCGACTAAAAATGGGCAAATGCTTCCAACTGTTAAACACGAGTTTATTAGAAATGCGGGGACGGATAGAAAGAACGTGAATTTTATTAATTTTTAATTTCGCATCTTGAGACATTGACATAGTTTTATTTCATACTTTGTGTAAGTCGAAAAAATGTGCACATTATTTATTTATTATTTATTTTGTTTAACGCTTTATACGAAAAACGAAAGAAAAAGTGTCCGTGTATTTCTCACAATAATCTCTCCAAGGAAATGCCAAAATAATGAGTTCATGCGAATGTTTAAAACGACTAACTACAATAATGATAAGAGAAACTTCCAGAACGCAATGCGTGCACGAGAGAAAGAGAGACAAAGCCCGCTCTGAGTGAAACAAAAAAGAAAACAATGCATTAAAAACTAATTAATTAACTTGTGATGTAATATTTAAGTATGATCGCCGAACGAGTGTGCAAGCATGTACCGCATGTATTAATCTATTAAGTAAGCCTGATATGTGCGAGCGAGGGTACGATTTCTAAGTCTTAACATGTTGGTTTTCCTTTTTTTCAATTGATGACAAGTGTACGTACTTAAGGTCGGGGTGGGATGTTCATTTCGACTTGTGGAAAGTTTGTATTCATGTTAATCTAAAAATCTACTTGTAGATTGTCCATTAATGATTAATAAGCAATTATACATTGGGATTTTATCATGTGTGTGGTGTGTATGTGTGCGTGGGAAAGAATTACTTCAATTGCAAACGATTCTCACCACAAAATTGTAATTTTTAATCGATACAAAAAAAGATTTCAACTTATTTTCCACGCCTGGGAATCGCACATGATAATAAATTATTTAATTAAGTCGCGCGTAGGTCACGTATAAAAAATCGATGCAAGCAAAATGTGCGACGAGAATGACTTTCGACATTGCAGTGTTGTGGGCCGGTTGCTAACGAATGGAAATGTACTTGTTGGTGTTGGGTTGTGTGAATATGCAGCTGGGCGATGCGCCCGGAGTGCCTGCTATACATCCTTCAGCTCCTCAGGCATGTCATTCTTGGGATGCTTGTTCTCAAAGTGTTGTTTGTAGGTCTTTGGATCAGGCATTTGGGCCTACAAATTATTTAATGAATGATTATTTAGGTAATGATTAGAAATAGGTTTTAAATGATAAAATTACCTTACACACTGCACAAACATGAACAAGAGCTTTCTGTGCAGCTTTCTTTTGGTCAGTTGCACTGTGCCCCTGCTGCTTCTTCATCTTGGCAGACTTCTCAGCTGCCTTAGCTTGTGATTGTAATTTTTGTTGTCCACGCGCCATTATTTTCTACAAAACACACACAATATGTATTTATCAGATTTGTAGTATTATGTTGTACGCGGTATGACTGTCTTTATGTTTATAACTTAGATATAAATGATATCGGATGTCGTGTGCTTCTCTCTTGCTGAGAAGATGTTAAAGAGGGCGTCAGTGTAAGCAAAGACGAACTAAGAGTCGACCCGTACATGATTTACAGTTAGATCTTAGTAATCTGTACAATAGTGTAAGACGGATATAGTTAGAGATGTTGGTGGTCGGTTGAAATTCGCGGCCAGGTATTGCAAACGTGAGTGCTGGTGAAGCAAGAGTTCAAGAGAAACATTCACTTCTGACATGATAACCTCAAATTGTAAACGTGTTGCGTTTATCATACGGATGTTGTGTATTCAGGTAAATTGAACGCAACGCGAGCTGTGCTTCGTGTACGTTTTGTTGCGGGTTGAGCATTGGCTTACCTTGTGGCTGCTGCCCGCTTGGAAGGAATACTTTAAGGGCCTTTGGATTTATTTTTCCGAAATCGCTTCGTTGCGAAAGCAACGACGAGCGCCACCATACGAACAATTCGAGCGTATAAGGAAACTGGTACGGCGCTTCGCGCACATTTTAATTTTGCGTTTGCGCTGTGTGTATTGTCTTGAAGCACATTCCTATATTTTCTTTTATTTTTGTACCTTTGGTTTTGGTTATTGTGTTTTTGTTTTCTAGGAAGGCCCCGTTTTGTCACAACGTGAATATCCTGTATATTTTATGTGAGAAAATCAGTTTGTCAAATACAGTTGAACTATTGCTTGTGTACATGTTTGTAGCCATAGCGTAGTTTCCTGTAATAGACAATACTTTGAACCGCCGAAAATAGATGGCGCTAGTGCGCTCCCTTCTCGCTATTATTAATTGGTTGCTGTTACTGATACTAGAGGGCGTAAGTATCGGAAACAGTTCATCCTGTCAATCTTTTTTCTTACGCAGTCAGTGCTACGCTGTGGTGGTGCATGTACGTATATTATTCGTCTTTCATTTGCACTTTTTTTATATATCGTCGAATTTTAAAACTTGCGAGAGTTAATTATCAAATTGTAGGTATTAAACTTCTTTAGAATTTTCATATATAACTTGTGCGTTTAGCCTTCGGGGAACCTACAAAAATGCCCTTTTTCTGTTTTTTCGTGGGCTAATTTTGTGGTTTTTGGTGTTTAGCGGGCGAACGCCATGTCGTAGGGCAACCGTTCTTTCATCAAATTATAGGTACTAAAATTCTATACAATTTTCATATATAACTTGTGGGTGTAACCCTCGGGAAACCTACAAAAATGCCCTTTTTCTGTTTTTTTTTTTTTGTTTGGCTAATTTTGTGTTTTTGTTTTTGTTTTAGTGGGCGAACGCGATGTTGTTGGGCAACCATTTATGCACTAAATTGTAGGTATTAAAATTCTTTATAATTTCCATATATAACATGTGCATTTTTTTCTAAAATTGCAAATAGGGTCTAAACATTTAATATTATCAAAAAAAGTTACCAAAATAATCGATATAGAATTAAATTATCTATCAGGTTTTCGGTTTAAAATTTAATCGAAATAAATAGTTCCAAGCATAGTACGACTACAATTTTATTTATGTTCTACACTACCACATTGAAAGGATCAGTGTTTACAAACAAACATGTTTTCTTATCTTGTGCAATTTTTGTGCGATCGCCACGCGGTTGACTTGTGTACCACGTTAGTCTCATTTTTGTGGTCAGGTGGTCTGCCTGCACTTTTGCTTCATTATTCTTGACTTGTTAAATGCTTTTTTAATTGTGCCCGATTGATGTGCGGGGTTCGTACCACGCGGATGGTGCATACTCAGAGGTAAATCGTGAGTGATGTTCCGTCGACCGTCGTATTCTTTTTGTATTATACGCGTATTTCATCGGTTCTACAATGGGCATAATTAAGGTCCATACAACTTATTGGATATACCAAAACGCAAAAATTATTTTGCATCAAGGTATGTTCTCGTATTTCTTCAGCTATTTGAAAATCAAATCCATTATTGACTTTTTTGATTTGTGCTTTAATTTTTAAATTTTGTTTTTGGATTCCGAAAGTTAATTAAATTCTGAATGCAGTAACACAATTATAGATTAAGGCCCTATTCACATATAAAAATCAATTTTGTATTAAAATTGCAAATTGTATCAAACTAATTGACATTGATTTACCAATACATTCCGAATATTCATCGCAGAAGAGTTATATGTGCGCATATTTTAAGGCAAGTTTTCCGCGGAATTTACCATAATAGAATATTGAGTGCTAATATTGTTTTTTTTTATTCATTTAGATCATGATCATGATAGTCATATTAGAACTAACAAAAAGTTAACAATAACAGAAATTAACTTAATGTTACTTTTTGGTTCTAGAACACTGCGAACTAGGTAGGGTATAAAATAGGGATGTTGAGTATTTGTTTTTAAGTAGGTTCATAATCCGACTCATTAATATTTTGTTGGTGGTTAAGCATAAATGTTAAAAGATCTCAAGGATAGCCATTTAAGTACTGATAAAGTGAAACTAGTAGCTTGAATAAGAAAAAGTGTTTATGTTAGGCATAAAAATTGAATTACAAAATATTTTTATGCACATTTTAAATACCTACTATAAGATAGATTACTTATGTAAATAAAGGCAGATATTTAATTAATAAAATATTGCTTTAATTATACGTTAAGTAAGTATTTTCAACTTTATTGATAGATATGTACCTACATATCTCCTACTTGAACTACATGCCATGTTTATTTATAGTTGTCGATATTTTTCTATATAAAAATGTTTGTATTTGTAAATGTTGTCAATAAAAAAATAAAATTAATATCAATTAATATCTCATTCATATTTGGTATCCTCCTTGCCGTTTTCAGTATATGAGCGTTTCACACATTCAATATAGATATTATACGCGTGGAGCGAGTGCAACATATCTGGGACTTGTGTTGTTGTTTTTAAAAAGTTGAATAAATTAGAAACATAAATAAAAGAATCAAATATAAATGATAAAAACACTCGGTGGTCGAGTGGGTACGTGCACCTGCTGGCATGCTAGTAGGCACGGATCGAATCTCAGGTGTAGGAGGCGTTTTTCTCAAATCTAAAAATAACAGGTGTAATTTGGGTTGCATATGTAACTCAAATGATATATAAGAGAAATTGTAAGTGAAGGCAATATGAGAAGTAAGAAAGTTGTAAGAAGAGAAATAGGAGATGTAGAAGAGAAGGAATAGCAGAGAAGAGTAGAAGACAGAAAGAAAGAGAACAGAGTAGAGAAGAGAGGAGATGGAAGAAAGAGAACAGGAGAGGATCAGATTTTTAAATTTTTTGGCACGTGTCGTTATAAGACAGTCTACAGGCTGCTTCGATGCGTCCATTGCTCCCGGCCCATCCTACAGCTACGATGTCTCTGCGCTTCATCCCCGAAATACTCAGGCATATCAACAATTTTTATGGTGGGGATCATCCCCAGAGAGAGGGAACTCTTTATAAGGACATCCTTTTAAGGACTTTTAAAAATATTTCTAATTTTTAAGTCGCCACAAGAGAGGGGACACTTAAAAATATTCTGACCTGCTGCTGAAATAAAAGATGGAGTACATAAATCATACAGGATACCTTAACAATGTTTATAGTGGGGATCATCCCCTAAGAGAGGGAACTCTCTTAGAGACCTGTACCTGAAATGATAGAAGGGGTACATTCAAAGCATAAGAAATAATATTTCTTAACATTTCTTTATTAATAAATACAATCTAAAATAATACAAGTTTAGATTTTACAAGTCAACAGAATTCATACCGCCATATTGAAACAGGACGACCTGTTTAGCCGCGCAAGCAAGCAAGCGCGTTCTACTTAGTGAAGTTCTAGCGCGATTAAGCAATTAGCAAAGTCAATTTTCTTCGTGATTGAAAATGGAACCTAATATACAGGGCGTTACAAAAAGAAAATTCAAAGTGCAAGAAGTTAAATTCTAATAACAGTCAAAGCAAAATTTTCAGGGATGTGAAGGAAAATGATTATACCAGGTGTCACAAATAGAAAATTCAATCATTAAAGATGAAAACATCCAAACACTACAAATATTACTCGTTTTCACCTGATGCTCAGGGAAACTAATAAACAGGGTGTTACAAAAAAAACTTAAAGTGCAAAGAAACACACCTAAAACCGCAGCTGAAGGAAAGTTTTCACGGACACAAAAAAAGCGAATATATAGGGTGTTCCAGAAGGAAAATCCCAAGTTTAAAACGAAGAACACTCAAAATTCACAAATAAAAGCGATTTACTAAGTAGTGTTTGTAGTAGGAAAACTAATATACAGGGTGTTATTACAAAAAGAAAATTTTGAAAACTTAAGAAATTATCAATATTCACATTATGTCGAGAGAAATTTATACCAAAACAATCTATATATATAAAATTTGCGTGTCACAGTGTTTGTTTCCATACTCCTCCGAAACGGCTTTACCGATTTTTACCAAATTTTATATGCGTATTCAGTAGGTCTGAGAATCGGCTAACATCTATTTTTCATACCCCTAAGTGATAAGGGTTGTTCACCCTTAACTTTTTTTTAAATTTTTGGACAAATTCTTTTGTTTTTATTTTTTTTTATAATGTGGAATTAAAAAATACATGCAACCCTAAATTTTTAGCTTCTTATCACCAACCCCTATTTCTTTATAGCCATTTTCGTAATATAATCATTTTTCATCCCGCTCAAAGAAAATTTTTATATGCGTATTCAGCTGGTCTGAGAATCGGTAACTTCATATCTCTAAGTGATAAGGGTTGTTCACCCTTAATTTTTTTTAAATTTTGGTCGAAATTTTTTGTTTTTATTTTTTTAATGTGGCTTAAAATATACATACAACCCTAAATTTTTGGTTTCTTATCACCAACCCCTATTTTTTATAATAAGTAAGTTACTTTTTGTCTACACTAAAATTTTTCTAGAAACTTGAAATAATTTATATGGCAAAACAACGTTTGCCCGGTTAACTAGTTTTAACATAAATTCAAAGATTTTACCCGAAAATCATCGGAAAAGTTGAGTAAAAACCAATACAATACAAATAAATAATTTATTGTCTTCTAATTGTCTTTGCATAAGTTAATTGTATTCCTTAGTTAATTAAATAATTGATGATCACAACATCAACAAGTTTTAAAATCGGAAAAATAAAAATGGAAAAAAATCATAACAAAAAATACAAGAGGTACCGCCTCTTGTTGCCCTTTTTTCCCAGTTTTTTTTTCAATTCCGAATAGCACAATTTATATTTTATATTTTATGAATACGAATCACTACTGCTACCTTTGAGCGGTGCCATGAACACGAGTCACTTTTATCACCACCCTGCTACGGTACACCGAATGAGACTCAACAAAATCAACAAAAAATTAACGAAACCCCTCTTGCGCTATCAGAATCCGTTAAACTTTCCATATTACCATTAAGTGAAATATATACGGCCCCCTAATTCGCGAGCTATTGCAACACCTAGGTGAAAGGCCTTAAAACATTTAACCGAATAATATAACTTAATGATAAACTTAGCTACCAATGCAGCGCTCATCGGATTGCAAGGGTTCGGCATGTACTGTAATTAAAAGAAAACATAAGTTAAAACAAAAACATTTCATACAATATGATAATATTATATTCACACATGGATTGATATAAACATCAAAAGCAAACAAAAAAAAACATTTATGCACATTAAACGCACAATAACTTATTAATAAAAAACTGCAGATGCATATTATGACTAAGTCGATTGATGACCGAATATAATGCAAACTTTGAAACTGAAGTCTGATAAAACGAAACGCGCTGCGCGATATACGTCTGGAGACGCCAGAGATCGGCACGAAACTAGCTGCAACCCGAAACTGCGTACGCAAGAATGCGACAGTTCACAATAAGATTCTGTGTCTGCTGCATAAACCCAACAGGTAAAAGCAATAGATGTGCAAAGCCGGCGGCGCATCGATGGCACGCGATCATGTGCACGAATTGCAATAGACACTGTACCTGTGATAAGAACTAAACTAAAATGTGCTGCATGCGACAGCGCGACAAGAATCTTACGCGTAGCATATTGCACGGCGAATGCGATAAGAAAGTGGTATACACAAACGCTGATACGATTTAAAAGGAATACAAGTCTATTTTATACTGAAATACAGAAAAACAAAACATTAGTTTTACACAATTTCGGACAATGAGTTCCGGCGGAACCCAAAGTTTACCATAAATTAGTATTTGTACTAGGTAACACATTGAGGCAAATAGTTGTGCAGAAGTCAAAAATGGTTCGCACAAGTCCAAAATAATATTTATTATCTATAAGATAGGATAGTTAAAACGGAAATCTGAGAGTTGAAAATTGCTTGATAATTTTTATCGACGATTTTCGATTATTAATATCTCTTAAACTAAAAATGATAGCAACCAAGAAATTGCTGATTATGATAGACTGGAAAATTCTCTATCAGATAAAAATATAAAATAATTATATTTCCAATAGTAAAAAGTAAAAAAACGCGACCAAATGTACTAAAAAGTGACATTTTTCAATTCTTGCCCATTTTTTTCAATAGCGAATATCTCGTAAACTAAAAGAGATAAATAGGATCTGATCGCAGCGTCTTAATCTACGGACTATTCTCTATAAGATAGGTTAGTTAAAACGGAAATCTGAGAGATGAAATTTTAATTTTTAAGAAAAAAATTGCCACGGGGGGGTGCTTGATAATTTTTATTGACGATTTTTGATAATTAATATCTCTTAAACTAAAAGCAATAGCAACCAACAAATTGCTGATTATGAAAGACTTTAAAATTCTCTATCAGATAAAAATATAAAATAATTATATTTCCAATAGTAAAAAGTAAAAAAAAACGCGACTAAAAGTACTAAAAAGTGACATTTTTCAATTTTTGTCCATTTTTTTCAATAGCACATATCTCGTAAACTAAAAGAGATAAATAGGATCTGACCGCAGCGTCTTAATCTATACGTATACCATACTCCAGAATAAAAAAGAAAGAGAAATAGAAATACAAATTACAATCCGACCCACCATCTCGACGATATCAATGGCCGCCTAGATCGCGTGTAAACCCAAAAAAATACAAACATTCCTCGGAAACACAATGAAAATATCTTAGTTTTATGCAAAATTTCGCAGGTTGCAGGTAGAATTCCTGCAACATACAAATACCACCCGGCGGAGAATTTAATTCCGCTTCTCTAGATGCCATGCAGAAGTTACTGAGCTGCCAAAATTGCGTGTAAACCCGAAAAAATACAAACATTTCACGATAAAGGGTGAAAAAATCACCTATTAATGCAAATTTTTGCCAATTGCAGGTGGAATTCCTGCAATAAACAAATACCACCCGACGGAGAATTTAATTCCGCTTCCCTCGATGCCACGCAGAAGTTACTAAGCTGCGAAGATCGCGTGGAAACTCGAAAAAAGGCAAACATTTCACGATAAAGGGTGAAAAAATCATCTTTTAATGCAATTTTTCGCAAATTTCAGATCGAATTCCTGCAACAAATAAATACCGCCCGACTGAGAATTTAATCCCGCTTCTCTAAATGCCACGCTGAAGTTACTAAGCTGCAAGGATCGCGTAAAAACCCCAAAAAATTCAAACATTTTACGGTAAAGGGTGAAAAAATCAGACTTTTATGCAAATTTTCGCAAGTTGCAGGTCGAATTCCTCTAACAAACAAAAACCACCCGACGGAAAATTTAATTCCGCATCTCTAGACGCCACGCTAAACGCTCCCAATCAGCAGTAATAATTGTTAAAATTATCAACAAATTAACGCGATTGAACAAGAACACTAAAAAATAGCCTTTTTTGCAATTACTAACTGTGCAACCGTATCTCCTGCAACAAATAAATATAGCCTTATATAGAATTAAATTCGGCCTCTGCAAACATCGCGCTCAAGTTTGTGTAAGGTCCTGTCCACCCGCAATAATGAAAAAAACGAAATAAAAGTACGCAAGGACGCAAAAACCGGACAATTTTTGCAATTATTCACGTTTCAGGAATATCTCCTTCAACAAACAAATATTGCTTTATAGAGAATTAAATTCTGCATCTGTAAACATTGCAGTCAAGTGTGTGTAAGGTCCTGTCCACCCGCAATATTGAAAAAAAAGCGAAATAAAATTACGCGCACACGAGTCACTTCTACCGCTACGCTTATACGGTGCCCCGAACCGAGTCACTTCTACCGCTACCCTTATACGATGTCCTGAACACGAGTCACTTCTACCGCTACCCCCGTACGGTCCCCTGAATACGAGTCACTTCTACCGCTGCCCTCTTTTAAACTAAATTGAATTATAAACTTACCAATGCACAACTCATGGACTCCAAGTCACGGCAAATACTGCAAATAAAAAAAGAAAACATAAGTTAAAACAAGAATATTTCATACGACTTAGTAATATTAAAATCACACAGTGGAGAAAAACAAACAATCTGTGCTGTTTTGTTAAAACTTACTTACACCAGCACGATGGGTCATCCTAATGATGAATATCAATTCAAAATGAAGGCGGTACACTTAACCGGCCTTTATTGACAATAAACACGCGAACAGTAAATAACATTACTATAGCCGAAATTAAATAGTCGATTGATGATCGAATATAATGCGAATTTGGAAAGTAGATGTCCGGGCAAACAATACGAGTTGCGTAAAATATTGGATCATCCAGATACCGGCACGAAACTGGCTACAAACTGTGCAAGCAACGACGCGACAGTTTATGATAAGAAAGCAAGAGATGCGCATAGCTAGTGCGTCGATGGCACGTGACCTTATGCGCGAATCGATTTGGCACGTTACCTGCGATCAAAGTAAACTAAAATGCGCCAACATGCGGCATAAGGCGATCTCATGCGTTGCATTCTTGCGGCGAATGCGATAAGAAAGTGTAAGTTGTGTTCAAAACGTAGAAACAAACAATACATGTCTATTTTACAAATTTTGTTAATGCTAGTGCCATCTATAAATAATGCAAATAGTAGCCCCGGAATTTGGATTTAAAAAATTAATAAAAATTTAAAATCCGAATTATGTAATTCAGATTTCCTATACTGAAAGATTGCCCGATTTTACACAAATTATTTTAGTGATATTTAATTCGATAGAACAAGACGGATTAAAGATTAAAAGAAACGAATCGCGGATTCTTAATCTACAGACAATTCTCTATAAAATAAACTATTTAAATTGAAAATCGAAGAGATGAAAAAAAGCATCCTTATACGGTGCTCTAAATACTAGTGATTAATTCTTGAAATCTTACCTTCTTTAAAATTCGGCGGAAACAAAATATGGGTCGTCGAAATCCATTAAATCTTCATACTTATTTATTCCATTATAATATAATCTAATTTATCGGATGAAAACCAAAAGAAGGTAATGAGCCACGCGGTCGCACACAGGCAGCGGAGGAAGTTAACGTATCGCCGACGGCACATCACTTCTCACTATCAAGTGACACTGAATATTCGTTTTACAAACTTCGCACCAAGTAAAACATAAACGAAACACAATATGCGCAAATTACGTTGCATTCCAATTAAATACAATACAAATTATCGAATTATATTTTCACGATCGACCCGACGAGAAGAACCAGCTCGACGTATACCTGCGTTATCTGTGCATGTGCACTCTAAACCGATAGCGTGAGGTAGTGACCGAGTAGTGACTGCGTGCACCCCAGCGCGCATCAAGAATTGTACTGATGCGCATTTGCTGTAGCTGCAGAACTGTTGCGTGCGCAGAATGCGCAGTGACGCCACATCACGCCACTTGTTTCGATCTTCCCTACCTTTTTGTTTAAATTTCAACAATAAATATACCTGATGATTTCTATATTTTGTTTTATTTTATACATGCATCTTAGTTTGTATTTATTTAAATTGTGTATTATTTATTAAGCATTTAATACTATTAATGTTAATATGCTGTTATTTCCTATTTCCAGTAAACAATGTTAAACTAAAGTTTATATTGTTTATAATTGTTGAGACTATTCATAAAATTCCATTCCACCGAACAAGGCCCATCTAACAAAGAAAAAATTAATATTTACTTAACAAATATGGCTAATGAACCTTACCTATATCCACCCATGGATCTGCCTTGGGATCCGATTGGGTCCTGGCAGTTTTAATTGCATGCCGAATTGCTAATGCAATAGAGAAAGCCAAGCAAAGCGGAGGTTCACCAGTAGCTGTAATTTAACGCAGAAAATTAAAATACTATTCATATCCTAAAACAATAAAAATACCCTTTGTTTTGAAAGGACTCAACGGATTTGGCATACCATCCGGGAACTTGACTCTAAAATCAACTGGAATATCCTTGCAACCAGGCGGTTTGTACGTCCAAGTGCGATTAGTCATCTTCTGACCTTCGTGGTCAAAGATCATTTCCTCACTGGTCCAATACCCCAAGCCCATAATGTAAGCACCCTCGCATTGTCCTAAATCAACCATGGGACTCATACTATCGCCTACATCCTCCATAATATCGGCACGTTGGATAATATGGTTTCCACTCAGAATGTCGATCTCTATTTCAGTAGCTGCTACAGCATAAATTGGATATCCTCTGGATTCCTTCGGATTGCTAACCCACCTAAAGTAGATAATTACATAAATAATAGAAAAAAAATTTAATAGGACTTGAATACGCACACTTGATTACTAACAAGCTCAACGCCTGAGTAATAACAATTCCTTATTTTTTGTGGCCACGGGGTGTCTGCTGGAAGTTTTGCAGCTGTAGTAGCTTCATCAATGCGTTTCTTCAAAACCTCAGATGCTTTTTGGAAAGCCTATTCTCCAAAGATAAGTATTATAGAAAGAAACTGAACATAATAAAGACTAAAATACGTACGAAACAAATTGCCTCGCTTGTTTGACTTAATCCAGTGCACATACAATTGGCTGCAGTAAAATTATTTCCAGGATTCACCGAAATTAAATTCATATCGATGCCCAATGTATGAGCAACAACTTGAACAGCCTAAAGAAGTACAATTTTAACAGTTATAAAAAATGTTGATCATAATTTCAAATGGTGACATACCTTGGTATTTATTCCTTGCCCAACTTCAATTCCTCCATGTGATATAGAGACAGTGCCATCTGCTTGATAAATAGAAACCTGACATTGGAAATTACCATAGAAATTAAGATTGTAAACCATTGGTACCAAAGCAATTCCACGTTTCCTCCAACGGTTTTCCTAAATGCGACAAATTATAAATCTGATCATGTGAATAGATAATTTTTAAACATACAGTGTTAAAAGTTTCAATTGCTGCCCTTCTTGCACGAAAATCGGACCACTTTAAGAAGTTATCAAATATTGTCCCCAGGACAGGATATTTAGCCACATTCAAATTAGCTAACCTCACATCTACAGGATCTATACCAAGATTATAACTGATTTGCTCCATGACTGTTTCCATAATGGCTAATCCTTCAACACTTCCCGGTGCCCTGGTCCATGCTGCAGCATGCATATCGGTACGGACGAAATTGTAATCTACTTGCATTGCGTCAGAGTTGTAAGTGTTCAAAAGTAAATCCATTGTTGCCTCCCTTGGTAACTCATTCCTGTGCAGACCGGTGTCATGGTAAAACATGTGGTTTAGAAAACCGATCTTGCCCTTTTCATCAAAACCCACATCATAATCAATGGAAACAGGATTGCGACCACCCATAACATTCATGTTGATATGGAATGGAAGCCAAAACTTAACAGGTTTCCTGAGTTTCATTGCAACAAGAGTAGCTGCAACGCTGACCCAGTTATTTCTGGAGATTTTACCGCCGTATCCACCTCCGCAGCGTCTTACAGTAATGTTAAGTTTATGCGCCGGGATTTTGAGGGCACCAGTGATACCCACTTGTACAGCGTCCATCCATTGAGTAGATGGATGAATGTTGTATTTACCGTCTTCGTCTGGTTCGACACTAACGACCTGGGTTTCCATGTGGTAATGAAACTGCCAGTTGATGTCAAATTTACCCTTTAGCTTCCTAGGTGTGTTTAAATCTAATTCCAAACAGGTAAAATCAATGATTGTTAGGTAGAAATAAATAGATCTTACCTTGGTGTTTGGGAACAACTGTATGATCATGTGTGATCCTTGAGGTTTCATTGTGACTCAGAATATCTCTGATGGTGAGTAGTGGACCAACAGTAGAAACAGCGTATTCAATTTGAACCATGTCCGCAGCTAATTCAGCAACTCTTTGGGATTTAGCTGCAATGACGCCAACAGGTTGAAAGTAGTATTGAACTTTGCCATTGATCGGAACAAATAGTACTTCTTCTTCGGTCATGTAAGAAAAAGGTGTAATAAACGTATTTTTTCCTCCCATTGCCTCAACATCAGATGCTTGGTAAAACCCTTCAACATCTTCCATTTCCAAAGCTTTTGAAGCATCAATAGACTTGACAACCGATCCGGCTGCGGCTTTTGCCATAACAAAAGCAGCAAATAACTGATTGGGTAAATCAGGCAAATCCATAATGTATTTTGCTTCCCCGGAGGCTTGATCAGCAGCTTCATATTTATCTACTGGCTGACCAATTGGATACATTGATTTATTTGTTTTGTAATCCTGCGTCCCCATGGAAACTGCAGCTCGTACCAACTTCTGTGCACCGCTTTTGTTTATTTTTGCGACCATTGCGTCAGGAGCAATAGATAATATAGCTTTATATGTGAGTGCAATCGCCAAAGCTTTTCGGAAGTCAGGTTTAGGATCGGGAAGTTCAAAGTCCGGGACCAATTCGGCGTTGAGTTTGTCAAAAAGTGTCTGCATATTTCCATTGTTAAATAGCTGCTTGCCAGTAATAAACCTCTCCGCATTTGTTGCATGTATAAAGGTAGGGTTGATTCCTCCGAAGCAAATATTTGCTTCTTGGACAACATTTTGGGGATTAAGTTTGTAGAGAAAAGCAGCATTGATGTGGGCATGCGCATTTTGAGATTTGGGCATGATTTTATATGATTCAAACTTGTAGCTTGAATCGAGAGCTGGTATTTCGATACGTAGAATGATCTTTTTGAACATGTTTTGACCAAGATATTCACGAGGTGTTAGGGTTTGTTTTCTTTCATTGCTATCTGTAATTTTAATAAATATTATATAGGTAATGTTCTCGGACTTGATTAATAAGTTGCATACCTAGAACAAGTTTAGCTTTGATAGTTTCCAAAAGGAGAAATACGTCAGATGGAAATTCGTTATGCTTATACTTCATATACAGATTACCAGCAATTGTACCAATCTAGAAATAGTAGTAATGATAATAAAATGATGTTGTGGCGTCAAGAGTTCCAAAAGCTTACGTTACGAACTGGTACAGTTGCGACAAGATCCATGTGATCATGTGCTTTCAATAGATGTTTGAAATTCTCATCGCTTTTACCAACTTGGATAAATGTATCCATCATCTCGGTAAGGGTCACATTTCCTCCCAGAACAAGTTTATTAGTGTTGTGAGAGATGGAGCGCAATTCAGGGACTCCACTGACGTCGATGTAATATTTCGCTTTGTCCATGTCCCAATACACGCCTCTGCCAGTATTGCCAGCTACTAGCTTATAATCTTCATCACCACGAGTTTTCAAGACGTCGCAAAGTTCTTTAACGGTTGCAACCTTGTACCAGTTTTTGTTGGCCGGGACAGGAACACCACCTAATTGTGCATCAGTTCGTTTCTTTGAGCAAGGTTGTTTGAGCTCATACACTAAAGGTGTTTCCACTTCTTGACAAGGCGTAGGACATGTTTTTCTACAGTTTTCCTTCTTGCAAAGTTTCAATTCCTCAATGTCAGGAATGATTCCAAGGATCTTAGGGTCGGCATCAGTTGCCATTGATTTAAAAGCGGCTAAAATAGGTCTGTATCCTGTGCAACGACAAAGGTTACCAGCAAAAGAGTTCTCAATCTCAGCCATAGTCATTTTTCCAGACTCCTGCAGCGCATGCATATTCATAACCATACCGGGGGTACAAAAACCGCATTGGGTACCATTGAACTGAACAATTTTCTGCTGAATTGGGTGGTACCCATCACTACGATTGCCTAGGCCTTCAGTTGTAGTGATGTCCCAACCACCACAAGACAAAATCGACACCAAACACTTTAAATATTAATTATTATTAAACCTAATCATATTTTAAATTTTTATGAACTCCTTACAGAATTAACCGCAAATGTTTCCTTAACACCTGTTCGTGGATTCTTTGCGGTAACAGAAACAATACAGACACCACATCCACCCTCACGACACATGTATTTTGTGCCGGTGAGGTGCATATGGTCTCGAAGATATTCATTGAGTGTTGTTTCAGGTTCAAGACCTTTCGTATCAACTAATAATGAAAAAGAAATAATAAAAATTCTAGATTAATAATTTTTAATACTAACCAGTTTGTTTAACGCCGTGAAGAATAAACTCCAAATGTTTACTCCTAGATAAAATTATTATAAATTAATTTAATCTATTACAATAACTGTGAGTGTATACATACTCTTTTACTGTAGTCGTAGCAGCCATTTTGTGATCATTCAAGTGCGCCACGTATTTGTTTAGATTTGTCCTACGACACAACTTAAAATCTCGAACCGCCAAACTACCAACTGAAACAACAACCAGCAGTATATATTGAATAAATTGCAGAGCAGTGGTGGCAGGAAATGAACACGAAGGCAGAAATAATGGAAATACGCTAATTTGCATTCCATAAAAGCAATGCACACATTATAAATTATCGCGTGCGAAAAAAGATATCGAATGATGCAAACATTTAATTTTGAGCATTGTACAATTATCCAAACATAATTTAAAAGTAATATATTAAATAATCCAGTTGGGATAACCCAATGTCTTCGTATTTAATGCATGTCATTCAAAATGGCGGTCATGTGACATATTGTATCTTCAAATACGCACTAACTTGTAATAATCTATTAATTCACTATTATTAAACAAAGCTCAAAACGTACTCAACTAGATACTATATAATTTGAGTACACAATTGTATATTATTTACTAGGAAGTAGCATTATGTCGTTGCGTGTAACGCATTTGACATTTCTATAAAAAAATTAAATAAACATAAAATAAAAAGAAAACAATTTAAGACGTAATTGATATGCATAGAATATGTAAACCTATACAAGTCCTATACAAGTACACGGATGTTGAAAATCTATCTCTAAACAAATATAAAAACAATTTGCAATTATGTTTTCTAAAAAACTATTTTGTGAATAAATATGAGTTTGCGTGTATGATTGCTAAATTACGTAATAATTATCGCTTAAAAGATTCGAGGATTTGAATCGCAAAAACGAATTAACTATAGAGATTTATCCAGTTATCTAGTGGATTAATCTAAGGCCACTGGTCTATTATTTCTAATGAAAATCGACCATGAATTAACACCAAACACTTTATTTTTTATTCAGCGAGAGATGAAATAACGCTGCCGGCATAATTGCAATCAAATTATGTTTTCGCATTATTTTTACCGCGCTCTGCTGATGTAATTGATTGAAAAAAAAACGAGAAACTGTCATTAAGGACAAAATAAAATGAAAGTCATGTTTCTAGTAAAGTTACTCATGTTTAGGAGTAAACAAACTGCAATAAATTAATAATGGGATTATCAATAATTTTACAGAGAGGGAATATTGATAACAATCAAAGAAAACGTTTTAACCCTTACAACTTATCATTGTTAAACGTTTTATTAATATTGTATTGTTTAATAACAATAACGTGTGAGGGTTAAAGCGTAAAAATGTTGTTTAATAAGTTTAACAAAAAAAAAAAAAAATTGGTACCGCTTACCTTAAATCGATGTTACAGCGCAAAAGGTTTGGTCCTTCAGAAAAAAAATCAGAATTTACAATACAATTCAATAAAATTCGAAACAAGATTTAAAATAACATCCGTATCTAGTTGATGCTTCAAAACTCAGAAGTAAACTGAGACAAAGTAGAGGTGTCAATCAAAGAAAACCTAGCGAGATACAATTACCTACCACTTCAAAGTTATATAACAACTGGTTCTGATGAATAGCACTTTGGCAGTTGTTGTTTTTTTGTTGGTGAATATTATTAATCACTGACGTTTGATTGATGATGTAGTGGCACGCGTTGTTTCTTCGCTGGAACTGCAAACACAACTACTACGTGTTTTGATTCGCGAGCTTTGAAATACTTGCTAAACCTCAATTAGATGCCATCCGCCATGGTTCTTTACATAACTACAATATGAATGCGGACGCTAATGATGAAAGACCATGATTGTTACTGAAATGCTTCATCATTTAATTTAATATTAGTGCTGTGTGTATTATTTGAGTAGCTAAAAATGAAATTCGAGGCGTTTACAAAAAACAAAATGGCGGGGCGTAATTTTGCGTGTGTTGTGGGACTATGAATGTAACTTTCATTATTTTTGTTAAATTAACGTGTCAAGGTAGAATAAAAAAGAGAATACTATTTGTTGATTGTTTTTTTGGCTCTTAGAATAGAATTGAAGTCAAAATCAAGATACGTGCATCTGTGTATTTTATTTAATAGAATATTGAACCAGAAACCAACCCCAGTCGCCATCTATTGAGTTTATTGCTTCGTGAAACCAGAAATATTAAAATATTCGCGTGCACAACACTAATATTGAAGCGAAACTAAAGTAACTGAACTGCTAAGCAATACTAAACCTTAAGACGACTCAAGCGAATGAGTGTAGCACTGATAAGCAGGTATGTAGTTTAAGTGGGCTCGCAGGGTGTTGAAAAAAAATCGCATGCGGTCCGTAAGCCTGTATAATAAAATCTAGTTTCGTTCACTAAATACATTCAGAAAAAGTGGTGCAGCAGTGTTTGTTTACACAGAATTATCTCTATTCACAAGATCCGCAATGCTATGACTATCATTTGTATCAGAATCTTTATACTGTAAATTTTTATGCATTTTTATATATTTATTATATTCCCTATAATTCCAAATGTAAACGCAGCAATTAATTATTAAATGAAATTATTATAAATCGAAGAAAATAAAGAGCAATTAAAGTTTATATTGTTTATAATTATTAAGACTATTCATGAAATTCCATTCCACTGAACAGGGTCCATCTGATAAAGAAAACAATTAATATCTCATTAATACTTAAAGCAAATAATTCTTACTTATTGGTACCCATGGATCCGCATTGGGATCCGATTGGGTCCTGGCGGTTCTAATTGCGTGACGAACAGCTAATGCAATAGAGAATGCCAAACAAAGCGGAGGTTCACCGGTAGCTGAAATTATACACCGTATATGTAAAACTAAATCAAGCCATATTCAAAAACAATAATAATACCCTTTGTTTTGAATGGACTCAACGGATTCGGCATACCGTCCGGAAACCTGACCCTAAAATCAACTGGAATATCCTTGCAACCAGGCGGTTTATAGGTCCAAGTGCGATTAGTCATCTTCTGACCTTCGTGGTCAAAAATCATTTCCTCGCTGGTCCAATACCCCAAACCCATAATGTAAGCACCCTCGCATTGTCCCATGTCAATTATAGGACTCATACTATCGCCTACATCCTCCATGATATCTGCACGCTGGATTATTAGATTTCCTGTAAGAATATCTACTTCCACTTCTGTTGCAGCAACACCATATATTGGATACGCCCTTGAATTCTTTGGATCACTAACCCACCTTTAAAATGCATTTAAAAAGTTAAAATCGTAAGAATAATAGAAATAATAATGTAAAGTATAAGTTTACATTTGGTTTGAAATTAGTTCCACGCCCATATTGTAACAATTTTGAATTTTTTGAGGCCATGGAGTGTCCGCTGGAAGTTTAGCTGCTGTTGTAGCTTCATCAATACGTTTCTTCAAAACTTCGCATGCTTTTTGGAAAGCCTGTAAACATAACCAATATTACATAGCAGTGTATCTAAAAATTATAATTTAAAACGTACAAAACAAACTGCTTCACTTGTTTGACTTCCTCCAGTAGCTAAATTATTCGCTGCAGTGAGATTATTCGATGGACTCACAGATATCATGTTCATATCGATGCCCAATGAATGAGCAACCACTTGTACCGCCTAAACAAATACAATTATTACAGTTACAGTTATCATAAAAACAAAAAATCTTAATTTCAATTCTCACAATACCTTTGTATTTATTCCTTGCCCAATTTCAATCCCACCATGTGAAATTGTAACAGTTCCATCTGTTTGATAAATAGCGACGTGACATTGGAAATTACCAAAGAAATTAAGATTGTAAACCATCGGTACCATAGCAATACCACGTTTCCTCCAACGGTTTTCCTAAATGCGACAAATTTCTAAATTTGGAACATGGTTAATCAATTTTTAAACATACGTTGTTGAAAGTTTCCACTGCTGTCCTTCTTGCACGAAAATCTGACCATTTCAAGAAATCATCCACCATTGTCCCAATGATCGGGTATTTAGTCACGTTCAAATTAGCTAATCTCACATCAACTGGATCCTTCCCAAGTGCATAGCTTATATGCTCCATAATAGCTTCCATCATAGCAAGACCTTCAGTACTTCCCGGTGCTCTCGTCCAAGCCGCGGTGTGCATATCAGTACGCACATAGTTATAATCAACTTGCATTGCATCTGAATTATAAGTATTCAGAAGTAGATCCATCATCGCTTCCTTTGGTAAATCATTAATGTGCAGGCCAGTATCATGATAGATTTTGTGATTCAAAAATCCAATTTTACCGTTTTCATCAAAACCTACTTCATAATCATTGGCAATGGGATTACGGCACCCGATAATATTCATGTTGACGTGAAACGGTAACCATAATTTTACAGGTTTCTGTAGTTTCATGGCTACGAGTGTAGCGGCTACAGCAGGCCAATTACTCCTAGAAATCTTTGCACCATATGATCCTCCACAACGCCGAACAGTTATGTTCAATTTATGCGCAGGGATTTTCAGAGCGTTAGTAATACCCGTCTGTAGAGCATCCATCCATTGGGTACCAGGATGTATATTATATTTACCATCCTCATCTGGTTCCACGCTGACTGCTTGTGTTTCCATGTGGTAATGGTACTGCCAGTTGATGTCGAACTTACCTTTTATTTTCTTAGGTGTATTTAAATCTTGATGTTTGGGTACCACAGTATGATCATGCGTGATTCTTGAGGTTTCATTGTGACTCAAAACATCTCTAATGTTAAGCAGTGGACTTGTTGTTGGAGAAGTGTATTCAATCTCCACCATGTCTGCAGCCAACTCAGCCAGTCTTTGAGTTTTGGCTGCAATAATTCCAAGAGGTTGGAAATAGTATTGCACTTTGCCATTAATGGGCACAAACAAAATTTCTTCTTCAGGCAAAAATGAATATGGAGCAATGTAGGTGTTTTTTCCACCTAGTTCCTCAACATCAGAAGCTTGGTAAAACCCGGCTACATCTTCCATTTCCAAAGCTTTTGAAGCATTAATTGACTTAACAATCGATCCAGCTGGTGCTTTCGCCATAACAAAAGCAGCGAATAACTGATTTGGTAAATCAGGCAAATCCATTATATATTTAGCAGCTCCTGAAGCTTGATCAGCAGCTTCGTATTTATCCACAGGTTGACCAATTGGATACATCGATTTGTTTGTTTTGTAATCCTGTGTCCCCATTGAGACTGCAGGTCTAACCAACTTTTGACTACCGCTCATGTTGGTTTTCGTGATCATTGTATCCGGTGCAAGGGATAAAATAGCTTTATATGTGAGGGCAATAGCCAATGCTTTACGGAAATCCGGTTTTGGATCGGGAAGCTCATAATCAGGAGTCAATTCAGTGTCAAGTTTGGCAAATAATGCCTGCATATTGCCATTGTTAAATAGCTGTTTACCAATGATGCATTTTTCAGCATTAGTAGCGTGAACAAAAGTTGGATTGATTCCTCCGAAACAAATATTTGCTTGCTCAACAACATTATCTGCATTCAGTTTGAAAAGAAAACCGGCGTTGACATGCGCGTGTGCATTTTGTGATTTGGGCATGATTTTATAAGATTGAAACTTGTAGCTTGAGTCGAGAGCTGGTATTTCAATACGTTGGATGATTGTTTTGAACATGTTTTGACCAAGAAACTCACGGGGTGATACAGTTTGTGATTTTTCATTGCTACCTGTAATTTATAATAAATGGTATAAATAATATTCTAGGGATTGATTATTAACAGGCATACCTAGAACAAGCTTAGCATTCATGGTTTCCAAAAGAAGAAACACGTCAGAAGGAAACTCGTTATGCTTGTACTTCATAAACAGATTACCAGCAATTGTACCAATCTAGAAATGGTAATTTTCATACATAATTCTAAAGTTTTATAGAAAAGAAGCTTACATTGCGAACTGGTACGGTTGCTACCAAATCCATGTGCTCCACAGCTCTCAATAGATGTTTAAAACTTTCATCGCTGTTACCAACTTGGGTAAACGTATCCATCATCTCTGTAAGAGTCACATTTCCTCCCAGAACAAGTTTATCAGTGTTATGAGAGATGGAACGCAATTCAGGAACTCCACTGACATCGATGTAATACTTAGCCTTGTCCATGTCCCAATAAACGCCTCGTCCGGTATTTCCACCTACCAGTTTATAGTCTTCATCACCACGAGACTTCAAAACATCACAAATTTCTTTAATGGATGATACTTTGAACCAATTCTTGTTGGTAGGTACAGGAACATCTTTCGAATCAACAACAACGTTGTTTGTTGTTGCATCCTGTTTTAATTCATACACCAACGGGGTTTCTACGTCCTGGCACGGAGTAGGACATGTCTTTTTGCAGTTTTCTTTTTTGCAGAGTTTCAATTCCTCAATGTCAGGAATGATGCCTAGGATCTTAGGATCGGCATCAGTTGCCATTGATTTAAAAGCGGATAAAATGGGTCTGTATCCCGTACAACGACAAATGTTTCCAGCAAATGAATTCTCTATCTCAGCCATAGTCATTTTTCCAGACTCCTGCAGTGCATGCATATTCATAACCATACCAGGAGTACAAAAACCGCATTGGGTACCGTTGAATTGAACTATTTTCTGCTGAATTAGATGGTACCCATCACTACGATTACCTAGGCCTTCAGTAGTAGTGATGTCCCAACCACCACAAGACAAAATCGATACCAAGCACTAAATTTAAATTATTATTAAACTTAATCTTAGTTTAATATTTTGTAAACTTCTTACAGAATTCACTGCAAATGTTTCCTTAACACCCGTTCGTGGATTCTTGGCAGTAACAGAAACAATACAGACACCACATCCACCCTCACGGCACATATATTTAGTGCCAGTGAGATGCATATGGTCACGAAGATATTCATTGAGAGTAGTTTCCGGCGAAAGATTTTTCGTATCAACTATTAACACAATAAATAAACGTACAAATCAATATGTTCATCCTATCAAGTGTGAACCTACCACAATAATCTCAAAACAATAATCAAGATAACAACAGATCAATGACATGACAATACATACTCATGAGGAAAGCACGTATGACTAAATTGAAACATCATTAATTCTCAGCAATAAATCTTAAAAGTGACTAAGCATAATATTCAAGTGACACGTACCGGTTTGCTTAATCCCGTGTAGAATAAACTCCAACCTTTTACTCCTAAATAAAAAACATTCGCAGCAATTAAATTTATATTATTATTAAATTACATTTATATATAGAAAACTTACTCTTTCACATGGGTTGTAGCCATATTGTACAGCCACGAAGTGAATCACACAATTATTTATTGACACTGCAGGCTAAACTGCAACTGAAACAATAGACTATTATGAAATGGATGCGTAACTGTTTTGCACTCGCAGTTATAAACTTTGTGGTAGTGGAAATAAGCGAATATAAAATAGAAATTCGCTAATTTGCATTCAACAGCATCATTTTATCGCGTGCAAGTTCGACGTCCATACGTCCATACGCAAATGTTATCGGTGCAATTTAATTTTTATTTCTATAAAATTACTACGATATATTGTAATTGAACAATCAACATATCATAAAGCTGCTATAACTTATAATCAATTTAGAAGTATGTCGGCATTAATAATGATGGAAGCAATTGCACAATTGAATAACGTGCAAAGTAATGAATACAATTAATTGTGTTGATGAATAATAAAACTCTCGAAAGAAAAAAGTACATCCAATCGTAATGTGCGATTCGATACGCACTTGTTGCAACAACAAAAAAACTTGCTGATCGTGATCCACGATATCAATGTCAATGTCATTTATCGTAACATATTTAGCATTATGTATTTGTTTGCTATAGCAACACCGAATACATCGATGATTTTTACTGATTTTTACAATAAAATGATAACGTAATAAATGCAAAGCCATTATTATATATTAAGTATGTTAAAAGATAAGATACAGCACGAAAATATGCATACAAATATCGATAGAGGAGATTGACGCGCAATTTGACAATGGAACTTACTTTTATATGCAATTAAAGTGCACAAAACACATGCAAATGACATTATTATTCATATATTCCGAAAATAGTCCAACAAAATAATGATGTACCATTGGCACACAAAAAATCACTTACTTTATCAACACCAAACTATTTGTGTTAAATTGTGGCAAAAATTGAACACGCGCAGAAAGAAGACGTTGAAATGAGTAATACGAATGAACTCACAACATGCACTAAAGACTACGAGCACGCATATGTGCGCTAATGGACCCATAGTCGATTACAAATCGTGTTAATTGCGAACTATGTTGATAAAAAAACCAACGCATTGTCACAACCAGAACGTACAAATAACTAAATACAGTAAAACCTCTGTCATTTGGATCCCATTTATCAGGATAATCCGCAATTGTGACAAAAGAAGAAGAAAAATGTAGTTCATTCAATCCTACCATCCAAAAATTAGTTATTAAGTGCCAGGTGTAAATAATTTTATCGCTTTATATCCGGTTCAATGTTTTTTGACAGATCAGAGTGTAGTGTCAAACTTTAATAGTACTTAAGCAAGTAATAAACGTACTTGTAAATCTAGACTTTGTTTATATGATTAAACTGCCTAATATTGGTAAAAAAGAACGCAATTTGATTGGTTACCATCAAAAAAGTAGTAGAATATCACCGAATACCCAAGTTACAACGATTATGAATTATACGACTGATAATATTGTTTGTTTAATCCAAAAATCTGTAATCACATTCAAGTCCATAGTATGTAGTACGCGCATACACAAATATGAGTGAATCATTCTCACTTGTACGCTTAGATAGCAATATTTTTCTAATTAGTAACAATGAACACAAGGAGTAACCACCAAAAGATTCAGAGTCCACGCTGTCACTTTAAAACCATTTTTATATTATACATCGTGTTATGCAACTAAACTTACAAAAAACCACACGGATGATGTAATTAAACTTTTTGTTGAAACTTTTTATGTTTATAGGGTGGATTAAACATAGTTTTATAACATGTGCGATATGAATTGACGCTCTGAAGGTTTAGATTATCATCGCGATAGGAATCGAAGTCAGTGCGTCGTTGGGCTGACGACAAATACGTTGTATATGCCGCGCACACACGACGTGCATGCACATCGTCGAACGGTCGTCGTCGTCGTCGTTTGAACAGGCGCGCATCTTGATAATGCCGCACTGATATAAGAGGTTGCCGGGACGCGACTTTCGTAGTAATCACGCGAATCCGGCGATTTCGCGTTTGTCACACTCGAGTTGCGATCGTGCCTTCGGTCAGTGCGACTGGACCACACCAAAACCACACCGCATTCTCCAACTAAGCAAGGATTTAAATTAAATCCTTACGTAGAAAGTTTATTTTAATAAAACGTAAGTTTTTAAATTTTAATTAATCAATTAATCAAGTTATGTTAAAAATGCATTTTTTTTTGTATTTTTTTGTTTTACAAATATTTATTATGACATATTTGTCTATGAATTGATAAGGATTAAAATCGGATGTTGTATTATGCAGTACATTAAGCAAATCTGTCGAAAACCAAGCAATTAATATTTAAAAAATTAAATTACAAGTTGCAAACTTTTAAAAAACGAGTTCTTATCGACCTACATTTTGTTTAACGTCAATATTCTTTCAATTTATCATTAAATAAATACTAATATCATACATCCTCGTCGTGGATAGTTTGTCTTATTTGTTATTAAACAATAAAAACACACAAAATGATGAAAAATTTCGAGTTTTTAAAGTTTAAAGTCTCTAAACTATTCCGACAAATATCTATGATCTCAAAATATTTGCTGTAGAACAAAGGTCCATATTTTTTGTTGCATTTAAAATCACGCATAAAAATATATAAAAATTATTCATTTATTGATGCAATTAAACTTTGTCCGAATAACACCGTAAACTTTTTTATCTATGAATAAATTTAATGGCACGTTTCAAGCACCAATACTACTAGGTTATAAAAAATTTGAATTGAATCATACGATTGCAGCGTCTGCTGAAAATTTAAATCAAGTTTCCTTGTTTGTTATTCATGACTACAAATATACCGGGAGTTTTATAACAAAGTAGTGTATAACATTAATGCAACACAATAACGCATATTATTACTGTGTAGGTGCGGGTGATACTGGTGAATTAATAGTAATTTTACAAAATGCACTTTTGACTGATCAAAGTTGGTTATTATACTTTAATTGCTCAGTATAATTGCACAAAAGGTATTACTGTCGATTGTTCAAAATGACATAAAGTCGCGATGCAAGTTTAGTCAACGTCGTGCTGTCTACACGCAGAATAAATATTACTTATCCTTTAAAAGCAACAAAAACACAAGTAGCATACGAGCACATTCGTGTGAATTTAAGATTCAAGGTGAACGAAAGAATTCACAAAATATCTACGCAATAATTTTATTGTTTTGGGTCTGAACTAGCAACAGGTCTTGTAAATATTTTTTATTATTCCTAGAACAAACCAGAAGCGCAGTAGACATGGAAGAAATCGCATTCAATCATCAAGAAGGTAAGAACATTTTTCATTTTTAATTTTACAGTAAAAATTAATTTTTACGTGTGTTATAAACGGATTTAACGTAATCCTAATTTAAATTATGGTTATAGTACTGTCTGTCCTAATTAATATCTTTATCGCATCCTATTAAAAATGTTTATAACTGTTTTTTTCTAAATGAGATTTTTATCTTTCTAGGGCCGGATCAAGTTCAGCCGGCTGACAACTACACAACAATCCATCCCGATGGTTTGGTAAAACTACGCATTCCGGAAACCGGAACTGCCATTGAACGTCATCCGGTGATATCAGTTCCTACTTTACTAAAGAGATCAGCCGAAACTTATCCGGATAACACCGCGTTAGCTTACAAAGTCGACAAAACATGGCACAAAATAACCTACTCGTAAATATTCTACTTTATTATTAATATTATTTAATTAATTAATTAACTATTTATTTAACAGAAAATATTTAGAAAACGTGCGTACAACAGCAAAAGCCTTCATCAAATTGGGTTTGGAACGTCATCATAGCGTTAGTATTCTGGGATTCAACAGCCCCGAATGGTTTATGTCTGATTTGGGCGCCATCTTTGCTGGGTGAGTAATATTTAAAGTTTCTACCGGAAATAACAAAAAATTCGAACGCGTTTGACCCATATGCGTATTAAAACGGGAGTTATTTAACTATTACCGAACCGAAACAATCGAAATATGTATTAAATATTAAAAAATTCAACGCTTGAATGCGTGATTCATGTTTAATGTATACCATTCAAAATGGCTGTCACGTCACATTCGTAGTAAATTAACCATTATTAAAAACACACAAATAAAAATAGATCATGTAAAATTTACAATTTTAATTGTGTGTTATTATTGTTATTTTTAGCGGTATTGCCGCAGGAATCTACACGACAAATTCACCTGATGCTTGTCTGCATTGTCTGCAAGTAAGCCGCGCGAATATTTGTGTCGTCGAAGATGATATCCAACTACAGAAAATCCTCTCCATCCGAGATCAATTACCTAAACTCAAGGCCATTGTACAATACACCGGCGAGCCGAAAGATTCATCTGTATACAGCGTAAGTCTAATTAAACACGCAAACAATAATTTATTATTAATTACTATTTAATTCTTGCTTTGTTTGCAGTGGAAAAAACTGATGGAACTCGGCGCGCAAGAATCCGACGACGCACTCGAGTCAGTTATCAAAAATCTGGCGCCGAATGAATGCTGCACGTTGGTGTTCACGGTAAGCAAAACAAACAGCAAACCAATTTACGTTTTACAACTATGAGAATCACTCAACATTTAAATTAGTGTTTTACGTACGAGTGTCGAGCTTATGCCACATTGCATAATAGTTATTTTGTTATTTTAAAGATGCGAGGACTAGAAATTGGCTTTAGAGGTTTATCTAAGGCCAACGGATGATTATTTTTCGATAAAACTCGGCCTTGAATTAACGCAAAAACACTAATTTTATTTCTGACTGCATTTTTATCGCGCACGCAGCAGATTTAATTGATTTGAAATGAAAAAAACGAGAAATCAGCATTAGCGAAACGTTTACGCTCGACGTAAAGTGAAAACTATGGCCTGACCTATAAATCAAAAAAGAGAAAATTAACTCACCTTAATCGAATTAAAATGAATGTTTTTATAGTCTGGAACAGTGGGAAACCCGAAGGCAGTAATGTTGAACCACGACAATTTGATCTGGGACGCGTTATCAATCCACGAACGCGCTCAACTTGATTTGGGCACTGAGAGGATTGTAAGTTTTTTACCTCTGAGTCACGTCGCAGCGCAGGTCGTCGATATTTATCTGGTGATCTCAATCGGTGCCTCGGTGTACTTCGCTGATAAGAACGCACTGAAAGGCACGCTGGTTGAAACTCTTCGTGAAGCGGAACCCACTCGCTTCTTAGGCGTCCCACGCGTTTGGGAGAAAATCCGCGAGAAGATGCTCGCGGTAGGCAAACAAAATGGACCACTTAAAACAGCACTAGCTACCTGGGCCAAAGGACACGCTTTGCAATACCACACAAATCGTATGAAAGGGTAAGTGTTGAATAGAAATAAAATTTAAATTTAAACCGTGAAATTAATTGACTCTTCAACGTTCACTGATTGAAAGTAAAGTGAAACTGAGTTGATTTAAAGTTGAAATAAAATATTACGAATGAGAAATGTTTACCTACCACTTTTAGTTTTTTGTTGTGTAAGAACAGGTTATTATGTTGAATCAAAATATTATTATACAGTGATGTTTCTCTGCTAGACGTGCAAACGCGACTGATGTATACATTTGAATTGCGGGCTTCATAATAATAGCTAATCCTCAATTAGGCGTGATGGCAGTGAATAACAAAATTTCTTTATATAATACATAACCATATGATGATTGTTAATTTAAAATGCGACGTCATGCACGCGACTAATATGCGAGATAAAAAATTTAATTTGTTTGTATGTAAATTCTTGCAGAATTGACAGCGCTAGTTGGAGTTACAATATTGCTTCAGCGTTGATTTTCAAAAAGGTCAAAGCCGCTTTGGGTTTCAGTCGTTGTAAAGGATACTTTACAGCCGCTGCACCGCTTTCTGCTGAAGTAAAACAGTACTTTATGAGTTTGGATATTCCTGTTCTTGATGTTTTCGGTATGTCAGAAGCGGCTGGTGCACATACTGTGAGTGTACCACACGCATGTGGTTTTAAAACCATTGGGTGTTCAATCCCCGGAGCTAAGACTAAGATCCTCGACAGGGATGATCAAGGAAATGGCGAGATTTGTATGTATGGAAGGCATATTTTCATGGGTTACCTTGGTGAGCAAGCCAAAACTGATGAAGCTATCGATGCTGAAGGTTGGCTACACTCTGGCGACCTTGGCACGGTTGATAACAAAGGTTTTGTTTATATCACCGGAAGACTTAAGGAGTTGATTATTACGGCTGGAGGTGAAAATGTTGCACCGGTGCCGATTGAGGATATCTTAAAGAATCAATTGCAACAATTGAGTAATGTTATGTTGGTTGGGGACCAAATGAAGTTCATTTCGGTGTTGATTACTTTGAAGACTGAGATTGATGCGGAAGGTGCTCCGATAAGTACGCTTACAAAAGAGTGTCAGGAATGGTTGCATGAGTTGGGATGTCCGGCAAGTACCACCCATGAAGTGCTCGCTGCAGGCCCGCATCCCAATCTGGTGAAGGAGATTCAACGTGGGATTGATGCTACTAATAAGATGGCGGTGTCCAATGCGCAGCGTATACAAAAATTTAAGATTTTGGAGAGTGATTTCTCCATTGCTACAGGAGAATTGGGTTAGTATTCTATAGATATAAATCAGAATGAATGTAATTAATGTAATATTAATTCATGTGTTTGTTTTTATAGGGCCCACATTGAAATTGAAGCGCGGTGTTGTTGCGAAGAAGTTTGCCAAAGAAATCGAAACGTTATATGTGTAATGTTTAATGTTTAATTTAAATGTTTGATACGTTTATTCCAAGTTGATGGTGTATACTTGGAAATTTGTACATTGGTATATTGTTACTAGATTTTGTTATTGTCTTTGTTTCCACGAATATTCACATAAAATTATTCAATATTAAGATTTTTTTGGTTGTGATTTTCCCGGAAACTAAACCAGATAGATAGGAACAGATTAAAAATTCTTAATCTACGACAAAATCTCTATAAGATAAAATATAAAAATCGAGAAAGTAAGAGGGTTCGAAAATATTCCATAAGAAAGAAATGGTAATGGAGGTGCTACATATAAGATAATAAAATAATTATAGTTCGTATGGTAAAAGTTAAGAAATAGTAATTAAAAGTGCTAAGACGAATGAGTGTTTTTTCATATTTTTGCGAGAATTATCAAAGCATGAAAACTCGTAAACTCAAAAATAATTTGTAAGTAAAAATTCAAGAGATGCGTGCTACATTTACCCCGCTACGTTTTCACTTATCCTTTTATATTGTACAAGTTACGTAAATATAAAACAAACTATATAGTTTTTACGGTGTTGTTTATGGTTTCAAGAATACGCGCGTTTACTTTTACTCCGTGAACAGTCGTCACTGACACATGCAAACGATATTCACACCGACGTGCGCTGAGAAATAAATGCGAACAAGTGCATCGCAACGCCATCCGCCGATTGTATAATTTAATATTGTACGCAGCACATGAAATCACTGATAAATGCAAACAACGAAAATAATTCTACATACCCAAAAGATCCAAATCTTCCGAAACAGTTATGCTGGCCCACAAATTACACTGTTTAATTCACATTTCCAATAAAGAATTAATTAGTACTAAGATAACATATTAATTGAACCAAAATTAATTCTTTAGAATTTTTTAAATATTTACAAAAGTCTAACATCATTAAATAATAAATATTACTGCAACTAAGTACACGCGTTTACTTTACAAATCAACTCAAACTAATAATTTTAAGACTTACGAGTATCTTCAATGTTATTCAAATGTTTACGTTTTTATCTCTTCATTTTTTGTGCGTGTGGCGTGATCTCTCACCGCGCGTGTTCTTCACATGCTTGGAATTTAGTACAATAAGTGCATCCTAGCGCCATCTATGCTCAAAATAAACAGTTCTATTTAAATAAGCATTTAACTGCATATAACACAGCATATAATTGATATAAACAAATAGAAACAGAATGTTTCGCGGCATTTCTCATTATATTTAATAAAAATTAAACATTAAAATGCACTAAATTACTCCATGGTTAAATATATCAATAAATAGTTTGGACGTTGGCACTGAAAATTTAATTTAATACATTAGTTCTGATATTAATATGATTTCAGTATTAAATTAATAATTGTAGTTCATAAACCGCCTAATATTTATAATTTCATCAGTAGTGTTATTCAAAATATACATGTAAAATCAAGCATTGCAACCTTCTTACTGTTTGTTTACGTTTTTATCTCTTCACTTTTTTGTGAGCGCATCGCGTGATTCCGCACAGCACACTCACTGATACATACAAATATTACAAATAGTAATCACACCGACGCTGGCATCCAATTAAATGCATAAAGTGAATCGCTGCGCCATCTTTCGATCTGCAAACGAACCTAGTATGTTAGCATTGAAATGTAGTGCACATGGCTTGGTGAATTAAGTGGTATTGTCGTCACTACGACAATGTCCATATTTGAATTAAACACAACTTGCAGCATTTTATCACAAAACGATGCAATTATCAGCCATACTCTCACACTGAAATCAATCGAACACATATGAATTAATATTTATTTAAAAAAATGGTGATCGAATTATTACTTAGAAATTACGATTTCATAAATAAGAACTATGAATAAACGTGCTCTTTCTCATCACTCTCGTCGATGATGCGATATCTTACAAATGTCTGTCTTTTTCGTCGAATAAATAAATGAATGGTATACATATATGCAATATACACAGGTTTATGATACAAGAGAATTATGAATACTAAATTAGCGCTCTATAATACAGTACAATTTTCATAAAATATTTTTGCTCTCTGCTCAATAATTTCCAGCAACTCTACACAAGAGATATAAAGATTAATACAGTCGAAACAACTTCAGTCGATTAGCGAAAACAAAAAAATAAACAACGTGTATTCAGTCCGGAGAAATTGTTTTACATTTTTGTTAGCTACGCGAGTTTGTACATTGATCGCCGGCGCAATCTGCGTTTTCAGCACTTGCACTACTGTCACTGTCAGTGTTTTCCTTCTCGTTCTTGCAGCACCTACACGAATGTCTTTTGCATGAGCTACCCGAACAACTATGTTTACTGCTCGATGACGAAGAGCGATGCGGTTTGCACTTACTGCTGCGATACACAGGCGCAATCAGCTCCACCTTAATATTAGCTGTGGCTGTTACTTTGGTGGTGTAAGGACCACCATGTCCACTTGAACTCGATTCAGGTGATGAATATTCTACTGTCACCTGCGGTTCGACTACAATACTTTGATTGCAACTTTCTTCGGTGATTGTCGTTAAACTAGGCTCTCTTGTAGCTTTCGTAGGCGCGGATCTGCGCGATGATTGCTTGGAGTAGCTCTGTCGAGATTGCGTCGCCGCCATCTTGGGCGGAGGTGTGGATATTCGCTCCAAATGTTCTAAATGTTGTAATTCTCCACGCGGGCCCAGAATCGACAGTAAAGTCGGGAAAAATACCATTACATTAACCATGGACGCTCCAGTTGATACAAAAAGCGTGTGGCACATATGACACCGGATGAATTCGAAGTTAGACAACGCCATTACAGCCACGCAGAGTAACAACCCCACATCACCTTTAAGTAGGGTCTCCACGTGCATTTCAATCGCCATGCGCAGACGTCTTTCGCGGCTGCCCATCGCAGTTTGAAAGCCGTACATGATCAGCATGACATTACGAGCCACGACGATGAAATGCAACGCGCCAACAGTGCCAGTCAAACCGTTGATGCTCAAAAAGCATAATACTAATACACTGAACAAAAGACTTGCAATCAAACAAAGTAATTTGCTCCAGTGGATCAACGCGCTGATACACAACACCACAGCTAATACTGTGACGACTAACTGCACAACCAGTAATCTATCCAATAACAAGAACTGGTTGAAATACGCGAAAATCAATCCAACCGGGTAATTTTTCAGTCCCTTCGAGTTGAATTCATCCGAAATAGCAAGAATTTTGCGTAAAGTTTCAATAATCTTGTTTGTCGTCCTGAGATTCTTCAAATAAAACGGCATCTGCGTGTATTTCAGCGGTTGTGACTTGGGAATCTTCAAATCAAACTCAGTCTTTGAGCTGTAATACTGCAAAGGTTTCGGCGTCAGATTCGCCTGTGAACTGGAGTACGAAATCTCATCATTGGAGTTCCACACGGATAAATAGTTGTAGAAAGCGTTGGGGTCAATAATTTTACCCGCAACTAACTTCTTATTGAATATCTGACTCTTATCCACGGGAAATTCGACGATGCCGGTCTGCGCAAGTAATTTAAACGCTAATACCGCTTTCTCCGTTGCGTTTGCGAACCATTTCTCGCTGGTTAAACAATGTCGCTCTCGATTAAGATCGAATTCCGTTTGGAGATCAGCGAGATAATCGCGGAAATTCGCGAGCCAGAAATCGTTGTTGTTCAAGCCACCATTGGAGTCTTTCAAGACATTTGGGACTTGAGCTAGAGATGCGTGATATTCATACATTAAGGGTTGATTTAATGGGTATTCGAATTCGGTGGTGACGAGGTAGAAGTTGTAAAATCCAAAGTGTTTGTTTTGTGCTTCCAGGTAGCGATATTCTTGCGTGTTACGTGGTAGAAAACTTGATAATTTTACATCGAATTCCACTTTGAGACCTTCCAATACGCAGAAAACAATGAGGCCTGCGTAGATGATGATAAGAAACACGCGTATCGCTGGTTTGAAGATGAAGAATGTCAAATATTTGTTAACTAACCACGTTAACAAACTACGTTTTTGATGGCAGATGAATTCCGAAGTTAGAAGATTCGCTTCATGGTCCTAAAAAGTTAATACACAAAATGGCGTTATTTTTATTAAGTAAAAAACTACTTAATTCAATTACGACTTACCCTTTCATTGTTGTTATTCATAGACAACCCTTTTGTATCATGTCTGAAGCATGGAACCGCTGCCTTTTTGCACCGCATGTGCAGCGCAATCAGTGTCGGCATGACAAACAAAATCGTCGCGTAGTGAAAAACAGTCAGCACCGCGCTTTGCAGGCAAAATATCCTCAACGCCGGAAAGGGAATACTCGCAGCAATCAAGAAAACAACACCCTGGCACATCCCACCGATGAGAATCGTCGGCCCAGTCCTTTGCAACAACTCCGGCGGTGCCAGTTTCTTATTGTGTGTCGCCAGCAAAGAAAACATGTCCCTTAATGACAACCCCACACTAAGAAAAGGCAACACGTGCGTCGTCAGTAGATTCATCGGTAAGCCCAGCAGACTACAGAAACCCAAACCGGCCGCCGCGCCGCAAGCAAGAATCATCACACACATGGCCGCCAGACCAGAGTGGACAATCCACGCGTAAAACGCAGCTACTGCCAAAACGGCACCAAGTTTCACAAAATCAATCTGTGAATGCTCCGCGAGTCCCTTATTCAACGTAGCCGTTGAGAATGTATTAAACGAATACGACCCCGATGAATTACTCTTGGTGAGATGTTCGACTTCCTGCGCGAAGCGTTTCTGCCAACCGCGTAATACTGTCGCGGCTTTATCCTGCGTCCAACCAATATGGTGCACCTTATAAGTCTCGGAATAAAAGTCGTAGAGTTCATGCTCGCCCATAAGTTGTACAACGGTTTGTAAGGCTTTCGCTTGTTTGATGTGCCCGGTTTTGTTTTTGACCGCGCCGCCGACGATGAGGTCCTCCGGCCAGTGCATGTATTTCGCAGCGAAGCCGTAACAGCCGCTGGTGAGTTCGGCGCCGATGTCGACGAGCTGACTAGAATTGCGGTTGGGTGCCGTCGACGGGCATTCGGGGTCTTTCGGATTCAAACATGGCTTCTCCTGGTATCCTGCGGAGATCCCCGACCGCCGGAAGAAGTCCTCCAGGATTTGATAGTCGAAATTAACTTTCTTTTCTTTGATTTCCAGCATTAACTGCTGGGGATTTAGGTTCGTCCATTTTACTTTATCGCCTACACCAAATCTACACACCCAAAATAAATTAATATAAATTTTAAGTAAAAAAAAAAAAAAAATTAAAAATCTTACGGTATATGAACAGGGTAAGCAGGCCCAAGTAATTTCGAACCCTCCCAGAAGCAATCAAGCGGTGTAACAAACGAACAGGGCAGGACACTTTCAACAATCTGATCAATATAGTGCATATCAAAGTTGGGCGCGCTCGCCTTCTGGCAGATGTCCGTAAGCCGCCAGGTGATATCAAACATGGTGACCGTAACCTGCGCGGCGCGTTTGATCATCCCAAGATGCTCCAGCAGCCCATTCGGGTGTAAAAGACTAGCGTCCGGATCCAGCGCCGTCTGCACAACCATCTGGTGCGTGGACAACACCTCCGACGATGGTGGCGGCGCGGAAAACGTCGGCGCCGTCGCATCCTCAACGACCACCGGCTCCGCCCACAGCTGTTCGATGTTCGAGTGGAACGTGGAGCTCTTCAAACCCACGCAGAACGTCGCGATCACCAGCAACGCCACGAAGAGCACCTTTCCAGCGTGCGCGTCCAGGAAGCGCCCCAGCGCATACAACTGCCGCTGTGCTCGCGCTCGCAGCCATAATATTCCACGATCTCCAGTTGCCTTACCCTGGAAGACAAAAAATGAAAAAAAAAAATTACATAAAAATGCGGATGAGATCCTCGATTAATCGAATGTTTTCGACCGGATGGGTAAGCATGGTTCTTCGCGGGGCCGTGTTCCGATTATATTGTGTATAAGTGTGTGCAGCGAGAGTGGCCGCGCGGCGCGCACACCGCGAGAGAGCCGTACGACATGAAAGGGACCACACAAGACGCAGCGTGACGTCACCGGCCGGGACCACACAAGACGCCGCCGCGCGCCGCAACGTTGCGCCTCACCGCCGACCGGCGAAAGAAAACACAGGCACCAAAGCCCAACAAAACAACATACACACATACACATCATAACATTTTCTAATCAATTTTATCATTGATTGAGTCACTCTGCAGTGGGTGACAAGTGAAATAAAGCGAACAGCGTAACAAAAGGGCGAGGAATTTACGCACAGAGGGATTTTAAATGGCGTCGCGGTCCGAAAATCAACCGGGTCCTTCTGGGAAGGACGGTACTACCGAAACGAATACCACACACATCTATATAGGAGGGTCGCGTTGTGCAGCTGTGCGTACCAACCCTACTACCCTCATGCAACATGCTGAAAAGTTGTGAATAGCGGTACCGCAACACCATCGTCGGTTTCGTTCGTTTTTTTTTTCAGTTCTTTTTCCGACAGCGCAACCATGATGTGAAATGAAGACGTCACAAGCGGCGAGCGGAGCCGGAGCGTCGGTTACCTGCGCGCATTCTCCACGGCGGTCATAAATTTAAAAACGCTCGTAAATTATCCGACACCGGGGCTTTAATTCGGCAAATTACGACCGCGCGCGTATATATATATTGGAAGATATGTCAATCATTTCGCATGGCGCATACACACATTTAATTGCCAATTACGGCGCGAATTTCGGGGCGACGTAATTGAATCGGCGGCGGGCGCACGTTGCAAAGATGAGTTTTACACACGCTCAAGAGCAAACACACAAGAGTTTAATGCTAATTGAGTCGTAAAAAAGTGCGGCGCACGCAGAGCGTGTCTAATGTTTTCGGCTATAAAGAGCGTCGTAGAACCACGCGCGCGCGGCATTTGCATGTCGCCAGAGTAAACGAAAGACCGGAGAAGAGAGGAAAGAGACGCGAGAGAGCGTAATTTGTGGTTGCGCACACGGCGACCATCTTGACGGCGGCGTCTCGCGGTCGCTGCGACGTCGAGATTCGCCCCCGGGCGATTTCTTCCGTTGCAGCTTGATTACTTAACTAAATATCGCTCAGCGAAGTCAAGTTCAACAGAGGAAAAATTCAATCAAAGCTAATTTTAGGATCGAAATTTGCATGCGAGATGCAATAAAGTTGCATTGAAACGTATTTTTCGATTCTGTTTACGCACACGCAGTCGGATCTTCCTCCTCGGCCGCTTCTTCTCGCACTTAGGTGGTCTCTCGTAAAGATTAGCTGCGTTACCTCGTAAAACATTCAAGGTCGGCCCCGGCGAGCGCATGTCTGTGCGCGCGCGCGCCCGTGGATTAATATAATATGCTTAAAAAGATGAGTTTTACTCTTTATTTGGAATTTCTCGAAAATAAAAATTTCACAAAACACACACACATATATAAATACAAGTGTGGCAGGCAGGAGAGAAAGGATATTGAAACGATTACGACAAACGGATGCAATCAACGCGCAATTAAAATGAATTAATTGATGGATCAAAATGTTTGAAAACAATTTTTTCTTTCCTTTTGCGGTCCTCGCTGCGCGTTTGTATGTGTGTGTGTTGGTGTGTGGTTTATTTATCTCGTCGTTATTCAATTGTTTCAGTGTTCGGTGAGCCCGGAGAGCGGAAGAAAGGAACCGAGCGAAAGAAAGAAGACCGAACTCGGTCGAGAATGGCCCGAAAGCACGTAAAGAAGCCAGGCGGCAGACGAAGAAGAACGAACGACGAAGCCGCCGGAGTCGCGTACACACACAAACGCACGCGCAGTGTATACAAGAGAGCGCAAAACGAAAGAAGCGCAAGCGAGACGGGGCGCGCGCGCGCAGGTAATATCTACATGCCTCGGCCTAGGTACGGGCGCGGACCACACGCGACGGCGCGCCCGGTGGTCCGCGCCAAGGATAGCGTAATACGGAACATCGCCCACCAATGCCAGTCGATGTATTCGTGTGTGTATGTTGTGTGCGCCAGTCGCAGCCGCCCGCAACCCGCCGTGCACGTCGTGTGTGCGCGCGCGATTGATACGCGACGGGCAATCATATTTACACCCGAATGTCACTCGAGTGACACTTGAGAGAGAAGCCGCAAACCCGCCAACCGCAAAAGTAATGGCCGCTAATATAAAATGCAAATGAAGCGATTATTGCAACGCACACGCGCGCCGCGGCACGTACGCCGCCGATTTGATGAATGAAAACACGTGCAAAATAAAACAATGCGCACGCATTGCGTTGCGTGGGCAAGAAATCACCCGATCTGAATTCGGGTGTATGTTGGGTTGCCTGCTATGTAGAATGGAAATAGTGGTAAATCGTGGTTAGAAATTTAAGTTACCTGTTCGATTTGTTGTAGGGCGACGGCGGCATCGCACCAGCCGGGCCGCGTGTACAGGTCGCTCTTGTGCCGTTCGATGTCGGCATGCGACTCACCGATGGAAGCGTCGGCGGTGGTGGCGGCGGCCATCCTCAGCGCGCTGCTATCCGCATCCACCGTAAAGGGTTGGCATTAGCGCGCGGTCTTGTCACCGTGCTGCGCTCGTCCCAAAATTCTTCGTGACATCTCTCGGTCTCGCTCCCACGCGCGTTTTACTAGTTTCCTTTCCGTGGTCTTCGGCGACGATGCGAATACGAATGTCTCCGGCTTCCGCCGGCGCGCTTTGATCAGTGAGCAGACGTTACTTTCTTACGCACTGCGCACGCTTTTCCGACGTGGGTGCGCAACTGACTCTTCGAGCGACTGTGGCACGCTCATCTTTTCATTTCTATGCGCCGGAAGAAATCTGGAGTAAGAAAAACGCGTGTCGAAAACACTTTCTAAAACCCGCAGCAGCATGAACACACTGAGCACTGAACAATGTCCGCCCGTAGCACACACTCGAAGTCGCGCCGCACACACAACTCGGCTACGGCTGCAACCCAAAACACGCGTTGCGCTTTTGTTTAACAACAAACTTGACTACTGCACGCTGTTCGCAGATGATTACTGTGTGCAGTGTGATTGATAACACCCAGCAAGTTGACACTGTGCACGTCGTCGTGCTGATTGGTGAATATTTGGCCCGCGAGTGACGACTGCGGCGTCTGGCTGAACACTGTGCGCACGAGTGCTCTGCGCGGCGCAAGAACCCCGAATGGCCGCCGCGACGGACCGGCACGAAGAGCACCGAGCGCGGACCACACACGCCGCACCGGCTTAGAATGTAAATTCTCCAAATTACATTACTTACACTTCTTGTCACTTTGCTGCTCGTGTGCGCGCCGCGCGCAGGCAACTTTATCCCATTCTATTCATAATTCTCGAGCGTTTCGCTGCGACTTTCTGCCTTCTCGCACACGACGCCGCGCCGTGATGCCCCGTGATTTCTCACAGAAACCAGCCAGCAGCCCAATTTCGATATTGAGACACGGCGCACGCAATTTCGTCTCGGTCGCTTTTCGGCTGCTGCGGCCAGGGTGGCATCACCTGCGCGCCGACCATTCTTCCGAATTCCCGGAATAGGCATCTTAATTAATACCCGCAATCTGCGCCAACAAATTGCAGAACATTAGTTAACGCATGCAATTAACTATGATTTACTGGCGCGCGCATGCGCAGCGCACTCACCGCTTAAAGCAACATTAAGCAAATTCATGACGATTTAATTGTTTCGCATTTTGAGTTCTCGGAAAGTGATCTCCACTGAGATCTGTTGGGATTTTGGGAGCATGTTTCGGTATCGGCGCGTCCCGGCGATTGTTGTGGCGACACATCGCGCCGAAATGAAAACATATAAACCATAAAAGTGTTGTTGCTGCGCTCGCGATCAGGGTGGTCCGCTCGGCGGCCGGCCGGCCCGTCTCTCCTCCGACGCGACGACGCGCGCGCGCGCAACCCGACAACAAAACAAACTTAAAAATAACAACGAGCCATTTATAACTTTCCACCAAACAATCGTTAAATGCGCCGAATGCGGATGGGACGCATCGGCGAGCGGAAAACCGCGTTTAACACTTGCCGCGACACGCCACGTGCCGCAATTAACTTTTCTGCGTGGGAAGTCAATTTTCCGCACCGGAAACAACGCAATACAAACATACAATCAACTAAAATATTGTTTTTTGGTTTATGGATTAATTTAATCAATTTGCTACTATTTAAATTGATTTTTAACATAAAACAGCACAAATTTGATAAAATTTGAGTCATTTTCAAATCTCAGGAAGAAAAACATAAGTTTTCATCGAATTTTCATTGTTTCCAATGCGCAAAACATAAAATTTACACAAATATTCAAACAAATTGCAATAAAACGATGTGTTATAGGCAACCACATATACAAATCAACCAAAAATGATTTATACCCAAATTTTCATTACCAAAAGGTAATTTAAAGATGCATTTTGGAGTGAAATCAATTTATGAGCAAAGTACACGTTTACAAATCTATATTTGACAGAGATTTAACGGAACTTAAAATAAAATCATTTCACTAATCGCCAATAGAAATCAGAAGATTGCAAAAACACAATTTACAAAACAATCATTTGTGTTCCTGGGAATTTAAGTACAACATTACTTCCGTAGCAAAATAATAAAACCAGATTCATTTCGTTTCCTAGTACTGAATTGTCGAGAATGTACAAAATAGATAAAAACGTAAACAAAAACGCCATCCAGTCAAATTCGAAAGGAACATATACTTAACAACTAAATTAAAAATTCACGCTAACATTTAAACTCGTTACGTTTTGTAGTGTTTCTTGTGTTCTTCTTTAATCAAAAACGCTCGGTTTCTAAGCGTACGTCATTCGCTAGTTTTAGTTTCCTGTCAAACTACAACACAACACTGCACGCTGCGTGCATGTCTCAGTTACTTTTCTTTAGTTTACTTCCTATAATCATACGTTCCTAGTTGATATTCATTTAAGTTACAGTAGAGAGGAATCGCCCAGCGGGCGCAAGATGAGGAATGGATCATGGAATCGTTGGTATCAAGGAATTTGAAGACTTCTGCGCATGTCTTTTGTGTGACACTTACTTTTCACATGTTTACACTTATAAATCGCGCGACATTCACCCGCACTTCGCATTCATACGCGTATTGCAATCCTAGGAAACCATTCACATTATATAAACAACTAGTTAACAATATCGTCATATAGAAAAACAATGCAACGTTTTATCAGTCCCAAAGAGAGGTTTTCGGCAACCTATCAATTGCAATATCACCAGCAATCACACCACTTTAAGTTAATTCAACAGTTAAGAACAACAAAATAAATAGTTTGAATATAATCATTAAAAACCAACAAAGAAAGAAAAAAAAAAATAAACCGCGGACGCGTATCACTTATTATCAGCTTAAATTACTAGTTTGTTAGTATTTGCTTTCAATTCAAAGTCTCTCAAAGTGAAAAAAATTTACCGGAGATTTTTTCATACACGACGTATCACAAAAACGTTTGCTTTAAATTTATCACAATAATGAAATATCAATTAATTGGCTAGACACATTCACACGCTCGTAAGTTAGGCCACGGTGACGCATTCGAATCATCATAAAATACAATTAAAAAGGTTTAAGAACGAGGGACGTAGGTTATTTTGGCTTGGGACTAGGACTAGGACTAGGGGGGAGCCAGAAGTCCTCGCAGTTTTAAGGTAGGATGGTATTGCATTTAGAGCTCGTCTTCTTCTCATTCACAAAAATCATCATCGAATCAAATCGAACCTAACACGACTTCAGCTACGTTAATGTTTAAATTTGCGCACGTAAACATTGCTAATGAATAATAAAATTTTGCGCTGACGCCAATCTCAAAGCAACTATGTTTATATAAGAAATCACCTCTCTTTCATCAAAAGCAAATTTAAAAAAATTAAAATTCTTTACCTCTATATATTCACCCTCTGCTCAGCCTGTATGTATACGTTTTGTACTGCTGCTACCCCGTTTTGCTTTTTTTGGTTTTGTGTGTCCCGACACAAAATGAAAACATAATTGATTTAACAACGCGTTCAATACAATGAAATAATCCCCCCACAATCGCGGTCGTGGTCGAAAATATCGCAACCCCCCATTTATTTATTTAACCGTTACTCAGTCTTGTTTAGTTTACCCGAAAAATCGCGAGATAATCATCATCGGTTTGATCATTATGCTGTGTGTACCTGTGTAGAGTGTGTGTTGATGAAACGCGCGCGTGCCCCGCGCGTTGATGGGGCACGTGTTTTAAAACACAAATTAAAATCGCGAGAGTCTGGCACGCGCCCACGGCGCGCGTACCCTGTAGTAGTTTTGTTTGTTTGTTTAGTTATTCCCACCCCTTGTTGAAGAGAATATCGGCGGCGCGGATGTGTGCGGAGTGTTCGCTTCGCCCTCGGACGCGCGGCTTAGCCCCCTCGGATGGGGCGGCGCGGGCGAGCGAACGTCAAATTATACCCTCCCCTGGAGAACGAAGTTACAAGATTTGCCCCATGATTCTGTAAGTATAACATAATAAATTTTAGGGCAATTTTCATGATTTTTTTGACGAAAAAAAACTTACGATTTGACGCTTCACAGACCGTACAACGTAGTTAATCTTTCTGTGAGTTGCGGTGGGAATTGATCAGTGAATCGTCGCCAGTTTTCTTCACCAACTTGATTTTTAAACGTGTGCAAAATCTAGAAATAATACATTTTTTATTTAACTGTATAAAATTTGTATAAATTTTTTATACCTTAACAAAGATTTCTTTCAGATCATCCTTTGGTGTGCTCCACGATGCGACAGCATCACAGAAAAAGATGAAATCAGCAACAACACCGGCCGGATTCACAGTGATCATGTGACACATTCCGCGAAAAGCGCTGTCTTTTTCCTCGTTGTCGCGTATATTGCGCAACGATATGCACCTGAAAGCAAATCCCACATCAAAAACAACCATTCTTCAATATCCACACAGAGTTAAAAATTCCGTATATTATACCTTTGTTATGCCCGAGTCGAATTAACAGACTTTATACACGATTAGTTACTAATATCGCAGATAAAGTCGTCAAATTTTGAATTGAAATGAATTTTAAAGACATCAAATACACGCAACGAAGAGTTTTGATTGTTTCAATGAGCGGTGAATTAAAAAAGCATGAGCTGCTCCCTCATACAGGGGCGGCATCACGATAAATAACGAAATAAAAATGACAAAAAAATTAATCAAGTGTACGGACACAACAATTTTTTGTTTGCTGTTTTTTTTTTCTTCCTTTTTGTGGAAGAATATTTATGAGTAAAACAACAACAACACTGGCGGCTGGTTAAGTTACGCACGTAATACTCGCAAGCGATTAATGATATAATAATTATATATAAAAAATAAGAATAAAAAGAGGGTTTTACACACCACTGGCGGACAAACTGTTGTAACACAGGCGCGACTTCGTGTGGGCAGACAAAACCAAGGCGACCGATTGTTATGGCTAGAGAGAGTGTGAACCACCGAGAACAAAAACAAACAAAAAACTCCAACTCAATTACTCGAGAAACAACGCAACAAATGTTTATCAATCAATAATTGTAAATAACGCATAAATTGCAGAACGGTATCCGCATAAACTGCAAATAGAGAATAATGGCGAAAAAATACTGGCAATAATATTATCCCAAATTGGCACCGTCGCATTCGTCTTGTCCTATACAGCATTGTTAATCAAAACATTACGGCGACATGTCCAGGGGAATATTGATAAAAAGGGAACAACTGCATTTTTGTTTTCTTTACGCGCGCGCGTCTTTGTTGAACGTCTTGCGCAAGAAGCTGTGCGACAACAAAAACACAATCAAACCACCCAACTTTCAACGCAACGCAAAACTAACAAGATAGTGATATTTGGCAATAAAAACAATGTATAAAAACAAAGTTCCTTTTTTATCAATAATTCGTGCACTAGAGAAAAATCAACGAGAAAATCCAAGTTAATCTGCAATAAACAATAAAATGAGTAAAATTAACTGCTGAACGTGTGTCGGTTGAAATAAACGCACTAAGATAATAGAATCAATTGTTATTAGCATGATGACAACACCACACACACGCACACGCATACAGTTTGCTTGCTATTGCACGTAAAACGAATGTTTTTCTCTCTGTGTTTTAGGCGTCACACCGTCACCGGTGTGAACTACAATAAAAACAACAATAAGAAGCAAACCGAACGACAAAACTAGTTAGTCTCAAATGATATCAAACACAACACTTGTTTACCTGAAATGCAAATAATCAACAATTCGTTAGTACAAAGTATACACACATTAAACAGAAATCATAACGAAATCATGTGGTTAGTATTCTCTTTTTTTCTGGTGATTTGTACTAGTGTAGAGGTGTCGCACACGTTTGTTTGCGTTGTGTAACAAGTGAAAATCAATTTCGCATGCATGCGAGGTGTCAAAGTTTCGATAACACGCTTACCGGTGTTCTCCAGCAAGGTTTTCGTCGTGTTCGGCCTGTTGATGATGTGGATCAATTGGTCTAACACCAGCGGAATATACGGTCTGGTATCCTCTCCTAAATAATTCAAATCAAAATCAATTTCTGCGCAAATTAAACAACATTTAGCTTACCAAGTTTAATGCTAATCTCCCCAATGGCCCAGGTAGCATTATTACAAACAGATATGTTCTCCGGATTCAAATTCTGGCCCAAAATGGGGAAGAAATCCGGAATGCATGGCCGGACATGTTGGAAACACGCCTTTGTCAGGTCACCCAGCAACGCAAACGACGACTGCCGCACTTCCGCCTGCGGATCCTGCATGCAATGATGCAGTAACTCCATGATGTTGCTATGCTGCACCAGTTTCTCAATATGACCATTCAAACCCTCCGCAAGTCCCGAAAGCAAATCGAGCGCAACAATCACGAAATCTTTATCTGGCGGATCATACGCCTCCGGATTCTGCGTGTTCGCCATGTGTTGCATGAGCGTCTGCTGAATCAGAGACACGCATCTCCTGTAAACCGGTTCACAATATGGCAAGAAACCACTCTGTAGTGCAGTCGCCACACTGGAGAGACACTCCAGCAGTGGAAACAGATCCTTATTCTCATCCTTGAGAATATTCCACTTGTGGATCAACGGCGGCATCAACATATTAATATAGTCGGGTTTGTTGAGGTGATGCCCGACTGAATCCGCAAGCGTACCAATCGCATCGTACAATATCAACAGATTTTTATGTTGGTACTTTGTAAACGCAAAGACTAGCGTCTCCAAGATGAAACCCAAGTATGGTACTAGTTCAGTACACGCTTCTTCTTCCAATGTTGCGAAAGCAGAGCACGCCGCTTCTTGCACGCGTTTATTACTGTCTAAAATCCTGCGCAGGAGTTCCGTCATCAAAGGTTTCAGATACGCATCATGCGGTTGTGTGACTACCCAATGAGAGTATCGCGATAAGGTCCAGCAAGTGATCGCGCGCACGAGAGCTTTATTATCGTTCAAACTATTAATCAAAAACGGGATGAGTTCGGGCAGATGACTCAACATGCCTGTCATGCAACCCTCCGCAATCGCGCCCAGAGCTAAAATACCAGACTCTTTAATGTCCCAATCTTGGTGAAACAGTGTTTCCTTCAAGATAGGGATCAAAATCGGTAGTAGGTCATCATTGAAGACATTCGCCAAGACATCCAGGGCAGCCGCGCTGCATTTTCGAAGATTCCACTCGGTTAATGAACTATCATCGTCACCATCATCGTAATCATCGTCGTCATCCTCTGCCCCTTCGGTATTACCACCGTTATCTGTCATATTGGAGTTGTTGGCTGCTTTAATCGTGTGCGTTTTTGATTTGTGAAAACGAGGCCTTATGTCCTCCTCTTTGTCCGGTACTGATTCATCCTCCTCGACATCACCCTTGAGCAAAATAATATCTATCTCCGAATATTTCATACCGCGTACCAGGATTGGTACAAGTCGATTGAAATGACCATTGAGGACATCTCGACAGATGGGTTGTTCGGCCAGCGAGAGCCAGAACTCGCAGGCTTCCAACGCGACACCTTCGTCGGGATCTTGCGTCCGCACGAGCATATACTCGATGATTTCGTTCATGTTTGGCACTAGACGATCCATGCGCACCTCTAGGAGCATCACCAATGCTTTGCAGACGTTCTTCCGCACCTCGGGGTCATCATCGGTGGCCACATGGAATAAATTCTAACAAAATTATTAATAAATGCTGTAAAATTGTTGGTGGAATGGAACTTACAGTAAGAAACGGGTCGATGTTCTGCATCAACGCCTGCGAGCGTTGAATGATGAACTGGTTGACGCAACCTATGGCATACGAACGTATCTTGGGGCTGGAGTGTTTGAAAAAGTGAAGGAATTTGGGTATGAGGACGTCTAGCGGGCGGGTGGTGGTGTCTGCATCGAGTGCTTCGGCGGAATCTTCGCAGATTTTATGCAACGCGCCGAAAGCTCCCTCGCAGACGTTGTAATCTTCAGAGTTGAGCATTGTACAAAGCGCTGGGAGTAACTCCGGCCATGAAGTCAACTCTCCTTTGCTTGTGATCGTCGTGATGAGGATACCTACAGTAGCGCGGATGAGCGGAGATGGGTCTCCTATGGCTTGCAGGCATTCCTGCTTGATGAATGAAGTTACATTTGGCATCAACTGGCCATAATGTGCCTTCATGTTGTTCTTCAAGATCAAACCACTCAGAGATCTGGTTGGTTCATCCTCACCGACCATTTTCGTGAGGACAAACATTAGATAACTATTAAAATCTGGATATTTATTCAATAATTCCAGTTTCTAAAGGGGGAATTGCGTTAAGGAAAGCATTTTTCAAGAGATAATAATAAAATAGAAAACATGCAAGTCTGCAAATGATGCGAGTAAGGCGAGGCCTACATACGCACCCAGTGTTAAAAGTTGCTCGCGATTGTAATTTGCAATGCGCGCGAATTTGACCCAAGAGTGAAAAGGATACTTGCTGAACGGCGAGCTGTGTGGCCGTGTCCGGCGATTGCGACTCCTTCAACAAGGTTAAGATCTCGCGCAGACCGTCTTGCTGCGGCGTCCACTCCATTTTCATTGCGGGTTTTTTGCACTACCTCACAAGCCTCACCACCGAAATTTCACTCTGTCGTTGTGTGCGCACTAATTCCCGTCGGACTTATGGCGGTGCTGGCGTACTGGCGATTCGAGATCTCGCCTAATGGAGATCGAAGTTGGTGCAACCTGCAAGCGCGCAGCGAGAAACGTACGGAGAGGCCGAGCGGGCCACAAGATATGGATCACGGGAAGGACGGCGGCGATCGGCAGCGGTCGGCTGTCAGAACTAACAGTGTTTAGCGCTTCGATCGCCATTTTCAGCCAATCACTGCGCGGCGCATTTATGATCTGACCATGCGAAGTTTGCCGAATAAATATGCGAAATGCAAAGGTTGCAAGCTCGCATAGGGAGGCGGCAGAGGCGGCGGGCCGACAGATAATCACCAGGCGATTAAAAAATTATCGGTATTTTGTCATCTAACAAAATGGCGGCCGATCAAAGCCGCATAAACAATTAAATACATTACTATCACGCAATATTATTAGATAAATGCACTTTTAAAGTGTAATTACTTACGTGTTAAGTAATTATCTACGTGCTATCTTATCTATTGACAATTGTCAAATTGTTGTAATAATATTTTATCAATTTGTAAGTGCAATGATTGACAAATATATATCGCCGCCATTTTGTAAAAATAAAACACAAACAACAGCAATAAACACGATAAACTCGATAACGTTTGTTGGAAAGTCGGAAGTTTTTGAACTTACAGCGTTTTTCGATTAATTTGACGCCCTAGGGCCCCCTATAGATGAATTCATAGAGTATTTACGTGTTGCGGCTGGCCGTCGCTGGCGCGATCTTGCGCTGCGATCGCTCCGCTCGGTCGTTGCTTCACTCTCTCACTTCGGTCGTGCTGCTGGCGCGATCTCTTGCGCTCGCCTTTCTCCACACGCTGGTGCGCTGGGTGCGCATTCCGCGGCCGACTTCATTCGCCACCGCCGATTCCTCCGCCGTCGCGGCCTCGCTGCCATTGTTTGTTATGATGTCGTCCGTCGTGCCCGCCGCCGTCGCGTTGCGGACGCCGCGCGCGCCGCCCCAGTGAGCCGGTGAGGGTGCCCAGCGTGCGTGCGAAACATGGACAAATACAGTGCGAGTGCGTCGATCCCACACTGCTGAGACATGAATCACATGCCGCCGTACAGACTGAATGTACCGAACGCGGGCGGCGCGGACCACCCTGCCTCCGGCGGCGCCTCCAATCCGAAGAAGCGTCGCAAGAACGGCGCAGCCAGCCAGCCGCCGCAGCCGCAACCGCCGACGAATGTGCAGGATCTACTACCGCCGCCGCTCTCCGGCTACGGCGACACCATCGTCGCCTCCAACCCCTTCGACGACTGCCCCAGCAGCATGACGATGAGCATGGTGCGCAACCCCAATCCCATGGGCATGCCACCCGGCAAGCCTATGGACATGTACCATATGAATATGTGCCGTCCCATGGGTATGACCATCATTTACCCCTTTTACATTAAATTATTAATCATTTACACTAATTTTAGGAGGCCCACCCATGCCCAACATGCACGGCCATGGCATGATGATGAACGGGTCACCTAGAATGAATGGACCGCCAATGAATGGTCCTCCAATGGGTCCAAATGGACCTATGGGCCCACAAATGATTCCCAGTCCAAATGGTCCCGGTTCTATGCATGGACCCATACCTGGTATAACACAACCATCATTTTTACACCCTAATCAAAATAATCAACCCATTTTTTAGGCCCAATGCAAAGCCCTCTAGGAAATATGGGTCCATCTCCCGGAATGCCCGGACCTATCAATGGACCAATGATGTCCCCAATGGGTGGGCCTATGAACAATGGCGGACCGATGGGTGGCCCAATACACAGCCCACACAACCCGATGAATGGCCCAATGAACAGTCCGATGAGCGGACATGGAAATGGACCGGGACCAGGCCCGCCCGGACCTGGACCTGGCCCCCGAACGCGATGAACGGCATGTCTTCACCCATGGGCAACCAGATGAATGGTATGGGTCCGGGCAATATGAATAACCCGATGGGTGGACCGCCGAATCCTTGTAATATGAATCACAATTCAGGAAATGGTAAAATACTCAAAAAACATGCAAATTTAAAAGTTTTAAAACGTTTTGAATGATTTTAGGACCTATGAATAATAATTTTATGATGCCTATGTATCAGAAACCTATGCCAGTGAGTGCAGGAAAGGTCTATCCTGCTGATCAACCTATGGTTAGTGATTTAAAACGAATTTTGCTTAATTTTTTCATAAAAATCTTTTGTTTTTAGGTGTTTAACTCACAGAATCCTAACGCTCCGCCGATTTATCCATGCGGTGTTTGCCATAAAGAAGTTCATGATAATGATCAAGCAATACTATGTGAGAGTGGATGCAATTTTTGGTTCCATAGGTAAGTACTTCCGAAAACACTTCTCTACTAAAACCTAGTATCCTAGTATTTAGTATGATAAGTTATGGTCAGAGTAAATTTCTTCTTTTGTTTGATTCAATCAATTTGTTGTTTGCTTCCCAAACGATTACAACGATTTTGTTTTGTTTTTGTAGAGCTTGCACGGGATTAACGGAAGCGGCCTTTTCGATGTTGACGAACGAGGTGTACGCGGAGTGGGTGTGCGACAAGTGTCTCAACACGAAGACCATACCGCTAGTTAAATTCAAGCCATAACCATGCAAAAATTCGCTCATTCACAGTAAGATAACTAGATAACCTTAAAACTAGGTATGCAACTCGAATAACAAACAAACAAACAAAACACAAACGCAGGGATTGAAATGTTACAAATAAGTGACAAACACATAAAAAAAATTAAATGAATTAATTCGAAAGACTGAAATCTTAATAATATTAAATAATGTAAATGAAAATATGATATGAATGTACAAAATTCACACACGCGGAGTTTTTTGTTTTCGATGTTTTAGCCGTTTTTAACCTTAAAAATACGCTGCGTTTCATTAATTTATTGATGAATTTTGTTTTGGTGTATGAAACATCACTGTGGACCAAAATTTGCGCCGCTTTTTCATCTCTTAAGGCACATTTACTATTACTTCCTATAATTTAGTGTAATTTTATTTAAACCATAGCTAAAGCAACCCCTTTAGGCCTCACCAATAATTTGTACAGTATATGTAAATACTAAATAGGTCTTATTATTATTATCTTAACAAGAAAAAGACGGTTATGGCTTGAATGTTAAAGTCTCGCGCAGATATTGAATCAAATCAAAACGTTAGTTTTAATGCACTCTTCTACTGCCATCAAAAATCGTTAAAGATCGCTAGATGGGAAATAAAATCGAATGCCTTATGTGTGCGAGAATGATGCAACAGTATACCGGTGATAAATATTATGATAACTGATAACAAATGCAAATCACACACAAGTTTTAATGTATCTATTAGATTATACGACCTGAATGGAATTGATTTCAGGTAATTTCAGAATAGGCAAGTATGGGGTGGGCCTTTGTATAAAGTTATTACTTAATAAATAATGCATTAAACCAGTTAAAAACGCGCAGAGATTCGCTTTTGTGACCATAACCTTTCATACACGCATACATAACCTCTGTTTTCTTCTAAAAATTCCATTTCAACCGTAAAACATGAAATATTCATGTTATTTTGTGATTTATCGCTGTTTTCAACTAAATTTGCTTTTAAAGCTTTTATATACATAATTAAAATTTGTTTTTCATATTTTTATCATGCTTTTTGCCTAATTATAATGTTTTATCACCGATTATTTGCATAATTTTACTGAATTTTTGACATTTGACATTTTTTATTCGTAGAGGATGCGTGGGATTGACCGAAGCTGCCTTTAACATGTTACTCTCCGAAGTGTTTGCCGAATGGGTGTGCGACAAATGCCTGCAGACTAAGAACATCCCGCTGGTGAAATTCAAGTCATAGCACCCGTGACACTTGAACTAAAGATCTCCTCATTTTAATCATTTTAAGTGCACACTTTTCCTACACATCAATGTCATGCGCAGCGTAGGATAAGCAAGGATTTTTAAAGAGCCTTTTGTATAAAGTTACAAAATATTAATTACATTTTCATAAATTACGTAAAACGTTCTCTATCTTAATTGCTTCGTTCCTCATTTGTTCGTTTTGGAATGTGTATAAATACGTATTTCTAAATAGTTTCATCATATGACATGGATTATGGTAAAATTACATTTTACACGCACGCAAATACCAAGATATCACAGTTCACAGTTAATTAACTCCGTAAAAAGAGTTGCGGATGCATATTGCTACATTACTGGTACTGGTATTTCCCGTTTCGACAATGAATCATCATTCAATTACGATTTAAATACTTCCCTTCAGTTTAAGTACCGGCCAGAAGAGGAATACTGCTCCGGTGAGATAGGTAACTCGAGCACCGACACTCCAGAAGGCGACGCTGGCGAAAATTGGACCAAGGGCGCGTGCCAACGCGCCTAATGATCGGAAAATACCCATTACAGTGCCTTTTTGTTGCGCTGAACCAAACTCGGACGCCATTGTTGTCATGCACGGCACAACCATGGCAGTTGCTGTCAATTTTGAATTTTTATAGGTTAAGAATCACATTGTGTGCACGTTAGGCAACAATACTTACAAATTGCATATAATAAAAGCCCCAGGTATAGTACGTATACATTTGTGGCGATTCCAACTAAAACATAGCTTGGAATAATAATCCACAGGCCTTTAACTGCTGTAGAATGATTTTTCTCCGGTTTGAGTCGCCTGGTGTACCCGCCTTGCATTAATGCCATCGTTATACCCACGAAAAAGAACATCCAGCCCTGCTGCATACTCGTGTATAGAAAAACATGATGCGTTAAAAAGGTCAGAGTAAACTCCAGACCGCTGTAGATAAACAGGTAGACAAAATAGACTAGTCCCAGAGTACGTAGTTGTTTCTTATCGGCTGGTTTCAGGTCCGTGACGGTTGAAAATCGGAAAATTTCACGGACATCGACCAGCGCTTTGGCATTATCAAGAGATTTCCACAAAGATTTGGCACGTTTTTCCTGTTTTAATATAGAAAAAATATATTTAAGTATAATTTAAGTTTGTTTTGGGATGAATATTACCTTTGGAAGACTTTCTTTGAAGAAAAACACAAAAAATAACAAATCAGCAACCGCTAAGAAAATGGCGAACGCCGCTGGGACGACAAACCAATTTCCTGTTTTCGTTTTTGCCCACACAGCGAATCCTGCGCCGATTAGCGGCCCAATAATGAAACCCAACGAGAATGCAATGCCAACTAAAGCCTGGAAATCAATTTTACAACATTTCTAAGTTTTTTTTTAAAAAATCTTCACTTACCATTCCAATACCTCGCGTTTTCATCGTTGAAACATCCGTAATAATCGCCATACTCAAAGAAACATTACCTTTACTCAATCCACCAATAAACCTTGCAAGAATAAACAATGCAAAGTTGTTAGACAAAGCCCAGAGTATATAAGAAGAAGCTATGCCTATCTAAACACAAAAAAAAACACTCAATAAACCAATTTTTCATAATAATTATCATAAATAATCACTTACCAAGCATGCAATCATAACACTCCTCCTTCCCAAGACATCAGAAATGCCCCCAATGATAGGGGATGTAACAAACTGCAGAAAACTAAACATAGACCCAAGAAAACCACCAAACAGCACTGAATTATACTGGTCTGGTGCACCAACCAACTCCTGAAAGAATTTTATCTTCCCAGACAACCAAGAATACAATCCAAGTGAATCATTACTCTTGTAATGATCCAGTAGTGATGGCAGCAGTGGGAGTATCATTGTAAATGCTAACAAATCAAGCAGGAGTGATAGGAACACAACATAAACTGTTTTGTTAACTTTCTCTGTGTTTGCCTGCTGCCCCATGATGATGGTGGTTGTGCTGTCGTGACTGCCGTCGTTATACTGAACGAGTTGTCGCGATTGCTAACGGTAGCGTAATGTGTGCGGAGCATGTAGAAAGCACTTTCTAATTTTTATACAACTGCTGATGATTGTCTTGATCTGAAGAAGTGAGAAGTAAGGCGAGTGCGGGCAGGGCGGAACGCATACCGGTTAAACGACCTAGAAAATTCGATTTTCGTTACGAAACCAAACGCGTGCAGTCATTAAATACGCTCGTACGTTACTTTTACTATCAGTGGGCATATCTTCGACTGGTGGAGATTAGAACTACGTGACCACTCCTTGGGTTTTAATTTTATTACATACTTGCGGCGGCTTTCATTTGTTTTGCGGGTGTTACCATCACGACCGCAAGTTTGACCTTGAAGTCACATTTTGACATTTCAGATGACAGCACTATTTCAAAATTATCTACTTTATATCAAAATATCTTTGTGAAACATGTAATATGTACAAAAATTAATAGATAAATTTAGTATTTGTTATGTTTCTTATAATTTAATTGATATTTTTGCTTTTTTTTGTATACTTTGAGGAATTTGTAGATGTTTAATGTTTTTTAGTATTATTAGGATAAAAACTAATAATTAGTAGTAGATTGATGATGCAGGCGCCGTTGTAGGAATCAATTAGCGTTGTAATCAAAGTAAAACGCCGCGCGAGACAATCAAAAGCGGATTATTGCAGTGCGGAGCGGGTCGAGCTCGCTCGAAGTCGCGCAGCGATCGCGGTCGAATGTGGGTCGTCGACGTCGTCGGCTCCAAATCGCTCAACTGCGCTCAACACTCGGCAATCCAGTCAGCAGTCAAGTAGTCAACGCAGTGAGTTATTGGTATAATCCTCGCGTGCGAAACATTTCGAATCTGTGGGCAGTTTCGAGCAGATTTTGCGCTCGTTTCCGCCTAATTCGCTCGAATGTCCGAAAACATCGAGGTGCACACGCTGCACTCGGCGAAAGCGAACATGATGGGCATCTACGACAGCCCGGTGACGGACCCTGCGTCGGCGAACAAGGTACGAACATCAAACTTTTCCATATTCTTTTCATATCTACCACAATCGACGCGCACAAACATTAACATTAGGATTACAATAGGTAGACGTCGAATGACGACGTTGGATTGCGACCAAATAAACAGGCACACAACGAAAAATATCACAACAAAAGTGTCTCGTTACTCATTTGTTTTCGATTGTTTCTTTCTTTTTGCAAGCGAGCAGTGTGCCGAGCAGCCCCTCGAGCGCGTTTAGCTGCAGACGTGTTGTTAGTACCCCTTTCTTGCACTCTCTGCCCATGCCACCAGATCATTAGGTAATTCAACATTAACATCAGTGCTCTATCATTGTCTTATTTGTTTTGCTCTAACCTAAAATCCGATTCAAACAAACAACAAAATCGAAATCGATCGACAACCATCTGTTTTCTAGTCCCAACTATCTAGCTGTCTGAAGTTACATACATAATATGTACCTATACTTGTATTGTATTGTACTTGTCCCTGGAGTAGCAAAAAAAAACATTGCCAGCGCTGCGCGGCGATTACATAAACCTGATAACACCTATATGCGCGATCGGTGAGGTGGGAACATGAGAACGATGAGATTTAAACGAATCACGAGCTAATTTGGTTTACAAAGTGTGTTTACGGCGAATATCGGGCGAGGAGTGCGAGAAAAATTCTCGCCGAAAAACCGCTCGCGGAGAATGGTAATGTGTTTCGCTTATTAATAGATTTTCATCGAAAAACAACCTTGTGGGAAGACAATTGAATGGAAAAATCGAAGAAATGCACTCGGATTTTTCCACCAATCAATGTTTCACTACCCAAAAACTTGTTTTCAAGTGATTTGATTATGAAAACAACTGTTTTAGACTTTTGCATGGTTTATACTAATTGGTGTTAAGTGAAAATGTAATTTAAACACAAACAAGACGTACGAAAAGAATTAAAACAGTCAATGTAACTGTTTATTTGCTTATTTACAACGAAAAAACTTACTTTTGAGTTGAGTGCTGTTTATAACCTCAAAGCTGAGATCAGCACTGATGACCTTGCTGTCAATTCAAGGACATAACCTCAATGAACTAATCAAATTTAATTTTTTCATTGTAGGTGAGTAAAACTATAAAATTCAATCAATTGAAACACTTACCACTACCTATTTTCTGCTATTGATTGTCAGTTTACCCAAACAAATCAAACAAAAACACAGTGTTTTCTACTATTCAGAGTGTCCTCTGTTCTGTAAATCCCGTGTAATGTTCTGTGTGACTTGTCTACATACATACTTGTTCATTTAATGCATTGATTCATTTATTTAAGGGCTTGGAGGGAGCGAATAGCTTCGTTGGTCAAAGAAAATTGGTAAGATACATGTTTTGCGTATCAAAGATGTATGCTTTACCAACGTGTGTACTCGAATCGCATACAAACCGAGAAAACAATCAAAGCAACAAACGGATTTCTTGCAGTGTTGAACAAAAAACAGAGAATCAATCGACCTGTGTAGTAATTGCATGATATTTAGTTGACGCAATATTTATCCACTAGAGTGATGCACTAAACTAGTTTATTTTTATTTTTGGTTAAATTCTTAAGTTTGGAACAATTCGGAATGAAATTGATGTTCTTAGTTGCGTAGTGCGCTTCTTAGTGAATATTAACGCTTTTCTTGATTGAGTTTACCATTGTTCGCTCATTGTCATTCGGGATTCGAGCTGCAGTTCGACCTTATCGCTCGAATGTAACACTAGATCTTAGATATATAGATGTTAACTTGTGATAATTATCATGTACTTGAATATTTCATTCTATGTTCTGTATTTTAGGACAATAAAACATCAGGAGCTTTAAAGAAGTCCAGTCGGTATCGGAGTCGTTCATTATCTGCATCGTCAACAGACTCTTACAGTTCAAGTAAGCAAAAGTTTAAACAAAATCATAAAATCATTATTTTTGCATCCATTTTATCATCAGCATGTAAAATTAGTTGTTTTTATTGTAAATTTTATCAGTATCTCGATGTTGTGGCCATACGAAAGAATCATAGCACACAAACTGAGATTATTTCTAGCTTCTTGTACAGGAAGCAGTTCCGAAGAGGATGACATCTCGCCGCGTGAAAAAATCCAAAAGAACACCGCAGGAAGTGTTGATTTCTGTGTTCGGAACATCAATCAACATTTATTCGGTCGTCGTGAGATTGAAATTGCCGAGCAAGAGATGCCTGGCATTATGGCGTTGCGTAAACGCGCCGGTGATGATAAACCGCTGAAAAACGCCAAGGTTATTGGATGCACGCATATAAACGCTCAAACCGCCGTCCTCATCGAAACTTTGGTTGATTTAGGTGCGAGTGTACGTTGGTCCGCTTGTAATATTTATTCCACACAGGTAATGAAAATAAACATAACCTTTTTTGCTTTTTTCTTTGTTAACATAACCTTGTTTGTGTTTAGAATGAAGTTGCAGCTGCATTGGCAGAAGCAGGTTATCCAGTGTTTGCTTGGCGTGCGGAAACAGAAGAAGATTTCTGGTGGTGTATTGATAAGTGTATCAACGCTGAGAACTGGCAGCCGAATATTATCCTTGATGATGGCGGCGATGCGACACATTTAATGCTTAAAAAGTACCCGGCTATGTTTAAAATGATCAAAGGTATTGTTGAGGAAAGCGTCACAGGTGTTCATCGTCTCTATCAGTTATCCAAAGCCGGAAAATTGAGTGTACCGGCTATGAATGTCAATGATTCAGTCACAAAGACCAAGTTTGATAACTTATACAGCTGCAGAGAGTCAATTATTGATAGGTAATCAAAAATTTTGTAAATATCGCGTGAGTAATAACGAAATATTGATTGCTTTCTGTTTGGGTTGATAGTTTGAAGCGTTCGACGGACGTAATGTTCGGCGGTAAGCAAGTGGTGGTGTGTGGCTACGGTGAGGTGGGTAAGGGTTGCGCTCAGGGTCTACGAGGCGTCGGTTGCATCGTTTATGTCACAGAAATCGATCCCATATGTGCACTGCAAGCAAGGTAAATAATGAAAAACGAAACTTTTTGACTGCATTTTATCGATTGTTATTGTTTATATATAGCATGGACGGCTATCGTGTGGTGCGACTCAACGAAGTCATCCGTAATGTGGACATTGTAATCACCGCCACGGGAAACAAAAATGTCGTCACACGAGAACACATGGATAAAATGAAGAGTGGTTGCATTGTGTGTAATATGGGCCATTCAAATACCGAAATTGATGTCGTATGTTCAAACAATATGTAATTATTGCGTGAAATGTGTAAATATTTAATTTACAGAATAGTTTACGAACCACAGATCTCACCTGGGAGAAAATCCGCTCCCAAGTAGATCATGTTATCTGGCCTGACGGTAAACGTGTGATTTTACTCGCTGAAGGTCGTTTGGTCAATCTTAGCTGCTCTAGCTTATCATCTTTCGTTGTCTCGATAACATCCGCGACGCAGGCATTAGCGCTTATCGAGTTGTTCAACGCGCCTCCAAACAGGTATAAATCCGACGTGTATTTATTACCGAAAAAGATGGGTGCGTATTTTTATGTTGATCGTTATCTTGTATAAAGGATTAACATTTTTGTAGATGAGTATGTAGCGACGTTACACTTGCCTACTTTCGACGCGCATCTAACTGAATTATCTGATGATCAAGCGAAATACATGGGACTCAACAAGGCAGGACCTTTTAAACCCAATTATTACCGGTATGTGATATGAAAATCTCATTTGAAAATGTCATCTGATGTTCAATTTTTGTTTGTTTTTGTGTTTAGATATTAGCATAGGCTTGTAGATAGGTCTGCGATGCTGGTGGCGGGCTGCGAGTCTTCATTTGTTTTATCTACAGACGTGAGACGGCGTGAATCTCGCACGAACTGGTAATCAAAATGTACACTGCTCGAAGTGACGAACGCCCAGCTGAATGGCCGCTCACCTATTGTTGTTACTTAATGGCTATAAGAATAACTTAATGTGTAAATTAAGCGAGAGGAACAAACAAACACCGACACGACACATAAACAACATGCAAACAGGGTGAAGAGCGACGTTGTTACAATGTAAATAGTTAACCATTAGTTTTGTACCTTGAAGAGTGTCCGCGGTGTAAAGATGCAAATCATACTACGAGTTGATTTGAATTTGAGAGGCTAGCGATTATCTCCGTAGACGAATCCAATCTAGACGCTTTGTATAATTGACGAAAACGACGAAACGAATTCGTGTTGCATCTGCTTATCAAGACTGCCAATGTGCGAACGTTTGTCTGTTTGTTATTTGTATGTGATTGTGTACAAAACCACAAGCAAAATTAGATTCAATTGGTGCGAATGTTGGAACCGAACAGAGATTAAGAACAAAACACCGCGAAACAAAATAATCGTTATAATAATTGTTACGTTTGTAAGTCCATACTAATGTTAGATACTATTTAATTATAGAGATGTGGTTGACTTGTAAATCGCTACACTGCGCTAACCACTAATGAGAAACAAGAAAACGTAGGGTTCCTTAGAAACGCCAAGCTGCGCATGCAGTGTTTATTGCGACGTTCGGTTGAGTTTTCAATCTCAGTCCCGATTCTAGTTTAATTTTAAGTACATAATCTAGATCTGCAACCTGCAAAGCTTTAGTTCAATGTCTACAATGTGATGTCACACTTGATTTGTTGTATTCGGTCGTTGTACTTTATATTCTCGAATTCGGTTTAGTTCAATTATTACTACGACAAATCTACTGTTGAGATTAGATGAGTAAGGTGGAAAGAATTTATATTTTTGTTCTGAATTTAGTTTTGGTGTTCCAAGTCAGGCCTAAATGTTCCTGCAGTTTTCGAGCCGATCGACGCTGCACACGTGATGGCGTGATGTTTACATTTGAAATGCGTTGACGCATTTTTATTACTTTGATCCTTTCAGTATTTTATTGCAAAGTATTCACTGTTATTATTCGTTTGTGACAAAAATGTTAATCTATATAATAAAAATCAATTGCCACAAATATGCGGGTGGGAAATTATCAGATATTGCGCAAAAGGGGACAGAAATTGAGCAAATTGCAAGTTTATTTATAAACACAAGCTAAATTATCATCTATCTGGGTGAACGACGTCCAGACTTTGGTTGCTTTTCAATCTCCTTATAAATTTGCTCTTGTGATACACCCTGCCGACGCCTACATTGCATAGCAGTAGTAAGATGCCTCCAATTACGAGCCAAATTTGTTACATCCACTTGTTCTCTTGGGCTAGAATTATAATTAGTACTAATAATACTACTTGAACCGCTAGTTCTAGGACTGCTTTTGTTTGAAGCTATAGAAATTGACTGTGACGTTGAAGGCATGCTGAAATCAGTTACTGTATCATCAATTTCCTTGTGTTCTTCTGGTAATTCAGCGAAATCAGTTCTTGGTATCGATCTGACTTTAGGTCTTGGATTGGGTATGCCTTGATCTTGGACTGTTGCAGGCATTGGAGGTTTATAGGGTTTTCTTGCTTGATTTCTAGCGTAGGTACTCATTAATGAATCTAGTGTTTGAGGTGTGTGAGAACTATTGGATTTACTCGAGGAAGAAGTTGGAAATTTTCTAGTTGTTAACTTTTTGGATAACCGTGATGAAGATAATGTTAATTCATGCGTTTTCTTTGTTGCTGATTTACTTTTACAAACTTTTTTTGTAGTTTGTAATGTTGAAAGACCAGAACAAACAGAAGTATTAGGTAAACTACTAATTGGAACTTCTGATCGATTTACAGATGGTGTTTCTTTATCCATTTTTATGTTTTGCCTCTTTTTTAACAATTCTGAACGACTACACAACTCATCTGGCAATTCCGGTTGGTTTTTAACTTTTAACATTGAAACATCACTGCTTTTAGATTCTCTTGAACTGGCTGCGAACGCAAGTCTTAAATTCTGAATTGTAGTTTCAAATGGAGAAACAATCCTTGGTGTATTCATATTCACATCAGGAGTGTTGGGAGGTGAAGTTTCATGAGCATCACCTTCAGGTGAAAGTGAAGGTGATGATGAACCTGAAGCAGTATCATAATCCTGACAATACTCATTCCATCACAAACTCTTTCTCCCATGGCGTTTAAATCTTGATGTATATCCTCATTCTTTGATTCTACAATTGGATACACTTTTCTTCTTATATACTTCATAGGACTTACACCTATGTCTCTCCTTTCTATCACTTGAGGAACATCAGTAGCCAATTGTACATCCGCCATCTTGGCACAACATTGTGCAGCAGTACATCTAGTCTCAGGTGGTTTTCTTGTATTCACTCCAATATCTGTAAATGAATGCTGTATACCAATATTTGAAGACACTTTTTCTAACATTTCTATTGAAGTTTCTTCATCTACCAACTTCGGAGTACACTGAATAAACTTAGATTTAGTACGATTCTTAGCAGTTTGAATTGATGTTTGCGTTGACATATTACGACCAGCGGTATTTGAACATGTTTGTGAGGTGCTTTCGTTTGTTTCTTTAGAAATACTAACAGAAATTGTGTTTGATTGTCTTGTTTCAATGTCACGCGCACAACGAAGAACAAAATTCACGATTTCTGAAGCTTGCGTTAAGTTTATTAAATTATTCTGTTGCTCCATTAAAGATTTAACAATCCCCAAAGTAATCAACTCTTGATTATTTACTATAGGCACTGTTCTTTCATTTTCTTTAGCAGGAACAACATCCTCTTCATTTGCAATTAAATCGTCAGTAGTTATAGAAGATTCCGCAACATTTACATCTTGATCTTCACTTTGATCCAGTTCCGAATGTTCATCACTATCGACTTTCCTGGGTTTTGAGTCTATATTCTTCAACCAACTCTCCACTTTCACTAAATACTTAGATGGGTCACTATCTTCTTGTATAAACCGTGGTGTTAAAGATTCTTCTTCCCCAACAACAGCAAAACTTTTCTTTGCATCCGTAAACAAATCAAAACAAGTATTCGCAGGTTTCTCACTACTACTTATTTTCTTCAAAGAAGTGGTAACACCGGTAAACTTAATTAAACTAACATGGTCACCTGATACTGGTACGGCATCATCATCAGGCAAATCAGAAAATATCGAAGAATTGTCAGAATCATTCATTTTTGTGCTTAATATCATCGAATCTGGCATTGATTCATTTGATATGGTATCCTTTGGTCCCACAAACCCTCCGGAAATATCTTGCAGGCGGAATAAACTTTTCTTGGAAGTTTCCTGGCGTAAAGCATAGTCTGTTTCAACTTCTGAACTTGACCCACCTGATACTGACTCAATAGATATCCTATCTTCAGAAGCATGCGGTTCAGTAACAAGTGTAGAGTTAGAATGTAGTTTTACTAAAGTGGGACTGGACCTTGTAAACAATTTATGTCTTCTTCCGCTGGTAACTAAAGATTTACTTGATGAATATGATGAAGGTTCTATTTCCCATTCTTCTTTGATGACACACTCACTTGGTGCTTGTAGTAAACCCGAATAGTTACCAGGGGATTTATTAGGTTTAATTAAATTGGTCCTGGGAGGTTGTTCTCCTGTGGAGAGAAAACCAGGAGCAACCCGAATGGGTAACCTTGCTATGGGTTTCAGTGACTCATCGGATGTATCATCTCCTGCTTGTTGACTTAACTTAATCGCCATCTCATGTGCGTTGGAGATGAATTTAGCACTGGGTCTTTTTCTGGCGCAACAACTCTTATCATATCTGTCACGACTGGGTGCTGTACTTTTTGGTGGAGATTCTCTACGTGGTGAGTCTTTCGGTGAATCGTTTATGGTAGGTTCTGGTGTTGGTGTTGGTACTTTAAAATTATCTAAATTTGTTGAATTGTTTGATATTTTCTTAGTTGTTTTTAATTTTCGGCGTTTCTTACGTTTGTCTTTACTTTTTTCTTCTTCTTCTGAATCTGATGATGTTTCCGGTTCTGTTTTCTTCTTTTTCTTCACGGGTACCTCTATTAAAGGACTTTTTGTTGTAGGTACAGGAGTTTGTTTAGGTTGTCTTGGTTGTCGAAAAGGAAAGTTTCCTGGTTGTGGTAACTTCACCACTTCTGTCGCAGTAATATTTCCGGAGCCGGAAGTTTTAGCCACGTTAAAATATTCTAATAATTTGGTAAACTCTGGTTTTACCTCCGCCATTTCATTGAATACATCAAGGGCTTTAAAATTGTTAGGTTTCGTTTTACAAACTTCATCAATATCTTTTGTAGGTTTTTCATCTTCTTCTTCATCTTCATCAGGTATTACCAATTTTAAAGGTTCTTCAACGGTTTCACACGGCACAATTTTAATTTCACTAGATGATTTCATCCCTAAATTGAAGAACGCTTGACTGGGAACTAAATTAATCGAAGAACTACGTTTATTTGCCAATGCCTTAATCATCCGTTCTTCTTCAGCTTTCATAGCCTCTTCCGCTCGTTGCTTCGATAACTTCTCCTGTGTCAATCTTTCTTTTTCACGTTCTTTTGCTGCTTCTAACAACTTACGCACTCGTTGTCTATGTTCCCGTCGTCTTCTTTTTTGATTTCGCACGGCTTCCTTGTGAAGAATCTCAAAACGATCTTCAGGATCATTAATAGATGATACTGTAGTGCTACTGGAAGCAGAAGGCAACGCACCATCATTTGCCGAGTTCCGTATTAATTGTTTAAAGTAACTATTGATTAAATTCTGTTCATGAAGAGTTTTAGCTCGACTTGACGCTATCAACTTCTGTACCAACTCTGATTTCTGTGCTTCATTCATGAAATAATAAATAGATTCTTCCCTGCTAAGCCCAGGAGCAAGTTTAAGTACATCCGGAGAGTCGAAACTTGTTCGTGATCCTCTGAATATTCGACTTCCGGCTGGACCCAACTCATTGGGATCAAAATATGACTCAGTGCGAATTATACTAATTTTTGAAGATACATTCAAACCTGGTTGAATTGTAGAATAAACAGCTTTGTTTAAATTAAACTTCTCCAGCTGTTTCTTCAAACAATTACTTTCTCTAGAACCTTTAGATTCTTCCAAACATTTTCCAGTGTTATTATTGTTATGATTATCATTTAATTGTTCTTCAAACAACATTCGGCTCCGTATATCACTCTCACTGGATATTTTGAACACGCTCACAACTTTGGTAACAGTTTCCAAGTGTGGAGCACTATTGATTCTTCTCAATCCTTGTGTATACTTCTTCTTTGTGACGAAACTCGCTTGGAATTCTTGTCCTGGGCTAAGGCTACATGATGATTGTGATGTGGAATATTCAGCGGAATAAAAATGGCAGTCTACATCATCATAACTTGGATGTGATATCATGCCAGAATTTTCACCCTCAGGGGTTTTGTTGAATTTGCCACTAATGTTCAGATAACCTTCTTGGTACAAAAATGGCCGATTATATATTGTACGCAATTCTTTTGCTTGAATCTTATCTACGGTAGGAAAAATATCATAATATGTCAGATTATAAACGGGACTTTCGGTGTGGTGCTCATATTCTGGTTGATAGTGTTTATTATTATCAACTGTGGATTCAAAACGGCGCTCATTTGGCAGTTTATGTTCTTTGATGTTTTTCCGATGTTTTTACCGTTGGTATTTGTTTTTTCACTCTTAGATACTTCATTCTGACAATGTTCTATAGTTGCAGCTATACCCAAATCAAAAGCCACTTGAAATATCTCTTTTTGGTACCTGAGAGTATTTTCTCGAAGTTTTTCACGCTTCTTGATGATTTCTGAGTTTTATGTTTCTTTGAATTCGATGATATATTAATTTCATCTTCAAATTTACACTGCACCTCTTGTGACTTAAACTTTTCTGATTGTACGCATAGATTTGATTCTAATCTATTGCTTTCAAAAGTTTTGTCTTTACCCTTCACGTAATAATCAAAAAAAGAAGAAGGAAACGTCATGGAAGTATCAGATCTCGACGATTTCACCCCATAGGATTTAATAGGAGACTTTTTACAAGAGTTGGAAATTAAATCATGCAAATACCACCATTTTGTTTTTATTTTACGTTTTTGCGCTCCCTTTACACGTTTACAAACACCTTCTTCAATCAAGTTCTGAATATTAGTTTCGCTGTCTTCTTGGATTTCATCCAAAGGTTCATAACCTGTACCGGCATCACCAATACGAAACGAGCACACATATCGTGCTATTGCATAAAATACTAACATAACAACCGCCATTGCTTCCATAACGGCAAAGTGCGACAGTGATTTACCAATCTCCAACCATGATCCCTCATTTCTAACAAACAGCATAAAATTCAACACCATCTGATCCAAAAACAACAGTAATACAGTAAACACTTTGGTATCATTCGCTTTCGAGTGCAAAACAATCGCGTAAAATGCGCAAGTAATCAAAAAGAACGGAATTATCATCTTGATAACAATCAAAGCCGCCATTAAAAACGGATTAAAGGTAGCAACATAGGTGCGTGTCCATTGTGGGTCAAAACCATTAAACGACGCCATATTGCCAATCGCAAAGAAGTAACACACAGTCAGCGCCAACTAAAAACATAACAATTAGTTTAAAACATCAATATCAAATTAAATTAGTATTACATAAAAATATGTGCGTCTGTACAAATCAGGCACTTTAACACTACCCGACGGTATATATTTCACTAAGAAATGCAGTTCCTTTAGTGGATTCTTGTTTTGACTAGGCAACTCCATCTTGGATTCAATTTCCATCCAATAATAAAGCGTCAGAACCAAAACGCTGTAGAATATCAAGTCAATATTCACCGCCATTAGAGTGTATGGTATTATCAGACTAGCACATATATGTCCAAAACGTGTGAGAACTCCTTTAGGAGCCACTGGTATCAGGAATAAAATGGCCGCGGTCACAACCCAAGAAATGACCAAATTCATATCTGATAAACCAATTTCACTGTCAAACGCATACGCGACGTGCAAAGCATTCGCGGCTGACACTAAATATAATACTAAAGGTGTCATAATAATATTCGTCGTCATCGTTTTGTATTTCAAATCGAAACGTTTGATATATTCACGACCCTCGGCGTAAATATAACTTATGTAGATCACTAACCATAGAAACGAACCAATTGCACTGAAATAATACATATTAACAGAAATATTGTATAAAAGTAGCAAACTTACAGTCCGTAGTAATTAAATTTTGTACTGGGTTCCAACATTTGCAATAACGCAAGTGTACAAGTGGTAATCAACCACGTGACTTTGCTTTTCATCGCGCAGTCATTTTGTGTCAACCAAAACGCTAGAATCACCACAACCCCAGCGCAAAACATGCGATTAAAGAATCCAAACACCAGTAATTGTACCAATACGCCATAGACGATTGTTCTTGCAATGATTGTTGTCTTGTTTGGCATATTGAGAATGATCCAGAGTTGATTTACAACGTCTTCATCTTCGAAGAACAATGCAAGCACACTTAGCAGAAATACTGGATATGTGTAAGTGAAACATTTAACTTTTAAACTGTTCAAGTAATAAACAGCAGCGATTAGTAACAGAACAGTTAAAAATCGCATTCCTATCCTGCATGAACGAAAAGTTGGAATGGGTTTCACTTCATCCCTGACATGAATCGACAATGAGAGGTAAATAATCCACAGGAAGAAACCCAACATAACTGTGATTACTTTGGGACGAAAATAGTAATTTCGCATGTATGCATTCGCTGCAAGTATATCCTTCATGAACTCCTCACCCATGCGGACAACATTCTTTTCTCTATCACCACGTTTAAGTAATGTTTCCATCTTGGTGATAAAGTGTCCCACATAATTGTTTTCAAACATTGGGTATTCTGTGAACAACGGATCCAAATCAAATTCTCTGCGTAGAAGTGTATATTGTTCCACGTGTTGCATAACATTCGCCATAACAGCTTCAGATATTTGATCATAAGTTCCATTTAAAAGTTTATGTGGAAGTATTCCTATGGAGTTGACTGGAATAGGGACACCTATCAATGAAGATAAAAGCGGTGCCAGGTCAGTTTGCTTCAAATCATGTCGAAGTTTATTTTCTTTCACTCCTTTTCCCCATAGAATGTAAGGAACTTCTGTTTCGTGTTCGGATCCATCGCCATGTGAACCCCAATTGGTCATACCATGATCAGCGGTTACCAGGAAGGCAGTTTCATTGTCATTGAAGAATTCTTCAAATAAGAATGATGTTTCGCGAATTCCCTTGTCAACTGCATGTAAATTATCTATATATTCTCTATAATAACATAAAAATAATAGTTTTATGAGTGAATATGTGAAAACAAAATGGCGACTTACTTTGAATCGGGTTTATGCACATGTCCGGCTGTATCCATGCCTAGTAAATGTAAAAAAAATACATTTCCGGTTTTACACAACTGTTCGCATTCAATTTTGTCAAATTTATGAATGCATGGATATAATTGAAATTGTTCAAAGTCTATATCGGCTTCTTTCAATGTGGCTTCAATCTCTTTATCAGAAACTCTCTCAAAGCAAGGTTGTGTCTTTTTGTAACACTCATGATGTGGCCCTTTACACTGTTCTTTTTCAAGTTGGCATTGTGCGCGTTCTTTGGCTATACTCAAATTCAATTCATTCATTCGTCGCCTTTGAGTTTTTTTACGTATAAATTCCGCTTGGCATGAATTTCCTTTAGGTGTTAGTAATTCTTCGACGCGATCAAACACCCATGTATCTAGATTTATCGTTGAGGTACGTCCGGAGAAGTCTTCTTCACTTGGATCGTAATATTCTACGTTTAATTTCGCTTTGTCTTTTTTGGTAAAGATTTTAACAATGTCAGGGCTGCCATATGACCAGGCATAATTACTTTCATTGATTACAGAGTCAAATTCGACGGTGTTCGCTTGCCATCCGGTGAAAAGCGCGCTGGGATCTTCCATTAATCCACCAAAAATGGCGACGTGACCGGGTCGTGACTCTGTGGGTACTCCAGTGTGCACAATACCCCAAGAACAACTTTTATTCAGTCTTAATTCACTGAAAATTAAAGAAAAATTAATATTTACCTTTAAATACGTTGAAATATAGGAATTTATTACCTTAAATATTTAACGCGGTCCCAATTTTGCATGGGATAAATTGCTTCAGCTCTCATTCCATCAGCAATGAACACAACCAGTCTTTTTGCAAATGGTTCCCCACGACTCTTGTGCGGTGTCATGCCATGCTTGATCGGCGATGTAAAATATAAATCCAGCACAAAAAGGAATGTGAGAATGTGGATACAGATTCCCAGTATCCATAAATTTCGGAATTTTGTTTGTTTTTTGGGCGTTTTTGTCATGGCAGGCTGAAAATTGTAAAAAAATGCGGTTTTTAGACTTGAAAAACGTGTAAATTATCTATCTAAAAAATGCATTCAGTAATAACTGTGCTTATTGCTTATCATAATTTATTTTAAAGAGTTTTTAAAGTTTTAAGTGAATACTGATAAGAAAAGCTAGGCTATGTTGTTTGTTTACACACAAACGTCAGTGTCACATTGATTACACCCACGTTGTGACTGTCCGCCCGACTGGAAGACTGCCAGTCAGACAAACGGCACCGTCCGCTAAACAGCTTTAAGGTGTCTACCATAGATGGCGATAGTAGTACCATATTCATACTATATACAAAAATGCAATATATAGTTCATTCCTTATTGGTGTATTCACCGTTTTTATGACTACGAAACCGCAAAACGCAAAAACTATCAGTCGCCACTCAACGTGAGTGATTCATTATTCACGGTTGTTAATTTAAGCAGATAGAATGCGCTCAATGCGAATATTTCACGGTTCATGAATCGGGTTACGGCTTCAATATACATAATTCCGCATGCATTTTCCGATCGCGCTCTCCTTTCGCATAAATTTTTGCAATATTTCAGCGTCACGCATGAGCGCAAGGCTAATTAGCGACATTCGCAATAGGCAGACCTTGTTCTTGTTGCAGTTCACATTTGATTGATGAAACTCGTTAGGAAAATTCGTGTAAATTGCGTTTATTCATGGTGAAATGATTGATAATCGCGCATAACCTCAATACAACACTATTTAAAACATTTACATAAAACAGTTGGATTTAAACTTGATAATTTTTAACAAATTTGACGTAAGCATATTTTTAATCAGTTAAGTGGCATTGTATCAAATTCTGCGGCTTGAAACTACCTGGGGAGGTACGCTTGTAGTGCGGTAGTGTAGAGAGAAGGTGCAGCATGAAACATGTTTGCTCGTTTTGCTCGCATGTCTGCTGCCGGGTGCTGGGGCGTGTGGGGGACTCGCGAGTTTGAAAATAACACGAGTCATACAAAGCTTCGGCGGAATAGTGGGGCTGTGTGAGGCTCTCCGCGTGTTCCGCGACGCTGGGCGCCTAGGTAGAGTTTGCCAGCAGAGACCGACGCGTTCAACATTCAAGAGAATTCACGTCAGAAAGAGAGCCAGCGCGTGTGTTAACCGACGATTCGCATTTCACTCCGCATCGGTTTGTATTCGCTGAGGGGCGCCGAAGAACCGAAAGCAACAAAAATCGCCTGCATTTCAGTTTCATTCGTCGTGGAACATTGGTGGCACCCTTGTGCGTGCGCGTATTATTTAAGTGTCGTTTTTGTGGAGTGTTTCTCGTCCCGTGTCTCTCATCACTCGCTTTTACATAACTTTGTGTATCCGTGCACATCACACCCGCGCGCGCGTCTTTCCGATTTATTTCTCAACTTTTTGCGTTTGCGCGATGTTGTACCAGCACGCACCGAAAACCGAATCTCAACAGTATTATCTCACAGTGCGTCGTTGATAGAAAATGTGAAAGTTGTGCTTTTCGACGGCACACAAAATGTAAGCAGCTTTTTATGCGTGTGTCTATAAAAGTCGCGTTTATAAAGTTGCATACCTCACCGCAAGAAGCACAACAAAGAAGTTGTTGTAATTTACAACGCAAGACAAATCAACAACAACAACAACAACGTTAATAGCACCGGTTTCGTGCGCTGCGACTACGAAATACGAAAAAACTCCACCGGCATTATGATGATGGATGAAAACGAGCAAGAAATTCGCTCCCCGATCAAACGGCTCGGCTCCACACGGAAGCTGCTGGTGTTTAACAGTGAGTACAATAACGTTTACGCATTTATTGTTGCATTGCACATACGCAAACAGATGTTGGCGAATTATGAATACCTGTTTTCATGGCGGAGCTGTGTTTATGCGGCACCAGCAGCGCATTATCGGCGATTCGCGGCCGGTTTTCGCACGATGCATTTATGCATTGGCAGTTTATACCAAACTTGTATACAATTTTTGTTTTGTGTGGCATTCAGCTGCCAGCAGTCGAAGTTGCGTCAAGTTTGCAGGTGATTTTCGAGACGAAAACTACCTAAGACCTTTTTAAATACTTAAAAGATTAAAATTTATCGAAGAACCGGTTTGCATTGATAAACTATTCGAATAGTTTTTGATAAGTCGTAGGTAATGAAACGTCATGTTGAAAAATGTGACGACCAACTGGGTACCCAAAAACAGATTCAATATCTAATCATGAAAAATGGTGTCTATGTCAGAGTATAATCCCGCACAAAGACGTAAAAGGCAACTACAAGAACGAAGACGATTCATGGACGTATAATGATTGTGTACAAGTCATGAAAATTAAATTCTTAACATCAAAAAATAAAAATTTACCAAAAAATTTTAAAATTTAACCTAAAATCAATCAATTTTTGCATCAAAAAACTAAAAAATGAAAATAAAAGTTGTTTACAGGGATATTTATCTACTAATACATAATGTGCCTTATTTGCAACATGCTATATTCGCGATTCTTCAATTGAAGCACGCCCTACACGTCTTTCAATCTTCTAGCGCGCAGCGCAGCGCTGCGCAAATGAAAATTGAAATACGTGAGAAGTAAAATTGCATCTTGCATCTTATATCGTCTCTCCTTTCGCGTCCTCTCGACAACAAACAGCAAATCTCTTTGTGCGCCCATGTGAGTCACTCACGTTGAGGATTTAAGTCAGCGGAGGGCTGGCGGCACACACACAAGAAAAAAAATCAACGACATTTTCGGACTTGTCATCTGATATCCTCACATGTGAGTGTCTGTTTCTTATTTTCACGCTGTACATCTCTTAATGAAGTCACAGAACAAAAAAAAAACGAAAACTTAAGTCTTAAAACATGTGGTGTAGATGAATAAACCGGCGCGACATTAAGACGCGACCATGTAATAATAATAATAATAATAAAATCAACTGAATACGATTTGTAAAATCATTTTTAATGTGCCAGGAATCTATTTCGAACTTGTCATGCATTGTTTTCTTCTCCAACGTGTCCTAAATCTCATTATTCGCGATTCTGATATGATCCGGTCATGTGACAATTAAACCCCTTTCAGGACACGTGCGTGAACTTGGCGCGATGAATACCGTAACGACGTTTGTTGTTTGCGCGAAGCGCGGCGATGCTCGATATTGTTTATCAAAGGGCGGCACGTGGCGGGCGCGTAGGTGTGCAGAGTTATAGGGATAATGGCGAAGCGGTGGAAACCTTCTCGCATGATTCATGACATGACAAGAAACTAGACACAAAACACAAGAGGGACTCGCGAGTGTTTGACTGTTTGACGCATATTGCATTGCTATAAATATATTACCAGACACCTATATATACTCTATTCAAGTGTGTCTTTTATTTCCATTTTCAATTACACCGAATGGTAATGGCGTATAGTTTCGGTGACTAAAATTTATATTTTTAGTTAATGCGTGTTATTCTACGTAAAATACCAGAAATAATGCTTTGGGTAATAATAAAAATCAATTAATGTATTTTCAGTAGCTACGACGTACATAACCTATGTTATGTGTTATGTTAACCTAAAAGTGAAATTTACCCGTTTTTTTTTTCTTACACTTTGTGCGGAAACATTGCGTTAATCAACATCTCACGCTTTTAGAATCTAAATATTTTCACAAAGCGTTATTATAAAACACCTTTCGTTGTGATGCGCCACTTTTGTTTGACATTACGTACGCGTTCGCCGAAAGCGGAAGATTTGCATGTTATGCTCTTATAAATTCATTCACGCCGACGTGTTTTGGGAATTTCTCGCCTGGAAACCAAGAGAAATCGTTTTCTTTGCATGCATTGTTATTATTTATTAACACACATTTAGTTGTAATAAATTACCGCATAATACACCTTTTGTCTCGATTGTTTCATGTGAAAAATATTAATTTATTGATTTATGAGGAGTAATTCATGTGATTTAAGATTTAATATGTTGATACTCTTTTGTTTTCGACGCTAACAAGGTAATTGCAGCTGGGATATACTTCTGTCTGGCTTCAAGTGTGTATTGTCCCTTGTTTCAATTCATAAATTGATTTAAATTGATCATCCGTTTGTTGCTCTGTTGATATCCGCTCGAAAAACATTATATTTACTTTATCACTTTATATTTACATCGAAAAATTCAATTTATTCGTTGAAATTCTTATGTTTTTCTTGTGTTTTTATATTTTTTACTTAATATTCAATACGTTTAGTATGTTTATGTCCAGTTGTCAAGCGGAACGTCGTGATTACAATTTATTAATTCCGGTCTGCGCGTTGAATCCGAAGGGATGTGCCACCCGATGAAATAAAAGACAATCGCGCGGTTGAAATGTTATCGCATGCGCTTGTTTTGAGTGCTGCACTTTAATAAGCTCGTAAAAGTCGTCGCGATTAAACGTTTAACCGTTTCAAGCGTTCGGAAATGTTTGTAAACGCGCAATGTTTGGCAAGCGAATCAAAGACACACACACACACCTACGCATCGGTATTTTCGAAAAACGAATTTAGCACTATTATTTTGGCAGTGTATATTTGCATTTCATGTTTGTTTAACTTAAACCCATCAAGAATCGAGAAAAATACGTATTTATTAAATATGCCACTTACGATTACAGTGAAAATTATTGATTATTAAGTAAAATACGTATGCATACGATATTATTACGTTGGATTATTATTTATTTAGTTACGTATTAGATTATGGGCTGTGTTATTATAGGAAGCAATGTTGGTTGCCTATACTTATATTTATATTTACTTGTATTATATTCACTTTTAGGTTAACCTTCTACGTTCTAATATAACTAGCGACAATCTCCGTAATTACATTCGCGTTGTTTGTGCGCTTTTGTCTTGTGATTTGGTTCGGTAAGAAAGGCGAGCGAATTATTAATTACTCGCTGCACGTGCAATTAGTCCGCTCGACGCCGGCGAGCCGTCGCTGGGCGCGGCGGAAGAAATTGGACGAAAACAAGTAGTCATAGTAGTAGTTGTTGATGCAGTTATCTACCATCACCGAGAGATACCGTTAGTTATCATTTTTTTAGCAACACTGCAAAACATATGGTATAAAATCAGCTTAAGTACTGAAATTACATTGGAATTTTATTATTACTGAACTGTACATGTGACTTCCTCATAGTTGCAGTTTTATTTCATCTAAAAATGTGATTTTTAACCTTTTTTTCTTTGTTTTTTTTTGCGGTTTACGATAAATAACGCGAAGATGCTTTCAATTATCGGTCGAGCGCATCGTAACTCGAGCAATGCAGATGCGTTTTTGTCGGCATTCGCCGAGAAAACTCCCCAGACGCATTAGTTTCCTCAGCGGCGGGCGAGACACAAATGAGGATGTAGTAATAAAGTGAAAAACACAACATCACATTAATTATCTGATTAAATTCAACAGTAACGGGAAGCGCAAGCAACAATAAACATTATTTTTTTGAACATGACTCACAATTATTATAAAATGCATGAAATACTACGTTACTATGACAACAATACACAAATCACGTGAATATTTTGTGGTTTCTTATCAAACCAGCGGTTTCTTTCTCTATATTTTTACATTTTACATTGATTCATAATTTTTTCCACGCAAAAATCATGCGTCGTGCGTGTTTGTGGACATTTTGCAAGCGAATGTGATTAGTTACGCTGCAGCCATCGAAAAGCCAACAACTTCTGCTGACTGCTGTGCTGCAAGTTTGTTGCTTTACACCATGTCGACGGCCGGCAGCATCCAGTCGTGTAAGTGACACTTTGGCGATATTTATTAAACCCCGTTCGCGACACGCATGACTTTCCGCAAAGCAAATTGCGCACATTTATCACGTTTATTACCTATGCGCTGGCATTGTATTCAAATACCCTCGCCAGCAGCGTCGCTGGAGAAAGAATCGATGGACGATGACCTTCCGGTGAGAGACGCGCGCGTTATTAATGAGCTCTTGGACTTGAAAGGTTTGAAACAAGCGGCGTCATCGTGCAACAAGATATCATCAAAGAAAAAACGCCTGGAGAGTAGAAAGGAGAACATTTAAGACAAAAAAAAGTTATTTTTATGCATTTTTAAAATTTTTTAAAAAATTAATTGAGGTTATACCTATTTTTATGCACATTGGGTTGCATAAGTAGTATCCGATATGACGTCAAATAATCTAGTTCCAATACTGATCCGTAGATGGCTCTACAGGTATCAAACGTAGGTTTTATCGCCGTTTTATCGTGTTGACTTGAATTGTGCGTTCGCCGCGTTCAAGTTCCTGCCGATCCTACCATCGCTCCCTTCTCGTCTGCGCCGCGGCGCGCTGCGACGACGCACCGCGAAACAGAAGCACACAGCCGGTTGTTGTGCCAGTCTGCTTCTACACCGACCTGCGCTCATTCATTCAGCCGCTTGAAACGCTCACATCCGACATCAAACACACAATATCCGAACAGCTACGAATTATATTTAGATTTCCCACGTGTGTAGATTTACACCTACGCCGCGCGTCTACGCACCAAAACAATCCACAACACAATTGATTTGAAACAACAACATATTCATATTCATCCGGGCGAGGGTGGTTTTATTTCGTGTGGTAGTGCGGTTTACAAACAAATAATCGCATTGTTTGTGTACGGTGGTGGCGTTGAAGATCAGTAGACACATTTGAGAATCACCGCGCACCGATTAGCTAATCAAGTGTGGCAGCGCCGGGCAGTGTGTGCATAATGTGGTGTTGCATCTGATGTGATCATCAGCATCCCTCGGTGCGCAATGTTTCAGTGCATCATTCAGCAGCGCAATGGGTGGACACATTCGGCTCGCGCAGAGACAAAGGATGTGTTTCCAGGTTCGTGCTATGAATTCCATTCGATTGCAATATTCCTTTGTTTCGATTTGTTTTCGACGCGTCTGTGCAATTTGTTAACACAAAAAACAACCTCACAGCATTAAACCGAAATTATTACGGTACATTCCGTGCACGTGTATTGGTATTGGTTTGGTTACTGCTCTACGAGTTTAGAAGCGCGGAAGAAGCGAGCGTCCGAGTTTTTTTTTTGTTTTATAATTTCGAGTTGAATGTTCCTCAAGCAGAACATGCTTCAATGTTTTAACAATCTGTGGCATTCGATAATCTTCAGTTTGATGTGTTTTATCACATTGTAGCTGGAAATAAACACATTCGATGGCTTTTATAGGAAATAAACACAATCAATTAAGATATGAAGTGCTATAAATTCATTCAAAGCTTGTGTGTTTGTATTTTTTTCTGTATTTGATGTCACTTCATAACGGTGCGTAATGATAATTCAATGTAGATAAGAATAATCGTCGCGCTTTGATTTGAACGCATTGAATACGAGTATGAGTACATTTTTCACATCCGGTTGATTGTTGTTTGTCAACGCGAGTAGAAAGTTGTAACCAGGAATTAAAAATTGCGGAAAGTATGGAAAAATTACTTACAAAGTGATAAAAATTATGTTTTAGGTATAATTTTCTTTTCTAACCTATAAAAGACGTTAATTTAGGTTTGAATTTTGACATTTTTAGAGTATCCTGTCAAAAATAACAAATCCGGTTGATTTTTACTTTTTTTGGGGACTAGAAACTTAAAAAAAGACTTAAAAATGGCGGAAAGTACAAACATATTACTCACCAATTGAAAAAAATTAGGTTTTAGGTTTAATTTTCCTTACTAACCCATAAAAGAAATGAATTTAGGTTAAAATTTTGACATTTTCAGAGCGTCCTGTCAAAAATAACAAATCCTGGTGATTTTTACTTGTCTACGCGACTAGAAAATAGTAACCAGGAATTAAAAATTACCGAAACATAGAAAAATTACTTAAAAAATGTTAAAAATGTTGTTTTTGGCATAATTTTCTTCCCTAACCTATAAAACTAATGAGTTTATGTTACATTTTTGGCATTTTTAGCAATCTGTCAAAAATGACAACTGACATTACGTTTTAACTTAGTATTTTTCAGAAAACTAGTGATTTTAAATTATCAATGGGCGTTGTTGATTGTTTATTGTAATTGCAATTTATGTAACGCGGTCATCTTCCCAACGAACGGAAAACGTAGGTGGTAGTTGCACACATTTGCATAAATTTGCTTTCCTGTCATGTGCATAGCTTTTTCTTTTATCCAAAACCAGTTGAATAGTTATAAAAAGTTCAAATTCTCGTTTCTATGGCGGTTCGGTTTCGAATTGACTACGACTCGTCACCCTATTTCCAGATCTTAACGAATCTACCACCCCGACGTGATCTATGAATGCGAAGACATTAAGTTAAGACCTTCCTTTTCCCCCTCACGTCTCGCTCAGCGTCGGAACGTTGGAAGGGTCTTTAGGGTTCGCTTCTCTCCCAAAGAAGTGAACGTGCGTTCACTAAAGATAGACTGGGATGCGTGTCGCGTGGTGACTCACACGAAAAACACATGCATGTCGTTTTTGGGCCTCTTTAGGGTGTTCCTTATTCTTATACATACCTATTTTTATACTTATTTCAATTTCCTTTGCTGTCGCGTCGGAATCTGAAGAGTTTTTTGTGAGGATAGCGATGTGTAGGCGTCAATTTACATCAGATTTCAGTTTCATTTTTCGTATTTCATATTTTTCATATTTCATGCATAAAATGTTTGATTTTAGACAAGTAGTTTGGACACGTAATGTTTAACACGAAGCGTAGTGTAGCACAAAAACATGAAATGTGTTTTTCATTAGTAAATTATTTACAGGCGCTAATTTTTTGTATCGTCAATACTTTTTCAATGTGTTTGTGGGTAACCAGCGTTTTTTAAGCGTCCTTCACGCACTGCGCAGAGTAAATAATAACAAGAATATTTTTGCGCTTTAAACAAGCAAACTTATTACATTAATTAAATTTATATTCAATATTTTCTACGAAATTAATGAATATGTGCATTGGCGCAACTATAGGCAACCAAACATGCACGTTACATGCGCCATTTTGAATTATACGCGTTTGCATGTTATTAAAACACTTTGTTTATGTCCTATATGAAATTCCCTTCACAATTGTTACGTTTTGTATTCCATACACGGCGTAGATAACGCAGGAAACAATTATTTTCAACTTTTCTGCGATATACTCGTAACTGAACGGCATTGGTTTCATTCCAATCATTACCTACAATTTGCAACCTTTGCCACATAAATATCCGCACAATAATTAAACCCATTCAGAATTCTTTTTTTAGCGATAGTAAAGATAAAAATAAAATAGTTTTATTTGTACTTACAATGTGTGTCATCGATTCGGTGCTATCGGCGCTGTAGTAACGCACAAACTTGTCGTCCGCGCGATGAATGTTTTCAGCGGCGTTTGTCACCGGCCGGTATCTTGCGTGCACGTTATCGTTATCACCACAGTCATCATCGTCGTATGAGCCTAAGGTGAGCGAGCACGTTGTAGAGTCATTATCATCATCGTATCGTTTGCTGTATGCCGGCGAACACGTTGCCGACGCTGATGTCGAACTCGATCTTGTATTCCGCCTGCGGGGTTGATCGGAGGAAGCATCCCTTCGCTTGGAATTTATACCAGTATCACTGGTATGAGATGCGCACGTGCTGCAGTCCTCGGAGAAATCCGGGCGGGTCTCATTGCGTTCAACACTTGGAAATCGGATATTTTGCATGATTAGCTGCACAAATACACGGGATTATGTGGGTACACTTTCAACATTGACATTAATCACATTTATGTCATTTGTATTCATTGTTGAGAGAAATTAAAAGTTTTATTGTTGATTTTATGACGTTTTGGACATTTTTGAGGTTATTTAATGTGTAAAATATTACATAACCTATTTTAAATGCTTTTTAAATGGATAAGTTTAACCTTTTGTTAAAGAGTTGAACTATCGATTACACCCGACTCTGAGGGTGTTTTCTCCAGGGGGATTTTTAACCAGACACGACGATAATGCATACCCAGACATTTAATTCATTACGACTTGATAGCAATCTCCCGCTGGGGGTTCGAAAATACTTTGCATGTCATGCCAGGTTATTAACCAGGAAATAAACACAATAAAAGGTGTGAAAATTCAACTTTAACTCATAAATATTTATTTTATTAACAAATTAATGCGTATATGACTTTTATTGATTTATTTATTACTACCGAATTAAGGCTTTATATCAATTGCCTTCGGCACGAAGCGAATTAAAAATTAGTAATAAATAATCGGTGCTATTTTTAGTCATTCACAAATCGCGCTTTGCGCATCCAGTTTTATTTCTCCGCGAGCACTGCAAGCGCGCATAGTTGGCGAAGTTACACTCAGCGCGGAATTATTGAAATAATTAATTTAGTTTAGAGCGGACCGTCGACGATTACGGAACAACAAAAAACAAAGGCGAACAGAAAGCGAACAATTGTGATTGTTTTATACACAAACTGGACATTTTGTCGTTTCGGGACACGCAGCCGACATGATGAATAATTGTAATCGAAATTGTGTGCATTGTATTGTTCGGCGTGGTACTAACAGATATGTTGTGCTGGAATCGGACTCGACTTTACCAAGACCCACGGGGTGTTCATGGCTGCCATCTTGTAATATATGCTCAGTAAAGATATCGTATTTAAAAAGTAAGTCACATAACCTATAATCTACACTATTATAACCAATTTTGTGCATTACGTCATTTTCATTGTGAACGCACAAGTTGCAGTAACGATCGGAGCGAAGGCGTGCTTCGTTAGCGAACTTTTAATTAGGTTTTCTGGGAAATCTTCTCGCCACTGACGTGATTCCCACCCGAAACGTTACAATTTATTTTTAACCCTTGTGTAAAATGAAATTTCCGTGGATATTATAACTTCACAGTTAATTAATTACTGCGAAATTGTTAAGAGCAATTTATGGACTGTGACATATTTACTTAATTTATCTCAACTGAAAAACTAAACGCACACATGGTAATAAAATCCGTATTGAGTAACAAATGTTAAAATGTAAGCTGTAAGTTGTGAATGTGCGCTGTCCGTTGTACGATGCATGATTATTAAAAATGAATTAGTGTCTTAATTTCAGCGGCGAGCTTGAGAAAAGCGCATTAACTCTTTAACTCGAGCGTTACATTTAAACATTTAAACATCGTTAATGATCAGCGTTCAAGTAGCGTTAAAGTTCGATTGACACGCTAGCCGCAGCGTTAATGATTTTACATTTTCACAACATCACAACTTCATGATGACGACTTACACATTACGTCACATCGTATACTGGCGCTGTAATTAACGTCGCATGCAAATCCTGCTCTGTTATTTGTCGGTGTAATAATTGCAACCTGTAATTATAACGCAGCGATGTACATATTTACATTTGTCTGTTTAATTTATTCGCAGATATTCGCCTGCAGTTGAACGAACAGTTGCGATGTCTCGATATGCGCATGGAGGCGCAGGTGGCACTCGTCACCGAGCTGCAGGATTTTTTCCGACGGCGCGGGGAGTTAGAATTGGATTACTCGAAGAATTTGGATAAATTAGCGAAGAGTTTACAGCTGAGGCATAAGGAACAGAAAGCAAAGTATGTTTTATTTTGTTTTAACAAGAAAAGAAACTAAAATTTTACCATTTTTTTGTTTTACTTTAGACGTGATCAATGGTCATTGTTTTCGAGCTATGCCTGCTGGCAACAACTCGTCACACAAACGAAGAATCTCAGCAGGGATCATGTTGCACTCTCCGAAGTGTATTCTACACATTTAGTATCCAGATTAGGACAAGTAATGGAAGATGTTCAACGAATATACAAACGAGTATGTTATCCTTTAAAAAACTTAAAATCTCACATTTTAACCTTTAAAATGATTAATTTCTTAGTGTCGTGAGATTGGATATGAAATGCACGAGGAAATCCTACGAGTCCTCCATGAGTTACACACCACAATGAAAACTTATCACAATTATCAAGGAGAATTAAGATCAGCGGAAGCTAAGCTGCGCTCAGCTGAATTATCAAAAACAAAATTCGAGCAGAGTATTCCCCAGGAGAAGTTGGAGCGCTCCAAGAAGTTCAAGTTGCTGGTGAAAGATATGATGAAGGTGAGCGGAGGAGAGAGTTGGACGTGTGTGTGCTTTTATTATTCTTTGCGTCGCTTCGTGTGCACCTTCCGCTTCCGTCTCAACTGCTATTTCCGATCGAGTTTGACTGTTTCTATTTTCAGCGCAAGAATAAATACACGGACTCGAAGCTGAAGGCGCTCAAGGCCCGCAATGAGTATATACTTTGCCTGGAGGCGTCCAACACCACCATTCACAAGTACTTCGTTGATGACTTGTCGGATCTTATCGATGTATGTTTTCTATTTCGTAAAATTTGAGCGGTTACAGACGCAGGCTTATAATTAACTTATATTTGTGTGTTTTGTGTTAGTGTATGGACTTTGGTTTTCATAATTGCATCTCACGTGCTCTGTTAATGCACGTGTCAGCTGAGGAAGGCCGGCAGAGATCTGTTCAGAGTGGGATGGATACTTTGTCGACGTGTATTAATACTCTGGACTCACGGTTGGATAAACAGAAGTTTCTTGAGTTTAATCACACGGCGTTTATGATTCCGAAAAAGTTCGAGTTCCAAGGGCAGAAAACTGAGGAACCTGTAGAACCGGAAATCTCAAAAATACTCCATCAGGAAATGGAAGCACGATTGAATCAGTTGCAGCAACGTGTGACTTCGCTGCGTACGGAATCTGAAGAAGTGTGGAAAACTTTAGAGACCGCTGAGTCTACGCTGTTGGAAATGTTAAACGCCAAAGACTATGACTGTGCTGCATATTTTGGGGAACAAGCAGTCCCGGTGAGCAAACCACTAGAAACGGCACTAATAAAACTACGCGCTGATAAACAGGAAACTGAAGAGTTTTATGTTACTGTAAGTATAAAATGTACCCCTAAATAAGGTTTTGTTGATTATTTTGTGTTTTTAAACATTTATAAATAGAAATTGAGAGAGTACTTCATATCATCTACGAAAATTGCACGTCTGGACGCAAAACAAGAGCATATCAGACAGGTACTCAAAACGGAAGCGCCTGAAATCAGTGGAACTCTGAAACCGGCTGCAAAAACACCGCGACGGAAGCGTATCGGTCGATATCAAATGAATGGACAACCAAAACTATTCGGTGGGTCACTGGAGGAATATGTTGAGGCTACCAATCAGGAAATTCCACTTATTATCAAGTCCTCAGTGCGAGTCATTAATTTATACGGTAATTTGGTGTTTTATTTTGAAAATACAACGTTTATTTACTTTATTTATGGAGTTTAGGCCTACATCACCAAGGAATATTCCGAGTTTCCGGGTCCCAGGTGGAAATCAACAACTTTCGTGATTGTTTCGAGCGTGGTGAGGACCCACTGGCTGATATGACTGACGCATCGGATATAAATAGCGTCGCAGGTGTTTTGAAGCTTTATCTTCGTGAGCTACGCGAGCCACTGTTTCCAATCATTTATTTCGAACAGTTTATGGATTTAGCACGTAAGATTATTTCTGTACATTCATGACTGACAATAATGATTTATGTATTTATAGAACTAGATTCCAAAGGTGACTTCATTGAGAAAATGCGTGAGCTTGTACGAAGTTTACCCCGACCTGTGATAATCGTGATGCGTTATTTGTTTGCGTTCCTAAACCAGTAAGTCATAATCCAAACTTTTGTTATAAAACTTTCATGCTAATGTTAATATTTATGTCTGTACAGTTTATCGGAGTTTTCTGACGAAAACATGATGGATCCATACAACCTGGCTATATGTTTCGGTCCCACATTGGTACCGGTACCCGAAGATAAAGATCAAGTTCAATTCCAAAATCAAGTGAATGAACTGATCAAGAATATTATTATGTATAACGACGAGATATTCCCGAACGACGTTGGGGGTTGTGTGTATGAGAAGTACATTTCACCGGAACCAGATGATCAGTACGTTTTTCTTCTCTTTTTTGTGTTTATTCTTAGATTCTATGTGTTTTTTGTGTTTTTACAGAGATGTAGGTGATTCTCCTTCGGATCACGCCCCTGATGATATTGATTCTGAGGTTTATCCATCAGAAGATGGTATGTTATTGTTTAATTACATGTTTGGTTGTTTTATGTATAATATTTGTTTAGATTCTGAAAGTTTGGAAGCAACAGCTCAATTCGACTTCATCGCTCGCTCAGAACGTGAACTCTCGCTCAAAAAGGGCGACACTGTCACATTGTACACACAAGTTTCGAATGATTGGTGGAAAGGTGCCGTCAACGGAAACGAAGGACTCATTCCTGATAAATACATCCTGTTAAAAATGAAGTACGTTACTTGCTTTATAATTTTAGGTTATTATTAACTTAAAATGTTTACAGGGATGACGACAGGGACAAAATTGACAATTTAAAGTCATCATCCTCGGAGGAATCCATGCGACGGCGTGCTTCCAGCTCCAATGATTCGGTACTCTCTGAAAACTCCTACCCCTCTCCACTAATGCAATGCAATCAAATCACATGGACAACAGTTCCGGACATGACGGATCCAGGCGCTAACAACACATCCGCATCGGTGTTAATCACCACGCCGAGAGAGGTACTAGAAACAACCGTTTAATCAACTGCCAATTTTAAAAAAAAAAATACAAAAACAAAAATCGATTCAGAACTGCGTTTATGCCGCGTTGTGTTTTCTTTGTGTTTGTACAACGTAAATAATCTTATTGTAAAGCTTGTATTCAGTGTTGTGCGTAATTTTCGATTTGTTTTTACAATGCGTTGCAAAATTACGTAGCAGTAAAGACTCATGATCTCATTTCCAGTAAGTACCGCAAGCATAGGTCGCGTTGAGAAACATTGCATGATACAAATCGAAAGTGCATGGCTGCATGATGTGATAATTCTGCAAATGCTTTAAGTGTATTTTACTGTAAGAGTGCTAGTAACTTTTTGTTTGTTTTTAACGTTTGCGAATTGTAATCCTGTTGTAACGTACGCAAATAGATCGTAGCAGTATTATTATTTTTATGTAAATACGATGATGACTTGCAGGTTTAGGTTTCTGTATTTATTTAGTTACTATTTTTTATTTTGATTATCTTTTAAATGTATTTGTCGAATAAACGTTTTGTACTCCGCATGTTTTGTGTTGTGTAGAGTGTGTTACCTTGTTGTTGTTTTTGTTTTACGTGTACGCTAATTCTGCTTATTGTTTGTGTAGTTACGATATAATTTTCACACGATTTATTGGTTTTCCATATAGTATATATGCTAGATCAACTCAAACGCACACACAGCGAGCGACCACACTGTTTGCTCCTTGAAGGTGAGCCTAGTGTACATTTGTTTTCTGGTTTTTCTTTCGGTTTTAACATGTTAACAGCGCGTCCATTGTGATTCATCACTCTCATTGTAGTAACCAGTCTAATCAACGTTTCGGCCACGTGTGTACTGCCCCCACATGGATTGATTGTGAAGACGTACCCTTTGTTTCAGAACCCGCCCGCTGTAAATAGTCCGCTTGAATCCGCCCCGAATGAAGACGTCGTTATTTCCCATCGTACCACCATCAACATCAACGCCACCTCCGCGCAGCATATCGCCGTCAACGGCTCTGCATCACCTTCATCATCATCATCATCATCGTCCACCTCACCTGCCCCGTCATTTCGAAACAATCCACTACCACAGTCCGTTGAAACAAAACCAAAGACTGAAAGTGTATGTGTTGAATTGCGCAAGAAGGAGTTATCAGTTGTGAAGTCGGCACCTGCCTCCACAAACGATTCCTCTTCCTCATCATCATCTACCTGCTCGCCGGAAGTGAATTTCAGTCAGAATCGGGAACAATGGCAGCGCCGTGCCAATTCACAATCGCATATCAAAGTTGATTGTGTCGTGCAGCGCGACACAAATCGCCGTTCGGAATCGTGGTCGCGCAATCACACGCCTGATTTAGTCATGGACTTACCTCTTGTAGCTGGCGGAACTTCTCCTAAGGACGTCATTCCCAAGTCCCGCTCCGTAGGCGATGACCTCGACACTGAAGATGAGACGGCGTCGGTGAAATCTGCGGATAGTCCGCCTGGTTTGGACAGTCCGGAGATGCAAACAGCCGCTGAACGTTTCGCGAAGCAAAATCAATGCACCCTCAAGAAGAATACCAAGATGCATATTGAACACGCACCATCGGTGGATGCACATCCCCTCGTAGATCTTGTGGCGATAACCAGTCCGTCGCCCGAACGCAAGTTGATTACCTCAACACCTACAAACAGCACATTTAAGCCACAAATCAAGGCCAAACCGGCCGTTTTGAAGAAACCCGCGTTTGGGGTACCTCTACCCCCACTCACTCCGGAGGTCCTGCGAAAAAAGGACGCCGATGTGATTACCTAATTCGAAACTGAAACGCGCACTCGATCAAATCCAAATATTTTTTTACCTACTTTTTTTGTAGATTTTTAGATTGATTAGGTTTAGAGCGTGTGCCACAGCAAAAAAAGATGGCGGCCACAACGCATGCACAAAACGAGTGAGAGCTGAACAACAAAACCGAACAAAGTGTTTTTTATATACCAATACTCGTACACAAAACAGAGTTTACGTTTACGTGTTTCGAAAACGAAGCGAAGGCATGTCTTCCATGATGTTCGGGAAACAAGTACCAAAAACAAAAAGTAACAAAACAAAAACGTGAAACAACCATTTAGACATCGTAATTTCTTACGTAAGTAACTTGAGAATGGATATTTTTGGATAGATTTGTACGAAGCGCACGCCTAATTGGGAAAAAGAGGACATTGAAACAATTGCAACTTATTCTTAGACAATAACAGTTTAATCTTAAATTGAATGTGCACTTTGCATGATTGTAGATGTTCTTTGTAGCTTGGTTTTTATTATTTCCCGCTCAAAAAGCTCAACAAAATGGCGCAAAACAAAAATACTGTACTATGATATATTCACTATGACCAGTTTATGTGATTGTTGTAAACCAAAGTGTGCGAAATCAAAAGAAAAACAAAAACACAACACAAACGCTCACAAAATATTTTACTAAGTGTGTATTTAAGCTGCATAAACACAATATTATTACTTAAAGTAAACACAAATCAAAAGAATTCGATTTTATTTTAAATATATAATGAGACTGATCCGATCGAATACGTTTTAGAGTTTATTTCGTATACAGGGTGGTGTAGACGTAGAGAAAGAAGCTCGGTAGAAGTGTAAAACATTTATAATAATGGAGTAATGGATTGTAGCGCATGCGCGTATATTATACACACGAAATTCAAACATTCAAAGTGTCTAAAGTCGAGACGTGCCTATTTAGCATTATAAATTACTCGATGCGAAATTGGATGTAACAAGTTTTCAAAATGGCGCTAACATATTGGGGTGCTATACGTATATAATATTAAGCAAGCTAAGAGGAGGAAAACGGTTAGTGTGTGATCATTAGTTGATATTGATAGTATTGATAGTTCTTGTATGTGTTTGTCCACTAATTTTCATTTAGCTTTAATTTTAAGTGTCATACTCGCCTCCCACAGGACCCCGTTTGCCTTATATACCTTATATATTACTCAGCGCGGATTATACCGGAAGTGCACAATGTTTGCAGCAATGGCTGCGCTTGAAAACTGATTGTCGTGATGAACGTTCTTGATGTATCGATTTTATTTAACTCGTTGCAAGTTTTATGTGTAACACACACACAACTTTACTACTGTGTATACTAGATATTATACACTGTGCCACACTATATCTGTATTATGTAATATCTACACGGAACAATATTGGAATAGAAATTGTAACACACACTCACATACATCCTCGGATTATACTCTTTAAATGTCAACATTTACAATATCTGAATAAAACTTATAATTGTCAGCTGTGTTTTGTACAATATAACCTTAATTTTATAAAATGGCGGTGTTAAACAACATGGCCGCGATGAAAATGGCGTTTTTATTCAAATTTTCCCCATTTTCATAGAAATGACGTACCTGCGAGTCAGCATTTACAATATCTGAATATAACTTATAATTGTCAGATGTGTTTTGTACGATTTAACCTCAATCTTATAAAATGGCGGCGTTAAACAACATGGCCGCGTTGAAAATGGTGTTTTTATGCGAATTTTCCTCACATTTTCATAGAAATGACGTGCTTGTGAGTTTTGTGCTTATTTGCTCTAAGCTAGGATAACCAACGGATTAAATAAATGCCAAGTTAAATGCTCGAATGCACAAGTGCAACGCTGCGTGAGCGAAAATGAAACAATGGCCAGAAAATGGCGAAAACCTACAAGAACTTTAATCCGGCATTAATTAACGTTGACATTATTTAAATACAGCTTAGTTTTATATTAAAAACTGTTTTCAAACAAAACTTCTCTTTTGAAGCGTGTTTTTTAATAAGAACGCGTATATTTCGGTCTTTTTGTGGTCCTGTTGAGTCCTTGAGTGTATTTATATGCAATGCGGCAGTACTCCTCCTCCTTCAAAGAGGATAATCAAACGAAACAAGTCGCTCGACGCACCGGCGCAGCGCAAAACTTAGTTTCTATTAGCCAATAATTTAAACAAATGCCACGCGCAGTCCTTCCAAAGAGTTTTGGAGAAATGCAAGAGATGTAATGCACATCCCCGCACGAACGAAATTAACGAACGACGGCGGTTGGTGGTGGTGTGGTGGTGGTGGCACGCGTGCGCTCGGTTTCATTCAAACCTGCGCGCCGCCGCCGCCGCTGCGGAAGGCGCGCACGCGGAAATCAATACCGCCCATTGCCCCACATTGCCGACGGGCCGAGAGAAGCCGACCACGACCACCACCGCCACGGCCGGCGCTCTGCTTGCTCCCACCGCACATCGCGCGCCACTCCTGCTCGCGTTCGCAGTGACATGTCGATCCTTGCACAGTGTTGACGCGCGTCCCCCGCCCCACACACTAGTGAAGTGCACGGTGCCGTCGCCGAGGGATGGGATAGCGACTACGCCAACTACCATCGAGCGTTCAACACTTAACTACCTATCGGTAAGTGCCCATATTCGTATTCTTTCTGCACTCTGCTCATGTTCACGAGTTGAGTTTTTCTGTGCAGTGCGTAATTCTGAAAAAATCGATATCTCAGCGGCTTAGACTCGCGTTTGTTTTGTGTCATAACTTCCATAATTTACACCAAACCGCGAATTTGGACAGTTTTATGAACTGCCGGTTACCAAATCACTACGCATCATAAACATTTATTAAAGAATCGAGTCGTAAACGTTGTTTTTGCACTTTTTATCATTGAATTAATTGTAAAACACATAAAATTCCGGTTTATTCGGTTTATATTCGTGCAAAGAGAAAGAAATATGTCAAAAGTGGCAATTACATTAGAGCGTTTTAGCGACGCGCGGCGCGTCAAGATCAGGATGTGTGTCAAAGAGCAGGAGCATTTCCGCTTTCTTCCCTCTTTCGCAAGCGCGCGCGCCACACTAAAATTCCTACGGGTCCAGAAAGGCACAGAAAAATTATTACCAGAAAGTGAGCATTAGATTTACAGTTTTCTGTCGGCGCTTAGAGAAAATGCAATTGATTTACATCCACGCACGTCTATAGGTAGTTAACGTGTGAATGAATATGAGCTTTGGGGTTACTCATTGGAAAAATAAACCGCTAAGCGTTCAGAAAGCGGAAAAGCGGAAAAAATAACGCGCGCTGGTCGATAAATGCAAAAGAGCGTGTGTATCAGGCTTATTATGCATTCAGAAAAATTCGATTCAATTCAGCACTTGATCTGCATGCTTCAAAGTTTGATTATTTTCATAAACAGGATGCAGGACGTTATTATCCTTGATATCGTGTTGTCCTTTTGATGTTTAATGATATTAAAAATGCTTTTTGTGAGAAATAATGTCAAAGAATCTAAATTTTCTATCCGGATACAAATATAACCTAAAAACCGGTCAATAGTGTATTAATTTGGTTATGTAATTGAATTTTAGTGCATGTGATAAATATAAAATGTTGAAACGTGATTGAACTTACGGCTGGTTATGACAAAAGCCGAATTATTTAGTTTAGCGCACCATCGATCGATTTAATGAATGAATTTAGTTAAATGCACACCGCGCGTGCAATTTCATTACGCCGGCTCTAATTGCTCGTCAGCGGGCAAATTTAGAGCGGAAAGATAGCGATATCTGTGCGGCCTCGGCAAATAACCGGACGTCATGGGGAAATGTAACAAAATCGTCGAAACAATCGCAGTTGTACGCTGTGCGCTGTGCGATATTTTGATTGTTTTATTGATTTTGCGCACGTACGATGACTCTATTAACGCGCCGCGAAATTTATCGCTCGCAGATTGGAAGCGCCTAGCGCGGCAACGAGAGGATGATCGATCCATCGTCGTCCGAAGAAGACAGCGATGAGGAGCATCGCGCGCCGCGTGGTGGATCCGGCCATAATTCCAGTACACGGTCTCGAGGCGATGCTCATCACCAGGTCAGATTTCTTCTTCTCTTTTTTTTTTTTAGTTTTTGGTATAAATTTGGTGTCATAACACTAGGCCGAATCGCCGTATCACCATGCGCATCCGGCGGACGGTGGCGGTGGCGGCGGAGGCGGTAGTAACCTGGAAGTGCCCAATAATGCGGCAACGCGATCCCTTTCGCCGTCCAGTGCCGTGTCGGCTGAGACACTCAGCCACAGCGTTGGATCATCGCGTAATTCCCTACCGCGACCAACATCTCCGTCACCATCAGTCGCCTCTGAGAAAACCGAGGTTGATCTCGAGAAGAAAGCCGAGCGTGAGGAAGAGGAACGCAAGCGACGTATTCAACTCTATGTGTTTATCTCGCGCTGCATCGCCTATCCGTTCAACGCCAAGCAGCCTACGGATATGACACGACGCCAGACCAAGATTACCAAACACCAATTAGAAACCATCAGCAACAGATTTCAAGTATTACCATTTTTGCAAATCTAAAAATTTGGTTAAAATTTATGATTTTTTCGTTTGGTTAGAGTTTTCTCAAAGGCGAGACGCAAATCATGGCGGATGAAGCGTTCCAGAATGCAGTTCAGAGCTACTTCGACGTGTTCCTCAAGTCTGACCGCGTTGTGAAGATGGTACAGTCAGGCGCGTGCTCCCAATACGACTTCCGGGAAGTGTTTAGGAATAACATCGAAAAGCGCGTTAGGTATTACTATAACTCTCTGAAAAAGTACAAATTTTGCAGAGTTTTGCGTTGTTTTATGCAGGTCTTTGCCGGATATGGAAGGACTTAGCAAAGAAACAGTCTTTACCTCATGGATGGCTAAATTTGATTGTATACTGAAAGGTGGTTACTATTTCTTGCGCTGCGAACGCTGCTGGATGTTGTTTACTTGTTTAGTTTTCTATTCTGTCTCCCACTCGTGTACAATGGCGTCTCTTGTGTAGAAAAACAGAAAAAACAACGCAATAATCATATTTTGCGTTGTTTTTTTGCTAAAAATTGATTCGTAGACCTTGACCAATGCACGTTTTTCAGTCGATGAACTCTCATAACCCTTTTAAATCTCTCTTATTGTCTAGATGTGTAGGCGTGTGTAAGTGTTGTGGGTATTTACGTTCAGCACTGTTTCATATTCTGTGTTTTTTCGGGGACTCTAGGTTTAGGCGATGAAGATTCTAAAAGACCCTCTAGAATGCAGCAGCAATCCCTTAATTCAGAGCTTATCTTATCGAAGGAACAACTCTACGATATGTTCCAACAGATATTAGGAGTTAAGAAATTCGAACACCAACTGCTGTTTAACGCTTTGATGGTATGTTTTCTGTTTGTGTGCGGTTGATGTGTGATGATTACGTTGTGTTTTTCTCATAGCTTGATTCAGCAGACGAGCAGGCAGCGGCGATAAGACGCGAACTCGACGGTCGCATGCAGCGCGTCTCCGAAATGGAGAAGGTACCCGACTTATGAGTGTAGTTGTGTTGGGCCTGGGATAGTAACAAGTGGAGTTGTTTCAGAATCGCAAACTGATGCCTAAGTTTGTGCTAAAAGAGATGGAATCACTCTATATTGAAGAGTTGAAGTCATCAATAAATCTGTTGATGGCGAATCTTGAATCGCTGCCGGTCTCGAAAGGTTCGATGGACTCGAAATACGGTCTGCAAAAGCTAAAGCGCTATAACCACAGGTTGCACAACCATAATAAACCGTATACAATGAAGCATCTTTTGATGAATTATGTTACTTCTTTTAGATCCCAAGGATCTTTAGCAAAGTTAGATGGCGATTCCGCTGATAGCGATACGCAGTTGACTAAGCTTGATGTTGTGTTAACTTTTCAATTGGAGGTAACCGACTCTTCGGGGAGCCGGTGTCCTCGCGCATGTCCTCTTCATGTTAGGTCGCATTTTAGGTGGTCGTCATGGAGGTGAAGGGCCTGAAGTCGCTGGCGCCCAACCGGATTGTCTACTGCACGATGGAGGTGGAGAGCGGCGAGAAGCTGCAGACGGACCAGGCGGAGGCGTCCAAGCCGATGTGGGACACTCAGGGAGACTTCGCCACCACGCACCCGCTGCCCGCCGTCAAGGTGAAGCTCTACACTGAGAATCCGGGTATGCTGGCGCTGGAGGACAAGGAGCTGGGTAAAGTGGTGCTTAAACCCACGCCTCTATCATCGAAGGTATACCAGGTGTGACCTTCAAAGGTCCAGGAGATTAATTCAAGGTATTCTCAGGCGCCCGAGTGGCATAAGATGACAGTGCCTAAGAACCTACCCGACCAGGACCTGCGCATCAAGATCGCCTGCCGTATGGACAAACCGCTCAACATGAAACACTGCGGGTACCTCTACGCGTTGGGCAAAGGCGTGTGGAAAAAGTGGAAGAAGCGGTACTACGTTCTGGTTCAAGTGTCGCAATACACATTCGCCATGTGCAGCTACAAAGAGAAGAAGTCCGAACCGTCGGAGATGATGCAGCTGGATGGGTATACCGTCGATTACATCGAAGCCTCTAATGGTAAACCATATCAGGCCCGTTCATATCCACATATTACAAAACTAATTATTTTCGGTCTTTGCATTTCTAATCTAAAGCCCACCTGATGGTCGGAATGGGTAAACGTAAGTTTTTCATCTTATCAATGAACAAACATTCAATTTTACACTTGGATAGACCTGGAGGGTGGACGGTACTTCTTCAACGCAGTGCGTGAAGGTGATGGTATTCTCTACGCCAGCGACGATGAGAACGAGTGCCACCTTTGGGTAATGGCCATGTATCGTGCTACGGGCCAGTCGCACAAACCCACACCACCAACTGCGTTACAAGATAAGAACTCTACCATCACCAAAATGCAAGGGGATGCTGACAGGGCACGGAAACACGGAATGGAGGACTTCATTTCAGCGGATCCATGCACCTTCGAGCATGCCACCTTGTTTAAACTGTTACAGAACCTCACTTTGGAGTTCCGCCTCAACGATCCATATTGCTCCTTAGTAAGTGCTAGTTTTAAGTTGAGGTTAGGTTATTTTGACTATTGTGGTGTTTTGCTGTGATAGGGTTGGTTCAGTCCTGGTCAGGTCTTCGTCCTGGACGAATACTGCGCGCGTTATGGGGTACGCGGCTGTTATCGACATCTGTGCTACCTCTCTGACCTTCTGGATCGTGCCGAGAAGAACCTGATGATTGATCCCACACTAATCCACTATAGTTTTGCGTTTTGCGCATCGCATGTCCATGGCAACAGGTAGGTATCATACGATGATTAGAGTTAGCGGAGCCCGATTAATTGATAACAACAGCAATGACTTCAGACCGGACGGGGTCGGCAGCGTGACGCACGAGGAGAAGGAGAAGTTCCAGGACATCAAGGAGCGGCTGCGCGTGCTGCTCGAGCACCAGATTACCAACTTCAGGTTTGTACCACGTCCCCCCAGCTCTCCGATTTTACAGATCCAGCTTTCGGTGTTCGATGTTGTGAAACTGCTTGTGCCCCCGCACCTCCAACACCCCTCTGAGATGTCACCCCCCATTGGAATGCTCTCAGTAATCTTACCCAAAAGTTACTAGAATGGTATTAACCTGGTGCCCTGTGCGGGTGTGTGTTTTTCTTGCATTCGACAGGTTCTGTTTCCCGTTCGGACGACCAGAAGGCGCCTTAAAAGCGACCCTTTCGTTGTTGGAAAGGGTCCTCATGAAAGATATTGTAACCCCAGTGCCTCCCGAAGACGTCCGCGGCATGATTAAGAAGAGCCTCGAGACTGCCGCCCTTGTAAATTATACTCGGCTGTCGAACGAAGCCAAGATTGAAGGTTAGATATGCGTAACATTCATTTCTCAACACAAAACAAAAACCTAATTGTTTTGGTGTTTTTGTGGTTGCAAAACGTGCAGAGGACCTCAGAGGTGAGCAGATTGTGCCTCCGAACAAGAAACTCGATGATCTCATCCACCTCGCCGAGTTGTGCGTCGACCTGCTGCAGCAGAACGAAGAGCACTACGCCGAGGTGAGTTTTACGTTTTACGCGTCCGATCGATAAACAACGAATATTTATTCCGCGTGCGTGTGTGCCGCAATCAACGCGCGCGCGACCCGTATGCGGATAAGGGCTCATAAACGCGACACGGCGACACAACAATCAACACGTAACGACGCCGATTTGTTGCAACTAATGCCTACCTAACCACCATACGGGCGATGTTGGAAAGTTTCCTAATCAAGAATGGACTGAATCGAGTCGATCTCTATTACTAAACTTACTATATAGCTGTGTGCCCTATTTCTCTTGAGACCTTTTTGCTAGATCCCGCGCAAACTTCATCGCAACATCTCAATAACCTAAAAAAAATTGGTATTGAGGAGTTCAGAATTGAGGTTATGTTGATATGCGTTGAAGAATGTGCCGGGTCAGAGACTGGACGTAAACGTGTGTATTAATGTTGTGTGTAATCTCTCTGTCTGTGTACATGCATACCCTTCCGACACCACCGGCAGCTGCGAAAGGCCGAAGCTGCGCCCAAGCCGCCGTCGGACGCGGACGCGGCGGCCGCTGGCGGCGGCGCGGCGGGGGCGGGGGGTGCGGGCGCCGCGGCCACGCCGAGCCGCGACGCCAAGCAGCCGCAGCAAGCCTCTGTGTATCGCTATTGCATGCCAACGCATGCCACCTACACCCCGCCAGACCCCACGGCACGTACATCTTTTTATTTATATAAAAATATAACAAAAACCACGCGCTACGTAACGATAAATTACTACTACTGCTGATGATGATAATAATAATAATGAACAATGTGAACAGGCGCCGACTGAGAACCAAACACAAAATCGGATAATCCGTGGCCGCGCCGAATTTCACATCATTGTCCTTGACATCCGCCCGTATCGACAAACGAAATACGACCCCCAAACAGATAAAAATGCACATTAGTTACCTATTATTGTCTCACATCCACTGAAAATGAATTAAATATGCAAATACGAATGTCTTAAACACTCTGTATATTGCATCCGCTTTGAGTGTACACAATCAAAACGTCCATTTCCATTTATACGCTCCCTTTATCTTAGCGTCGGCGAGAGCAAATAAAATCGAAAATTAAACGTCGGAAAAAAACGTTTTAATGTAAAAGCGGTTTACATTTCACTTTAAATCGAATGACAGCGAGCCAATAAAAGCCCCAGATGCCTTCGATGCCTCTTCGGCACAAGAGAAGAATTGATTTTCAATTTTATTGGAAATCAATTTCGAAACGTCTGTTCGCTGACTTATTATTTATAGTGTCGCGCGGTGCATTTGACAATCTACGAAACTCGGCCGTGAAGCTTTTGGCTCCTTGCCATAAAACAAACATCCTGCGAGAGGTATTCATTGATGAAATTGTCTCTTCGAAGCACGGAGCACTTTCTGCTCTCGCCGGTCGCGTTAAAAATTCACGAAACAAAAGAAACTCTGCTTGAATTTGGATGTGTAGTAAGCCTGACCTGGTTTATATGCAGTTATTAATTAATAACAATCGAACGCAACGAGCTACATTATTTATTCTTACTGCAATCGATTCAGGATTAAATTCTCCATTAGTAACGTAAATATTTATATAAATAAATGATTTCATAGAAAGTTATAGGCAAATAAACAAAATTCTATAAATATTATTAATAAACATCAAATAACTAAAAAATAAAATAAATTTTCAATAGATATTCAGTCAGGTGGTGCAGAATTTAATATCGGTGTGATTGGTAAAAAGATGGCGTTTGTACTTTGTTGCGTTTTTGAGTTATTAACAAATAACTGAACAATAAATTGGTTTCTGCCCGGTTCGGAGCGTTGTGTGTAATTCACGTACTCCCCATCGATGTGTCCTTTCTCTTGCGCACTGTCTTCACTATTCTTTTCTCTATCTCTGGACTTCTCGATTGGTATGAGCTGTGAGATGATGTGATATGCTCTCTGTGCAACGTGCGTTTTCATTATTTCTCCGCTGTGTTCCTTTCAGTCAGCGCCTGTGTGCGATACGATCAATGTTAACTTTTAACTGTATGCATGTGTGTGGGACTTTTATATGTTTTGTTTCTCTTTCGATGTATTCAAAATGTTAATCGACAAAGTCAAAAACGCGAGCAAACAAAACAACAAAAGAAACAATTCAAGATGGCGCTGTTAAGAAACGTAAAAATAGCTTGGCACTTAATGAAACAATGTGGTGGTGAAGCAAATAAAAGCCAACGTGACGCTTTTTGTGCTTTTCATGACAATATTATGCTTGTGGGCGCATTGTCAAGTGTAATTCTATGTAATAGTTGCTATTCATGGAAGTTTGCGGCGAATTTTATTTGTTTCATTACTGCGGGTGCATTTTGCAAATTAACACTTGATGAATTCACTCGGAGTGGAATTATACACATATTACACACATTCAATTCCGAAACTCACGCATCAGGTAGGAATATTAAGCAAACGTTTGGAATATTCGAAAACACTGAGTTGAATTAGCATACTTTTAATTAATTAACTAATTACCTTTCAAATGAAAGTGTTATCCTTGACAATTTTATTGTTTTACAAGGATAACACTTTTATGTGCTTGTAATGAAAGTAGTCTAACATTCCGGCGTCGTTTAGGCCTTCGCCTGGTTCAGCGATCTGCTGGTTGAACACGCCGAGATTTTCTGGTCACTCTTCGCTGTTGACATGGACCGCGTGCTCGCTGAGCAACCGGCGGACACGTGGGACTCATTTCCACTCTTTCAAATCCTCAACGATTATCTACGTGCTGATGGTGGGTGTTTTAGGTTAATAAATGCGCTAATAACGCTGTTTATCTGTGTATGTGTGTGTTTGGTTGCAGACAATTTGAAAAACGGCCGTTTTCATCAGCACCTTCGCGATACCTTCGCGCCACTTGTGGTGCGATACGTCGATTTGATGGAGTCCTCCATCGCGCAATCGATACACAAGGGATTCGAAAAGGAGCGATGGGAAATTAAAGGGTAAGCACGATCGTTCTCAAACCGTTGTCGAACTTTATCCACTTGGCCCGTCATTATGCCCATCATAATAAAACGTTCTTTGAGCGAACTTTTGTTGAAAGTATCGAAAACTGCGATTTCCTCGCTCGCAGACGCAGGCGTAACTCGCAACTCGTGCGGTCTGGAATTTTTCACTCTCGAATCGATAAAGCCGCGACCACTACAAAGGATAATCCGTTATCGTTTGAATGGGGTGGGCGGCCACACATAGACACACATATATTACCATCGTGCCGTTTGATTTTAATTACGCTCATGTTTTATTTGTTACCTGAAAGCGTGGCGGACGTGCGTCCGCTTTTTGTTGCGATCTCGTATTTTTTCTCTGGTCCTTACAGAAGAGAATGCTGATTGTTGATTTACAGCCGTATTTGCGAAAGCTCTCGGGACGCTCCGAGCATTAATAATGTTGACCGAACGTTGAAAAACTCCCCAAGTGCTTTTTGCGCTCCGGACCCGACAATAAAAGCTCGAGGATTAAACGATAAACGTTTTTTCATCATCATGTTTCCCTGCAGGAATGGATGCGCCACGTCCGAGGACCTTTTCTGGAAGCTGGACGCGTTGCAGTCGTTCATTAGGGATCTGCATTGGCCCGATCAGGAGTTCCGAACGCACCTGGAGCAGCGCCTCAAGCTGATGGCTTGCGACATGATCGAATCTTGTATTCAACGCACCGAGACAGCCTTCCAGCAGTGGTTGAAGAAGGGTGTTAACTTTATCTCCAACGACTACATCCTCCCGGGAGAAATCTGTGCCATGGTCAATGTGATTCTCGACGCCAAAAATCAGTCCTTCAAGCTGTGCGCAGTCGACGGTATTGATGTGGTACGTGACCCAAATTACAAACGCAGCCCAATCTATAACCAAAACTTTCAATCTATTTAGCATCAATACCATGCGAAAATTGACGATCAAATCGACAAAACGATGGCGAACATGAACACCGCCTTGATTAACAAATTAATGTCCGTGTTGGAGGCTACACTTTCGAAACTCGGACGTTATGATGAAGGAAGTTTGATCGGTTCCATTTTGAGTTTTACCGTGAGTCTACTATACCTATAATAGCGCCATTTTGTTTTAATGAATAATTTACGATGGCGTGCAGAATGTGTCCGGTTCTGGTAAGGACATCGGCCAAGGATATGTGAGTTTCATGCGCAACTGTGTGGACCAAATCACTGGCAAGGTCACCAACGAGTTATGGATTCTCAGCTTCATGGAACAATGGTACACGCATCAAATCACCATGTTGTGTAACTGGCTCTCTGAACGATTGGATCACACTTTGCATCCGGTGCAGTGCACGAGCATCGCTCACATCTTCAAGGTTAAACAATTCAGCGTTTTCAGCAACTTGTGAATTGATTTTCGTCTGCGTTTACAGAAAGTCTACTCGGATTTCGAGCTGCAGGGCATAATGGAGGACAAATTGAATTCGAAAGCGTATCAGACTATTGCCGCACGCATGCAGACAGAGGAAGCAACTTGTGCACTCACAATGGGACAAGCTGAAGGGTAAGAATTTATCAAAACAAAACAGAAATTTATTTATTTACACATTTGTTTGTTATAAAGTGGTGAAGGCATGGACGATGAAGGTGAAGCACGCCCCAAGCCTAAAGCTAACATCGTTGAGAGTCTCGGCGGTGAGGAAGGCATCTCCGTGGCGAACATCTCCAACATCGTGCAGAACCGTGTCGGGAACATCCTCGGCAAGGGCATCGGTGGACTCGGTGCCAAGTTCGGCGGTGGCAGCTGGTTCTAAACGCCATCTTCAACCAAATTTCAGTCTCTCTTAACTCTCTCACTCTAATCCAAACCAAGAAAATCTTTCTCTCTAAACTGATTGCGGCGCAGACATCACATATCGATACGATAACGCGACACATTAGTAAAATTGAAACAATGACGGATTGACGGCAAAAAAACAAAGCTTTATATTTTCTCATATGATTACCAAAGAAATAATTGTATAAAGTATCGCGCGGCGTGGGCTTGTGATTGTGACGTTTTGATTCGTTATATACATGCATAAATTACGTACCTAAGTAAGTTTGATTATAACGTACGACATATTATACATATACGCATACGCATTTATTACTACAACATTCAGCACTAAGCATTTGTACTCTTATACTCAAGGAGGTGACAAACAGCAACACACACACACAGACATACAGTACACGAAAAAAAAACCAAATGATAATCATGAAATTAACTCACGTATTCAGTGCACATTAGAATATCGTAACACCAAGCGTATAATTATATCATTATATATCATTATTATCATGGTACCATGGACTCATACTAATCGTAGCCCCGGAAACACCCTCACTGAGACACGGCACAAATACACACGCAACTAGTGCCTGAAATACAAGAGTGTAATCTCCTTGAAAGCGGTTTCGAGTGTATCGTCACGTACGCAGAATGGTCGGATGGTGGGGCATAACGTATAGCAATACAAACCAATATTCACATTCACAAGATATAACTGTTGTGTGCGACACGTGTACTGCAACAAAGGTAACACCACATTCTTTTTGATAAATCTAATTGAACACGGTTATTTCGTAGTGTGTCTCTATAATAATCTAGCGAATCTATTTTGGTAAAATGTATATAGGTAATATACGTGCGGAAAATCAATATGGCGTATAAAAACCAGCGTTTCGACCGTAAACAAACAAACTAATGAAAACAACACATACATATCATTAAAAGAAAGAAAGAAAATAATGCATACATATTTTACAGAATACATATTTCGAATTCTATTTATTCTTCTTGTAGAAAATGCTTTGTTAGGATGAATTTCACGTTCACGTTAGGGATGATGTTGTTGATTTGATTATAGCACGACGTTCTGCGTACGTACGTATTGCAAATCAGTTTTTGTTTGTTAGATGTTATTATCGTTTCGTAATTTTGGGCCAACGGCCCCTAAACACACACAATACACTGACTTGAGAAAAATTCATCATCGACAAGACGAAGATAACAAACAAAATCAGTGCGAGGGTCATGCGGATACTAAACAAATGATATTATAGTAAATATATTGTGGTCCTGGTCGAAAGCAAGCAGGTGGAATATTGAACTAATTACTAATTAGTAAATGTGTTATTGCATGCCTATAATACTTCGATTTCTTGAGATTGAGACGCATTCCAACTGAGAAAAGATTCCTAATCTTAATTGATAAAACTTGATAACGATAAACTCTACTTAACCTTCGTATTTACCTCTGTAATTAGTATCTCTAATGAAAAGCGAGGCGGCGATCACCAGCTCATACTCATAGAGTATTAATAGGTAATTAAATTAAACAGGAAAGTCGCAATATGATGAATGATCTATCCTCCTCGACTATTTGCGCCCCGTACCCGCTAATTCACACACAGGGAAAATAAGAATTGAACTCAGTACGCAGAGAGTGTAAATAGCGGCCGCCGCAGACCGATATTTTTCCAAGCGAAACAAAAATTAACAATGTTAAATAAATTGTTCGAATCACAGACAATCGAACCGCAAAAGCCATACACAACTTCTACCTTGTAAAACGTTTGCGCGTTGACGCTACATATATTACATTAACAAACCTGTTGAAGCATTTGAAAGTTTAACTAACTCTGTTTCTATAAATGTATATAGAAATAAGATTTAACACAAAAATACTAACGAAACATTTACGACGCGTGAGTGCGAACGGTGCAAATTCTAATGTAATTACGTATCCTCCTAAACCTAGAGCAAAAAATGATCAATCTTATTTTCTCTACCTTAAAATGAATCTAATTAATAATTCGCTAAATGAAGAAATCTCTCTAGAATTTTGTATGTTAGACATTCGATGCGGAAAACACGTTGACACAAGTGAAGTATGAGAAAATAATCAATGAAACTTTGTGTTTTTTAAAGATACTACACTTGTGGCAAACATATGCAACCAAACATTGATCCTAATCAATAATGATAGTTGAAGTGAAAAGGGAATTTGAAGTATCCGAGTGCCCGTCGCACGCATATCAAACTACGAATAAATACAAAAAATACGACAGCATCAAAGTGTGTTACTTAAAAGTGAAACTCTACGCCAGTTGCGAGAGTGTGCGTTCTTTTAAACTTGGAACAACCAATCTTATAGTTGGAACAATTACGTATTAAATACATATAGCGCGTTCGGAACAATAATGGCAGGAAACTTTAGCGAATTTGAAAAATTGAAACTAAAATACATAAAATACGCCCGCATAGAATATACGCGAGGCCGAGCGTCTGCGGAAAAGAAAAAGGAAAACATACAACTATCGTGTCAAGTCTTGAATGCTTATTTCTTATAACTTAACAAAGATAAACAAGTAAATAATAATATGAACATATAGATAGATTCAGGCCTGTGATGTCGCATTTGAAATAAAAAGACTAAACGAGGCCGGCAAAGGAATACAAATATTGAATGAGAAATATTGTTATGTTTAACTCTGAATTGTACTTATCGGATAATAAAATTGTTTTAAAAGAAACTAGATATGCATATGTTGTTTTTACGGGTTAAATTGAGATGACAATCGGGAAGACTACAGTGCTACCAACCCTTTGAGTGATCGCCATTTATTTCCGGTAAAATCATTGTACGTGAAATAAACAACAGTGGGTAAGCAATTTTTGCATTTATTTTAATAATTACCATTTATTCAATAACCATACTTTTAATTATAATAAATATTTACATATTGCTGCTTATAACTAAGCACTCAAATATTTCTTTGCATATGTCTGAGCTTTCTTCTCAAATGCTAAACTCTTGATAGGAGTATTCTCTTCATAGAATGGATTCATGGCAAATTTGATATAAGTCTCATAGATCTCTGTGAAAAAGTTCTTGATGCCATCCTCATTTCTGTTGTCATGTACCATTACAAATCTCACTAGACTTGCAGTAACAAATGCCGAAACAAACCACTGGTTGAACTTGTCCACTGATTTTAGGTTCATATTGTGTGTCTTCCATTTGTGTTCATCAATCAGGTCCAAGGCTGCATGTGCAATGAACTGATTGAGATGTCTATGTTCTTCTCTCTAAACAAAATTACAAACATTAATACTATGATAGTTGGTTATGGTGTAGTGTGATACTGTTTTTACCTTTGGATCTTTGTTAGTTGTAAACTCTAATTCAAAAATTGGGTTGTCATTGTGTCCCACAATCACAAAATAATAACTTCCCGTGACTTTCTGGCCTTTTTTCGACATTATTTAAGCATTTATCACTTGAGGAATGTTCGATTTGTGGTTCTGTTTACAAAATCAATGGTTTTGACAGTGGCAACCTTCGGCGTTTCCCCTCCAGCACAGGTGTATAACACAAGTTCAAAATAAGCAAGTGGCACGTTTAGGTTAATCAAAATAACAGTACATATTTGTCTCAAACTTCGTATCTTGGATTACATTGTACTTAAACAGCTGAGAACAGAGGGAGGTAGTCGTAGTGCTGTATAAGAACTTGAGACTATAAACAAGTATAAATAGTTTAGTTTATTTGCATGCCATTGACACTTGTTTAAATAACTAATCATTTGTTTGTGTAACAAGTCTTGGTTTAGAGGTGTATTGTGTCACTTACCTTTTGCATATTCAATATTTGGTTTTGGAATGCATGTGCATAGTGCACTAGTGTACAGTGACAAAAGTTTATGAAGAGTGTACTTCCAGACCGGATTTTGGGATGCGCATTATGGCAGGAACTCCAAAAGAAATCTGTGATAATTTAACACTAGCCAGAGAGTCCTCCATGATAGGAAACTATGAAAGTGCTGAGGTGTACTATGCTGGTACCATGCAGTTGGTCACCCAGCTGATCATCCACATCACAGATCCCCTGAGAAAGGATAAATGGCTACAGGCCAAGCAAAGAATTGCATTGGAATATGAGAGAGTAAAGAGTATCACATCCACATTGCACTCTCTAAGGCTAAGTGTGGGTACTGAAGCACCTTTGGGTGCTGGGAGATCAATGATATCAGATGAGCCTGTGAAGGACTCCAGTGATTTTAATTCTGGTGACACTAATGACCCACATGTGTGGGCACCACCACCTCCAGGAGATAGAGGGTATACTGTTAATAGGTATGTTGATATAAGTAAAAGTATAAAAGATGACTAGATGTGGGTAAACATTTTAGAGTTCAAAATGGGTCGAAACCAAAAACAACGAAAAAACCAGAACCACCACGAAGATCAAACGCTCCCAACACCCGAGCAAGTTCGTCAACATCACGGATATCATCGGTACGACCCACAAAAGGTGGTAAGGTTGAAAGACCATCATCTTCAAAATCATCGCGCAATCCAGACTCGAATAAATCCGCCATCGATAAGGAAATTAAAGACGTAGATAACGAGAAAGCAGAAAAGTCTGATCCGGAAGAAGAGAAAAAGTTTGAATGTCATGGTATGGACCGTGATTTAGTAGATACTCTTGAAAGGGATATTGTTCAGAAGAATCCTAATATCAGATGGGAAGATATTGCTGACCTCAAGGAGGCAAAACGTTTGCTTGAGGAAGCAGTGGTCCTTCCAATGTGGATGCCAAAGTTCTTTACTGGTATCCGCCGACCGTGGAAAGGTGTCCTCATGGTAGGACCACCAGGAACCGGTAAGACAATGCTGGCGAAAGCCGTAGCCACCGAATGCGAGACCACATTCTTTAATGTGTCATCTTCGACGCTTACCTCGAAATATCGTGGTGAGTCTGAGAAGATGGTACGTCTGCTATTCGAAATGGCAAGGTTTTACGCGCCTAGTACTATTTTCATTGATGAAATAGACTCGCTTTGCTCACGTCGTGGTTCAGAATCAGAACATGAAGCATCCCGGCGGGTTAAATCAGAACTATTGGTTCAAATGGACGGAATTACAGCGAATGTTGAAGATGCTGGTAAAGTTGTGATGGTGCTGGCAGCCACCAACTTTCCATGGGACATTGATGAGGCTCTACGTAGACGTCTGGAAAAACGCATTTATATTCCTCTGCCAACTCAGGAAGGTAGAGAAGCTCTATTGCAGATAAATCTCAGAGAGGTGAAGCTTGATCCGGATGTTAACCTACCGGCAATTGCAAAGAAAATGCGAGGGTATTCCGGTGCGGATATTACGAATGTATGCCGAGATGCGTCGATGATGTCCATGCGCAGGAAGATCTTCGGGTTGAAACCGGATCAGATCAAACAGTTGCCCAAAGAGGAGCTGGACCTGCCTGTAACTGAGAGGGATTTTGAGGAGGCCATTGATAAAAACAACAAAAGTGTGTCACAGGATGATTTAGACAAGTATGAGAAGTGGATGAATGAGTTTGGATCGTCATGATGGGGAGGAAGCAGTGCCTTTCATAGAGTTATTCCTGATTAACTAGTTAAACCTACTAAAGCATTTACTTATTACATTTAGTAAAATTCCTAAACTCCTTACTTGAATCATTAACCTTTAATTTCAATATTTTTATTGAATATCTGAAGTTGCGCATAATTATGCCATAAGTAATTTAATATCAATGCTGTATACGATTGTATAGTCGAATCAATATTATGTGCAATGTGACGAATATATCTATAATTTAAAGTGTTATCGATTTTCCCCGCAGATATTTGAAAATGTTTGCGTTTCGCGCGTCTTTTGTTTTTGACAGACGTTTAGTCTGTGCTCACCGGGTAAACAATCACAAATATTGGTAGTAAAATGCGCACATGTCCACAGATAATTAGTGTTTAAACAATAATAAACAAGAGTTTCCAATGGAGGAGATACTGAAGGATTACCTGCATGTTCAAGACCTGGTCAAAAACAATGATCAACTCTCCAATTTGATTGAAAACCTTTTTGAAGAGAGTTCCAGTGCAGTTGTTATGCTAGAAGACATCACAAAACATCTACCATATCCAACATTTTTAGTTCATACCTGGAGGAATGTAAACAACAACTTGGAATCTCACTCAACACACTCCAAAGTTTTGGACAACATGGAAATTAATGACAAGTGTTTTTATGGTTGCTTGTATGCAACAATGATGATGGAGGATGAGAGGATGCCTGAAGATTCACCTGTGTTAATTTCTCTAATCACTTGTCTCAGAGTTGGCATGCTAAGAGGTAGTGAAGAATTCACTAAAGCAGAATGTCTTAAAGTACTTTTGGTTGGTCTAAAAAGAATCCACACTCGAGATTTAGTTGGATGGCATGTGAGTTCAGAGTTAATGTATGATTGCTTGCTAGCAATCAAAATCATGACCATGGATGCTACTTTGATTAATAGTTTCATCAACATGTTGATGATTTATGCAGGCAAACATTTTAATATGGTTAATAATTTATCATTAGCAGGTAATATTCTAAGAAACTGTAACATTAATTAAATAATTCATTAATAAGGCGATTTTAGATAATAAAAGTCCATGTGGATTGCTTGCATTTGCTTGTTTAGCAAATTTGTTTGTGAAGAACTGTGAGGATAAGCAAACAATAATGGAAACAATGTTGGAAAATATTGAGCACATCATGGAGGACAACTCTGGCCTGAATGCATTCCAAGTTAGTGTGAAACAATCCAACTTCAGGGTGATGATTAGACAGGTTGGTAGTGCACTTACTAGCTACACAGATCACATTCTTTTTGCAATGCTTCGCGTAGCAGAGCGTCATCCAAAGTCAAAATCTCTGCTGTTTATCATCAATCAACTGCCATATGCTTTGTTTTACCAATTTGCGAATGTCGTCGTTAAGCTAAGCACACGAACTTACTACCAACAAATGCAAATGTTCAGTTTCAATATGCTTGAAAGTCCTTACATCACCGAAGAAGATGAGCAATCGACGAGTTTGGATCGTCTCTATCAACAAATATCCGAATCGATTGTGTGGCCGCTTCAGAAGTTTGAACATCAACCAGTTCTGGAAACCATTAAACTTATATATGCAATGCTACAAATACAAAATGAAATGGTCAGAAGTATAATCTTCAGGATGACGCAAAACTCTCCTATAATGAAAGATCTGATGACTTATATTAATCAGTTTTGTAATAATGACTGGAAACAGGAACACAAAGTGATGAATCAGTATTACATTTCTGTGTATTGCCGACTGTTGATTTTAAATAAGGATACTGTTTACAATCCACAGTTTAGGGTATATATTACTTATATTTAAAAAAATATGAATTTATTGAATTATATATTTTTAGCAATTCACGTTGCTTTTAATGCAATCAAACCCGCATGATTTATATACGTGTTTGAAAGATTTGAAAGCATTAACTACATCAGAAACATTCCAAATGAAAGAAGTGCAAGTCGTTATGGTTAATTCTCTTGCAAGAATTACAAAAGCGATGACTCCACAGAGTATACATTTTCTACGGTTGTTACATGAAATTATTTTTGGTGATGTAAGGATTGGCAACGATTGTTATAATTTACTCACTTTAAAAACTCCACAATGTGATTTGGTATTAAAGAATATGGTAAAAAGTAGGCTTATAACGTAAGTATTTCTATTTTTAAACTTTTAAACATAATATAATTTCGTTTTTTAATCCCCTACAGGTTGAGGGACATCGAGAATCTAAGTGTGCTATGTAAACATTTAAGAGGATGGCGACTGATGTCTGATTTAGCAATACACATGGATTTTGCACTCTCGAAACATATTCAATACTTTACCGAGCATCTACATGAGGTATTGTATTAGTTTTGAATTATTTAACGATTGTTTTACTCTTTTTGTTTGTTTATATGTAGATGCGGGAGAGAATATTAAAAGACTCTACAATTTTGCACATAACAAGATTTTTCACCGAAATTCTCGATAGGAAGGGTAGAAGTTGTCCGAAGAACGAAAAAGAAATGTTGATGCGTTTCTCAGTGTTCCTCGAGGGCAGTCTTATTAATCGTTCGGTGCCAATCAGCGCTTTACCTTTAGCTTTACTCACGATACGAAAATATCACACATTTTATAATTCGCCATTGGCTCGTTTACAAGCGATGAACGCAGAAGTTGAAGAGAAAACGGCTACAGCTTTCAAAGAAATTCTCCGCGAGCATGGCAATTTCAACAAAGTTGCAATACTCACCAGAGATATAAGTTACTTTGGTGAAATCCAAATGGTTTTTGGTGACTTACCATCATTCAAACCTCAGGAAGACACCAAACTTGCCGTAGAAAACGGCATAATGTACCTGCCGAACATAAAACGAGAATTTACTCCCTTAGCATGTGTAATGTTGAAGTGCATGACTAAAGTTGCAATACGACAGGACGACTTACTCGCAAGCTGTGTCAGTTCTTTGACCCAGTTACTCAAATTCGAACAACCTAAAGTGAAAGAAATTGCTTTAGATTGCCTGTACGACATTGCCTTATTCCGTACTTCTAGTTATGAAATGTTGATTCCCCATGTTTATGACCTAATGACGACACGCAATCCATTAGATGCGGTGTCTGCTTTAAACATGTATGAAAAACTATTCGCAAAGGAACACACCATTCCCAACGATTGGCAAACTTTTGTGATTGCGCTCGCTATTGGGAACGAGGATGTCGTCAAGTTGATAGATCCACCTACAATGGAATTATTCATGGAGAAACTCAACCCTTACTTTGAAACTTATTTCATTCATATCATGTTCTATTGCAATGATATTTGTGATAATGATGATCACGTTTTACTGCCTGAATACAGGACGAAGATCATGCCTGAGAAATTAAGTTCTGAACAGAGGCATCACTTATATTGTAAATTAATTAAATATTTCCGACCGGTGTGTCGCGCGAAAATTTTGAATTATATTTACAAGCAACTGGCTCATAAGTATTTACGTCCGGGTGAACTAGAATCAATGTTGGAGGATATTCTAGTAGTAACTTATGAAACCCTAAAAGGTGTAGATTATCCGGAATTGAGTCGTTTTCACTACGAAAAGAGTTTGGCAATGATAAAGAAGCTAGAAGCTTACACATCGAAGAAAATGGGTAACGGAAGCAATGCGGATGAGATTATTATCTCGATTATCATGAAACTTACTAAGTTATTGTATAATTTGGAGGAAAATTATCCGCAATTGACATTGAAGTTGTTCCATGTTGTATTTGCTGTAATAGACTGGAATTATTCAAGTGTAAGCTAATAGTATATTAATTTTGATATTTATAATAATAATAATTAATTTGTTGCAGATTTTTAATGCGATTGTGGACGAAGGAATGAATGGAAAAGTGCGGAAAAGGATTATAAAGTTATTGCCGATTTATGCGAATTACAGTCATTTGTTTCATTTTTGTGATGTGTTGCCTGGAATAGGGTTTCAGGCAAATCCAATACAATCTAACTGTAATCGTATTTAACCAAAATAAAGCGGTAAAGAGTAGCTGTTTCAAGAAGCGTTCTGAAACAATGGTGTGGAAAACGCCCAGTATCTGGTAATTTTTTTTATTTTCTTAAATTTTTTTCCGTCATTTTAAAGCTCTAGAGTTCCTCTTCAAGATGCACACCCCTCCGACTTTTCAGTCTCCGTAAGTGCCCTAAAGTGCCCTTCAAAATTTAGCAATTTCAAGAAAAGTTGAAAACATGATAGGGAAAACACCCTGTATCTAGTGAACTAATTGACTTTCTTAGAGTTTCTTTACGCCAAAATAGAGTAAGAGAGTTCCCCTACAAGATGTCTACCTTCCAACCTCTCAGCCTTTCCGTAAGTTCCCTAAAATGCCCTTCAAAAATTAGCACTTTTATAAAAATTTGAAAACTTGATGTGTAAAACACCCTGTATCTCATTAGTGATTTGATTTTCTTGCAGTTTCTTAACGTTATGTTAGAGTTTAAGAGACCCTCTATTCTAGGCATTCCTTTTTAACTCCATAAACCCTTTGGAAGTGTCTTAAAATACCCTTTAAATATCGCTAATTTTGTCCAATAAATTTCATTTTTGGAGGAAGAACAGGGTCGAACTTTTTTACTTAAAATTTTTCAGTCGAATTTTTTCGGTCGATTTTTTGTATTTTTTTTTTGGAAAACTTGGTCTTTTTTTTTTGTAAAAAAAATTTTCGGTCGATTTTTTTTGTATTTTTTTTTCGGTCGTTTTTTTTTGTAAAAAAATTCGGTCGATATTTGTTGTAAAAATTTTGCGGCCGAATTTTTTTAATTAAAAATTTTTCGGTCAGAGGACGGTCCAACTATTTTGTTAAAATGTTTTTCAGTCAAAGAACAGGGTTGAATTTTCCGAATGCATTTTTCTCTAAAATTGTAAATAATGTCTAAAGTCTAAACGGTTAATGTTATCAAAAAAGTTACCAAAATAATCGATGTAGAATTAAATTATCTATCAGGTTTCCGATTTAGAATTTAATCGAAATTAATAGTTCCATGCATAGTGCGAGTACAATTCTATTCATGTTCTCACCTGCCACACTGAAAGTGTCAGTGTTTACAAACAAACATGTTTCTTATCTCGTGTAATTTTTGTGGGATCGCCACGCGGTTGGCTTCTGTGCCACGTTAGTCTCATTTTTGTCGTCAGGTGATCTGCACGCACATTGTCTTCATTATTCTTGAGTTGCTAAATGCTTCTAGAATTGTGCGCGATTGATGTGCGGGGTTCGTACCACGCGGATTGTGCATACTCAGAGGTAAAGCGTGAGTGATGTCTACTTCTCGCGCATGAAAGCAAAAATTGGGTGGATTTATTTTGGGCGCGCGCGTGTGTTTCGTCGGCCGCCGGTTGTCAGATCGTTTTCATAAAAGCATAAAAACATCCTTACACATATTTTTGTGTTTTTTCAGTGTTTTTCACTAAAAAGAGTTTTTGCAGCTTTTGCATTAAAATCTTTATAATTTTTATATATAACTTGTGGGTTTAACCCTTGGGAAACCTACAAAAATGCCTTTTTTGTGTTTTTTGGTCGGTTAATTTTGTGTTTTCTTTGTTATAGCGGGCGAACGCGATGTCATAGAGCAACAATTTTTGCACTAAATTGTAGGTATTAAAATTCTTTATAATTTTCATATATAACTTGTGGGTTTAACCCTCAGGAAACCTACAAAAATGCCCTCTTTGTGTTTTTCGCTCGGCTAATTTTGTGTTTTTTTGTTTTAACGGGCGAACGCGATGTCGTAGGGCAACCATTTTTGCACTAAATTGTAGGTATTAATATTCTTTATAATTTTCGTATATAACTTGTGGGTTTAACCTTCAGGAAACCTGCAAAAAATGCCCTTTTTGTGTTTTTTGCTCGGCTAATTTTGTGTTCTCTTTGTTTTAGTGGGCGAACGCGATGTCGTAGGGCAACCATTTTTGTACTAAATTGTAGGTATTAAAATTCTTTATTATTTTCATATGTAGTTTATGGGTTTAACCCTCGGGAAACCTACAAAAATGCCTTTTTTGTGTTTTCGCTCGGCTAATTTTGTGTTTTCTTTGATTTAGCAGGCGAACGCGATGTCGTAGTGCAACCATTTTTGCACTAAATTGTAGGTACTTAAATTCTTTATTATTTGCATATATAACTTGTTGGTTTAACCCTCGGGAAATCTACAAAAAATGCCCTCTTTGTGTTTTTCGCTCGGCTAATTTAGTGTTTTCTTTGTTTTAGCGGGAGAACGCGATGTCGTAGGGCAACCATTTGTACACTAAATTGTAGATATTAAAATTCTTTATAATTTTCATTATAACTAGTGGGTTTAACCCTCGGTAAACCTACAAAAATGCCCTCTTTGTGATTTTCGCTCGGCTTATTTTGTGTTTTCTTTGTTATAGCGGGTGAACGTGATGTCATAGGGCAACAATTTTTGCACTAAATTGTAGGTATTAAAATTCTTTATCATTTTCATATATAACTTGTGGGTTTAACCCTCAGAAAACCTACAAAAATGCCCTCTTTGTGTTTTTCGCTCGGCTAATTTTGTGTTTTTTGTTTTAGCGGGTGAACGCGATGTGATAGGGCAACCATTTTTACACTAAATTGTAGGTATTAAAAGTCTTTTTAATTTCCATATATAACTTGTGGTTTTTTTTATAAATTGTAAATAGGGTCTAAACATTTCATATTATCAAAAAAAGTTATCAAAATAATCGATGTAGAATTAAATTATCTATCAGGTTTTCGGTTTAAAATTTAATCGAAATTAAGAGTTCCATGCATAGTACGAGTACAATTTTATTCATGTTCTGCACTACCACACTGAAAGTATCAGTGTTTACAAACAAACATGTTTTCTTATCTTGTGCAATTTTTGTGCGATCGCCACGCGGTTGACTTGTGTACCACGTTAGTCTCATTTTTGTGGTCAGGTGGTCTGCCCGCACATTTTCTTCATTATTCTTGAGTTGTTAAATGCTTCTTTAATTGTGCGCGATTGATGTGCGGGGTTCGTACCACGCGGATGGCCGTCGTATTCTTTTTGTATTATACGCGTATTTCATCGGTTCTACAATGTGCCTAATTACGGTCCATACAACTTATTGGATATACCAAAATGCAAAAATTATTTTGCATCAAGGTATGTTCTCGTATTTCTTCAGCCATTTGAAAAACAAATCCATTATTGACTTTTTTGATTTGTGCTTTAATTTTTAAATTTTGTTTTTTGATTCCGAAAGTAAATTAAATTCTGAATGCAGTAACACAATTATAGATTAAAGCCCTATTCACATATAAAAATCAATTTTTGTATTAAAAATTCAAATTGTACCAAACTAATTGACATTGATTTACCAATAAATGTATTTCGGAATGCCGAATATTCATCGCAGAAGAGTTGCAAATGTGCGCATATTTTAAGGCAAGTGTTCCGCGGAATTTAATAGTTGTCGATATTTTTCTATATAAAAAATGTTTGTATTTGTAAATGTTGTCAATAAAATAAAATTAATATCAATTAATATCTCATTCATATTTGTTTTTGGTATCCTCCTTGCCGTTTTCAGTATATGAGCGTTTCACACATTCAATATAGATATTATACGCGTGGAGCGAGTGCAACATATCTGGGACTTGTGTTGTTGTTTTTATAAAGTTGAATAAAGTAGAAACATAAATAAAAGAATCAAATATAAATGATAAAAACACTCGGTGGTCGAGTGGGTACGTGCACCTGCTGGCATGCTAGTAGGCATGGATCGAATCTCAGGTGTACGAGGCATTTTTCTCAAATATAAAAATAACAGGTGTGATTTGGGTTGCATATGTAACTCAAATGAAATATAAGAGAAATTGCGAAATAGAAAGTGAGTGGAGAAATGGAGAACAGAGAAGTAGGAGATGTAGAAGAGAAGGAATAGCAGAGAATAGTAGAAGACAGAAAGAAAGCGAACAGAGTAGAGAAGAGAGGAGATGGAAGAAACAGAACAGGAGAGGATCAGATTTTTAAATTTTTTGGCACGTGTCGTTATAAGACAGTCTACAGGTCGATGCGTTCATTGCTCCCGGCCCATCCTACAGCTACGATGTCTCTACGCTTCATCCCCGAAATACTCAGGCATATCAACAATTATTATGGTGGGGGATCATCCCCAGAGAGAGGGAACTCCTTATAAGGACATCCTTCTAAGGACTTGTAAAAGTATTTCTAATTTTTAAGTTGCCTCAAGAGAGGGGACGAATGAGGGGAAAAATGTTCTTACAAGTTGTGACCTGTAGCTGAAATGAAAGATGGAGCACACAAATCATACAGGATACCTAACAATTTTTATAGTGGGGATCATCCCCTGAGAGAGGGAACTCTCTTAGAGACCTGTACCTGAAATGGTAGAAGGGGTACATTCAAAGCAAAAGCCATACTATTTCTTAACATTTCTTTATTAATAAGTACAATGTAAAATAATACAAGTTTAGATTTTACAAGTTAACAGAATTAAGGCGGCCATATTGAAATAGGACTTCCGACCTGCTTAGCCGCGCAAGCAAGCGCGTACCACTTAGTGAAGTTCTAGCGGGATACCTAAAGCAATTAGCAAAGTCAATTTTATTCGTGATTGAAATTTGAAACAAATATACAGGGTGTTACAAATGAAAATCAAGTGCAGACAGGAAAACATCTAAACACTCAAATATCGCTGGTTTCTCACCGTTACTCCGGAAAACAAATATACAGGGCGTTACAAAAAGAAAATTCAAAGTGCAAGAAGTTAAATTCTAATAACAGTCAAAGCAAAATTTTCAGAAATGTGAAGGAAAACGATTATACAAGGTGTCACAAATAGAAAATTCAAACATTAAAGAGGAAAACATCTAAACACTACAAATATTTCTCGTTTTCACCCGATGCTCCGGGAAACTAATAAACAGGGTGTTACAAAAAAAAGCTTAAAGTGCAAACAAACACCCCTAAAACCACAGCTGAAGGAAGGTTTTCACGGACACAAAGAAAAGCAAATATACTGGGTGTTCCAAAAGGAAAATCGCAAGTTTAAAGCAAATAACACCCAAAACTCACAAATAAAGGCGATTTACTATGTACTGTTAGGAAAACTAATATACAGGGTGTTACAAAAGGAAAATTTTAAAAACTACAAATATGGTCAATATTCACATCAAGCCGAGAGAAATTTATACCGAAACAACTACGAGTATATTTTAATATAAATTCAAAGATTTTACCCGAAAATCATCATTAAAAGTTAAGTAAAAAAGTTAAGTAAAAAAGGTGCTACAAGAATAAAATACTTACATTTTAATACATTTATCATTTGATGATAGCATCAACTGCATAATCTAACCGACGGGTGAAGCATCATCATAAATTGATAGAACAATAGAACAAATAGGCGGAAAACATCCAAATCAGCAGACGGCAAGCGACGGCGCGCGGTAATACAGTAGGTAAATACGATAAAAATAACTATTTACTAACTATTCAGCATACAAGATTTGATCAGATCAACAAGAAACTTTTTAATTTAATCTGTTTGCACCGCAAACAGAAAAGCGGCGGAAGTTTCCAACTTCTCACGAATTCGGTGTTGTGTGTTTGATTTAGTGCCGATAGTGCGTCGCCGGGAACTTAGACAATAAATACAATTAAGTTATACAATGGTGCAATCACAAGACTAACATCGTAATATGTATATCAACACACTTAATGTTTAGAAAGTACAGTAGTTACGTAGATACAGTAGATAGTAAACACATTCGCAGATGAGCAAGGATCCATCACGTCACACACTGACCCTTGTGCTAACAATTATATATTTATCGCTGTATAGTAATTAAGCTATCTTAAGATTACAAATTACGAAGGGTCACTGCCCTTGGGCAAGTATGTACGCAAAGTTTTGCACTTAGACATTTTTGGATGAATAAAGTAGTAGTTACCGAGCAAGCATCGAGTGAAGATCGCCTCACTTCTCCGAGCACCTCTAAGACTCTCCGCTGCCTTACAACCAGCGTAAAATCCACACATCAGTCCTTCTGCCCTCAGCTTTGAACCCGGCGCCATCTTCAGAGCGCACGCTGGCTTCACACGGAAAAATAAGAAGTGAAAAAAATTCATAACAAAAAATACATGAGGCGGTACGGCCCCTTTTCCCATTTTCTACCGCTACCTTCGTAGGGTGCCCTGAACACGAGTCACTTCTACCGCTACTTTTGTACAGTGCCCTGAACACGAGTCAATTCTACCGCTACCTTCGTACGGTGCCCTGAACACGAGTCACTTCTACCACTACCTTCGTACGGTGCCCTGAACACGAGTCACTTCGACCGCTAGCCTCGTACGGTGCCCAACAGCACTTGTCGGTGCAACAACAAGAACGGATTTCAAATTCTTAATATACGCAATAAAAATTTATAATTATTTAATTTCGTGGAGTCGAAAAATGCGACTAAAAGTGCTCAAAAGTGATATTTTACAAACCCAAAAATACAAACATTTCACTATAAAAGTTGAGTAAATCACCTTTTAATGCAAATTTTCGCAAGTTGCAGGTCGTATTACTGCAGCAAACAAATACCACCCGACGGAGAATTTAATTCCGCATCTCTAGGCGCCACGCTGAAGTTCGTGTGACGCCCCCGACCGACACTAATAATTTTTAAAAAATTAACTCGAGGGCGCAAAAAGCAGATCAAATATATTTTTTTTTTGCAATAACACACATTGCTGACAAATTTCCTTCAACAAATTAATATAACCTTATAGAGAATTAAATTTTGCTTCTCTAGACATCGCGCTCAAATTTGTATGATGCCCCGTTCGCTAACAATAATGAAAAAACGCACCTAATTAACTCAAGGACGCAAAAACCGGATAAAATATATATTTTTTGCCATAACTCACGTTGCAGATAAATCTCCTTCAACATATTATTATAGCCTTATAGAGAATTAAATTTTGCATCTCTAGACATCGCGCTCAAAGTTGTGTGAGGCCTCTTTCGCCCACAATTATGAAAAAAAAATTTCAATTGCGAATATCTTATAAACTAAAAGAGATAGAAAAGAACAAATCGCAGAGTCTTAATCTACGGACAATTCTCTATAGAATAAGCTAGTTAAATTGGAAATCTAGAAAATGAAATTTTAATTTATAAGAAAAAATGGGTAATTCGTCACGTTCCGAAACCGTGTTTAACAGGGCTAAAAATTGGACATTTTCATTTTCTCTTATTTTTATATCTGAAAGCGGCAGAGGGGAACGGATTGAAAATTATTAATCTACTGAAAATTCTCTATACGACAATGTAATATATTAAAATAGTGCATGCTGTACCTCAGCGAAGCAAACACGGTCGCGACAGTTCATGCTAAGACTACCTGCTGCCCGAACGCGCAAAGTCGGCGCAAGGATGACCGCGACGACTGCCCGCGCACAAATTGCAATAGACCCGATACATGCAAACTAAACTAAACTAGAAAAGCAGTGCGAGGCGCGAAAGGATGGCAGCGACAACACTCAGCAATCTTGGACGTTGCTATTCGCACGGCGATAAGAAAGTGTAAATCGTATTCAAAATAAACACAATTCTCGTGTCGAATGTCATCGTTTGCTGATAAATATAAAACTAAACAAAACAAGTCTAATTTATGATTTTTACTTCATGCTATTGCTATCTATAAATCATACAGGTACTAGTCTCATAATTTTAATTAAGTATTAAAATAATGATAAATTAAAATTCGATGTTTGTAATTTTAAATTCTTAAGCCGGAAGATTATCCCTTTTTGTTATTAAGATGAGATGATGAGGAATATTCCTTATTGAACCATAAAATTCAACAACATTGCAATACAATTAAACGTAGAACTAAACTGAAATCTATTTACACGGCAAACAGTTTCTATAAATAATGAAATTATTTTACTTACCGGTTATGGAAGACGGTACTCGTATATCAACGACAAGTTGGCGAATACTGAAATAAATGAGAAACAAAACATTAGCTACAGCATTTTGGGCTATGTTGAAATGAATCTGCATTCCGTCGGAACCCAAACTTTGAGTTAAAATTCTTGTTATTCGCATGATAATCATAAGAATGACAATATTTACCTGGTAGCACATTGATTCATGCTCCTCAATTGATGACAAATATGTTTTTCACAAGTCAATTAATTACTAGCGTTCATAGCGTTGATATTTTCCTCGGCCGTCGCCCGACGGCAACGGACTCACGAACACGTCAATAAATTAAACACACAAAATTTACGATTACGAAGATTACACACGCAATAAATAGCAGATAAAAGCTCAAACAAGTTTTATTAACACTAATTATCACCGGCGATCAAGAAATATAACACGATTTACCGAACTTATATCAAAGAATAACACAAGTCGAAAGTGTGGAATGTGCGCTCGTCGTTATCGCACCGTTTGAACAAAACAAAATCCTCTCGCTGGAATATTTCCAGGTAAACCTACATTGTTACGCCATCTGAGAGCACCTTATAGTACCTCATAAAACAACAAAGTGTTTCAAACAGGGTGTTGCGCGCATGTGTGTCAGTGCGAAATTGTCTATGAGGCAGTGAGTGGTCACGCACTTAAATAGCGGCGTACGGGTGAGACACGTACAAGCAAGTACGCATGCATCATCCTGTCTAAATAACTAGCAAATTTACACAAAAATACAATAAGTCAAATCTATAAGACACATGATTTTCAAATTTAATCTATCAAATAGCAAACACAAATCACAGACTGTTAAGTCTTTAAAACGACATGATGATGATGATGATGATGACAACACATAAATCAAGTGTAAATAGATTTATTGTAATTACAATAGTCATAATAGTCTTTGTTGTCGAATTCATGCAACAAATAAATACACCCCGACGGCGAATTTAATTCCGCATATCGTGACGCCGCGCTGAAGTTATTTTAAAGAAAAAAGGTGAAAAATATCACACTTCTATGCAAATTTTCGCGTGTTGCAGGTCGAATTCCGGCAACAAATAAATACAACCCGACGAAGAGTATAATTCCGTATCTTCTGACACCGCGCTGAAGTTATTGAGCCACCAAGGTCGCGTACAAACCCGAAGAGATACTAACATTGAAAAAAGTCGCAAAAATCGCCCTTTTATGTAAATTTTCGCGGGTTGCAGGTCGAATTCCTGCAACAAACAAACACCACCCGACGAAGAACTTAATTTCACATCTCTAGACGCCACGCTAAACGCTCTCAATCGGCAGTAATAATTTTTAAAAATATCAACAAATTAACGCGAGGGCACAAGAACACTAGAAAAATAACCTTTTTGAAATTACTAACGGTGCAACCATATCTCCTTCAACAAATAAAAATATAGCCGTATAGAGAATTAAATTCTGCATCTGTAAACATAGCGCTCAAGTTTATGTAAGGTTCTGTCCGCCCGCAATAATGAAAAAAACGAAATAAAATTTCGCGAACACGAGTCACTTCTACCGCTACCCTTATACGGTGCCCTGAACACGAGTCACCTCGGCCGCTGCCCTCGTACGATGCCCTGAACCGAGTCACTTCTACCGCTACCCTCGTACGGTGCCCTAAATACAAGTCACTTCTACCGCTGTCCTCTTTTAAACTAAAATCGCCAGCTACCAACGGATCAAAGAATATGAAAGATTGAAAAATTCTCTAGCAGGTAAAAATTAAAAATAATTTTATTCCGTGAGGTATATGCGATCAAAACTAAACTGAAATATACTGTATGCGATATGAGCAGATTTTATTGCAGAAAATTGATGTTATACACAAATGTTTGATAAATCAGCAATTTTTGGTTGATGCTAATCCCATCAATGAATTATACTGTAAATAAAAAGAAAAAATTTGAAAATTCTCCTAAAAATGAAAATGAAAAACCTCTTAGTGAGATGAAACAAGAATTGTCCTTAGCAAATTTTTATTTAAGAATTATTCTCGACCTCTCTTATTTTCCTAATTTCCAAATGACAAGATATCATCATTTTTAGAAGAAAATACTGGAAAATAAACATACAGGGTGGTGCAAAAAATGAAAGAACATTAATACAAAGAAAAATGCAAAATTCAAAATAAAAAACCACTAACATAATTTTTGGAGTAAAATAATGGAAAACAAAGATACATGGTGTAATAAACCAAAAATAACTACAATATAAAGGAAAACGGAAGGTTGAAGATGAAAAAAAGTAAATAACTACAACGCTGGAGTGACATCAAGGAAAACAAACATACCGGGAGCTACCAAAAGAAGGAAACTATAATGTAAAGCAAAAGCAAACTTCAATACTGAAAACAGTAAATTATGTACTACAGATTTGGAGTGATATCAAGAAAAACTAATATACAGGATGTCATAAAAATAAATTTATGAGAATATGAAAGAAAAGTTCTAAAATGGGTAAGAACAAATTTCTGTTGTAAATGCACAACTCAAAAAATTAGTTTGAATTCAGTTCAGAAGTTAACCGACTCGAATTTTTGGGATTTGAATAGCTTATCTTTTATAGAATTTCTCGTTGATTAAGAATCCGGGAAATGAGAAGATCTATTTTTGCATTTAAAACTACGTATAGCTGAGCACCATCCGACGGACGGGTGCATTAAAAATCCACACTATTCAAAAGTAATTACTCCAAATAATAAGATGATTAACACTTGAAATCTTACCTTCTATAAACTTCGACGGAAACAAAATATGGATAGTCAAAAACCATAAAATCTTCATACGTATTTATTTCAATATACTCGTAATCCAATTTATTGATGAGCCATGCGGTCGCACACAGGCAGCAGCTGCGAAATTTCACGTATAGTCGATGGTACATCACACCTCACTTCTAAGAAACAATTAATATATGTTTCACAAATTTCACGCCAGATATAACATAAGTGAAACACAATATGCACAAATTCCGTTGCATTCCGATTAAATACAATGCAAATTACCGAATTATATTTTCGCGACCGACCCGACGAGAAGAACCAGCTCGACTAAACACATCCACGGATACCTGCGTTATCTATGCATATGCACTCTAAACCGATAGCGTGATGTAGTGACCGCAGCGATATCAGCGGTCAATGCTGTGCGATTCAAAACAAAACAAAACAAAACAAAACACATTCATTATAAAACAATTGTATAACATAAAGGAACATATTTGAAAAGTATTTACATAGTTCGTTCATAAACCACATTCATCAATTTAAGTACATGATTAATATTTATCCCTCGTGTTTATTTGGTTTTCAGATTTTGTTTTAAATCACGCGTAATTTTAATTAATATTCGGAGTAGGTTAGTTTAAACATGCGCGTTTTAAAATGGAAAACTTATACCCTACATCTACACTTTTAGCCCTATTGCCAATAAAAACAGGCTCAGGGCTCAAGCGCAAAACGCCAAAAACAATTTAAAAAAAACTTCGCAACACCAAAATGTAATTTTTGTCGCCAATTCGTGAGATAATTACAAAAGTAATGTATAAAAATTATAAAGAAATTAAATATTTACAATCTGATGTAAGAATGGTCTTCTTACGCTACCTTAAATAGGAAATTTAAGAAATATATAATAATTCATAACGAATGGACAAACATCATGTTTTTTGAGTATTTTTGGTAACGAATATCTTCTGAATTTAAAGCAATGGCGATTGAAGAATATTAAACTTCGGAAAATTCTGTATAAGACAAGAATATAAAATAATCAAATTATGTGGACCAAAAATTCAAAAATCGTGTTTAAAAGTGCTAAAAAGAGCGCATTTTTTTCAAGCACTATTGGCAAACGGTATTTTTAACTATTACATGAATATTTTGCAACTATCATATGACAATGATAAATACAACATATTTGTATCTGTATTATGTTTTATCAATTTTTGACAAATTGTTTTTATGTTTTGTTTTGTACAACAAAATACTACAATTTTTTACTTTATTGCAAATTTATGCACGCTTCTAATATATTAATACTAATTAGCTTCTCTAGCAGGGATTACGTGACTTTTTGAGAATTCATTAGTTTGGCAAATTTACAAACAAAATTTTAACAAAAATACTGAACACGATAAGAATTTACTTGTTTTGTTATATGTCACGATTATTATTAATTACGGAAACTTTAAAACTCCTCACTGATAATTTGATTAGTTTCATATTGTTGCTTAGTTGTCAACTATAAATACCTATACACTTTAGTATTCTCATTATAAAATTCTTAACAATACCTGTACATAGCAACAAATAGATAAATAGTACAGCGTTTGTCAAGTACGTGTATTGAGAATTTAAATAAATTACTTTACAAGCACATATCACATATATTGCACTTCTACATGCACGACACAAATCTAAAAACACGTCAAACACGCTTTCAGAATATCAATTATGTTTTGTATTAGGATTTTTTGGGTTGAATATTTCATAATATACTAGTTTATCAGACAGGTTTCACTTAATTTTAGTCACAGTTGTTTAGTGCTCAGGTTCAGTTGCAAATACAACATCAAAGGAAACACTTAAATGTTATACAATGGCGGTTGTTCCTTTATCAAAAAAGTATGTACATTACCAAATTAATTATTACCATAAACAATAAATTTATTATAGAAGCAAACATTTGGAGTTCACTCTTCATGGAACTAAGCAAATAGGTAGGCATATTATTTTATATTTTATTTTCAATGAACAATTTATTAATTTATATTGCTTTATAAGTTGATACTAAAGACCTTAAACCGGAAACGACTCTCAATGAATACATTCGCGATTATTTACACCTCACCGGCACAAAATTCATGTGCCGTGAGGGTGGATGTGGTGTGTGCATTGTTTCCGTCACTGCGAAGAATCCACGAACAGGCGTTAAGGAAACATTTGCAGTAAATTCTGTAAGACATATGAAAAAGACATTTTTAGGTCTTTTTATATAACGAAATTTTTTAAGTGTTTGGTTCCCATTTTATCCTGCGCTGGTTGGGACGTCACCACCTCTGAAGGCCTGGGCAATCGTATCGACGGCTTACATCCGATTCAACAAAAAATAATTCAATTCAACGGTACCCAATGCGGGTTTTGTACGTCTGGTATGGTGATGAATATGTATGCTCTACAAGAATCTGGAAAAATGACTATGGCTGAGATAGAAAACTCTTTCGCGGGAAACATTTGTCGTTGTACCGGCTACAGACCCATTTTATCCGCGTTTAAATCAATGGCAACCGACGCCGATTCTAAGATCTTAGGGGTTATTCCAGACATTGAAGAATTGAAACTCTGCAAAAAGGAAAACTGCAAAAAGACATGTCTTACTCCATGTCAAGAACCGGAAACACCTCTTGTTTATGAATTGAAGCAGAATTCAAATGCACCATATGCTTCAAACTGGTTCAAGGTATCTACGATTAAAGAAATTTATGATATTTGGAAGGTAAATGAAGAAAAAGACTATAAATTGGTTGCTGGTAATACCGGAAAAGGTGTTTACTGGGACATGGAAACAGCTAATTACTATATTGATATCCGGGGAGTTGCTGAATTACGATCCATCTCTCATTGCACTAATAAACTTGTTCTTGGAGGAAATGTGACACTTACAGAGATGATGGAAACTTTTAACCAAGTTGGTAACAGCGATGAGAGTTTTAAACATCTTTTGAAAGCTGCTGCGCACTTAGATCTGGTAGCAACCGTGCCAATCCGCAATGTAAGTTTTTTATCATTCTGTATTTTTAAATTATTTGGAAATAATGTTTCTTGATTGTAGATTGGTACAATTGCTGGCAATCTAGCAATGAAGTATAAACACAATGAGTTCCCATCGGACATCTTTCTACTTCTTGAAGCAATGAAAGCTAAACTTGTTTTAGGTAAGCAATAACAAAGCAGAAATTAGTTTTTTATAATGAAGAAATTTGAATATTACAGGATACAGTGATAATGAGTTAATCGTTACACCCCACGATTACCTTAATCATAACATGTACCAAAGGCTTATCCTTCGAATTGAAATTCCCGCCCTCGATGCAAACTACAAGTTTGAATCTTATAAAATCATGCCAAAATCTCAAAATGCACACGCGCATGTCAACGCTGCATTCCTCTTCAAGCTTACTAATGATAATATTGTTGAGGAAGCTAACATTTGCTTTGGTGGTATTAATCCTAATTTTGTACATGCAACTTCTGCACAAACATACATCACTGGCAAACAACTTTTTAACAATGGGAACATGCAGACACTCTTTGACAAACTCAACGCTGAACTTGTTCCTGACTATCAGCTTCCTGATCCTACACCGGAGTTCCGCAAATCTTTAGCTATTGCTTTAACATACAAGTGTATATTGTCAATGGCTCCTGAATCCATTATAACAACAATTAATAAAACTGGAGGAGAAAAATTGGTAAGACCTGCGATCTCCATGGGAACTCAAGATTATAAAACGAATGAATCAATGTATCCAATTGGAAAACCTGTTAATAAGTATGAAGCAACTGATCAGGTCAGTGGCGCAACCAAATATATAATGGATTATCCTGATTTACCAAATCAAGTATACGCTGCATTCATAATGGCTAAAGCTCCAGCTGGATCAATTGTGAAATCAATTGATGCTTCAAAAGCTTTGGAAATGGAAGACGTGGCCGGTTTCTTTCAAGCTTCTGATATTGAAGAGTTAGGTGGAAAGAACAGTTTTATTGCACCACCTGTTTTACCAGAGGAAGAGTTAATGTTTGTGCCTGTCAACGGCAAGGTGCAATATTATTTCCAACCTGTTGGAATTATTGCCGCCAAGAGTCAAAAACTAGCTGAGTTGGCCGCGGATATGGTTCAAGTTGAATATGTCCATCCTACAACTAGCCCGTTGCTAACCATCAGAGACGTTTTGAATAACAATGAAACATCTAGAATTACTTCTGAACATGTTATTGTAGCCAAATACCAAGGTAAAACTACAAAATCTTGGTAATTTTATGATATTTACATTTTTTTTTGTAGATTTGAACGCACCTAACACTTTAAAAGGTAGGTTTGATGTAAGTTGGCAGTACCATTACCACATGGAAACCCAATCGGTCCGTGTGGAACCCGATGAAGATGGAAAATTCAATATTTATCCATCAACGCAATGGATGGATTTGGTCCAGTCGGGAATTTCCTACGCACTCAATATTCCTGCACATAAACTAAATATTACAGTCAGACGTTGTGGAGGCGCTTATGGTGCTAAGATATCAAGGAGCAACTGGACTGCAGCTGCAGCAACACTTGTCGCACTGAAACTCCAGAAACCAGTCAAGTTCTGGCTTCCGTTCCATGTTAATATGAATATTGTAGGATGTCGAAATCCTACCGCAAATGATTACGAAGCCGGTTTTGATGAGAATGGTAAACTCACATTCCTCAACCACAAAATCTACCACGACACTGGATTACATATCAATGATTTACCCAATTTGTCTATGATGGATCTGCTGGTGAGCACTTACAATAGTGATTCCATGCAAGTTGACTACAACTATGTACGCACTGATATGCACACTGCCGCTTGGACTAGAGCACCTGGGACCACTGAAGTTCTTGCTATGCTGGAGACCGTCATGGAACATATTAGTTATGTACTTGGAAAAGATCCAGTGGACGTGAGGATTGCTAACTTGAATGTTACTCAACACCCGCTGATTGGCACACTAATGACTGACTTTTTAAAATGGTCAGATTTTCGTGCAAGAAGAGCAGCAATTGAAACATTTAACACTGTATATCTACAAAATGATTATTTGTAGGACAATTTTAATAATTTATTCTTTTTAGGAAAACCGTTGGAGGAAACGTGGTATTGCCCTAGTACCATTGGTTTACCAGCTGGCGTTTTCTTTGAATTTCCAATGTCAAGTCTCAATTTATCAAGCGGACGGCACTGTTGCCATTTCACACGGAGGAATTGAAATTGGGCAGGGAATCAATACAAAAGTAGTTTTTATAAATATTTTCTTTCTTTTGATAACAATATGTTATTTATTTAGGCAGTACAAGTGGTTGCTTACACGTTGGGCATCGATATGAACTTGATTTCGGTAAATCCGTCCAATAATTTTACTGCTGCAAACTGTAATACAACGGGAGGAAGTCAAACAAGCGAAGCAATATGCATTGTACGTATTGCAGTCATTTACGTGTTACTTTGATTCCAATATTTGATTATTTTAAATAGGCTTTCCAAAAAGCATGTGAGATTCTAAAGAAACGCATTGATGATGCTACTGCTGAGGCAAATCTTCCAGCAGACACTCCTTGGCCTCAAAAGATTCAGAATTGTTTCACTATGGGCGTGGAACTTATTTCAAACCAAATGTAAGCACTTTTTAGCCACCATTGTCTATCACCTTTCTTTATAAATTTATTTCACTAGGTGGATTGATGATCCAAAAGATTCCAAATCCTATCCAATTTATGGTATTGCAGCCACAGAAGTCGAAGTGGATATTCTTACAGGTAATCTAATTATCCAACGTGCCGATGTATTGGAAGACGTTGGCGATAGTATGAGTCCCATAATTGACATGGGACAGTGTGAGGGTGCTTACATTATGGGTTTGGGATATTGGACCAGCGAGGAAATGATTTTTGACCACGATGGTCAGAAGATGACTAACCGTACCTGGACGTACAAACCACCTGGTTGCAAAGATATTCCCGTTGATTTTAGGGTCAAGTTCCCGGATGGTGTGCCCAACCCGTTGAGTCCATTCAAAACTAAAGGTAAGTTATTTTTAATAAACCTGCCTCTCGGGGGCCCCTGAATTTGGCGGTTATCTCGTAAACTAAAAGCGATAGAGAAGAACGGATTGAAGATTCTGAATCTTTGAATAATTCTCAATGCAAAGTAGCGTGGTATAACTATACCCTCTGTTCATGATTCTAGCTACGGGTGAACCTCCACTTTGTTTAGCATTCTCTGTTGCATTAGCCATTCGGCATGCAATTAGAACCGCCAGGACCCAATCGGATCCCAACGCAGACCCATGGGTACCAATTAGTAAGTGTTATTTGCTGTATTTTTAATTATATTACTAATTTTAATGCCATTACAGATGGACCCTGCACGGTGGAATGGAATTTCATGAACAGTCTTAACGATTACAAACAATACAAGCTCTAATTCAACCTGTTTTTAACAACAAAATGTACACATTGTAACTTCACATATAAAAGCAATTGTAGCAATTAATAATCCTAACAATAAAATTAAAAATGCACCCGACAATGTTCGAATGTTAAAATATCGTGGACTTGATCCTTGACGTTGATTAAGTGCATGCATGTACACTCGTCCTTCATAGCTTAATTCCCTGAAAGACTATTTAAAACATTTTACGTTAGCATAATAAATATAACATAAACATAAACATAATCATAAACAAATAAAAAGTAAACACTTACTTCTGCCATAATGAAATTATCCAAACCATATTCTTGCAAGTTCAATATAAAATGGTCCAATAATGGTAAAATTACGGAATTCTTATAAAATGCAAACACTCCGTATGCAAATGACATATCTTCTTTCAGTACTGTAAATTTCTCTAAGGTATCCATTTTGAGTACAGTATCATACTCACAAAAGGCATAACCTAAGTTTAAATGATCAATTGCTATTGATACTTTGGTAGACTTAGCGAGGATTTGTGATAATTTATCAGGATCAGCTTTAGTATATTTAGTTTTAATATTTGGATATTGCATCTAGAATAATTAAATAAATGTTAAAAGATTAATACAATGATAATATTTCTACCAACTTTATCTAGGCTTGTAATATAGCCACTTGTAGCAAGTATAAATGGTAAATTGCTGTTTTCCAATGCTTTTCCAGTCGAAATGTACGGCAAATATCTATAAAAGTATTGTTTATGTTCAATATATACAATTTCTTATATATTATGTAAATAACACATACGATGGTCTTGTCATGAGACTAGCATATCCACAATTGTAAAATATAACAATCAATAGTATTCCGCTGTAAGTTAAATACATTCTCATGGGTAGATGGCTAGGCTGCTGCAAAAACAATCCTAAAACCGTCAACGACGTTATCTCGCGTTTGTTTATTTTATGTAGTATTGTGGTCACGACAGCAAGAACAACTATAGCAACCAGCAACACAATCCACACAACAAAATCAAATGGACGTAATGGCGTTTCAAGACCATCGTCTAATACAGGTCTTGGTACCAGGAAGTTTAACCCAACTCGTGAAATAACCGTTGTTGTATCAGTTCTATAATCGAATCTGTTCCGAAAAAATCCACCTGGAAATAAAATTGTCTCAATGAGTTAATAGTATATACAAATAATGTATTTATTACCTACCAGATCCAATGTCAGCATGTCCTTGAACCACATCCCATTGAGTACCATCGCCTGTACCATTATCGTATAAATGTCCCCATAATTCAGGATTTATCTTCAAATTCTTGGTATAGTTATGTTTTAAACAAAACGCATTAATCATAGAATGTTCAAATCCACTGTTCTTTTCTACAAAACAATACTTTTAAATAAAAATATTATAAAATATAAATATTAATATTAAGATTGCACCTATATTAACATACGGAGAGAAATTAAACGTTGCAATAGTAAGATTCCTTCTTTTTAAATCATCTTGTTTGTTTGGAAATAAATTCAATGAATTTATGTTTGAGGAGTTGCATAGTTTATCAATGAATATAGTCTCCAATGGCGTACTTCCTGTATACCTGTGAGTATAAAATAGCGCGCAATCATCTTTTTCAACAATCAACAACATATTAACGATTGTATCAAACACATTACGTTGAAAAAAAGTCTCAACATTAACAGTTGAACTTTTATGTACCAATAAATAATATCTAAGGTTGAATCTAAACACTCGGTTTAATTGTAATTCGTTTTCAATTACTTCTACATCATTTCCTGGATCTTCACTTTGAATTATAAAAACTGGACATTTAAATCGCTCAAACAATGTGAAATTTAAAGCGTTATTTAAGGAAGTTTGAATTGTAACTATTTCATTGCTTGCAATATTTAACCCACCAATATTAAAAACACAGTGAAATTTATTAAAATATTGCTGGATTATCAAAGTTGTAAGTGTTGCAATATAAAGAGACATTCTGTGTTAAACTGCTAGTGTTAAACTACTACTCCATTTGAATATATTATATAATAAAGCGAAAAGAGAGTTGTTTTAATTTCCTGGCGACGAAATTATTGATACAAACATTGCTGACGGTGTTTAAAGACGATTATGATGACCCAAGAGATCAAAATCGGAAGCATACACGAAAAAACCTCGCGTGTTTCAAGCAATACTTTATGTTTATGGCATTGATGACACGATAATGCAAATAGTGCTAGAAATGTAAATACAATTTCAAGTTCTGTGTTTAATTATACAAAAACTCTGTTGTTAATATAAAAGTATTATACAGTTTGTTACACAAATTTACAAAAGTTATAAACATATATTATTTCTGGTGTAATACTGGTTGCCTATGTTAACTCAGCATTTACATCATTATATTAAAAATCGTGCTATTTTGGTTGCCTACAACACAACTTGACTACATATATTTTCCGAAAGCGGAAATGTGCCTATAGTGTACAAAAGTACCTACATTATATAAAAATAAACATTTCCCACACAAAAATAACAGAAAAGTGAATTTTTCCTGCATGTTATAAATAAAATGTGTGCCATGCACACCTGTATCAATTCACCCGTGTTTTTCGTGCCATGAGCTCCGTGATAACAGAGGAAAATTCGTTTGTGAGCGCGACACCTTTAGCTCTTCGCCGTCGCACAATGCGACACACGCTCCAACACCTCCGCATAATAACACATCTCATCGCATTGAAGGCGGCGGCGGCGGTGTGCATGCACGTGAGATTTGCGCGCACGGTTCGCCGATCGCATTCGCGGTCCTGCTTAATTCTCCTCGGGGGCGCACATCACCATGGCTATCAATGCGCACCCCACGCCCGCGCAAAAATCGCATATCGCGACCTCCCGGCTGACTGAAATCTCATCGAGCGTGAATGAACTGATCCGCGCGATGCGGACGCGGCCAAGCGCAAGATATGAAGCGTTTTGCATTCGGCGGCGGTGGTGTTCGAGCGTGCGTTGCAACAATCGCGACACCCTTCGTTTTTCCTTCATTAAGTGGTCTATCATCATCGTTACAACGAGATAATCGTGTGCTTCACATGCGGCACGTGTTTATCTAACATCTCTGCTATCAATTATCTTGTTAAATATGATTCATACGGTTTAAATTGAGAAAAACTTAGATGCGCAACATTATCATTTTAAAATTTATAAGATTTTTACGTAAAATGTTACAATCTATGAGTTTTCACAGAAAAAACTTTAAATAATTAATTTATAAGACAAAATGCTAAGTTTGAGGCAGTTTAAATCTAAAAACACGCATTTTAGTGATTTTTTAAATAAAATTGCGTCAAACAATGTGTAAAAATCTTAAAACTCAAAATGAATAGTTGGGATGAATTGCATGATTGTATAATGTCTCTAATCCAAATCCCTAAACAGCATGAAGCCGAATTTCACGGATCGATGGTTACATTTCATTCAAGAGTTGAACCGTCGGCAAATGACACGAGATGCTCCGAAGCCGGCACTTTTACTCGGCGAAAACTCAAACGACTTTAGCAAAACGGCATGTTTTATGCAATAATCCCGTTAAATAGGCTTGCGACAAGCTTCCCAATGGGATAATCACCGTTTTAAACACCCACAACACTAAACAACACAAGAAAAACGCAAAAAACACTCCGCCGTCATGAATAATAATAATCATACCTACTTACAATGCCTGAATGTGTTTTTTTCCGCTCTGATGTTAATTACACACCCACCGAATTCATTTGCTCGAACATCTTCTACAAAACAAACACGTTTCTTATTTATTCTATTATCCAGTGGAATTACGCACGGTCCAAGAAACTCCAAGGACTTTCACATGGGATCCACAGAGTGAATCAGCGAACATTTGTTGCTCGTACATCGGGTGTGCGCCTCGAGGGACGCCGCGGACTCTGTCTTCAACTTTCCGCATTGTATTCTCATCCCTTGCGCGGTGCTTGAGCGTGTTCTGGTCTGAACATCCGGGCCTGTGGTATGTTGTGTGTTGTATGTTGCAAGCAAACAAGTCACTGGAATTCCAGCGCAAATCTTCTAATCGATGTTAATCGACAAAAAACGCTCCAACTCAATTTCGAACAATTGTCTGCGGGCATTTTTTAAGAGTATAAGCTACTAGGTAGATTTAAGACGATTTAAAGCGATTAATAAGTTTCATTCACCTTTTTGCGTTCAATAGTTTTAAAAGCGCATTGTTGAGTGAAACGCTGAACGTAAGTTGTTACAACCTACAACTTACGACTGTTTACGATATTTCTGCGTTTTTCATTCACCTTCGGCAGCTGACGAGAGATTTTGCACAAATCTGTAAAGAATGCGTGACCGGAATCCCTGAATTGTGAAAATTGTAAAGTGTTAGGTGTTTATTACCTCATTTCGAGGTGATTTAACGGGATTACATCATAAGCGGGCGTGCGGGCGGTTTCTTTACAGTTTCACCCTTGTATATGGGTAGTGGCTAAGTAGTAAGCACCGTAAGTACGATTCACTGCACTTCCATCTGCAATGCGTCAAACGAAATTCGCCGCGGCGTGAATGGACTTCGAGTCATCGATCCGGAAAATTCACATTGTGCAAACATTGCAGATTAGTGCATAATTGTCAGATTCGGATGTTAATAGTCATAATATTCTATAATCATCTGAAGAAGAAGAAAAAACGTTAGAATACACATTAATTAATTAGATTTTAAGTTTACCGTGGTGTTTGCAATGATGGTGGGATTGATCCGTACACAAAAGGGTTGGAAAGGGTTTTCTTTCAATGATATTAATTGCTCATCGGGTTTGGCGCGCCCTCGATGCACGCTCGGACACCTCTTGCATTTAAACACTGCCAAATCTCGTCTGGCAATGACATAAGAAGAGAAATACAGGAGATTGAATTAGGGATGCACTCCTATCACGTTTTATACGAGTTTTGCTGATCTCAGCAATTAGGTTATATTTTAAAATGTCTACAACATAGGCAACCAATGTTACACTGTAACAAATCAATGCGTATTGCCCAAATAAATTAATGTACAAATTGCATGTGTTGAAAAACCCACTCACACATAACACGAATACGTGTTATCCAGTGTTATCGCTTCATATGCTTTGCCCGTCACGGTGTTGCACAGCGTAACACCACTCGAAGCTCACAACGCGCCGATTCAAGAGGGAAATATATTATGTGCGCGCTCGAGGAACATGCTGCACGCACCGAGGGCTATTAGCATTATTAGGGCATTTGGGGCCGAGGAGAATCAATGTGTGCGCGCTAACCATACGCGTAAACATGATTGAAGCGCCCCGATTGCGCTGCATTGAGCAGTAAGTATTTTTCCAACCATCGCGGAAGCACTGCGCGCATAAACACGATTGAATCGAATTAAAAATTACACACGCACTTCGAAAACAATTAATGTTATAAGCACTCATACATTTTATAATCCCTAATATTTATATTACACATGCAAACCTGTTCAAACAGTAGCAATTCATAAAATAAAATAAACTTGTAAGATTGTTTGCCATGCAGGTATACCAACTCAACGGCCATCTTGTTTCCCATTGTTATCCGTTTAGTGTTTGTTTGTTTTCGTACCGCGCTGCTTTCAAGTTTTGCTTTCATTGTTACATTACATTACGCTGGTTTGGAGTTTTCGATGTACGTAATTATGCAATAATACAATTTCTTTTGTGTGTAACAATACAAAAATATGCAATAGTTTGCTTCCGCTGTTTTTGGTCCGGTTTTGCGGCTGCGAATTTTGGGCACACTTCAGTGCGTCGCTTGTTTTGCAATGTTTGTGTGTGTTCACGGCGGTGAGCTTTTTTCGGCAAAGAGGCAGAGAGGCAAAGATCAAAAGTAGCGCAGTACAGTGGTCCACGGCTAATCTGCTTACCGGGGGCTGATACATCGACCCGGATCCGGGATTCCACGCCATTATATGTTTGCGTCTTGTCCGTTTTGTCGTTGACCACTCAACTCGAAAGGAAGGAAGTCTTATCCCACATAAGCACCGCTTCATAAACTTTCAATACTTCTATGTAGCAAATAAAAAAGTGAAAAGTTTAAATTTGAGGTTATATAAACGGAAATTAAAGATTAAAATGTGAAAAAATAAAAAATCATGTTTTTCAAAATAGAATTTGAATAAAATAAATGTTTTTTGGCATTATTTATGTAACTTTTCGAATTAATATCCAAAATTGATTCAAAAATGAAGGTAAAAGTACCAATATGATGTTTAATGTAGGCAACCAAACTTAAAAATTAGAATTTAACATAAAATGAAGAAAAACATTGATTATCTGTCAAATAACATTTATTTAACTAATAATAGTAGTCGAATATAGTACAGCATTTCATTTCATTTCATTTCGTAACCTAGAAATCCAAAAATCCATAGGTTTGAGATCAAAAACCGAAGAAACACATTTTCACGGCCATTTTGTACAATATTTGCATAAATCAGCAAGTCATCTCTTTTCATTTATATAATTATTATATGTATTGCACGTTTAAGACTTTGTACACTTAGATTTACTTTGATAACACAGATTCACAAAGCGGCCATTGACTTACACTTTAACACTTAATCATTCAGTGCGGAATGTTCATACTTGATATTTACACGAAGATTGTTCTTTAGTAAGGTAGGACCGGTCATAATAACTTCCCACTGCTGTAGATTGACACAGGCGGACGTGAAGATTGTGCTGGCGGCGGCGGTGGTAATAGAAACGGACTAATGAAATGTAAAGAATCACGATCTCTGCCCCCGTGGTGATGATGGTACATATTCGGGAGGTAATCACGCTCGCCGGGGATGTCACCCATTGTTGTCTCATGCAGTTTACGCATGTGCTTTTTAAGGTCAAAGTTACGACAGAAACCTTTACCGCACACCTGGCACGTAAAGGGTTTCTTATCATTGTGTGTATGCATATGAAAAGTAAGATTATAAACTTGGTGAAATGCTTTGGAACAAATCGTGCATTTATACGCTTTTTCTCCACTGTGGGTCAATTTGTGATTCTTGTAGTTGCCTTTCT